GATGATGCTTTCTAGCAGCATGGTCGGCAGCATGTTCACAGTCCTATTTAAGTGAGAGCTTCTTGGTTATACACTCTTCCTCTGCATGATTCTTATGAAGGCACCATCCACATTTTGCAGTGGCATTAGTAGCTAGATTTATGGCTGAATGGAAAGGTGTGGCTTTAAGAGCAACAGAGACTGCTGGATCACCAGCACACAGCTTTTGATTGTTTTCTTCATTATGAAATGCAGTGTGAAGTCCTTCAAGAGTGAGCTTATCAGAGAGAAGGAATAGTGATGTGATAAAGTTTTCAAATTCAGGCTGGAGGAGTGCACTAATCAGGGCCATAATGAGAAGCTCTTTTTCTAACTGCTGAAGGCCAAAATGAGCAGAGCACAGAGCACAGATACAACTCATGATTTGAGTGCCCCAACTGGCAAGATCTGGCAGTGACTCTTCTGTCTCCTTTTTGAGATTAAAGAAGCTGTCATAGGCTATAAATCAAGTTGCTGGTTTTTTTTGCTGATAGTATGCCTTTAGTGTGTCTCACATCCTCTCTGGGTCATCAAGACAGCCCTTGATATGAGCCTTCTGGGATTTATCAAGGCAGAGGTAGATTGTACCAGCAGCTGACATCTGAGTCTCCTTCCAGTCCTTCCAGTCCTTCTTCTCCTGGTATGTTGGCTTTTCAGAGTCTGCAAACTCTGGTTCAGGGTCATAACCAATGGTGATAAGGTACTCATAGTGAGTTTTGAGTAGGGCTGACATGTTTTCTTTCCACTCACTATAATTAGAGGTATTTAGATTGTCGAAGCCCTTTTTGATTGTATCAAAGGATGGCATGATGTATGTGGTGATATCATTTCAGTAGTGAAGTGACTGATGGAGAGATAGCAGAGCACAAGCAAGATGCAAAGATGAAAAAGATAAAATAGGCCTTAAAACATGGAGTTCATAACCTGTTGCAGGCAGGTTATTGTGTGCAGTGAATAACAGTCAGACTGAGTATGATGGTCAATTGCTTAAAGGCAGTTGACCATTGACTCAGAACAAAACTGTCTATGCTTATATAAGATTGACATCAGATACTTGTGTCATTCCACAACACACTCAGCAATCAGAAAGACTCTTTTCTTCATCAACTATGGCTGTCACTTTAATGTTTTTCATACTGAATAACTCTATACCACTACACCTGCCTTCTCCAAATTCACTCAAACCATGTCCAAAATATATGACAAGACTCATGTTATCCTTGAAAAGGCAGCAAACTCCATGAAGAAATATTATGACAAGCATCACACCCTTGCTCATAATTACTCCATCAATAACAAGGTTTAGCTCAATACAACTAACCTTCATCTCCCACATCCCAAACAAAAGCTTGCTGACAAATGCATCAGATCATTTCTGATTCTCAATAAAATTGATGCATCTGCATACAAACTTTGCCTCTCTATCACATGAAAAATTCACAATGTATTCAATAAAATCTTGCTCATCCCTTATATTGCATCTGCATTCCCAAACTAAGAACATCTGCCTTCACCTGATTCTGAACTGATCAATGATAAGGAACATTACAAAGTTGATCAAGTTCTTAACTATAAACTCTGCAAAGTATGCATATGAGGGAGAGGATCACAAATAACAGTTGATTACTTGGTTAGTTGGAAGGGTTATAGCTCTGAATCTAACCAATGGGTCAATAAATATCATATGAATACCAACAACACCATCTGGGACTATGAATTCTCTCTTAATTGATTCATCAGAATGATAGTCTTAAGGGAGAGGTAATGTTGTGATTTTTCCTTTTTCTTTCTTGATTAACCTCTATTTATACTTAGTCAGAGCACTTAGATCAGCACTTAGAACTATAAGACAGGCTTAGTCATCATAATAGGCTGAGTCTGCCATTGTCCTCTAACAATGACAATGCCCCTTGACAATAAACAATACTCTTTTGTAGGTAGTCACAATACTCAAGGACAATAAGCATAGTAATATAGAAACACACAAATAGTAGAGATATATTTATCTTACAGATAAACAGTATATAAGTAATATAGCTCTCACTGTATATCTCCAGCTTCAAGCTAAAGTTTATTCCTCTACCACTTCATCTCAAGCCAACTGTTTACTGGCCTTAAAGTATTTGGTCAACAGACATATATAGTGAACTCTGATGTGACTGTACAAACTCTATACAGTATCAGTTTATCATATGTTCTGATCATATACAACTTGGGCTTAACACTATAGGCCTGAGGAGTTGCATAAAAGGACATATTTGAGCAACTAAAGAAACAATTAGTGAAGAATATGGTATTAGCAATACTGATAGAATGAAGGTGATTCTGTATAGAGGCAGATTCTAGTAAGTGAGCTATTAATGCTATTCTCTCTCAAGAACAGAAGAGCAAGTAGCAATCAGTCACATTCTTATCCAAGATTCTCACCATAATAGAATGAAACTATGAGATCTATAACAAAGAATTACTCACCATCATGCTCACATTGGCAAAATGGTGACACTAGCTCATGAGCATGCTTCAGGAATTTGAGATCTGAATAGACTATTAGAATCTCAAATATTTCCAATTTCTTCAGAAACTGAACTAACAGCAGACACAACAGGTTGCCAAGCTAGCTGAGTACTAGTTCATGCTTCATTACAAAGCAGAAACCATGAACAAAAAGACAGACTTACTTAGCTGATAGGCAGACCATGATTAGAGAAAGGACAATAATGGTAAGATCATGCTTCTGAAGCTAGAACACTTCAAGGCAATAATCATGCCAATGGAGGAAGCACATGAGCACATTAAAAGTACAACCAGATAGATAGAGTTATGAGACCAGAAGGTTGCACTATCAATCAACCATAGCAGAGAAATGATAAAGAAAGGAGATCTCATATACTATAATAAAAGAATTTATATCTTTGGGAATCATGCACTCCATGAGGAGATTATAGCCTGCTCACATGATCACATCATAGTGGGGCACTCAAAAATAGCAAAGACCAAAGAGTTGATACTATGAGAATATTAGTAGCCAAAAATTTAAAAAAAGATGTAGAAAAGTATGTGAAGGTGTGTGAGATATGCTAGTGAACTAAGTCTAGCACACAGATGAGAGCAGCTCTCTTACACTCAAACAAAGTCTTCATCAAATTATAGATCCACATCTCAGTCAACATAATCACTAGCCTACTGGAATGCAAGAGCTTTGATGTCATTTTAGTTGTCATAAATCACTTTTTTAAAAAAATCATTTCTGTCACCTATACAATGGAACTCTCATCAGAAGGATGGGCAAAGATATTATGGAATGAGATCTATGTTAAGCATAGTATGCCACAGGTTATCATCTCAGACTGGAGGCCTCAATTCATCTTCAAATTTCTCAAAGACCTCTACCACTTACTACAGATCAAAAGCAACACCTTCATAGTCTATCACCCTCAGACTGATGGACAAACAGAGCAGGTTAATCAGAAGATCAAAAAGTATCTACAAATGTTCATCAACCATCACCAAGATGATTGGATGGAATGACTCATGCTAGCAGCATTCCAACACAACAATTGAGTCTACTCTGCAACAGAAAAATCTCTGTTCTTTATTAATTACAGTCATCATCTAAGGATCACTACTTCTGAGTGTCACTCCACTAATACTTCTGCTTCCATCTCTTTCATCAAATGCATGTCATAAATTTACAATAAAATGTATAAAGCCCTGGAAAAGGCAGCTGCTATGATGAAAGTGCAGTATGACAAACATAGAAAACCAGCAGTCACCTATCAGGTTGGCAACAAGATTTAGCTGGACACCACTAATCTTCATCTCCCCTGACTAAAACAAAAGCTTGCTGACAAGCAAATGGGTCCATTCAAGATTACCATAAAAGCAGATCTCTTCATCTACAAACTCAAACTCTCAACCAGTTGGAGAATCCATCCTGTTTTTAATGAAATATTACTCTCTCCTTATATGCTGCCCATCTTCTCCAATCAGAAAGAACCCTCTCTGCTGAAACCTGACCTTGTCAATAGGGAAGAATTATATAAGATCAAGTCTATTCTTGACTTCTGCCTCTGCAAGGTACACAGATATTGTGGACAAGGTCCCTTCACAACTACTGACTATTTAGTCAAATAGAAGAAGTATGGTCCAGAATCAAATCAGTAGATAAATAAGAAAAAAATAGTAGCTGACAATGCTATTGCTGATTATCATATCTATCACAAAGAATCTTCAACTTATCCTCAAACTAAAGCTATTGGGATGATGGTTTTAAAGAGAGGGTAATATTACAATTTTTTCACTTATCTTATAACAGACACCTATCTAATCTTCAATGTCTATCTAATCCTATCAGTGATCACCATATCTATCTGGCTCAGACTGATAACTATAACTATACCAGATGACTCACACTATTATACTGCAACTCATAACCAACACCTCAACAACAAATGATATTTATTATTTCATATGCTTATTACATGCTCATTTAGTTCCAACCCACAGGTGGCTATAATAAGTAGGACTATATTTATCATGCTTGAAAACATATATAAGTAGTCTAGCTCTCACTGTAGTAGATCCAGCTTTAAGCTAAAGTTTATTCTATACCACTCATCCTCAAGCCTATCTGCAAATGCTTTGTTCTCACAATGAGTTAGACACCATAAAGTGGACTCTGGTGCAACTGTATGAACACAATACAGCATCAGTATATCATGAGTCTGACTCACATGATAAGGAGGTCTAACAATTTCTTTGGCCACCAGTAGAACTTCTTCTGAGGTTTTCTCTACCTCTAAGGCATCAAACCTAGTGCCTCTGAGATTCTTATCCTTGGTATATATTCCAGGGTTCTGGCTAGACTTAGATTTCTGATGACTTCTCTTGACCTTTTGGAATCTATCATCATTCTTTTCAGATTGACTATCTTTTTCTTGATTGATGTCATGAACTTGATTCCATGTTTTAAGGGCTTTCTCCTAGACTCTAATATCTAGCTCAGGGTCATTGATTTCCTGATTGTGATCAGCAAATTTTTCCTTTGCAATTGCTGAACTGGATCCATTCATAGGACTGTACATTTCAGATTGCTCCCAGTGCAAATGTTGTCTTCTCAGAATATCATGCTGTTCCTGAGTCAGATTCTTCTCTGCTTCTTGGATGATCTGTAGTTGCTCTTGGATGAGCCACCATCCCTTTTGGTAGTCAGCAATGGGAATGCCATGTTTTCTTAAGTCATCTAAGCTATAGATGCATTGTAACTGAGTGTGGTGAGGTTGTTTGGCCAATTCCATGGCCTCAGACTCACTTATGATTCTGTCATCAGCATCCATATGATACAATATATCATAATTAGTCACAATTTCACTATGTACACTCTTATTATATGGTCCTAGATCTGAGACATCCACTATCAGAGCTCCCTTGAGTCTGATGTCCTCTGATTCTTCCAAAGAATGAGAAAATTTTTTCTCACTCTCCAACTCCATTGTATGAAGGGGAGTTGGTTCATGCAGTTGTGGATTCACAGCTTGCAGCCAGTTGGAGAATGCTTTCCCTGACACTCACAGTGCCAAGTCCTGTAGAATTATTAGCTTGCAGCTCAGAAGTAACAAACTCACCTGGTACATCTAAAAGTGGGCTATCTATCTCAGCTATGACTGGCACCATAGAAATAGCAGTAGGTTGCTGACTTTGAAGGTTATAATGAGTCATCCATTCTTCATTAGATAATGAACAGTTTTTAGTGATTGATTGTTGGAAGTCCTTGGCTGATCAGGCCTAGGGTTACCAGATGATGACAACACAAAAGAGATTTATAATGAAGTGCAGATGAAAGAGTTTAAGAAGTTAAGCAAGTAATAGCCAATGGGGCTGTCAAAAATATGTGAGGGTGGCATCAAGGTCACTGCTCACATGAAGAACTTTAGTGCAGCCAGTGACAGTTGTAAAGGCTGTTGATTGCGAAAAGTCCGAACCGGTACAAAAAGACTAAGCTACTTTATATACTGGTTCATGTAAATCAAATACTAACTAAATCTATAGGTAAACAAAAGTAATCAGAGGTCTCGAAACGTCGACTCGTTACAGGTCTCCACATCGAGAGGAAAAAGGTTTTGGAGTGGTTTGTTCGCCTTCGGCCGAAAGCTAGCGGAGCGAAAACTGGCGAAAATATCACGGCTACCAGATACCGTTGATTTTTACGCAGCCTAGTCGGTTCATTACAGAGCACCACCAATCGGAAAAAGGACGTGTACTCACTCTGGTCCAAGGACAAAATCCTACACAGCCTCATACGCCGGAAGATTAACCGTACACCAGATAAATCAGCAGAGGCTTCTGATGAGCATGTATGTTGGCATGTGGCGGCAGGATAAAAGAAACGACTGTGGAACCTGCCGGAGGCCGTGCAGAGGCAAGCTTTCTCGTATCAATCTCGTACTCAGGTTGCCCTGGACCAATACTGATACTGAACATCGACCTGACTGGGTGCTTTGTATCAATGGATCAGAAAGCTTCTGGAGCTCAGAAGACCTAGGAACCCAAATCCTGGGATGCCTTCTACGACAAAAATTCTGGAAAGGTATCGAAGCTCCGCAATTTTGGCCTGTTTATGTTGTATTTATAGTGCAATCGCCATCAGAACTTTATCAGCCTTGCGAATCAGTGCTTAGGCCATCGTCAGTAATTTTAACTTTTAACCCTATAGACATCTTGGTGAGCAAAAGAGAACTCGATTCAAGTGTCGTAAATCGGTTTGATTTCCGTTACGCCACAGCTTTGGTCTTCTCTTTTCTGGCATCACTGGCGTCGCTATACCATCAATCAGATGAATCAATGCCCATCATGCTTCTCTTTTTGGTAAAAAAAGAACTCGCAATGCCAGCCCTCACTGTCTTATAACCTGGTTACCCCTGTGACGTCCCTTGATGGCCCCCCTCACCGACCAGCAAGCCAGCATTGTCGCATTGTACCTGGAGAGCACAGCTTGGGGTATCTTCCTTGTCACATTCGGGCTATGCCTTCGCTCTCTTCTGTTCTCAAAATCTGGCCTAAAGCCGTTTTCTGAGATAAATCGACCAATGTTCGCTGTATGTTTGATCATGCCAATATTCGCCACGGTGAATATGGCTATCAATACGAAAAGGGCGCTGGACTCTGTTGGACCTAGAGGTATCAGCGAGCAGTTCACTGATCTCGGGAGTGCTATCGAGATCGTCAAGTTCTCGTGTGTTAATCTACAGACACTTGTAGCGGATGGTATCCTCGTAAGCTTAGCTATTTGAAGGAACTCGGAATACCTAACCTAGTTTGGGATAGACTTATCGTTGTTGGATTGTTTACGGCAAGTCTTGGATGATAGCGGCTGCACCTGTGCTTTTATGGATAGGTGTTTTGGGAACGACCACCGCAAACATATACCTTCTCAGCACCATCCATTCCGAGGCTTTGACAGCAGCGACGAAACTTCGTCCTGTCGTTACTTCCTTTTGGGTCATAAGTATCGCTCTGAATATTATTACAACGGGTCCGTGGTCCCTCGCTCTTCATTTGGATTGCTCGCTCAGTTCTTCCTGCTTGTAGCTCTCATTGTCTTACGTATTTTTGCCGTGGATCGGAAAGTAACCTTCCAGCCAATGTCTGGGATATCTATTTCTCGCTCAGAGCGTCGTTTCAATGCACTGCAGCGGACAATGAGGTCAGCACACTCGGGAGTCAGGTGTTCCCGTCAACTGATTCCGATTACCTCTCAGGATCATCGTTGAATCTGGCGCAATCTATACCGGCATAGCGAGTAAATAATATTTCTCTATATTTCAATTATCTTTTGCTAAACAGTTGGCCTTGTAGTTATCACTTTTGCCACGTACGTCTCGGGAAACGTGGGAGTTTATATCACAAGCGCACTGGTGAGGTTTGCCCTAGATTGTGTTGCCTTAAATGCTCACTACGGCGGCATTATCCTAGGAGGTCCAAACGGCTGGAATCGCTTTCAATCTTGTCATTATCCGAGTACATAGCAGAACTTATCAGGATGAGACCAAAGCTATGACTGAGTTGCGGTTCTCGCTACGCTCTCGATGGGACGTCGAAACCAGTCCAACGAAGCCTCAAGACGGCGAAAGCACTGTCGATGACAAGGGGGTCGACTCAGATTCGAGAGCTGCCCCACTCAGGTGATGAATCAGAGGTCACTCGGCTTGTATATATATATTTATGGAAGGAAATACTTGGACTTTCGGAGTCGGCACTGCCATTACGATCCTTATGCGGCCGAGCTCCGCATCGCTCATACAAGCGCTTCGTAGTCATTCAGAATTCGTTTAAGCTCTTCTTTTGGAATCCGTGTCTCGAAATCGAGGGCGAAAGGCAGGGGATGTAGATTAGCCGTTTGCGTAAACGCCTGAGTATCGATCGGAGAACCATCCACTTCCTTCAAGCGAAAAGCCCATAACACGAAAGCGGTTGTTATGAACAGTGATCTGGCCGTGTGCCTGAGTTAAGAGTTCATGGCAAGAAATAGATACAAACCTATTGGCTAGTTGCTGTCCGGGACAGACTCTATATCCAAAATGATAAGTCTCTATTAGAGGTATGATAGATAGGCTAACCGTCTGCCAAAGCCGAAGTTCATTGACTTGATGTCGTCTCGGATATTACCCGACGAGTCTAACCATCTTTCTAGGCAGAATTTCTCTGGTTCAGGAAAAACGTTCTGAGAACGAGCAATCGACCTGCGCTAACGTTATTCCGAGGGAGACGACTCATGGGATGTCGAAATTCACCAATGACTGCCGATAACGGTTGCACCGGCAGGGATACGGTAACCACGCTGGGGCTTTTAGTTTCCCTGAAGCGGTGGATGATAACGAGAAGCTCACCCATATAATATCCTTCATGGCTCTATGAGGAAAGCCTAGATAACGTTGGAATGTTCCCAACCCTTCTAAAGACAGGTGACTCACCTGTAGCGCTTACGGGTCGCCTGTGAAGTCCTAATGTAAGCATGGCGAGAATTGGAGGAATGCGGAGGTCCTACCACCGGTAGCATTCCAGAATGAATGCGACGATGAATGGAAGAGACGCTTCATCCGCGAATGTAGGAGCTGACATCGACGGCATGAGTCATACTGAGGGCTGGACTGCTAACGTACGAACCGCGGCCCCGGCCCACGACTGCGTCTAGTTGGCCTTGAACTTTACTTTGGGTGTCAGGAAAGCATGCCGCTGCCATCATCATGATACTAATAGCGGAGGCAGTCTGTAGAATCCATGTTACTCACTCCCGCTATTCTCGGACTCCATAAATAATCACCCACAGTATCGGCTCCAGCAAGGAATAATCCTCCAGACAGGAAAGCAATTTCGTCTTCTGACATGTCATTTTTCAATTTCTTCTCCAATAGATTTTGGACGAAGTTCGGTTTGATAATGTGCTCGCCTCGGTTCTGTGAATCATGAGTAGAGTTGTTATGTCAGCAGCGGAACTGACAATTTGTTCTTTTACTGTGTCCACCGATGATCGAGAGAAGGCAAGCTCTTCTTTGTGCCAGCGGCGCAACCGCGAAAGATATCCAGGCACGTATTGAAGGATCGGCATTGAGTCAACCCAGTAAGCACCAGTCCTAATGACAGTACCGAATCTATGCGCAAACAGCAAGATCTTTTGAACTAAAGGATCAGAATATGATGTCGTCGACGGCTTTCCGTAAGTGAGTGTGATAACTACCGATGCCGCGTAACTAAAGAGATGACTGCCGGTAAGAACTGAGAAACGAATGAAAGTAATGGAATCTACCGCTTTGCGTGTTCGATATGTTGCGAAGAATCTTCCAAGAGATCCCTGACAAGATTGACTGCGTTTTTCATTTGCAATGGCTGGTACGTTTGAATTACCCTGGTACTAAGCTGGGATTGAATAACTCTGTGATCTCTTTCATTAACCATGACGATAATGACTTTCATGAATTCCGACGCGTACCTGCGGAACTTCTTAAAGCGTTCACCTGCCCCCATCATGAGTAGGCGCATATTTTTACACATCGTTTCCTGCACTGCGATAGACCTTGGACGATCCTGTAGGATGGCATTTTCCTTCTCCATTATCTCTAACGCCGGCTGAAGCTATTGTCAATAATTTGTTGTTAGAAATAGGTTACGAATTATACCTCATATCGCCCAATGATGATAATGTCGGTCAATCCCCGCCTCAACGAGAATACAGGACCGTATTTTTGCGTCATTTCTTCGTAACGAAGCCATGGACTATGCCCGATATGTGAACATATAGTCCGAAGCCAAGCTGCAAGTCCGACTTACGATCCAGTTGGAATTTCAGTGCCAAATAGCCAATAACGAGGGGGACCAGGCGGCAAAGGAAGTTTAGACCGTCGATTGGAATACCATGCAGCCAGAGCTAGGGTAAAGCCAGTGACTAATAGCAACCAATAAGCTACCGTGTTGGGGGTCACCATCGTTGGTAAACATTAGGTTCCCGCCTACGTGGGCGCTTAATATTGAATGTCGGCATCTGATGATAGAACGTTCGAACAAACAACTGTACAAGCGACATAGACTAATACTCGACCACTTCGTACGTGATGAACCGAGAATAACCTTCTGAGTTCATCAGGTGTTGATTTGTTTTCGCAGTAGCAAATAGATACGAACCAGCTCGTAGTGGCGTGTTCTTACTCTCACGCCGACATTGGCCAGACGACCTGACTGAACTGTATCAAGATTCTCCGAAACATCCACTCCACGATGTGTTCCCGATCAATCAAGGGCTCCTTTCGCCGAGAAAAACTGCGTTATCACCGACACCGAAATCCGAACCCCAATAACAGTCAACTGATATGCGATGATTATCGTAGACATTCTCGGAGTATCAAGTGTGGTAAGCTAGAAATCGTGCAACCCTCTTCATACCCTGCTGGAACAAAGAAACAGGTATAAACACAACTACATAGGAAGACCATGTCGTTGGTGCTCAGGAAAACAGTTCTATGCAAAGCAGACACCTAGTGATACACGAAGCAAATTTCAGTCAGACTAGTTGGCCAGCAACAGTATTACTGGTTAAAGAACGTACACAGGGATCATCCAACTGTAATAATTAATTCCGTACTCCTTCATTCATCAATCATTCAACCTCAAAACCAGAAATGGCACCAATACTATGACTTTGTGAGGAAGTCACGGTTGATTCAAGCTTGGGTGGATCTGAATCATCTTCGACCTGATGATCAACTGAAACTTCGATGGCTTCCGAGTCCTTCGGAGGACGCCTGGTGAAGTGTAAAGGAATAGAATGTGATTGGGTGGAGGTCTTGGTCGTGTACGCATTGCGTCCGGCCTGACTAACTCTGATGATGATTAGATTGAAGGCGATTCCAACCGTTTGCATTTCCTGGGAATAATATCCAGTAAGGAAGGAAAGAAAACGTTGAGCATACGATTTACAATTGCACTGGTCACGTAGACACCTTGGCTTCCTGAGACATAGGTTGCACACGTTGTGACTTGCGGCCACGGGTAAGCATCAGGAAAAGAATGCTTCTGAACACGCACTAGCTACGCTTGTGTAAAGCGCCCCGGATTCGATGATAATTCTTTGTAAGTCTGTCAGAAAATGTCATCAGGGATTGTGAACAACGTGGCACCTCATGATTTGCTGTAGTCTGCTATAACGTCTCGAACGAGCCGTTGAACGACTAACAATCGAAAATTCAGCGTTTGAACGGTCGACCCTGTAAATGCGAATCACGATAAGCACTGGTGATAGGAGTTAGTTACGGAAAATCCCCGACAAAATGATATGACGAACTCGTGGCAATAATATTCAGGGCAATACTGATGGACCAAAACGATGTTACGATAGGTCGGAGGCTCTTTGCAGCGGTGAGGGCCTCGGAGTGAATTGAATGCAGGACAATGATGTTTAAAATTGCCGCGACCAAGACTCCCAGCCACAAAAAAGCAGGGACAATGGCTGCGGCCCACGATTTACTATATATGACCCAGACGCGATATGTCTTGAAAAATCTGCACATCAGCCGCAAGCCAAAAAAGAGATGAATGATTATCACCAGCATGGCATCAGCAATGAGTGTCTGAACGTTTACACAGATGAATTTGACGGTCTCCGTCGCACTTCCAAGATTCGTGAATTGGTCACTTATCCCAGATGCACGGACGGATTCTACGGCACGAAGAATATTGAGGGCCAGATTTACCGTAGCGAAGATCGGCATTGCAATGCAGATGGCCACCATCGGTCGATCAATTTGGGAAAATGGCTTGAAGCCGGTATTGGTCCAGAGCAGAGCGCGAAGACATAGCCCAAATGTGACAAGGAAAATACCCCAGCATGCACTTTCCACGAATAGTGCGATTATGCTCGCCTCTTGGTCAGTGAGAGCCATAGATGAAGTTAGAAGCTGGTTTCCAGCGAGGATGCTGTGATATTTATTGGACGAAACGAGCAGAGGACAAGAGCATCATGATCCATGATGCATATTCATGGTGAGTGCAACATTGCTAACAAGAAGCTCAACGAATGAATAGAGGCTGCTGACACGTGAGAATTATGACAATGTCAAACAAACAAAGGCCGTAATCCTAGGCTGATAGACAAATCCATTCAGTGGAGGTAGCTTGGAGCGGAGAGCTCGGATCTGTTACAGATGGCTCGAGCTAATTTTGGGAATCAGTTGCCGCCATCAGTTTAGGACACATGGTCAAACAAAGGAATCCGGCAAAGTATCCGAGAGAGCCGATAGCCGGACATTCAAGCTCGGAAAATCCCGTATTCGGGCCGCAATAAGCTCGTAGCCGACAATTCTTGGCGCACCCTCAATACAGATCCGCATGGTCTCCTTCAAATTTTTTACACTGATACCGCGACCTCGCGTAGAAAAAATGTGTTACAGTAGTATGTTCTCCATTCATCTTTCCGCCAAGAACTAATCGTGTAAAAGAAATAGAATCTCCTTTAATACAAAGATTGGAATGCACTGTCCATGCGCTGTCAAACCAAGTCATAGGTCTATTCTCATGTTTTGATAACATGTGAGGCAGACTTGATCATTTACATCCCCCGTTTTTGACCTCTGCATTCAACGATGCGCTTGATATGATAGGTCTTATTCACTGGAAGCTTCTCATCTTCGTGGACAAGGGCTAATACTTCTTTGATGTTATCTATGCGAACGGTTCGCCACCCTTGCTCTGGGGTTTCTCCCGCTGAAGTCTCGATCCGATATCGATCTCGGAAAGGCAACACATTCGAGAATCTGATTAGCCTGTAAGTTTCCTACTAGCGCTCCTTGTGGCAATATTCCATTTTACCTTAATGGTAGTTTAATATGATCCTATCAGCAGAAGATCTAGCTGAAAATAACCAGGCAGGCGCTTGGCTGCCACATGAATTGTATATGATTGATGAGGAATCGAGTTGGCCACATTCGGCCTTACATAGACGATGTCCTCCCACCAACTTCAACTCGAAGAGAATCCCGATGTGTCCACGCAAATTTGTGATGATGATATTACCCAACAGAATCCTCCAAACGCCGATGCTAACATTACTTCCGAGGGAAGATATGCCTGGATATGCCTACTTTGCTCGTTCGTTGTGAACTTCTTAGCTCTGGGGTGAGCGCATTACTTTTTCGTTCGGAATGCACCACATTTCGTGCTCTTTGCTAGCATTGAAAGCACCTGGGGTGTTTATCAAGATTACTATTTCAATACAGCGGAACTTGGTCACGTTTCGAACTCGAATCTCGCATGGGTGGGAGCAATTCAAGCGGTTGGTGTGTCGGTTTTGGGATTGTGAGTCCCACATATTCAATCATATTCATACTACAGTGTGTACTCACGCTATCCGGTTGCAGTCCGGCAGGCAAGCTCGCCGAGAGGATTGGCTATCGGATGACTGGAATCATTGGCTGTACACTGATGACGATCGGCCTTCTGGGTGCCTCGTTTTCGTGAGTATGCGCATTGTAAAGTGACTGACTGCTGAACGTAAGATGGCAGGAGTGAGGTATGGCACTTGTACCTCAATCAAGGTTGGTATTGGTTCTGTTCTACAGATTGATTTTGACTTCTCGCCTTCGTAGGGATCGTATTCGCTATGGGGAGTGCCTTTGCCGTCATCCCGGCCCTTACTATACCCTCACAATGGGTAAGGATGCTTCGACCTGTCCAGTTTCAGAATGACTGATATGTTGATCTAGTTTGTCAAATATCGAGGTTCGACATCGTTCTCATTATTTTGACTTCTACTCACTCTCTTGAAATGTAGGATTCGCGACGGGAGTCGGTGTCAGCGGATACGGTAGGTGTTTCAGTCATGGTAGCAAATTAGATTTCCGACTCATTTGACAATGACTTAAGGGATTGGTGGACTGGTTCTCAGTCCAGTGACTCAAAAGCTAATCAACGAACTGGGAATCCGATGGACTCTACGCATCATGGGCTTGCTTACCTTCGCCGGTACGTTGTGCGCTGAGTTTTTATGGACTTACATGAGAGCTGTCTCTGAACAGTGGCCGGAGTCGCATTCCTCTTCATGAGAACCAAGAGCATACCCGTTGTCCAGAAAAACGATCGTATTCAAATATCGCACCTTCTGAAAGACCCCGTCATATATGCCCTCTGGATATTTATGCTTCTGTCAGCCTTCGGTTATTATATCCCCACTTTTTACACACCAGGTTTTTCCTTTGTAATGCTTCATTGAATATTTCCGACCCTCATTCCTTTGTACAGAATACGCGAGAAACGAGCTACACCATACTGCGCAAGGTGGGGCTAACGCACTCGCCCTGCAATCTGGTCTCTCTGCTGTTGGTCGTGTGGTAAGTATCCGTAACGTAGTTCGATAATTACCTGTCTCATTCTCAATTTATAGCTTACCGGCTTAATGGGTGACCGCGTTGGACACCTCACGGCCTTGTCCATATGCCAGCTTATAGCCGGAATTGCACAAATGGCGGTGTGGCCGTTTTGCGCGAACCTTCCGAGCCTTATGGCTTTCTCCGCCGTGTATGGCTTTTTCTCTGGCGGTATCGTTAGCTTGCCTCCGGTCGGTGAGTTTGATACCTATAGGCTGTTCTGGCCATAGACACCTTACTGATTTTTTCTCTCAACAAGCCTTGGCAGAGATATACGGCACCCAGCAGCTTGCGAGTATCACTGGCTTGATCCTGACTGGTAACATTGTGAGTAACCTACACTTAAAATTTCTTTAACCTCATTCATACTACCGGCAGCCGGGAACCATCGTTGGGCCGTCTATTGCCGGAGCAATCATCGACAAAAATACATTTCCGGCCGGAAAAATCAATTTCTTACCTGTCCAGCTGTATGGTGGAAGTTGGTTTATAGGAGGATGTCTCGCGACATCATTCGTCGCGTTGCTTCATAGAATTTCCCGGAAACGCTCTGTCAGAGCTGTACGGGAAGGTGAGAGCTTGCACGAGGGTCAGGCCGAGCTTGAGATAAGAGGCAGTGATCGGGAGGTGTTCCCTATAGATCTTAGAAAATGATTTTGAAAGATCTGCATGATTCTGTCTGTATGTTTTTATGGAACCGTTCTTTCCTCCCCAACCATTGCTCAATGAGCGGAACATCGGGCCGACTTCTTCGTTCCGGCCCGAAGCTGGGTTGTTTTTTTTTGCTCATCCGTCGCCTCGGCTCACTGTCACTTAAATCAAACGTGCGATGCGACTTTAAGGTAAGCAGATACATCGCTTGTCTCTTTAAATAGTCGTGTTACTGACCCATAATTCGATTAGGATGTTTACTGCTGTCTTGTTCTCTAATCACCCTGCAGCCAAGTCGACAGTGGACAAACGCTAATCATATCCTTTATATTGTGCGCTGTACACAGGTGTTTGTTTCGGTTCGTTACTTTTATCTCCAGTCCGTTGAATGGAGACGCCCTCCCCTTGACTAGATCTTCCTCCGGGTACTGCGATATAATACTCATCCAGGGCCTTTCTCTCTTCTTTCGTTGAGAACCGACGCACAGTCCAGGATAGTGGAGGAGAATTTTAATGTTTCATCATCCCTGCTTACACGATGTTGTCGTCCTTCACGCCTACTTCCGCGGATCGTACTTGTTTCGGCCGCCGACGCGTCATCGATATCTGAATAGTGTTGAAGATGCTACCATCCAAGAGAAAAGGAAGATAAGAAAGGTACCTACGAGACAAGACTCCCCGTCTCTGTGTGGGATCATCATGTCCCTGTTGAGTGCCGACTCGGAGGCGCAGCACCTCATTCTCTGTTCGTCGCAGCGTGCGATTGAAGCATTTTATTTGTTTATGACACAGACGCGTGAAAATAACAACAGTTCGTTGTCAATATCTATAGTATCAGCTGGCAACAAGGACCTCGGCCTTGTGCCTCGCCGACATCAAGCTTCTGACCTAATTCAGTTCGTCCACAGAGCGCCTGATTTGAGCTGGATGATGGTAATCGTTCTATTCATTTCAAGCCCATTGCACCACCGCCAGGTGGGGCTCATCACGGTCCTTCTCACGGCCTCAGGGGGAACTTGAGTTATTCTTGATTGATCCATTTAGCATTCAACCGGGTGCCTCAATTCTGGGCTGGATTTAAAGTGCAAAGTCGACTGTTTTCTTTATCCGCTCATCGCCATCATGGATGAAAAGTACAGTCACAAAGAGAGTTTGGCCGGAGAGAAATTGTCCAATGAGGACTCTCCGAGATTCCTCTTACCATCGGTGGACGTTCGAAGGGTTCCCTGGTGGAAGCTAGACGTGCAGATCCTCCCCATCGTCACGATCATGTATCTCTTAAACTTCCTGGTAAGTCTATCGACAATCTTTCGCGATCATTTCCTACCACATCTTATAGGATCGCGGGAATATAGGAAATGCCCGGGTTGCTGGGTTGCAAGCGAATCTTGGAATGACGGATAGTCAGGTAGGTTGGGTTGAATCAGAACTTTCGACAACATATGTATAACACCTTTACATTGTAGTACAGTCTTCTCTTGACTGCTACGTTAATTCCCTATGCGTTGGTCGAAATTCCGAGCAACTTATTTCTAACGGTAAGCGTCAGTTTGTGCTTTATTGGAACATACTGAGGGTAATACTTACCAGCGCATTGGGGCTCATATTGTCCTCCCTACTTTGGTTGTCATATGGGGCGCAGTTACTGCATTCCAAGGTACCTTCCTTTTTAAAGCTTCTTCGTTTCCGAGTCCGAACATAACCGTAGGGCTGGTTACTTCTTACGGCGGCCTCGTCGCTTGTCGAGTAATTCTAGGCTGCTGTGAAGGTGACACAAACGTCCATGTGCACAGTTGAATCACTCAACAGTTATGTTTCCCAGGCGGTCTGCTGCCAGGATTATCTTTATATGTCGCGTCATTTTATCCACGGAGTAAGCTTCAACTCAGGAACGTATCATGTACCTAGTAGTTGGTTCCTGGCTCACTGACGTTGTACAACAGAATAGCGCTATTTTTTGCTTCGACTGCATTGGCCGGAGCCTTCTCTGGTCTGCTGGCATCAGCTATCGATCATCTGGATGGTCATGATGGGAGACCTGCGTGGAAATATATTTTCATCCTGGTATGTTTGTGATACTTCGGATATTAGAAGCTCTAGAATTGTCTACTTTCCAGGAAGGAAGTTTTACCGTCTTGTATGGACTTGTCTGCTTTGTCATTATGCCGCGTTCCCTTTCGACGATTCCGCTCCTGACTTCCGAAGAGTGGTCCAACGCCGAGGCACTCCTCGTTCAAGAGCATACCATGCTTGCAAAAGACGACGGTCATTTCAGCTGGTCTTCGACTTTAAATGCATTATTCCAACCTCATGTACTGTTGTATTTCGTCTTGGGATTTTTCGGAGGTATGTATGTCGGAGGTATTGAGAAGTATACTAATAGATGGTACTCACGACAGGTCTGACTCTGACCGCTCTCGCATAGTATGTCAGCCTTTCTCCATCATATTGTTCTTGCTGACGACGTTATTACCAACTACCATAGTTTCGAGCCTAGTATAGTGGAAAGCCTTGGATATACAGCTAACCGAGCACAATTAATGTCGGTTCCTCCGTATGCCGTGGCCTGGGCGGGTAAGCTCCTCCTTCGCCAAGGAAATCGACCCGTCTCACAGACTCTTTCAGTGAACATCATCACCGCTTTCGTATCGGACCGGTATAGGCTTCGTGGAGTCACTGTCATGTTCCATTCCATGCTGGCTACTATTGGATTTGCCGTATTTCTCGGCAGTAAGAACAATCATGTCCGATATGGTTCTCTCTTCCTGTTCGTCCCAGGTGTATACTGCTCTCCTCCTTCGCTTCTCGCATGGGCAGCCAATAACTCGGCACCCCGGTTTAGGCGAGCAGCGGTGATAGCTTTCTTACTGAGCTCGACCAGTTTGGGCGGTATTTTAGCAACGTGGTTGTTCGGATCGCTATCCAAGGCTCCAGATTACGACAATGCGACTATCGTATCTATAGTCTTTTCTGCTGGTATGATAGTGGCGGCGTTTGCGAATATCGTATGGTTGAATGCTCAGAACAAAAAGAGGAAAGCGGTGGCGAATCCTGGACCTGTCAACGATGACAGAAGTGACGGCTTCCTTTACAAATTATAGGACTCGGAACGATTGGGATTCCAATGTCATTTACTTTATGCAAATATAGTTGGGTTTTACTCATTACTTGTAGATGTTTGACGAGTTTCATGGTAAATCATGTTCTCAATGTTTACTGCACTACGTCCACTTTTCCTCGTTTCTGGTAGTCAGATTTAATTACTGTACGTTTTTCAGACCAAAGTTGCCAACTTGGAGATTCAGAACCAAACCATCGACGCTCTCTGCTGCGACGTGAATAGGTCCGTCGTACATGGTGTGAACTGCCTTTCGTGCATTGATCTCCTTCAACACCAATTTGGCCTCATTGTCATCCTGAGCCAAAGCTTCAATCTCATGGTCAGTCATGATTGGTGCTGACGGTGAGCACAACTCTGGTCCAAGTCGTGCTCCTACAGCTTCATGCATTTGCGGGTCCGTAGGGGCGAAGATATCTTTGCAAAAGTCCATGGTCTTCTGTAACTCGACTTCGGATATAGTTTTGCCAACATCGGCTGTGCCTTGAATCACTGTGATATACGTGAGTGATATTATGAGAAAGATTGAAATACTACTTGCCCGGTCTGAGGATATCAAAAGCTCTATCAAAGTTGTCCTCGTCGACCTCGGCCAGAATATGCAAATCTTGATTGCGAATCTGTTTATAGACACCCATCACAACAAGTAAAAAGCTGATGCGGGTCGTTGGAATACAGAACGATACGTTTCAAGGGATGCCGTACCGAGTATACGCAATAGCAACTTTCTTGTCATGAAACTGCGCCGCCTGCAACTCCGAACAGGTTTTCCGAATCGAGGCCGATATCGAGGCGGCGGCAGTTAGCGCACCCAAAAGCGCCAAATGAACTCCGCTTGAGAAGAATGGATCGATGAAGGCTGGAAAACGTGTTAGTATATTGAAGCACCATTTAGGTTGAAAACGCACCAGATGCGTCACCGATGAGTCTGAAATGATCGCCAGAGTATCTGTCGGCCGCATAGCTATAATCGCTGGCGCTATGAATGCGTGTACGGCTGCCCTCCCCTTGAAGGACCGCCTTACAGAGAAACTTGTCGCTTACTGTAGGCGCTAGTCTGAGCTGTGCGAGATAGTCGTCCTTTGTGGAATAATGCACGCCGTTGCTCGCGGATAGAGCCTTTCTAGCAATGCCCGATGCCTGATCAGTGACAATCCCTACTGAAACCGTGCCATCGTGTAGGGGTATGAACCACGCCCAGCCGCTACCATCTAGAGGAAGATAGCGGTTCAATGGAGATTATATATAGATAGTGAAGTAAAATAAAACCTGTCAATGCCTCAAAAAATGGAGCGTTGTCGCGTTGGCTCCCTGGCATGTATCGCTTTGCCCCGGTCCAATAGCCCCAGGACGCGACGTTTCTAAGGGTATTGTTCATTTTGCGATTTTTCAAGTACTAGATGCAAGATGCAATGAATTTTCAGGCACCTAGAGGTACACATACCTTGGTTGACATGATCCCCGCTCGGCCGGAAGCATCGACGAGATAGTCAAAGGAGATTGAACGAAGCTCCCCATCAGGACATTTAAATTCAGCCCTAATTGGTCTGCCTTTGCCGGTGTTGTTGTCCGCAAATATCAGCCTGGCGACTCTATGATTTTCGAACACTTTGGCCCCGAGCTCTTCAGCATGACGCAGTAAGATCTCGTCGAATTCCGAGCGCTTCTAAACAGGCTTTAACTTGCATTGCAATATACACGATAAGGGAAGAATTACCACGTTCCAAGCTGCGGCATTATATCCATTGTTGCTGCCACTAAGGGAAGAGAAGTCGGTGTCTTGAATTTTAAATTTAGTCAGTTACGCCGCGACGAAGGAATAATGCCATACATCCTTCACGTTTGTGCTGCTGAAACTTTACCGCCGCACCAGGCTAGTCAGTGAGGGTCAACTCAATGATAAATGGTAATTTTATGCAATAGTTCCACCTTGGGACAAAAGCCATGAGAAGCGACCTTGTCGTCCGCACCGGAGAATTTCAGGAATGGACGGATCGACGGAAGCATGCTTTCTCCGATATGGTAACTTTGTTGATTTTAGTAAGAGATAGAATAAGGGATACAAGGCGCTTACCGAGGGAATGTCGCGGCCTCCAAGATGACGACCGAGAAACCTTCTCTGGCCAAGATGGAGGCACAGTAGCTCCCTGCAGGTCCGCCGCCGACAACCAGAATTTGAACATGAGAAGGCTGTAAGACGACTTGAGACCGGGGATTAAAAATATTCGCGTAGATTACAGACCAATGGTGAGATCATTATGTGGTTCAGGTACTGGATCCCTCCAGGACAGTGAAAGGAGTTGATCCTATATATGTGTATAGCCGTATCCCTGCCGTTTATAGACGTCCTGCTAGGGAGAAAAAGGCATAAGAAGCTTTGTTATCATATGCTGTGATCTGGCGGCTAGCTATCCTGGAGGTAATCTCGCGACATCGCCGCAATATCAATGAAGAAGTTAGATCTTGGTTCATGCACAATAAGTTCAACAAGCGGCGTTTTGGATGATTGCCGGTTGACGGGCCCGGCCTATTCCACGGCAGCAGCCGAATCACAACCGTTCATTGCGGATCCAGCAAACTGTATTCTTCGAATTCTGATGATAAAGTCGAAGCCACCCATGACATCAATCTTCAAACTTAAACTCTCATCGGCGGCACTCAAGCATGTCAACGTTCACCACAGTCGACGAGGATACTGGCATAATTTCTAGCTTTCTCAGTTTACTAACACAAACCAAGGCATATCGGTATGCCGTTCCCAGCTATCCTTACTGGTTGTCAAGTTTGATCTCGGAAATAGTAACGAAAGGCCAGTTCTTGTTGACGGACGATCTTTATCCATACCCGCAACCGTGGCTGTCGCGCGTTACGGAGTAAACCCTCAAGTCGACGGCTCAACTGAGGCCAAGGAACGCGTTCATCAAAGCAGGCGAGTCCTCGAAGATGCGGTACTGGTGAAAAAGAGCATATATGGCGTACGCCCGATATCATCTACGAACCGATGGACCACTTATATTTCTTTTCAAGGTAACAACTGGTGTCGGCGGTAGCGGTGAATATTGTCCACACGACCTTTTTCTAGTTCATTCAATGCGATTTTTTTTTGCAGCAGACACACGATCCGATGATGTCCTATCCCTTGGGGTTTCCATTCTACAGCAGATACAATGCGGCATTTTATCTATAGACGGAGAAGGCGACAGTCTACCAATCTCTCATAATGCCGCTGCCACACAAATGCCAGAGTCTTGGGTCAGAGGTGCCCTCATGATGCGCATGAATAGTATGATTCGTGGCCACTCCGGTGTTCGTTGGGATGTCCTGGAAAAGTTCTCGCTTATGCTGAATGCGAATATACTCCCTCTGGTTCCACTCCGGGGTAGTATTTCAGCGTCTGGAGATCTCACGCCATTGTCCTACCTCGCTGGTGCTGCCACGGGGAACCCCTCCATTCGTGTGAACTACGGTCCGCCTAGTGCCCGTATCGTCATGACATCGAAAAATGCCCTTGCTATAGCAGGGATAGAGCCTCTCGTGTTCCAAGCTAAGGAGCCGCTTTCTGTAGTCAACGGAACATCCTTTTCTGCAGCCGTGGCTGCTCTTGCCGTCTATGATGCAGTCCAAATGTCGCTATTAGCCCTTACCTGCACTGCACTTACAGTTGAGGCCTTGCATGGGGCAAGGGGATCGTTTTCCCCTTTCATTCATGCTATTGCTAGACCTCATCCGGGCCAGGTTTGATCATCTTAATTCAAGCCTACTAGCAATACTAAAGTCTCTCCAGGTGGAAGCGGCTCAATATATATTATCTCTTCTGGAAGGCAGTGAATTCGCGAAGAATGATGACTCCCAAGTTCGCCTGAATGAAGATCCTGGCATTCTCCGTCAAGATCGCTATGCAATGCGCACTTCCCCTCAATATCTAGGTCCCCAGTTAGAAGATATTTATGCCGCCGTAAAGACTATCGATCTCGAGTGTAACGCGAGTGAGTATAGTGATTACAACCCTCGCATATCTAACAATGACGATGCAAAGGCAGTGACAATCCTCTCATCGAGGCTGAAACGCAAACTATACATCTCGGCGGAAATTTCCAGGCTATGGCAGTCACGAACGCTATGGAGAAGACTCGTCTTGCTCTTGATCACATTGGGAAACTTGCCTTTGCACAGTCAAGCGAGATCTTGAACCCCCATATCAATAAGGGCCTACCTCCATCTCTGGCCGCCACGGATCCCTCTCTCAACTACCATGCCAAGGGGTTAGACGTCGTTATGGCCGCCTATGTGACGGAACTCGGATATCTTGCAAACCCTGTATCAACGCATTCTCAAGCTGCCGAGATGCATAACGAATCAGTGAAGTATGCGCCTCTGTCTTTCACCCTATAGCTCTATTCACAAAATGCCTTTTGTGAATAGTTCCATGGCTTTACTTTCCGCGCGCGCCACCGTATCCTCTCTAGAAGTTCTCGCCATGCTGATCGCGTCGCACCTGTATATTCTCTGCCAAGGTAAAAAGCCTGCCGTATTAATGATGATACGCTTATCGTTGCTATCAGCGCTCGACCTTCGCGCAATGCAGTACGATTTCCTCGTTGGCATCGAAGACGCCGTGAAGACCGGTAAGGGAATATTCTATCCTCTCTGGTTCGTTCTGATTAGTCCACATGCAGAATTCACCAGCAAATTCAAGCTGCAAAATTCGGATACTTTAGATCTCTCATCTTTGGTCAATAGGGTCTTCAGAGACTCTTTCTATTCTACCACCACGATGGACTTGAAAGATCAGATGCAAGCCGTCGCATCGTCTTGCATACCAGTGATTGTCAAGTTCTTCACAACCAAACCTTCGTCGTGTGACCAACCAACACTTTCTGATATTATGGCAGCCACTGATACAATCGCTACACGCGGTATCGCTCTCATGGATGAATTGAGAGATCAATATCTTACGGGCTTGAAGGGGCGTGCACCTGCCTGCTCGTATCTTGGTCGCACCCACGATATCTATCAGTTTATCCGTCTTGAATTGGGAGTTCCGATGCATGGTGAAGAGAACTTAAAGCGGTTTGGGAACGCCCCTTATGCAAACACCAAGACTATCGGACATCACGTCTCTGTCATCTATAAGGTGAGAACAAGCTTCTGATAAAGATAACCATCGAACCCGATTAACTTCTATCTAGGCCGTCATGGACGGGAAGATGCACGAAGTTATTACCGCGATGATAGGGAAGCGGGTCTCATGATATGTAAAGACTCAAATTCAATAATGGATTCTTTTGAGCGCCGAACTGGTTTCCCGGTCAACGAGTCGAGGTGAATTGACGTCGAAAGTAAATTTGTCATGACCGTCCAGTCTCACGGGAACCCGCAGTTAAAATATATGTCAAGCATCTGTATCTGCAATTCATGTTTTAATACGTCCTTAAAACAGCTTTCGAAGCAAGGGTTGGCGCGGGTACAATCATCCAAAATTATCTTCGAGGGTTCTGCTTTGGAAGTGAGTTACTAGTCACGGGTGGTACCATGACCACGCAGTGCTAAACTTGTTAGATCTTTAAGCATAAATGTCGACTTGGCTGAAGAGCGGCCTACTATAAAGCCATAAATGTCGTCTCGACTGAACAGCAGCCCACTACAAAGCCATTCCGATGGACATATCTGAACTTGACGCACTACAAACCAGTTTGAACGGCGCTCTGAATGCGTTCCGAGAGGAACTGACGAAGGCAAAGCTGCCAGAGCTATCGACGTTCAGTCTTGAACCCCATCCATTGGATTCTCCGGAGTACTTACCCTCCCCGCGCTTATATGAAGCTCGAAGACTAGCACTAGGTGCGAAGTCTCGATATTTTCCATTCGTTTTCATATTCCTATTTTGAAATTATGAAGCATGCGTTGTATGTTTTCATGTCTTCAGTCGGCGCACCGTCTGACGGTCTACTTAGGGTCAACTCAAAACGCTTCTGCAGTCTCCGTACGAGAAAGTAGTTGAACATACTCTGGCTCCTTATGACGCAGTATGTTTGGACATAGTTCTTAGAACTGGCGTTATCGACAAGCTCTCGGAAGAAGCCTACAGAACCACCGGATTACATGTGGAACAGCTCCACCGATTTTTGGACCTTGATCCGTTCAAGCTGACGGCAATTCTCCGGTATCTTGCTGCGGAAGGATGGCTACATGAAAAGAATGAAGGAGTATACGCACTCAATCGTCCTGCGTTGGAATTGTGCCTAGGGAAAAATGGGCGAAAGTGGGCGCTGTAAGCAATCTCACATTTCTAAAAATGTCCATATTAACCACTCTCTTCCAGTACGCGGGGGAAGGCAAAAATTGCAAATTCGCTACTTGATGCTATCACCAAACCTGAATGGAAATACTCAACCTCGCCACTGGAGACAGCTTTCCAGCTCTCCCATCACACTCCGCTTTCCCTCTTCGACTACCTCAAAGCTAACCCTGCTGAACTTGAACAATGGGCGAATTCAGTGCGGGTTTGTACATCTGTTTCAACGTTTCGAAAGCCTAGTACTCAATTGCTGGCTAGACCTATGGAGATGCTGCCGCATCGGCTCTGCTGGTTGATTTTCCTTGGAAAAGTCTGAATAGCCAAACCATCGTTGATTGCGGAGGAGGTCAAGGATATCTTACCATCTCCCTGGCAAAGATGTAAGCGTTATTTTAAGCCGTCGAAAACGATATTTTGCTGAACTCTACTTTTAGTCTCGAAGATGTCGCATTTGTTATTCAAGACCTACCCGAAGTCATTCCCATAACCAGAGTCAACGTTAACCGGGAAAGTCCAGCGGCGGCCCAACAGGGACGCATCGTCGTTGAAGCGCACGATTTCAAGACACCGCAGGTGCGACGATCTGGAAAGACGACCTATGTGTTTCGACTGGTTCTGTGAGTTCTATACTCTCAGCCTTTTCTGACGAACCTTTACATATCCGCTCAGACATGACTGGACAGATCAAGACTGTGTATGGTATAGCTTTCTTCGGCTCGTCAGCAATACTGATCTATGGTCTGCAGACTGCGATCCTCAGAAACATAACGGCCATTCATGGGACTGTAAGTGTTGCGCGGGGAACCAAGTTGATCAGTACTGAGTAGTCAAATAGGTCAAAGTCATCATCATCGAGCATGTAGCTCTACCTTGCACCATATCCTCTACTCCACAGGAACAATGCGACGAGAGCCTCAGAATGCTTATTGACGCTGAGAAGTACGCAACAGCTTCCCCTCCACGCTATGTGCCCTTGAATTTCGGTGTTTGCGCGAAAATGAACCTCGGCCTTGGCGTCCATCTCCTTGGAGTATACAATGCCCGTGAACGGTCTTTGGTATGTCAAATCCGCTGACGACACGCCGCTGTAGACCTGACGGGATTCTAGCGTGAATGGGACAGTATAATTAGAAATGCGGGACTGAGGATCACTTTAGTGTGCCCGCTCCGAGCCAAGTTGTCCGTCATTGAATGCGACGTTGTAGCTGTGGATGGAGAGTCCGACTAGCACTGAATGGCATGCTTAAGTACCAAGACTTTTGAAGATATAGTTACGGTTCGCAACTCGAAAATTAACGTAGAAAGAATCTATTTCGAGTCTCGACGTTGATCTGAGTGAGGAAGGTGTTTTTATTCTGATCACTCTGGGTCCGCCCGGATTCACGGACCGATGCTCCGACGGTGCTCCTCGACGAGTCTGGGCTTGAGGTTTCTTCCTCACCACACCATCGATCTATGTTTCTTCCCACGTCGCTGACCACTGTTGAGTCAGAATCGACTATGGTCCAAGTTATCGGCCGCAATCAATACAACGCTACAGAATCCCTGTCCCCCCAATCCGTGGACAGCGATCCCCTCCAACAGTTCAAGGCATGGTTCTCTCAAGTCTCTTCCGAGTCTTCCCTCGTATCCGAACCCGAATCGATGGTGCTCTCTACCTGCACTCTGAGTGGCGTTCCTTCCTCTCGCCAAGTTCTATTGAAGCAAGTCGACAACCAGGGATTCGTCTTTTACACCAACTACACCTCGCGGAAGAGCCTTGAGCTCGGCGCGAATCCGAATTGCGCGTTGGTCTTCTACTGGCGGGAGGCGCATTGGAGTGTGAGGGTGGTAGGGAGGGCTGAGCGGGTGTCGAGGGAGGAGACAGAGGCGTATTTTCGCTCCCGACCGAGGGAGAGCCAGTTGGGGGCCTGGGCCAGCAAACAGAGCAGTGTCGTTAGGGAGGGAGAAGTCACGGCTCGACTAGAAGAACTCAAGGTTCGGTTTGAGGGTAAAGAAGTAGATGTGCCGGATTTTTGGGGCGGGTGGAGGGTCCTGCCCAGGTGCGTCTCATTTTCATTCTGATTGGAGCTTCCAGGTATTTATTATGGTTTAGCGAGATAGAATTCTGGTCTGGAAGACCGTCAAGGCTACATGATCGCGTGAGGTATCTTAGAAAGGACGGTGGCGAGTGGAATGTTGAAAGATTGGCTCCGTGATACTCTCACAAGAAATTATAATCATCGTTATAACTAGATCTCGAAAACATAGGTAACAGCAATAGCGCTCAGAATGCCATATAACACCGGTTCAGACGCTTCTTGCAATGAACATTCAGACGACTCTTATATCTGCCAGTCATTTAGAATCCGTAGTCACGCCGGCGGAAGGGGAAACAAAGCTCACCATTAAGCGACACTGACACCTTGAGCCCCTCGTTCTTCATCACCTTAAGCCTGTCTATCTCTGACGGCTTCAAGTCGTTCGCGAAATCGGCGCAATAGACGATCGTGCGTAGTCGCTCTCCAGAATCTCTGCGAACGGACCACCGATAGCTGATCATATCCACCATGGCACAAGACGAAGCCTCCTGCTCGCTTGTCAGGGCATCATCACCAGGATCTCGTCGCACGCCAATATGAAGACGCCTCATTTTTGGCAAGACAGGACCAGTGGCCTGCGCTTCACCGTGCTCCCCTTTCTGCGAGAGGAACTTGAGGAGATTCTCAAAAGCCGTCCCGGGATCTTTGATATCGAGTTTCAGGTTGCACACCTCGGAACATAACTTCAGAACGTCATAAAGTTCATGCGGGATGCCCCTGAACAACGCAAGACTCAATGTCTGGAGAGAACAGCCAGAGATCCGCATGAAGCTCGCGAGCAACTCCAAATACTCTTCTGGGCTGGGTCCATCTATTTCGAGAGACTGTAAAGATGGGAAGGAGACGATGGGGAGCAAGACAGCCGGACAATCGAGCCGCAGCACGCGAAGTTTGTTATGTACGACTCTCGGACCCAAGACACTGTTCCTATCCCACCAGATAGCGAGAAAACCAAGTTGGTAGTTTAGGCATTCGAGCTTTGTGCACAGCGTGATCACCGACACGACAGTGTTGAAGCGGTCTTGTATGGCGATACTCGTCAGCTGGGACCATGGAAAAGAGAATGGCGAGGACTGTGGAGGTGGAGGCTGGTATGTGACATCGCATAGCCGGGGTGCGTCCTGAAAGAGATCGACGAATCCCGTACTCTGTCGCCCAAGCACCAGACGCTGCAAGGTTAGCAGACAGCCTTTTGCGGGGAAGAAGTGAGCAACGAGATCCTCTGGGACACACGTCAGAGTAATGTGGGACCAACGAGATGCGTGGCGTACAAGGGCTTGGATAAACAGGTGGTTGTGGGGGTACCTGCGCGAGTGTGGTGAGTAGTGGAATGTCAGTGCTCTGTGGCGTGAGCGTGATAGGGCCAGATTCAGTAGGAAGACGAGGTAGTCGGGATGCATCGATCCGCGACGGGGGTATTTTGTGAGTGTGAAGGTCGACCAGAGAGCCGTGAATGATAACGCTGCGGCTCGCCAGCGACGGCAGATTTGTCCTAGCACCCACGGTGCACCCTTGACATCAAAAACGTGGTACACCTTGGTGGGCATGGCCCATGCGAAGATAAGTGTCAAGATCTCTGGAGGGACACGGCGGATAGATGAAAGGATTGCTCGAGGGGCGGCAATGGTACGAGCGATGCAAGAACGCTTTTCCTTGGCCAGTTTCATCGCTTTTTGTAGGGATAAGATTTCCTCGTCCGCTTCCTGTAATTCAGACTGAGCGTCGTGAATGAAAGATTCGATGTTATTGGCTTCTATCTCGGAAGGAGGATTGTTACTGGAAAGAAGATGGGGACAAGTCCGGTTGAGGTATCTGTGTACCTCGTTGGTATACTCAAGCTCTGCATCGTCGGCACCAACACGATGCATAACATGCGAGTACTCGGAAGACCTTGATTCCTTGCATCGACGGGACTTTTTAACACTGAGACACGGAGGTTTCAAACAGACTCACCTTTCAAAGCTGGAAACGATCACCTATGTGATGGGAGCAGAACTCTACTGTTTGCCGGCACATAGAACCCAATCAATTATACAGGTGCCGTATAAAATCACGTAAAATCTGCTTGCAGATGATCTCAAACTTAAAAAGTACAATAACATATTACAAAGAAGAAAACCATAGTTATCATCATAGGCTACTTCGGTCGAGTGACACTGATCTGAAACAATTATACAGCAAGATACAAGTTGTCCATCCGGGAGAGAGGGGTGGGGAGGTGGGGGGGAGAAATAATGATAATGGTTTCCAAATTTCAAACTTACAACCCCAACATTGAGCCTGGCGTCAGAGGCTGAATCTTGTTCACCCTTTCTGGTGGCCGTTGACCATCCAGAGGCGAACATTTTGAGATGGAAGACCTCGAGGAGCTGATATGCAGCAACAAGGACGCGGCAGATTCCTCGTCCGGTGTCCTCGCTTCCATCGCTACAGGCCCAAGAGTTAAAGCAGGAGGAGCTTGAAATGAATGTGCAACGGGGGTGAAGCGGGTCGAGGAAGGCGGGGAAGGTAACTGAGTGACTCCGTTGAATGGGGAGGTTTGGTTCTGACGCTCTGACGGCGACAGCAAAGTTGGATCGATGTCAATGCTTGGGAGCCACGACGATATCGATGGAAGGCGCCCAGAGTCGCCTTCGAGATTCGGCCTTTTCCTTGCAGCCATCTCTCGTTCATGCTCTTGCTGCCCATCTCCCCGCTTGCGCTTCTTCTGCAGGCCGTCGACTTCCATTTCCTTCACCTTCTCAAGCAGATGCTGCATGTACGCCACAGTCCTAACCAGGATTTCCAGCTTGAACTCTTTCTCCTTCTCCGCCTTCTTGCCCGTGGCCGGTTTCTTCTTCGTTCCGTACTCTCCGTCGTCGACATCGTCATCGTCATCGTCCTCTTCCCCCGTAGCCTGCTCCGAGGGCTGACCAAAGTTGTCGGGGACAAGATGTCTCAGCGTGGCCAACGCTTCGTTGATCTTTGTCCGTCGGGCTTTCTCGATGATGGAATGGTTCAGCTTTCGCTGGGCTTCGCGTGCGCTGCGGGACATCGTGCCGGGCTTCCGACCCCGCTTGGCAGGTGCTGATACCGGAGACGGCGACACTGGTATCTGGTCTCCATCTTCGACAGGAGGGCTGGGTATGCTTGGTTGTTTGGGAAGGAGCGTAGGATGTGGGATAGGTGCAGAGACGATGGGAGCAGCCTGTTTCACCCGACGAGCAGGATTGCAGCTGGCAGCATAGGTATCTTTGGTATACGGCATGATGGGAGCAGAGTGGCAGTGGGTTATCGAGACTTGTTGCTATTAGAAGTTTGGCTGAGACTGAAAGGGGTCATTCGCTCGTGTGCACAGGAACGTGCTCGCGCACACGACCATAATTGGCGTGATCTGATTGGCTGTCATTAGCACACGTTCGATAACGACGGTCAGCTTTTGTTGTTGCACCGGAGGCGTTATCTACGAACTCTGAGCTATTCTGAGAAAAGAAGATACCGAGGAAAGAGAGCATACATGAATGGTTTACGGCTTCCATCTACACTGTACAGCTAGATCAATACCGTTGCTTGATGGAACATATCACAATCAATCGTCAACAGTATTCCATTACAAGTTCATAACGAAACAGGCGAACCTCTGACCCAAGAATATTTCTGCGCACATACCAATTAACAGACGATAATGTGTCCCACGCCTTACTCCGAGCCTTCGTTACTTGTACGAGAAGTCCGTTGCCAATTTAACACCACGACCATTGATAATGACGTGTAATGACGTGCCTATGCAAGGAGTGAGAGTGACCATTGACTTCATATAGGTACCGTGTCCTTTGAGATGGAGACTGTCTCCATTGTACCATTTCATTCGGCTGGAGTTCTATGACGACACCGCACCCAGTTAAAGCAACGGAGTATGGCGTTCTGAGTTACTTGGACGCCCTTACTTGACCCCGAAAACGGGAAGAGGAGCAATCTTGACATGTAAATTTTGTCCCTATCGCTCTAAAACCCGATACGATGTCAGAGAACGTTCCATATGAGATGGGATAGGAAAGGACACGGATTCAGGACACGGACTCCCGTTTACGAAACTGCGGCACTACCGGCTGGCGATGAATGCTATTGGCCATTAACCTGGTTTAAGGCAGCTTGTGAGTTGAATCCAGGGAACACGGATGTCGCAGCGTCGGAAGGAAACGAGGGGTATACATTGTCTGGACGTATCCGATTGGTTGGAACCATCACACGTTCTGCGCAGATATTCTCAATTCGTTACATCCTAGACAATTTACAAGTATACGGCTGAAAAGTAAAGAATAACGTACGCAGACATGACTACGGATTCCACGACGCTAGAATATCTGTAGTTCTGAATGGACCACGGTTACTGCAAGCGTGTTCCGTCGCTTTCAGATTCAAGCTGGGAGGACATGCCGTCAGGGCATTAGCAATTCGCAGTCAGGCGACCACTTATGGCCATGCGCTTTGCAAATCGAAAAACAAAATAAGTGCAATCTGATTCGCCTTTTGAGTACCTCGCTCACGGTAAAATAAAAGGAACAGACGAACCTCCGATGCCATGTATGAGCCAGCTATCATCCTCCACGTATGCCAGGAAAGAACGCGCCACGGCCCCTGCCTCTTCCTCGTCGGCCACCACCACGGCCAAGAACGATATTCGGCATGACTGAAGCCGGGAGGGAATGGTTATCATTAGCCGGGTTGCCCTTTTCCAGCTTGTTCACGATAACAGGACTCCCTTCCACCCCTTCATTCCCGTTGATATTCAGAGTTACCGCTTCAGGAGAATCCCGCTTCAAGATGCTGGGAACTTTTACAGAGGCTTCACCTCCATTCACTGGGGCACCGCGTCTTCCACCTCTCTCCTTCTTCGGGGAGACCGGCCTTCCCTTGACCTCGCGCTGCTCAGCCGGCCCTTTGCTAGTCTCAGCTTCCTTCTCTTTCTCCCCACGGCGGGTACGCCGCTCACCGGGTGCTACACCAGCCCCATTCAAAGCTGCCTCAAAGTGCCTGGACCCCAGCCCGATGATAGGCCGAGCACGACGGGTACTAGCCGCAGGAGAGGGAGGAGACTGAGCAATACTTGTCGATGGAGAGTTTTCACCAACAGAAGGAGTCACAGAGGTGTTGAGAGCTGTAGGAACCTTCGGAGGTTGCTGGACTGGTTGATTGCGCGTCGCTTTGGGAGCCTTGGGAGCCTTCGCTGATGCGTTGAAAGACGCGGCGGCACCTTTCGGTGCATTCTTCTGGTTTGCATTCGCCATGAGGGCCGGCGCTGGAGGAGGAGCCTTTGAAGCACCCTTCTTCGATGTTTCGACCGGCTTCTGGTTTGTCGGGCCACCTTTCTTCTTGGGATCATTCTTGCCGTTTACCGATTCCTTTATCTGAATGCGAGGAATGATTTCCTTCTCCTTAACCGCGCTCTTCTCTGCCTTTAATGCCTCCAGCAGAGCCGTGGTCTTGGGCTGTGGAGCTGGTTGCGTAGAGGCCACTGAACAATCATGAACAACCGCGAATCTGTGAAGTATCCATGACTCACAAAGTGCCTCAACGGAAACAGGTTCAGCATTGTTAGCTGCATTCAAGGACTCTATAAAGGATATATAATCTTCATCTATTGTGGAATTATCGCATTGAGTCCGAAGACGGATACAGAATTCTGTTGCTTGACATACCTTTCTCAATAGTACCGATCCTCGCATCCGGTTTCTTCTTCTCCGTAGGTACCTTCTGGTATGGTGCAAATTCCACCACAGCTTGAGACTCGATCCCTGTGGCCGCATACAGTCAACACCTCTGGTGGTCCCAATAGCCTTCACCAACCAGCTTTGTCTTTGAATACATGGCCATCAAATTCCTGGCCAAATTCCGACACTTGTTCTTCAGTCTTGAAGGCAATATAAGCGCGAGATGGGACATTCTCCTTATTCAGACTGTTCGAAGTATAAATGACTGATGTGGGTACAGAGGGAAACGCGCACCGTTTCCTCAACTTCCCTGGACAATAAGTCTTCCAGATCACGGTCTCGTCTGTGACCCATGTCTGCACGCTCTGCCAGAATATCTCCTCGGGTAGATTGGGAGGAAGCCTTCGGACAACGGTTTTGAGGCGTTCGGCGGGTGCAGCTTGCAATAGAGCCTTCTCCTTCTTCCCCTTTTCTTTATCGCGGTTCTTCTTGGTCTTGGAAGGGGGAGAATTAGTAGAAATTGCGCCAGACATAGACTAGGCGGATGGGTGCTGAGTTGAGAGCCGGATGACTAGCTTCGGGCCGGGGATCAGTTTATTCGGAGATTGAATACATGACATCGGCAAGAGTGGAGTTTAATTCACATTTTTTTTAAAAAAAATTCAGTCTGTGTCCTGTCCACCACGTCGTCGTTTGTTCTTCCCTTTGGTGAGTATTTCAGTCCTCTTTTACGCTGTTGTCCCAGCCCTTCTTCATATGATGAACACATATCACATTATCAAGCTCAACAGTCATACGGATCTTGTATCCCAGTGGTGACTACTACTTCTGCAATGCTGACTTCTTTTTCTCTGGTTCAATGTCCACAGCATAATACTAATATCTCCTTTCACAGACCAAGCCTACCATCACTGCTATGGATTGCTCTCCACCGTGTTGTTAAATATATGTCGCAAATCAAACAACGTTATATGACTACGTCGGCCTCTTACCCCATGTCAACCTTCAATGATAAAAATAAATGTTGACCACTTCCTTTGTACGAGCTCCATTTAAGCATCCAACCGGAAAAAGCATGTTTTTGTTATCCCCGAGTCTCCGTTCAGGGAGGCCCAGTGCCACCTAACAGCATCCCTGGAATGAATTGCCTTCTCCCGGGTTTAAATAAGGATATCAGAAGGCCGGCTGTTTCCCGACAACAGTTTGATTCAACTGAATGAAATACTTACCTAACTTTGCCTCGAACCCATCAGCCCGTCACCTTGCATATTTTACTCACACGAACCATTACTGAGCGCTACTTCCAGACTGGTTCGGCTCTGGGTTGTAAATAAGATGGCCACGCGCATGCATATGTAGTTACCAAGCAATCATGGTCTTCGACGCACTAAGTATCGGTATATTGCTGATCACTGTTCTCAGTGCTCTATGGTTTTTCAACAAACGATCAAAACTTCCACTACCGCCTGGACCACCTCGTCACTGGCTTTTTGGGAGTGAAGTCTCCACTGGGACGTACGTCCAACTCCTTCGCCTTGCAGCTCGCCCAACTTTGAGACTCATATACATATATCATGTAGTCCGTACCTTCGCTATGAAGAACTCACTCAAAAGTATGGCCCCATATTCTCAATGAGGCGGGGAATGACAGATATCATAGTCATTGGACGGTATGAGGTATGTGTATCACTAACACTCATCGATCTTGAGTGTCGTTCATCCGAGCTTCCAGCCAGCCCTCGACATCATGGAAAAGGAAAATTCCATTCTGCAAGACCGTCCGAGGTCTATCGCTGTCCAAGAAACATTATGCAGAAACATGCGTATGCTGATGATGCGTGCCGGAGAGCGCTACAAACGTTTCCGCAGGTACGGTGCCTTTAAGCAACCACTTCTTCTTGACCCTCAACCAATATTGTTTCTTCGAAGAGCTGTACAATCTCAGCTGCATCCTCGAGTTATACAGACTTATCAGCCACTTCAAGTCAAGAATGCTGTAAATCTGGTAATGGATCTACTGGACGATCCTTCACAGCATATTGAGCACGCAAAGCGGTAAGCTTAATACGTCTCGCGAAATTTTTATGTCTTATTGCCTGCCCATAAGGTATGCAGCGTCTGTGATCATCACCCTTACATACGGCAAACCCTCCACGACGACATACTCTGACCCTTTGGTCCAAAAAATTATGATGTTTATGCGTCGGTTCGGCACCGTTGCGAGGCAAGGCGCGTACTGGGTTGACACAGTGCCGATGCTTCGATACGTTCCCGGATACCTCTCTGATCTGCATAAATGGCACAAGGAGGAACTAGCCTTCTCTCGTTCTTCCGTCGACACCGTCAAAGAGAAACTCGTTGGTCCGATTTTTCTCCGCTCCTTATTCGGTCTGATCTGTGTGTCCCGTAGAGGCGTAACGAGGAAATTTTCAAGCCCAACTTTGTTCAAAATCTTCTGGACAAAAATGCAGAGTATCAGATGAATGAGGACGAGATTGCCTTTCTATCCGGAGGGTTATTTCTTGCAGGGGCTGACACCGTGAGGCCGGCACTTGGAGGAGAGTCCACATTGCTGACGCTTGTACATCCAGACCGCATCCGCGATAAGCATAATGATGATGGCTGCCGCGTGTTTTCCCGAGGCACAACGCAAAGTTCAAGCGCAGTTAGATACTGTTGTGGGTTTGCATCGCGGTACGTTCCATTTGACCACCCCCAGCCACCAGCTTCTCAGGCCATGTGCGACAGCGCCAACATATGCAGACGAGTCAGATTTGCCATTCATTACCGCATTCATTTATGAGTGTTATCGATGGTGCGCCTCTTCCCTGTTCCGTATTTCTCACTCTAAGCACCAATCAAGGCGTCCAGTGACTGCTGCAGGTGGGAAGCACTTCTGAGAGAAGCTAAATCGGTGTACCGACGATATGGACAGGATTTCCTCATAGAGCAACGAAGGATATCATATGGCGAGGGTATCGAATTCCTGCTGGAGCAACTGTGATCGGGAGTCACTGGTATCTCTTTAACTCCCCTGTCCCAACATGCTCTGATAGTGCATGTTACCTAGGTCAATCGGTCGCTCTCCAGAAGTTTTCCCTGACCCGGAAAATTTCAACCTGGACAGGTGGCTGGATTCTAACGGTGCCATACGAGATGACCTCAAGTCGCTCAACTTTGGTTTCGGGAGAAGGTAGGCGATATTTGGTTGTTCCGAGTTGTATTCACAGCGTCGTCCAGAGTTTGCCCTGGTCAGCATCTAGCAAACAAGTACGTTATTTCAGAGGCCCTTAGAGACGAACCTGACATACTGAGGTAGATCTCTGTTCATTACCACGGCTTTTGTTCTCTGGGCATTCCGTCTGAGGCAAATGGACGAGTCTCCCATTGATACTCTTGCATTCACTCCCACAGTCAACCTCCATCCTTTGCCTTTCAATGTCCAATTCGAGGCACGGATGCCGGTAGATGAATTGAAGCAGATTCTGAATGACTCGATGTAATATTGCACATGCCTCGACCTGAATTGCGAGGATAGATACTCGTATATAGCCCTTTCTATTCTCATCGCATATCGTCATCATCTTCTGTCTTCAAACGGTTGATGAAAGCGCCATCTATTGGACCTGTGGCAAGTGAGAACAATAAGGAACGAACAGTTAAAAAACTTACGGCCCACATTCGATGTCAATTGTTTCCCCCGATAAGCTGAGACCACTGGGCTTGGGGTAGGCGGTAAGGAACCAGTCGAAGCGAACGTGCTGGTCGACGATCCGGGGAGGGTGTACCTCAGTGGAGATGCAGTAGGATGCGGTACAGATGATGAGGGTACAAATGATGAATCAGAGATTTTCTACCAGATTCATCAGCGTCATGGGTAATCCTACGGGATGTATGACTAACTTTGGGCGTTACTAGCTGGGAGAGCCTCCGAGGAGGCGTTGGAGATACTTGGATGGCCTTTCGCTTCGATTTTGCTGACGAAGGAGGTGGAGGCATTGGACGCGGATATTTTATGGCATAGAGGGATTGTAGTATGTTATACACGAGGACACTGCTCAGCGCCACCTCTTTTTCAACGGTTAGCGAAGACCAGAAGGATTTAAGAAAACATACCTAGAAGACACAGGTAGCCATATATTCCATCATACGCATCTGAGTTTGAGGATACTGCACGAATGGCGCGAGGGAGTGATGGTAGCGGAAGAAGATGCGTAGCGACGGCCAGAAGAACGAGGAAGAAAGTGTTGGTTCGTATTCTAGCGATAGCTTCCGCACGGTGAGGCTTGATATAGCTGGATATCAATGAAATATTCGTGTGTAGCATGTTCGTGGTAGTGATATGGGATGGAACGCGTCGAAGCTAGATGCGACAAGAAAATGAAGGGAGTGGTTGGAGAACAAAGAGCGTGGGAGAATTTCCCGGCGCGGGATTTGGCTTATACGACAGCTTGTTACCAGGACCTCTACAAATACTACGTTGGAAGCAACCGACCTCCAGAGTCCCTGGTATTTGGAACTTCCTGTCTGAAGAGCCTCTGTGCCGCACAAAATAAAAGCAAGACAAAGCACCCGCCGGCTCGTTGAGGCTGTGTCCCTATTTCAATTTGTCTTAAATAGTGGACCAAAAATTAAACACGAGCTATTCGCGACGTTTACACCTTACCACCATGACGGCACTCACCCAAAACCTTCCGCCCGTCGTACGCAACTTGGGAATTTCGATTATCGGGCAGGTAATGCCCTTTTCTGTCCTTTCGATGGGGTCTAACAAGAAATGATAGGAATGCTACACGTCACTTGTAGAGAATTTGGACTTCAGCAACGTCGAATGCATCAAATATTCCCTCTCCAAGGGCGTTGGCCTCGGCATCGTTGTTGGAGGATCCATTGTGAAAGTACCTCAGATCATTTTGGGTGTGTTCTCTTTCGCTTTTTGCATGTGGCGCGAAAGTAACCATGGCGCGCGCAGTCTTGAAGTCTCATTCTGCTGAGGGCTTGTCCCTTGGGTCGTACATCCTTGAGACCCTGTCGTACTGTATAAATCTTCTATACTCATTCAAGAACGGTTTCCCTTTCTCGACATATGGCGAAAATTTCTTCCTGACCTTTCAAAACGCCCTCATTACCCAACTCATCGTGTTCTTCTCTCCCAACGCACAAGAAAAGATAATACTTGTCGCGGGGGGGTTGGCTGTGTTTGTTTCCACGCTTTCTTCTCTTTCTACTGAGATCCTCTCCTACCTCCAAATTGCCACACTCCCGCTGTCGTTGTTCGCAAAAATCCCCCAAATTACGCAGAATTACCGATCGAAGAGTACGGGTCAGCTCAGCGCATTCGCAGTGATAGCCCAGATCCTGGGATGTGTGGCTAGACTCTTTACAACAATGCAAGAGGTCGGCGACCCCGTTGTCCTGACTGGCTTTGCATTGGCCCTCATGTTAAATGGCGTGCTGGGCGCCCAATTGTGGATGTACTGGGGTGCACAACCGAAGAAAGTTGAGGAGAAAGCTCCTGAGGCGGCGAAGGGGGAGGTCATGACGGAGGTGAACGGAAAAGTACAAGCTTATGATCAGCCTCCTCGTCCGCAGACACCACCCCGTCCTCATGCACCATCTTTCAGGACCGGGACGCCCCCACCATCAGGCGGTAGGAAATGGTCACGGAAATTGGATTAGTTCGTTGCATCTTATAATATTTATATCCAAATAGTAGTTGCTCCTCATATTTCATATTTATATGGAAAGGATGTCCGCGGCGTCAGTCAAAGCGGGCGGACTCTTGAAAGACCTCGCAAGAAATGTGGTTTCAAGGTTTTCGCACCATCGTAATGAGGATGGAATGCTACCGGTCACGATCTCAGGGATAATCGCATTCGCGATAATCAGGTTCACCGGCCCGGAACCTCTCTTCCTGTTTGTAACCTCGTCCCCCGAGTATCATGGCGACAAGGTCAATCTTGGTTCTTCACGGGTATGCACCTCGTAGAACTTTTGCAATGTCCGAATCAGGCTAAAGTTTTCAAGGATAGGTATGCGCAAAATGCATCAATCTTCAGCAAGCGTGTCCGTGATATCGAACTCGTATCTTCAGTGACTCATTATCGCAATGTAGCTAGGAGCTCTTCGCAAGCAATGTGGGAAGGATATTGACTTGGGTGCGTTACTTTCAATTTTACTACACTACGCTCTTATCTCACCATAGTCGTCCAGTCTTCGTCGACGGACCACACATTCTCCAACCTGTGGATCTACAATTCAACACGGCTTCCGTAGTACAATCAACGGAAAGTACACTTTCTGCGTTCGGCGCATCGGAAGCCAACAACTCCGAGGATCCATCTCTCACCCTTCGAGGGTGGTACAAAGCGAATCATGACAGAACAAAAGCTATCGGGCTCGAGGATTCGCTAGTGGTTCTCAGAGATATCCTCAAGGAGAGAAAGTTTGATGTGCGTAGTCTTTCTTCCTTATTTCTTTACATCACTGACACTCAAGTAGGGTGTTTTGGGATTCAGGCATGTCGTCTTTACATAATTGAAGGCTTGAAGTGACAATTGCCACTAGCCAAGGAGCAGCGCTAGCCGCCTTCCTGTCAGCTCTTGTACGCTTCAAATCTAGATATTCATTTTTTCCATCTGACGTTTCAGCAGCTAGAGAAACCTGAAGCTTATCCTCGATTTCTCATTGACGGAGAAGCCCCACATCCTCCGCTGTCAGTTACTCCTTCTCAGGCTCATGCACTTTTTGATATTATTCTCCCAGCCAATTCTGTATCTCCGTGGCAGGCTTCAAGATAGCTGATCCACTTTCGGATATCGTATACAACCCAACTTATGCCACTCCAACGCTGCACGTCCTTGGCAGGACGGACATTATAGTCACCGAGGAACGGGCGAATGGACTGTTGAAAGTTTCGGCGAATAAACGAATCGAAGGTCATGATGGCGGTGAGCTTAATACTGTTTCAAGTTCTTCCTTTGAACGTAATTTGAACAATCGAATGCACAGGGCATTTTGTACCCTCAAAAACTAGCTGGCGCAAATTTCTCGTCGCTTATTTACGCGACCCTCTGGGCAATGTACCTTCACCCAGTAACATTTCCTCAACCCCGAATTCCGGGACCGCAACTCCCGCTGCTACGGACTGAGAATAATATGTGATTGCAAAGATACAAATGTTGTGCTAATACATATCCAATAACATAGATCCTACAAAACGATTCTGTTGACTACAAATTGAGTACAAATGAACTAACTGTGGGTATATAAGGCATGTCCTATGAAACAAACGATGGTCGCAACGAAAACTTCCTGAGCCTTCTCCAGACTTTACCGACCATGCTCGGTTTTGACTCCTGGTCATTCATGCTCGAAGGAGTACCCGGTGGATCCACCACCACCGTCTTCCTACATTCCACGGCCTTTAACAAAGATATCGCAATTTTCTCGTCCAATGTCCATTCCCGATGACGTCGAGCCACCACATGCCGTTTCCCCCGTCGCCCCTCGAGTTTCCCGTCCGACTTTCCCTCTCGTCGTAAAGGCGATGCCACGTGCACGTTGAAATTAGATGAAGGACTGAAAATCACGTTTCCAATGTCCAGCCCCGAGTCCACTGTCGAAGAACATGAAGGCGAGAATGTGTCAGAGAACTCGTCGCCGACGTCTGTACAAAGCTGATAAATTGATGCGGAGGAAGGGAGGGGTTGAATCAAACTATGATTATCGTCATTCTGCAGTGGAAAGTCGGAAGGAAGTCGTCCAAGATAGGAAGGATCGTCTCTGTGGTACAACGAAAGTCCCACACCAGAATCCGCAGAGCCCACCGAAGGACACGGCAAAGGCGGGTGCTTCATTGCCGCTATCTCATCCCAAAGATCGCAGATAGGGTCAAAAACAGGCTGATCCACAATATCCTGATCGTTTATCCGGTGTAGTGGGTCCTGGACGAGCAGCTGTAATGGCAATCTAAATGTTAGCACAAGATGTTTATGAAGAAACGGCATATAACGAACATCTCGGATGAACTCTTCGAATCTCCTATCCCACCACTCCTCAGACGACGAGATCTCCTCCATCTGACCGAACGCATGACTAAAATCTCCCACCGTCCGGCAGTCCCCCGTGCGAAAGGGTACGGACCCCATCGCGAGCTCATACAGCATCACGCCAAGACTCCACCAGTCCACACCTCCGTCGAACACCACCAGTCCTTCTGCATTACGATACTTCAGTTCAGGAGCCGCGTACAGCGGGGTGAATGTTACGACGTCTGTGGGCTGGAGCGTTACCCCGTTCCCACATCTGTTCATGTAAGAAGAAGCACCAAAATCGCCAACGATAACGTGTCCTGCAGCCGAGACCATCACGTTTGCGGGCTTCAAGTCTTGGTGGATAATTCCATTCTGGTGGAGGAAGAGAACCGCGAGAACTAGCTCGGCGGAGAGAAGGCGCAAGGAATGCAGTGCGGCATGCACCTGCCGACGGCTAGGCGCTATTGGAAAGGTGCATGGAAGAGAGATGGAAGCGGAAACGCCGGATACTCGACCTAGACGCAGACGAGACGAGATTTCGAGGTCGGAGAGTGGAGTAGGATGGTATTCCTATGTGTACAGATGTGAGTAATAAGACGCAGAGGGGATGTAGCGGCGCACGAAAACGATGAACACGAAGCGCTCATTTTCGAAAGACTCCACCATATTTTGAAGGAAAACTGCACCGCTAGTGGACATAGGCTGCTCGGCTATCAACTGGAGCGTTCGAAGCTCTCGCCGAACTTCTTCCATCCCGTATCGATGCATACCGCTTTTTTGGAGGACCTTGATGGCGCGCAGGCCAGAACCGTCGGGACGCGTACCTAGTAGGACCTTTCCGTACGTCCCTCGACCGAGCGTTCCAATTATGTCAAACGCTAAGATAGATGGAGGGAGGTTCGACAAGTCATTCTGTGTAGTCGAGTCTTGGAGAAAAGAGTCGTCCAGGATTTTCGCTGAGCCCGGACTCGACTCTAATGAGGGCGGAGATGGGGGCGTATAGAATACATCAGTGATAATACACGGCTTTTGGGCACTCGTCTTCATGGAAGTCAAAGAGAGAAATCGTCCGTGGCCGACATTGATATTGAGAGGGGTCTGTGGCCCAGCCGCAGACAGAGAAGAGCATGATGTGGTGTCGCGAATACGGACTCGGAAGACGTTTTGCTTGTTCGCTTGGACATGACAGATTGAATGAGAGGTATCGCTTTGCGAGTAGGACATATCGCCAAAAGCCAAAAGAGTGACCAGGTTAAAACAAATAATGAGGACTGCGGGTCTCGAAAGAAGTCGTCCAGTCAGAAAATAAATAAGCCTAGATATAGGTTATCGCGCCTTCAGTTCAAGTTTAACTTTCGAAGTCGTATCGGCGATAGAAGAAATGGTCGTCTAGGTGTCGTGCGCCACGTCCAGCTGCTTCCTCGAGAAGTATGTGCTGGAAGGACGTGGAAGTTCCTGTTAAAGATATCAGGCCGACATCTCGGAAGTCGGATAGTCGGGCCGAGAGAACTCCATTGTCGAGGTTATATAGCGGAGCACCGTTGCAAGCTAGCAAAGAGATAGCTGTATATAGGAATTCAAATACGGCCAAACACTTCACCTATGGCAACCCGTACCAACCAAACCCGATGTGGTCCGTGCTGCATTTACGCAATGTGAGGGTGTTCAAAAGCAAATGCCATTTCAGGCCATACCATTGTCGACTCGCATGCCGTAGTCAGATTCAGGTCGTGAAAACGTTATTACATATATTCAAGACGGAATCAAGCATAGATAGTCGTTATTACTGCACCAATAATCGCACCAGCCAATGGGAGCAATCCTCGCTGAGCATTCAGCCGCTTCCATCGTGTCACCAACTCTTCAGTCTTTTCCGTCCTCAGCTGCTCAGCTTCTTCAGCACCTTCGAGCCCTATGTCATCCACCACCCCTGCTTTATCGTGCAGTTTGTCGTTAGTCTTCTTCATCAGTCCAAGGGTAAATGGCACAATGCCAAACGTAAGCATGCCAGCAGTAGCATACCACCCACATCCAGGGAAAGGATGCATCTGGTACGCAGCATACGTGTACGCTGTCGCAGCGGTCGTTGCAATGGGCGGAATGAGAGATTTGCCCAGTTCATAAAGACGTCGCCATTGGACGGCGATGTAAGAATATTGGACTTTGGAATCTGGGAGAGGCGCAACCAGCGCAGGGACGGAGACGAAAGATATAGAGAGAATAGCGCCTGAACCGCAGTCAGCGTGCTATTTCCAACAATAATCGTAAAACGTACCAGACACGAATGCAGAGCCTGCAATTCCAATCACTTGCGCTGCACGTACGCTGGTGGAATCAGTCATGGTGGTCTGAAGGCAAGTCGTATATTCCAGGCCGAGACAAGTGCAGGTGCCATTTTATTGAAAGATACCTATTGCGTCACGTCATACGTAGTGGGTCGGCAGAAACGATAATTCTGATGCATCATGCTGAGGCGGAGGCCCTTACTCAAGTCAGTCAGAAGAAATATAAGTACTGAAGCTGGTGAAGGTCTGGTACAAAAGAGGGGAGAGAAGCATCATCCATGTCGTGACAAACAATGACCAATACCCCTTCGACCACTTCGACCTTGACGACGATGGCGATGAAGCCGGCACCAGACTCTCCGCGCTCTTCTCAATCACCACCACCCTCAGGCCCTCAAGGCGACCTAGAGCTTGAATTGCTAGGTCTCGCCAATGCTCTGTACAACCTAGGGACGACCGTCATCAACGACTCGACCAAGGAGCGTGACAAGCCCGGCTCAGGCGGTGGCAAGCCCGTGGGGATGAGAGTGTACGTCTTCAACGTGCATTCAGAGTTCTATAATGTCCGACGGTGATGCAACAGTAACGAGGTCATCAACCATCTTGCCACCATCGACGACATGGCCATGCAGATTCCAACCAGAATTCCCGTGCAGGTTCTCGCGGACATTGACAACGCACGGAACCCGATGCAGCTCACGAAAGAAAGGCTTGAACGTACGGCGACCGAGAATCAGTTCATGAATGGAAAGATTGCTGCTGTCGATGTGCGTGCTTACTGGTCTCTCTTGTTGAAATGTGTTTAAAAGCTCCTGCAGTCATATCGCAAATACCTCAACGAGGCTCTTATACAAAGTTTCCCAGACTTAGAGGAGTATCTACAGCCTCCTACCAAGACAGAGGGACCGAACGGAATTCTGCCTCCAAATGGATACTAAGAGGTATTTTACTCGAAGCCCTAAAACGCTCTCATTCTTTAACCACTTCAAAGAGCACGATTATATATGATACAAGGAGCGCTTCAACTCACAATCCTTCTTTTCAAGCCGGCCCTACGATGTCGTGTTACCATCTCATTCCGAGGCTAGGAATCAGAATCCCTCGAGGACAGGATTCCGTAGGGTCTGGACACTGGTGCTATTGGTAGTTTGCCAGGAGATCGAGAAGACTCGAGTGCCATCGTACACAGTCTGTCCTGTGTCTACTTGCCTACAGAAGGAACACGCTGTCATCTGCTGGAACCTTGTGTTCCCGTTCACTTATCTTCAGAATGCCACCATTCGAACGTCGTCAGGCAACACTTACAAACACCTTAGTTTGGACGATGTTTTGAACACTGACCACCATTCTAACCTTGCTAATTGGTTTGGTTTGGATATTGCACACTCGTGTCGGAGACTACACAAGGTCCATACTACGTCGACGGTGAGTATGTCCGAGCGGATATTACGGAGGATCAGTTATACCTACGTTGACCTCGAATTTACCGAGTAATCAACTTGCGAACCCGTAGGAGCTGACGTTTATGATATTTGGGCTTCTGTCACTGTGACGCCACCGGCATTTATTCTAGTATTGTCGCGTAACGGTGATCAGATTGACGAGACCATGTTGGTACGTTCTTCATCATGGTCGCGGTGTCTTATCTGGTCTGTCTCTCTCTAGGACAAAACCTTTCTCCGTGGTATCCAACGGACTAATGAAGAAGGCTACGTGATGTTTGAGACCATCTTTCGTGGTCTCATCCTTGTATGTCTTGCCGAGCATTGAAACCTCTATCAACGACAAACCACTACACCAGTTGCACCAATCACATCCATGTCATCGCGCACGGCGATGGAAGTGTCTCAGAAAACGGCACTTTCAAAGCTTCCAGCGATCGTCACGTTGATAGGCTATATCGCTACAGCCCACCGTTTATATTTTCTAATCTGGCTAGCTCTTCTTTGATCAATCCTTAATCTCTATCGTCGACGCAACATCCCCTTACATCACCAACAGCAGCTGAAGATAACTCAATCTTGGCAGGAGTTGTGGAGAACGTGAACTATGGGGTTGACCTGGTCCTTGGATATGTATGCCTAGGTGACGATGTTGCTGACTGTCTGATCGCGTGAGCATCTCTTCTTGTCATGCTATGCTTATTACTCTGAACCTCTTTCATAGTGGGGATTCCATGGGAATTGACCTGTCTGCTAGCTATTCGGTTTCCTCTGCCGTCACTGTTACGAAGACGTCGGTGTTCCTAACGAGAACTCGGGCTCTGGAGAAGGAGGACCCCCTTCACGCTGGTTCCCGAGACTTACCATCCATCCTCTACCATAGCAGAATCCACCTCTACGTCTTCCACGGTGGTGTCCTTCACGACTATCATGACCTTGCCCACCTCTACTACCATCTCCACGTCAAGCCATGGTGGTGTGGTGCTGGGCCGACGTCAACGATACCGGTGGTTCCCACGCCTCCACCTGGACATGGTGTTGGCTTTGAAAGAGGGGTCAACGTCGCCGGCTTGAGGGGAGAAACAATGATGGAATCGGAGGCGACATCATATGGAAGCCCTTGGGAAGGGGAAGGCTGGACGCATACACATGCAGTGCCCGGGATAACCTCGTCGACCTTTGGGCATCACGGATCTTCGTCGACAACAAAGACGACGCTTAGCTCGACCATTTCAGTTCTTTCCACTGCAGTCCCTGTCACCACCGCTTCGCTGTTGACATCCTCCGTATCGGATTCAGTGACGACTACCGTTCCGTCTTCGAGTCCACTACTAACGTACCGCACGGACCTATAGTATGCCTTGGGCAAGTATGACGTTGCTATGCACCGTTCTGGCTTCGATTAGATAGATAAGGGCAAGCATTTATCTTTTTTGTGCGTAGTTCAGTTAATAATAGATACAGCATATGATGGTTTACACCGGGGTTCGGTTGGTAAGGTCAAGAACCATAACCAATATCAGGACAACACAAAAGGATATATAATGTACGGAAGTCTCAACCTTTCGGAACACCAGATTTGACTGCGACTGAATAACGGTTGAAAGAGCACCTTTACAATCCCACTTTGATCTCATCTGCCAAGTTATGCGTGGCCGTAAAACACGCACCCGGTCCAGCGACAGTCAATAAATCAGATCAACATACCGTACGTTCTGAAATGATCCATCAGACTATGATAGACTCGTAATCTCGTATTTATAACTCTCGCCTTCTTCCTGTAGCCAGAAGTGGGTTGATAGAATGTCTCTATCCGTGATTGAGAACTCTGGCTTCTTCTTTCATTCGTCGGATTTGAGATACATCTTATGGTCCGGTTCTACACGCTCCGACTTGAAGGCACGATCAACACGGGAAGCAAGAGGTTCATTCTGAGATCTCCAATACTTTTTCAGTTAAAATTCAGATCTTTCATGATACATCAGAATATTCTTGCGTCATTGTTTCTCTGTGAGCCACAAGGTATGAGGTATGACACAGTCATGCGTTCGTCGGTAACAAGACTGTCGGGACATCCCAAATACAGGTCAGTAAGTGCCTGCAAGCTATCAAGGGGAGCTACTTTTGAGACTCGGTATAGTGACGCACATTAATCGGGACGGACTCAAGGGAGGTAAAATGTCTTCATAATCCGCTTACTTATCTTACCTACTGAAGAACTAATGTAAAAGTCACCGTTAATTTGTATGTACGGGCGTCGAATACGCCAATTTTGAGAACGGCTTTCGTAGAGAAGGGTGCGGTCTGACCCCGGTCCGTCATTTGGCTGACAAATTTATGCTCATGTGATCTGGCCAGTTCGACGACGTAGCACTGCCACTTGCGCAACAGCTTTTGACTCGCTTGACACTTATGCCCCCTTCACGAAGATCCAAGGCAAACAAGAGGGATCCCAAAAAATCTGTTTCTGCTGTTGACGAACCTTCTGAAGATCAAGTGGAGGAGCCGAAAGTCGTAGAACTTGAAACTTCCACTGCAGAGGACAACACAACTGCTGAGGAACCTTTGCAAGATGTGACGATGGATGAGGCCCCACCACCAGAAGAACGGACTCCAGAATCCGAAGAGAAAGGTCCAAAAATGACAATGGACGAACGAAAGGCTAAGATGGAGCAGCTTCGAAAGAAATTGGTGCGTTTCTGTTCTCATAGTCTGTATGCCAACATTATTTATACCGTCTTAGGCTGCGTCATCGAAGGCGAATCGTGCATCTCTTATAGAAGAAAGCACCAAACTGAAAGTGACAGCGCGTGACGCTGCCAGATTAGAGCGGCAGCGAAAGCTGGCTGAAACGCTACGGACTAAAGCAGAGGCTGAGGAACGTGGGGAAGACGTAGAGCGCGAGAAGAACTGGGAATGGACGATAGAGGAGAATGATAATTGGGAGAAAAAGAAAGCGAGAAAGGCAAGAAGAGCGGATTTCGAGTTCCACGGTGCGTCCTGTACAAACAGGGGTATTGTCATGGCTAATCCACCTGAGTGCAGATGATGCCCATGCTGCTCGACGGCGGTATAAGAAAGAGCTGGATCTCATCAAACCTGACTTGGTAGCCTATAACAAACAAAAGGAAATTGCGATGGGCTTGGCACCAGGGACTCTGACCTCCTTTGACCCCAAGAATGGTTCAATGTCAACGGCGGTAACACTCCCTGTTCCTTTCTATTTATATACGCTTATTTTTTTTTTCTCAGGTCGTTCCTACGAACCTCGAACAGCAGCTTGCTCATGAGAACCTTTACCGCGATGCAAATACCCTAATGTACGGCGATAGTAAGCCTAGCGAGGACGCCATTGATCGTGTGGTATCAAAGATTAATAAAGAGTATGTCATGTTTAGCCGTCCTATAAGCAGACTTCTCATGGGCTCGTTTCAGCATCGACAAGAAGAACAAGTTTTCGCGTAAGCGCCCGAACGAAGAAGAGGGAGATATCACCTATATCAATGAGGCCAATCGTGTATTCAACAAAAAGGTAAGGCTTTCTGTGGTAAGCACTGGGAGATAGCTGAATATCCCTCTAGATTGCCAGATACTACGACAAGTACACATCAGAGATTCGGGCGAGCTTCGAACGAGGCACAGCTCTGTAACCTGCCAATCATTCAATCCTGGGACGTTATTGTATTTTGAGTGTATTCTATTGTCATCAATTTACTCTACATCATTCAACACGGCATTTATTCTATATTGCAGAGGTGTAGGCGCTGTTACGCAAAGCGAATATCAGACATATTGAGTCAACGCGATTTTTTCAACAGGAACCATTTAGTTCTGGCTTTTAAAGGTGACTTCTTTTGATGTGCCACATCGGGAGACGTAATTCTATCTCCCCGTGCTGCCATTAATTGACGCACTATGACCCTTTCCATGCCTCACTGACAGACATGCCTATCTTATCCATCGAAGCCAACTTGCTGTTCACACGAGGGTCAGACATGTGGCGTTTGGATATATGGCGGACTTCTACTGCCACTCTCCCTTGTGTTCTGTTACAGCCATGTCCATCGTCCAGCACTCACCTGCCTCTCGGTACACACCACTCTGCATGACCAACTCCCCAGTCAAGATATACCACACCCACTCCGCTTCGACTGAGTGGAAGTACTACGGACATCGGGGCATTTTGGTGTTTGGCCGAGAAAGCTTCGCGACGAAAGACGACGAGTTCTCTTTCAAACTGTTCTTGTGCGACGAGGAGGGTGCATGGCGAACGTTGTGGATGTTCAAACTTGACGTGAAGGGGTTCGACTACAAAGTGGACAATTTACCAAGCTTCCATTGGTTCCATGGACTGGTCAGTGGAAAGTGCCGTGTGCGTTACGAGAGAACTGAAACGTCTTCTTTATGTCTAGACGCGAAAATTTGGGATCCTGTTCGAAGATGATGAGGATGCTGGCGTGTTCGCGAGAGTGATATGTGAACGGAACACAAGAGCGACTGCTTCTCCTGTCTCGTTCGAAAGTGACAGTGGTCAGTCTTCGATCAGGTTGTGGTGACAACTAACTCAACGATTGGCAGGCCGCCGACTGAAGACAAAGACTCTCGGCTCTGCGTCTGTTGTCTCTCTCCAGCTCAACATAAAACCAAATCTGATCCGCCGTTCTTCTATGGCGGCAAGCAACTTTGGGAAGAAGTCTATACCCAGAATATGGCGATCGAAACGTTCATGATTTGTTGTGTGTTGTCCCGGAGAGCCGTGAAGTTTGGACGCGACTCATATACCATTGATGTATGAAGCTCGGTGAGCTATGTATGATGTACCACTACGATGAATGCTTTACGGTAATTTAGCTATTTATTACATACCGTCAATACGCGTATGTTAGTGTTAGTGAAAGCTTACCAGTCTATCCCGTATCTCTATCTCTATTGCTCTATGTATAATTTATGGTTAAAATCTCGTCAAGTCTCGCCCGAATATCCCTGACGCGAAGGCAAACATTAATTTATGATATAAAAGAGCAGGTTAGAATACTTACAGTTCAAGAACCTGACCGAGGGCAGAGAATCGGTATTATTGCTTCACGAATATAGAAAAACGCACCAGTATGTAGGAACCAAGATTCTAATGAAGAGCACATGTTAGCTCACAAAGGCATTTTCAACAGCATATGATCTCACTTATTTCTCCAACTTAATGTTTGCGTGAAGTACGCAGAGCGCCATAGTAACCATGCTACACGACCTGATTCTTTGTTCATAAATGTGTTCTCGCCGTCACCAGCGGCTTTCGACCGGTCATAAATGGCTCGCCTATTACATGGTTGACAAAGTGCTAGAATGAAGACAAAAAGGAACTTACCATCCGCCAATATACGCAAGACTGCCTCGGTTCCTAAATTGGAAGGGTTCATCAACATGGGCGTTCTTCGATTGTTCGTCATCTTCATGTGAATGGCTGAAGTTAGCGAGTTTGTTGAGGGTCTTGGTAACATATTTAGCTTTCTGATTTGCGACTTTGGGCTAGTAAGTCTTAAGATCCATCAAAGCAGAAATGAAATATTCACCCTGAGCAGTTGCGGGCAGAGGGTCGGACTCTATTGAGGCAGCATCTCCAATGGCCCATACGTCAGGATTGGGCGTTCCATCCACGTTCAGGGCATTGAGGTATGCATCTGTGAGCACTCTAATACCAGTATTAGATTGGGATACACGTGATGTACACGTGATGAAGAGCGTACCTGCTAGTAGTGTCTCGTTTCTTCAGTTCAGTGATAGCACTGATAAGAGGATTGGGTGCAAGCCCAGTACTCCAGACAAGGAGTCCGAAAGGCACTGAACTTACATGTTAGTGTGGACATTATTTCAATCGTACTGGAAGAGAACCTTCTCCAACCTCTTTTATGAACAGTTTGCCCTGTGATATCGTTAGAATGCGGGATCAAGACTGCCAGAATCAGACACATACATTCTCAACCTTCTCAACGTGGTGCCTGAGATGAAGGTTGATACCGTCGCGCCGTAATGTGTTTTCAGTATACCTGGGGAAGGATTACCATTGTTCGTGTGAACAATACTGCGGACTTACCTCACAAGACTCCTGTCGAATGTACCCAAGATACTGTCCGCAACATCATATAGATTAATTCGAGCCATCTTTGCGAGTTCCGGGTGATGTTGGGCAATATCTGTATGTAACAGATCATGTAATTCGGCTGCGAACTCGACGCCAGTAGGTCCGCCGCCTAAGGATCAAACACCAATAAGGTGTCCGAGCGCTTGGGGATAGATATAGAGGCTTACCAACAACACAGAAATTCAGTAGCTTCCGGCGCTCTGCATCGGTCATATCCGGTTGATTCGCTTGTTCAAGACCTTAACGTAACGTGAATACTTTGAACGCGTCCAGATGATTGCAAAGACCTACATTCAAGGATCCGTGTCCTAATCTTGCGCGCGTCTTTGACATCTTTCAGGAAATGTGCGTGTTCTTTGACTCCTGGAATCCCGAACGCTAGGAAACTGTAAGCTAGGGGACCAAATTGCGATGGCGGGTTCAAACGACATACTCTGGCGATAGGCACCGACGGCTATTACCAGTTTATCATATTTGATGGAGAATGGCTGGGGTGTGGCTGGGGGCGAGGATCCAAAAGAGACCGGAGGCGTTGCCGCGACCTAAGCCGAGTGATCAGGTACGTTTGCTTTGGTTAAAAAAACATTGGACGGACACATGTGAGGGTCTTGTGCTTGAAATCTGTTGATCAGGTTAATTTTGTACCCACGGTGGTAAATCTGAAGGTTGGCATTACCGATGTTGTCGCACCAAGCTTGATAGTACGACTACCGACAAAAAATTATCAATATCACCGTCATGCATTACTGAAGAAAAAGACAGACCACTTTAGGTGTATATCTGCGAACCTGAAGCTAATGAGTGAGGAAAATACACGGCCAAATCAGAGTGAAACACGCACAGGTTCAACTGTACATCTGAATTCCAAGGTCCCTACCGCCGCGCTCGCCAGAAGAGGGGTAAAATTGAAGTACGTGTTTGGAGAAATAATGGTGACATCTACAAAGTTGAGAATATTAATATAGACAGTAATGGGACTACTCACTCCAATTCTTCTTGTCGACTCCCCTCAAGACCTCGTATCCACCCCAACCGGAACCCAGGATGACAAGACTCTGCCTACCACGCGTCGGCGGAGAGAACAGTGTACGAACCAATATCTGGGTTGGCCTATTGGCATGTTTCCTAGTCACGGAAAGCATTAGGGAGAGGAGCGGAAGGATTCGGAGTCAAACTCAGCCGTTTATATTGATCTGGAATTACGTCATTGAGCGCGCTGGCGATGCGACCGACTATCACGGGAAAAATTTAGTGTGGACCTTTTCATCCACCATGATATCTGTTCATTGGGGGAAAGACGTGAAGGAGAAAGTTAATCGCAGGTTACGTACAGATCTACCGGGGCAGCGGCCCGACTTGGATCGCTCCAGATCGCCGAGGAGAGTAATCGTTGACTTCGTTGATTCCACTCGTTCACCACGACCGAGAAAACGTTAAACAACCTTGAACTATTATTATTTGATTCTGGAAAATACATTAGATTCATAGGAGGAGTGTCTACGGAACGGTTATCAGCAAGGAAGTGCATTTGCCTCCGGCGGGGCTCCGCAAATCAACATTCTTTAGGCAAGGTGGAGCGAAATGGTGGCGGAATTTTCGTCTTGATCCTTAACCGAAGGAATATCCAAAGGCTAAGGTAACGATGGAGTATCTGCTGCGAGAGGTTCCGCTCTTTCTGTAGAAATACTGAGCAAGAGGAGGCAGGATCGAATTCGAATTCGAAATTATGCCGACCGGCTTCCGGGAAAAGATTAGCCGGTTCGGTTCTCCATGATGTACCAGCAAAATCGCGCTTATTCTGCGAATATCACGGCTCTGTCGCCACGGAACTGTTCAAAGTGGCAGCAAGCCTTGGACCACGTCGTTTTCTCGTGGAAATGACGCCTAAACGTCGGTTACACCAACTGCTAGATGGGCTAGCATCTCCACCAGGATCCGTTGGAACTCTGAAGCTTGGCGCCATCGAATACGAAGTCCCTGCATCGCTGACGCCGTCAAGATTGCCGAAGTCGAAGAGTTTACTAGATATACGTGATCCCACCAATGTCGACAACCTCCATTTCATGCTGCAAAAGTATCTGTTGGGTCAGGACGTGTTTTTGGTGTCGCAGCCCGGTCCTTATGCTAGGCGATTGGCACTAACCTTTGCAAGGCATGAGTTATCAGCTGTATCATTGCAGTTCTAATGCCTTTGGGTAGCCTTATCAATTCCGAGTACGAATATATCGCGCTGCATAGAGACGTCGGCGAGACGGAATTGAAGCAGGTGAGAGTCCTAGCCGTTGCAGGGGCTCTTCTAACGCTCTTGTCAGGGAAGAGAAATTAGAGAAGGAGGAAATTTGGTATACGTGGATAGTCCAGCTGTCAATGCAGCCAAGCATGGGAGGCTCTTGATCTTAGAAGGAATAGAAAAGGCTGAACGAGGAATCATGCCTGTGCGTCTACTTCCTCATCTTCTTTGATTACGATTGATTCTCTTTCTTAGGTTCTGAACAACCTACTGGAAAATCGTGAAATGTAGACATCATTAATCTGATATCAATTTACCCCCTGATATCTTCGCAGGAATCTCGAAGATGGTACACACATCATACACCCCCATCGCTACGCTCTCTTAGATACCACCACCAACTTCATACCGGCCCATAAAGGCTTTAGAGTTATCGCAATCGCAGCTCCCGTCCCTCCATATCCCGGCTATCCCCTTGACCCACCGTTCCGAAGTCGTTTCCAAGCACGCTTCATGGATCCTGTAAGCGCCATGATCAGTCTCAGCAGTACTGTCGAGTCCAAGACCATCCCGCTATACACGAAGATTCGCGATATTATACTGTCAACGCAATATTCTAGCGAATCGCGTCACGCCCTAGAAACCGTTTCAAAATCAGTACTACCACCTTTCCCTCAGACCGCGCTTTTGAAGCTTAGGGCACTGTTGTCTTTGTTTCCTCCTCCCGAGCAAGTCACTCCTTCACAGCTCGGACAGCTATTTTTAACGCTGCACCCTGCTCTGATTCATGCGCCGTTCCAGGCCTGGGCGCTTCTGAGCGTGCAGACTGAAGACAGTGGAATGGGGCCTCTGGGAAGTCCCTCGATGATGTCTGAAGGTCTGCTGGGTTATCGTCTTGCCTCCCTCAAAAGGACGGGCGAACATAGAGTAGATGTTACATTTGACGGTCCGCAACGCGTAGTTTGTAACGTGCCGGCGGGTCCCAAAGCTTTGTTGGAATACCCCCTAACAGAGGCACCAAATCTCCACGTCACGGAGAGGTTTATCGGGCTTTTGACGTGTTTTACGCAGGCGCATGCGCTGGGGTGGGATATATCTCTTATTCCGCCTGTTCAGCCTTCAACGGCGTCGACATCGACGTCAACGTTGGTTAACGTGTTCGGGCGGATACTTGGATACGAGATGGAGGCGGTGCACATGTACAAGGAGCTCGGAGGTCGTGAATTGGTGATGCGGAGAAAAATACAGAGTGGGGGAGCGACGAGTTGGGAGCCTAGGTAATACCCTCCGTCGTTCTGATGTACGCCCACTCAAATCATCTTGTCTAAGTCCCATCATAGAGGCGGCGTGGAAGGGGAGAATGGTCCATCTTTCTGGTCTTGATGTTCTGGGATCGACGGCAGGATCGTTGTCAAGGCTTCTTCAGGATCGAGAAATCGAACTTTGGGAGGGGAAAAGGCTCATCTCTGAAGCCTCCGAAGAAGAAGTATGGTTACCCTCTGTGTCCTTTCGCTGTCATTCACTGGCCTTGCTCTAGATCGATTCGGGAGAGCTAAAGTTGACCAAGCCATCATTCCGGGTCATAAGTACCGCATCAAAGTCCATCCCGTTGAAAGATTGGTTGACAGAAGAACACGCCAATATGTTCCTTCCCGTTCCTAGCCAACCCATGTCTGTTGATGAGGAAACTCTAATCTTGCACGCGACGGGATGTGCTTCAGCCTACGTCGAGACCCTTCTATTATTTGCGGACAAGTACAGGCGGAGCATTTCTGCTGACAGTGTCCAGAAGCACCGGAAATTTGGCACGCGTTCTCTAGTCAGAGTAGCCCGACGACTGGCGATGTTTCCAGAAGATCATGACTTGCACTTCATAATTAGTCAATCACTTCTTGCTGACTTTTTGCCTGCAACGGAACGGATGAATTTGGATGCGTTACTTGATGAAGCTGATATCGGGAAGATAGCAGAAAAGGTTGTTTCTTCTCTTTGTTCGCTTACATTTTCTGATCCTCTGCAAAGTTCCATCCAAGCCCAGTGGTTCAAGACGATTCCCTGTACTTCCCTGCTTCTACTAGTGCTGGTACGAAGACAAACCCAACACCTATTCCTCTGTTCGATCCCTCTGAAGACCAGACGGGCGTGGAATCGCTCGTCCCATATGTGGACCACTTCTACGACAATAGTTTGCAAACAGGGTTGATGCGTGACCTAGCAATCGATCTCGAGCTGATGTGCGAGCATGTTGTTCTGTTGGGTAATCAGGTCAGCACACGCATTTTCATGATGACTTCCCTGCTTATCCCGTTCTCTTCCTAAATATAGGGTGTTGGAAAGAATAAGATCGTTGATCGGTAAGTGTCCTTCCATGGACACACGTTGGGAGAATCTGACACTCCTGCTTGTAGCTTATGTCAGGTACTGGTTGCTTTTGTTATGGGCAAAGTGAAAACATTTACATCTGTAATATCAGCTGCTTGGTCGACCTCGCGAATACATCCAACTACATCGTGACACGACCGTCAACCAGTTAATGTTCACTACCTCTCTCGAAGCAGGTGTACTCAAATTCACAGACTCGCCTCTTCTTCGTGCGATCACTTTTGGACGCGTCATCATCATCGACGAAGCGGACAAGGCACCTGAACACGTCGTTGCGACATTCCGCAGCCTTGCTGGACAAAACGAGATGACGCTATCAGATGGACGCCGCGTTTGTTCCTCTCGAGAGCGAGAAGACGACATTGTCGTCCATCCTAATTTTAGGCTCGTATTGCTTGCAAATAGACCTGGTTATCGTAAGCTTTCATCCCTGTTATCGAGGCTGCGGTCAGTGATGAATTTGTGCAGCCTTCCTCGGAAATCATTTCCTTCAAGTGCTCGGAGAGAACTTTAGTCTGCGCTCGGTGCCTAACCCTGATCAAGCCTCGGAACGTAAATTGCTCGAGCAGCTCGCGCCTGAACTCCATGAGGATATTATTCGCAGGCTGGTTGGCGCTTTCCAGGATTTGCGCGTAGGTTATGAGAACGGTTCTCTAGGCTACCCATATTCGTTGAGAGGTGAGCTGCGAGCCTGGGTTTTGGGTTCATTTTTATTCACCTTGTTGCTGACAGAGTTGATCAACCTTGTACGGCACATGCAGGCATACCCAACAGATGCGCTTAGTGACGCGCTTCGTAACGTCTTCGATTTTGATATCTACAAGCCGGAGACCATTGACAAGCTCAGCGAGATTCTCGAGAAGCACGGGTAAGTGACGAGTGGCAACCTTGCGCGACCTGCTAACAGATCTACTAGCCTGGCTGTTCCATATCTTGGATTAGACGCGGCTCGAGAGTCTGCAAAAAAGATACAGGATATACAGTTCGAGCCAAAACAGACAGATTTGAGTGGACTTAAGGAGGGGAAGCATGACAATGAAGAACATTCTGGCGGGAATACGTATGCTGGAGGAGTGAATCATTAGTTTGGAGTTTTATTCAGGGCTAATGATCTTAATGCAGACTAGCGGACGAGATACTGCCGGAATGGGCGGTCTTGGTGGGTATAAGCGACTATGGAAAGGCGGTGACATTAAGCAGGTGCATAGTTCAGTTTCTGTTGTCGTCATGAAACTAAGGCGCGTTATGATGGCAGGTTCCGGACGCGCTAAAGGAGGACGTGCCCGAGCACATTAAAGAGAAGGCACGAGAGATGGCCAAGCAAGAGCTACAGCGCCGACTTGAGGAGCTCGATATGAATACCCACGAAGCCAGAGGTTATGGTGAAATCATCAGAAACACGCAGGCTCACATGGCTTCCCTCTATGACCTCCTTGAACGTGAGCAGCCTATTTTGGTTCAAGCAACCGTTGTCCTGATTCAACTCCATAGACTTGGCTGCGAAAGAAGAAGAACGTGTCTGGGTGAAGCGTCAAACTGACGGAGAACTGGACGATACAAGACTGACGGAAGGCTTGACTGGGGAGGCGACTGTTTATAAACGACGGGGGATGGAGAAGCCGGAGCTAGGACGGCCCCAGATCAAGTAAGGGTTCTCGTGCTATCGCGATGCTTGGCTCACAAACATTGTAGACCCAAACGAATACGATTCATTTTTGATCTCAGTGCTTCGATGTGAGTGATAGATAGTACATGTCGGCCCTTTAGCTAAACTAACCGCTTCTCCAGGTATCGATTCAAGTATGACGGCCGACTAAAACGAAGCCTAGAGACAGGTTAGCCTATGTCTTCCATTGAAGATGGTTGAATTTGATAGATGTTTCCAGCCGCCATGCTTATGGAAACATTTGACCGTCTTTCCAGAAAAGACAAGTACGTTTGGGATGTAAGGATCCAATTTTCTCTTTCTCTGCCATTGCTAACGTGTGTGTGGTAGATGTATGGCCATGTAAGTCGCTTTAGTGATGAAGGACGTTTTGACATCTAACAGTACACAGTCCGGGGATGGGCCCGAAATACCTCTTGTTGAAGTAGACAAACCGCTCGTCGACCTCAGGGATCGTTGGAAAGTGATCGAGAAGATGGACATGATTCCGCAATATGCTTTTGCTGGAGACTATACTGGTAAGATTCTCTCTGTCCTATACGCGTTTCCTTATGGCAGGCTGATATAGAACACAGTTGAAGCCATACAGAAAGGCGTACAAGAAGTAGGTAAATTCGATGCAGGCAAGTGTTTCTTTGCATGTACCCACGTTGTCGACGTTTGAACATTGGTACAGATGATTGGTTCGTCATTGCCATTACGGTGAGTACTTTTTTTTAGCGACCAAGGTGACTTTATGGGGAATGCTACTCAGGATGCCAATTTTGGCCGTTACAACATCAAACCGGAGGATCTGTCTCGGGCAATGAAGCGTAATCCCAAAGTCCATACAGCATTAATTTGTATTGGTGAAGGGGCTGAAGCTCCGTGGTAGGTGCAGGCGCCACCTGGGTTCATTCCATGACACTAATCCACGATAGGATAAGCACACAGCTTCCTGGACAGGGTTTCAGGGTCGCTGATACCAGCGACATACCTACCGTCCTCCGGAGCATTCTGTCTACAATGATTGACCGTGAATAGCAGATAGCTTGGTGTAGGCGAAGTCATGTTCAGGCGAATAACACAGTGCAAACCGATCTATTCGGATCTAACCAATAATCCGGGTATCTATAAGTAATACTAATCGTCAATGACTAAACATTAGACTGAATATAACGATGATAATGCCACAAGGAGACCTAGCGTTCTCTAAGTAGTCTAAACGTGAAGAGCATTCAGCACCCGGAAGTAAATGTATCCAATTGCGCAAGCACCGACGTAGATGCCCAATCGTGTTTCAAAAGGATTTTCAGTGAGGAAAGGATATGGGACTGAGAAATTCGGTAAATAGATTCCATGTAACCAAACGGAAACTCACAAACACCGCCATTCAATTTTGCATTCCTTTCCGCCCAGGAACTATACATCCCCCCGCATGTGAGGACCACAGGAACCGCAAGTTTTACGAGTTCCTGAGAGTATTTCTTTTCAAAGACCAGGAAGTCCATGACGAGTGAGAGACCTGGAACAACATGCATGGCCAGATCCAGGGACAGGGGTGTCCTAGCGAGTGGCGGGCCATCGTGGGACGACGTAGGCTCCGTAACGACGTCTTTTTGAAGAATAAGGCTGGGAAAAAGAAGGAGGAGGGTCCAATACACAGAGACTATGACAGCTTCGACCTGTGTCGTACCACTCTGAGAAGGTGTGATTTGCTGTGACTAACGGACACGACGAACCGGCATGCAGATCATGAGCATCGCACGCTTGAGCGACCTGAGAACTAGAAAATACGGGTTCAGTCCTTGTTACCAGGAAATGAGACATAGACCCACAACGGACCTAAAATTGAAGGAAAGAGGTCGACAAGTAATGCCACTCCCATGGTGCACAATGACGCGACCAACCTCCGTAGTTGGTGAGTACAGGATTCCTCGATGACGGACAGGATCAAGCTCACCCAAGGATCGTCAAAAATTGGTAATGGCCACCGTACTGGGTCTCAACGACAATGTCGATGGCGCTCTTTCCGAGTTGAGAGTGAGCCCAGACCATGATAGCAGCAGCGACCGAGTGCAGCAGGACAGGCGAGGATGAAAATGCCATGACGGTGAAGCGGCGGTGTGCAGGACAGCTTTCACGATGTGATGATGATGATAAAAGAAAAAAAAAGAGGTCAGGGCAGTGGCAGGGTCAGGGTCGGTTCGGAGCCAACGGATTAACGGCGCGGATTAACGTCATTACTGTGATGTCTTCGTTGACATGAATTGAATACCAATTCATATACGCGTGCAATACGTGTGTCTAAATATTAAAGTTCTAACATTGCGGGTCACCAAAAACTAATATACACGATGAACCATTGTCCGCCACTCACTCCGGCGACCCTTCCAGTGCTTTCACGATGCCAAAGGCTGCTCCTGCAGCAATGCCTCCGACAAGTAATGTAGAAAAGGCACCCCAGAGAATACTAAGTGCCCCCGTGCCAGCACCAGTTACGCGAGCTTTGACGGCACCGAATATCAATAGAACAATCCCGGTGACAATGCATGAATAGATAAGGCCAACGGTTGCACGAGAGAAGAAGAAATAAGGGAGAAGAGGTATAAGACCGCCGAGAAGGTATCCCATGCCAATCGTGAACGCGGAGATATAGAGCCGTTTTGTCGGAATTTCCTCTGCAGATGCATGGTCAGCGTGAAAAAATAGAACAATACCAATAAATGACATACCTAAGCCTTCACCAAACTTGAGCAGAAAAGCAGTCAACCCAACATCCTGGCTCCACCGAAGGCCTACGCTCTCCTCATCCGATGTAGATGGCCTACCACCTTCATATCCATCCACCTCGACATCCCTCAAGCTTTTCGCCACTGCTCTGCAAGTAGTTTCGTCGACACCAATGGGACCCAAAACGTCCGACACCTCCCTTTCCATTTCTCCCGCACAGCTGCGTACAACACGAGATGCGGTCTGCGCGCGCAGGTAGCGGTAGTGATCACGCTCAGCCTGGGAGGCAAGGAAACCTCCAATACCCATGGAAATAGCACCCGCAATGAGCTCGGCAATGCCACCGAGGACGACAAGATTTGATTCTCCAAGAGAAGATAGACCGGCAGTCAAGGCAAATGGAACCGTTAGGCCATCAGATAGACCAATAATTCTGACCACGAAGAGAACTAAGTAACAAGCAAGACACGTTTGACGGGCAAGACTTACACATCCCGCACAATGTCGGGGTCAACCAAATGACGCTCTTCGGATTTTAGTTCTCTGCAGCAAACGCCGTTTTCTCTCGAATTCATGGAGCATTTAGCTGGCAAAGGCGTTGGTTGGGTGGTTTCCGAGGCGTCAATGGGCCATACAGGAGGTTTGCGAGTCTTCGGTGAAGAGTCACGACTTGGTAAGGGAACGGCGGGGGCGGAGTCCGTTATTGTGGACTGTGAGCTAGTAGACATGCTAGGAGCCCGAGGTGAAAGTAGTGGATGGTGGTGGTGAAAGGGAAAGAAGTAAGTGATTCTTGTACCTCCATTGAATAAATATTTTAATGTCAAGGATGCGTTACGTTACACACGTGATCCACTGACATTTGTCACTGTCTTATCAGCCAATGAGAGCGCGTACATTTGTGATTGGATGGGTCATGACGAATCGGATCTGGTACGGCGTATTCGTATGCTCGGCTGGCAGCTATTGCGGCAGCTGAAAGACAAACGGTATTATCAACTTACTGCGATTACTGGTTGTGCTCGTCGGTCGTCGGAAATGCACTACAGCCGCGCCTAACTAGGTGGAAATACTTTGTAGGCTTATAGATGGTATTTAATAGGGACTCGACATTGCAACCAAGACCTACCAAGACCGGCCCTAACTTCCTTCATTCGACGGCAGAAACATGACCCTGAAAATTGACGACCAACGATCAGCGATCAGTGCGTCATCTCAAAAATTTCAAACGGGTAGGGTCTGCGCGTAGAGGGGTGTTTGCGCTCGAGGTATGCCTTGACTTGATACTCCGCGCGATATAGAGTAGTACCCATCGCAGTCTTGGAAAAGACTACCGACATCGAAATCCTCTGCCAGACGGAAGGCTGCAACCTGGCTACTATGACTCGGACGCCGCCCAATTGGTAGCCGCAGTCAGTTATTTGTGTTTTAAGCATGAGTACGTAAATTCTAGGCACCCGTCTACGTCACTAGGTCTCCTAAAATGATATCATGTTAGGCATTCACGTTTGTGCTCCTCCCTCTTGGTTAGCCACCATGTCGTCGACACGAAATTAGGTATTGGCGACGGACCCTTCGACTTACCTTCAGAACATCGGTTTTTCAAGATAAGCTTTTCGGACGAGTGCAATATGTTTCCTGCGTCACTGGTCAGCGACGCTCTCATTCCTACTTCCTCATCAGACGGCCCTACAGAAGTTGTATATGCTGGAGATTATCCAGGCAAGTTAAGATCTCTGCTGCATGCCAATTGTCACAAAACTAATTTAGGAGCTCTGAAAGGTTATAAATTATTTCTTTAGCCACTACCGTCGAGATCGACCGCTCTTCAAGAGCGGGATAATCATAGTGACGGTTACACTTTGTACTATAAATCAGTTTGCCTGTTGGTGGGGAGTCTTGATGATAACGCTCCTAACTAACTTTTACTCACCAATGCCCTGCAGTGTTAGGACTTGCAAACTCTATGAATCATATAATAATGACACTGACGACCGTTTCAAGACGACTCTGAAAGCTATGCATTCGATCAATGTTGGGTGCGTCAGGATCCCAGATACCTCCTCGCATTCGGCAGCTTCTGGTGTTCCTCCTCCAAAGCAAGCTATGCCGATACTTCGGAGGCGTATATCTGCACAACTCTGACATGTGTTAAAACTGGTCAATTAGATTGGGCCATCTAAACACCTTGTCGTTTTGTTCCTGGATAATTATTTCATTGTGTTCACGTTATATTCAATCATACATAGCTAACATAGGTAAAGTACGAAGTAAACAATTCTTTTTTGTTAAAAATATGCCCCTAATCGCGGGCTCTCGGCTACTAAGTTGCCGGATGATCGATCAACTTCGCTTCATATACCGGTTTCTCTAACCTCCGACCTCTTGACTTCTCTTTCATCGACCACAAAGTCTTTTGCTGGATTATTTTCACGTTATGCCCCGTCTCGAATCTTGGAGCATCATTCAGCCTAACTTGTCTCACCCAGAAAGCTACAAGTACCCACCACTGATTCCCCTAGATGCCCCACCTATTCCCACAGTGCTTCCCCAGCTCCCATCCCAACAGCGTTCTCCTGCATGGCTGCCCGACGGATGGACCCATACGACCCATATTATCCCAGCGGCCTACCCTCGCTCTTCTCCTGATGCAGTACTCCCAGAGTTAGCCTTTGACGCCAATTCCAGCAAATCTGATAGACAAAAGCTAACGGCCGAGAGACTAGAACAACTGCTAGCACTGCGAGAGAAGGAGAATGGCCATACTACCCGTAACGACAAGCTCTTGTGGCTCTGTTTCAATAGATACGCTCGGAAGAACACGGATGGCAAGGGTCTGACCCTTTTCTTCGCTCACGCTAATGGATTTTGTAAGGAGGTACGGAACGCGATTTTACTACTACCCCAGCACTTGTTCATAGCTTTTTCAGATATGGGAGACCACTATTTCCTCCTTTCTCTCGTCGAGATCCGAACGATACCTATCCGAAATGTGGGTCTGGGACGCTGTCAATCAGGGAGATTCAGCATTGTTAAATCAAGGAAAACTTAATTCCATGTGTAGGTCGACGACACTTCCTTGCTAGTGCCACACAATAATTCTTCTGTCTCTTTCAAGGCCATTGGCATGATCCCACTCGCGATATTCTCAATTTCTTGCTTCATCATATACCCTCGAAGCCGTCCCTCTCCCTCCCAACGCACCTCTCACGTGTCACCTCCGCGGAATCGACCCTTCGCAAGTCTCAGGGATTTTCCGATCGGAAGGTTGTTATGGTCGGGCATTCATTTGGTGGGGCAGTTAGGTGTGTGTCGCCGATACAAACCAACCTCTTGCTCATTCCCTGCAGCACCTTGGCAGCACTTGACTGCCCGGTTCTTTTTAATTCCCTTTTTCTCGTTGATCCCGTTATTATAAAGCCTGGGTCTCCGCGCTCATATGACCTCATGCGCGGTGCGCTAACTCGTAGAGACAGGTGGAAAAACAGGTAGGCTTAAAGCCGTTGCCCGCTAATCAATGCTAACACTCCTTTGCAGGGAAGAGGCTATCTCTCAACTGCTATCTTCCCCGTTTTTCCAGAGATGGGATCCGGATGTCGTGAAGTCCTATGTCAACTTTGGCATGTATGAGACGGAGGATGGTCAAGTCACCCTGAAGACTCCTTCGTTACAGGAGGCGATCATGTTTGTCGATACATGTACTGGCTGTTATGAGGCATGGGTTAGATTGTACAGGGGCGAGCTAGACGAGCGCATAGAAGTACGATGGGTGGTTCCTGGCTTTGGAGAGATAGAGTAAGTGTCCAGTCCATCGTGTCACGAGGAGGCTTCTCATGCTGCATCAGGTTGGGCATGCCTGGAGCAACCCAAGAGCGTGTTTCCCTTCGGAAGGACGCGTCGAATGTCTTGATTGATGGGGCTGGACATCTGATCGCCCAAGAGAGGCCAAAGGAGCTGGGTCAGTGACTGGTTTTTCACCTGACCATATGTGCTAAAAGAAATCGGCTAGCAATGGAATTATCCCTTTTCTTGGAAAGGAAGTACGGAATGGTTCAAGCAAATCTATAGCTGTGTTAGAAGATGGAAGACCAATTATATATCAAGTATCAGGTGATAGTAGATGAACTGGCTAAGAATGGATGGCGTTAAGTACTCTAAAGGATAAATATCCAACACTAGCGCCGCCAGCATATATAGCGAGTCGTATCGCAAAAGGATTGTCCGTGAGAAAAGGATACATAACTAGGAAAAAGTATCAACGTCAAACAGGTTTTCAGCAGGGAGACAGCTCACAGAAACCATTAATACTAGCACACCATTCTGCCCAAGCGCCATACGCGGCTGTACAGACTACCACAGTAGGAATTGAGTAGTGCGCGACGGTCCGTCGAGAATATCTCTTCTCCAGTAAAAGAAAATCGGCGACAAGTGCGATACCTGGAACCGCATGCAAGGAAAGATCAACGGATAACGGGAGGAACGGTATGGGTGCGCCATCCGCAGTAGCCTTCATTTTTATGAGGTTTGGGAAAAATATGATTAATGTCCAGTAGATCGAAGCTATCACGGCTTCAACCTAAACATCGTGAGGTGAGGAACAGCGGAGAGCTTGAGCACGGCTAACCGGCATGGCAATCATGATTAAAGCGCGCTTGAGTGTCCTCAAGGCTTATAAAACGTTTGCCGCATTAGTGATTCAGTCTACGCGTTCTGCCCATTGCCGTTGACATTTACCTTTGAGTGAAGGCACGAAATCCACGAGTAGCCCTACGATCATCGCTAGAAACGCGACATGAAGCCTAGGTAATAAAGAAATGAGGAATCAACATGAATAACTGCACAAAGAACCAACCCTAGGACCGTCAGAGCAGGATAGTGCCAGCCATATTGCTTTGGTGAGAACGGGAGTTGGTTCAGCCAACGGAAGCCCCAGACCATGATGGCGGCAGCAGAGCAGTGCAAAAGTACTGGCAACGAGTAGAATGCCATTGCGCCAAAATAACAGGACTCAAAAGAGTTCAGTGTCAAGGGCGAGAACCGTGCGACTCCCGCGTTGAAGGGTAGTCATTAGATTCACATAACGGACGGCCCGAGGCCCGGCAAGTTGCGGAACTACCAGAACTGAAGAATGCGGTTTCATGTTCGGAAGCTTGGTTTTGACGCTGACCCGGATACTTGAATGTTGGAATATTGGATGGTCAGTTGCTCGCCTAGTAATTAAGTATCGTTTAGTACGACTCATATCCGTCCTGGGCTTGTGGAATACGTTGCTCTTGATGATCGACTTGAAACAGCAGTAACGACGTGTATTATGTCGCCAACCAGATGATGGCCACATTACCAGGTGACGAGAGTATGTACGCGCAGGTAGGCACCCGTTCTAATTCCTGGATATGCTTACGGTCCCGGATCGACATGCCCCTTGGATCATTTTGCGTCCTATGAGGATATGAAGGCCGTGGCAGGTAATTTCGACGAAAAGTGTGCGCTGGAGGAATCCGTCGATACTTGGCAATTTGATAGCGACAACTACGGTCATCAGATCATACCAGTATATATATACAAAATAGTGCAGTGGTAGTTCAGCAAGGAGAATGTGTCATGACTGTTGTCTTACGAAGTGCGCTGCTGGCCCGTTGTTTATTTTCATGCTCCCAATATTTGCTAACACAAAATCAATACAACGCCGTACTGGCCACAGGAGAAAGAACATACCAGCTCTCCGCTCCCAACCGCCGACACGTTTGTCTGTTTTTCTCAAAAACAGATTGCGGTCGAGAAACTTGCGCACTTTTGCTGTAGGGACCATCGAGGCTGTTCCAGAAGGGGGCTTATTAGATTCATAGGGTAATGCTCTGATGATGCGGGACCTAAGAGTCTATTAGTTACCTCTGCACTAGAGAATACAGACAAGAGAGAACGCACCCAAGTACACGGTCCTTGGCCTTATTAGTGGAAGATCTCTTTCGTTTTCTGGTCTTTTCTGCCTCTTTTGGTGACTGTGGCTTGGTTTTCTGCTCAACGGAAGATACAAACGTCGCCGCTTCGGTGAACAGGTGGTCTGGGAGGTGATTGGAGTTTCGTGGAGCGTCAAAGCCATGAAATTCTTCTTCTTCTTCTTCCTCCCCTTCCTCTTCGTCTTCATCGCTATGCATCTCCGCATCGTCATCCATATCCTCGTCGCTTTCCTCCCCGGCCTCTTTCATTGCTCGCTGCATCCGGGCAATAGCATCGTTATCGCCTTCATCATCACCGGAGCTCTCCTCATCTTCCTTGTCAACAACCGCCTCCTTCCCTTTCCCCTTCTTCCGTCCTTGGGCTTGGTCCTTCAACTTGCGGTCCCGTTCACGGTTCTTCGCTCGCGTTTTCTGTTTTTGAGCATTTTCAAATTGCTGAATAGAAGAATTTTGCTGTTGGATGAGTTTCTTGGATTGGGAAAGTGAGACAGCCTCCGGTGCGTCGTTGTCTTCGTCTGAACTATGAGGATTCATAGTGGTGAAAATTTGGTGAAATGTAGGGAAATATAAAGTCCGTGGCTGTGCCCATTATTTACTAAACTTGGTCCCGGTCCGCGAACTCCGAATCACGATCTAGTTTCTACGAGTAGTACGGTAAATGTAAGCTACTAGAAAGATACAAGACTGTATGTTATTCTTTGCATGTTGCGGTGTCATTTACGCTCAAAGTGTCTACTTGGCATCAGGTTCACCACTCCCGTCGTCGTCTTTGGCAGACCGATGCCATTGCATTCCCTCGCGCCATCCTGACACATAGTCAACGAGCGCAGGGTTTAGCTCTTCCGGCACCGAAGTGTGCTCAACATGTTTCCAACAGAAGGAAGTTCCCGTCTCCTTCCTTTCAAACACCCCCGAATATGCAGCTAGAACATCTTTCCCCAAGACGTTTTGCGATGTGCTGGAGATTGGCCAGGGCTAAGCGCATATGCAGAATGTCCAGAGGTTACTTAAGATCCCAATCGACTAGTATATCATACTGCATATCCAAATAGGCAAGATGAAACTGGTTTAAACATGATATCAGATGATAAAAAATAAGAAATGGGAAGTTGTCCTCCGGGAATCTGTCATTTAAACCAAGAATTTGGTACAGTCCTGTAGCGGAGGCCATCGCCATGAAGAGGTGAGCTTTATGCCGTGTGATTCTGTCGTCGACAAATAAGCTAGTTTTTTTGACGTATTTCGACAATCAGTATCGGGACTCTGAGTTCAACGGAAGATCATATTCTATAGACAGTTGATCCCAGATGGCATCCTCGTCGACATCTGGATGGCTTGAGGGTGGGGGAAGCGAAGCGTAATACACCGCATCCGGTACGATGTGCGTGATCTTTGGCATTGGCTCTCCGCGTAGAGACCATCTTGGCTTATAGCTGAGAGCAATTCAAACTCGAGGGAAACGAGAATGCGCTTAAGAGATTGTCTTGCATATCATTCCTAGCCTCTTGAAAGAACGCATCGTAAAGAGAAGCCCAGGAGTAGGGAAGATTAGCTGGCTCGTGGATGTACTGTCTACCCATGCACACCGACCCCGAGAAATGGATAGAACGTGCGACACGAGTGAAGTATTCGTCTCAACGACGTACTTATAACGATAAGGTATATCAAAAATCTTCGACACCATCTGCCGTTGAGCAACAGTGAGGCATTTCTGCTCTAGTTTCTTGATGAGGGGAATATTTCGTTCTTCCTGAACAGACCAAATCGGGGTTAATAGTCATCGTAGACACTGTAAATAGCATACCGATGGATCTGATATCCATTGGAAGGTGACCCACGGTTGAGTAACTTCGCCGATGCGCTCAGGAATATCCAAATGTGGTACCGATCCAAGCTTACCCTTCACCATAATATACAAACCTGCGGAATACAGTCAGATGCCAAAACGTAAACCAATTCTGTTTGCTCATCAGCGAGCAGGATCATCCCAAGAGCTAGGGAAGAGTCGACAGTCTTGGACCATCGGGACTCGATGCACAAGTTCTATTTGAACGACTCGGGCGGAATTAGGAAAAAGGACCAGTTCTGGCGCCTCAATCCGTTTTGAGGCTTTCGCCATCATGTGACTCGGCGCTATCAACGGCGTCTGGCTTCATTAAGTTCCTGCCTCCCAACGAGCACCTTGAAATTTCAGTCTAGATTTTGCCGCGTTGCGATGCTCGTTTCTCCGACTGCCAGTGAACCTCCTGTGAACTTGCTCTCACTTGGTGAGTTCTTATATCACAGAGTCATCTGCTTGACTGTTATCATTGCTATCACAAGACGGGGGAGGCATACACGGCGCATCCGGAATTCTTGTTCTTCACGCGATCATGAAAGGCATCAAGCGGCGTAATGGACTCGACCGCATACCCAAACCTTGCGAATATTTTCACCTTATCGGTGGTTCCGGTACGGGGGGGTGAGCACCCAGCATTCACAAGCTCAATGTTCATTCTGATAGTATCACTCCAGTGTGGTCGCAATCATGCTCGGACGACTAAAAATGTCCACTAAGCAAGCCCTACGACGTTACAATCAAATTGCTTCATGTGTATTTAGGTGCTCGAACCAACGGCATCTGAAAGATGGAAGATTCGAGGCATCTGCACTGGAAATGGAGGTGAAGAGCATCGTCAAAGGAAGAAAGGAAGATTACAAAGAGGATGAGCTACTAATCGATCCCGAATCGGGGAACGATTCAATGGGAAATACGTCTGTGCCCTTTCGTTTCAAGTTTATTTTATACATTTATCATCAACGTTGATAGTTTTTCCTGCGCATTGATGGGTGTCAGCATAAAGTCCCCTCAGCGTCTCCGCACTTATAGGGTACCTAATGGAGGTCCAGTCTCCGACTGCACAATCTGGGAAGCGGTCCGTGCGACCACCGCCACTCCAGCGTTGTTCAAGCCTATCGATATCACAGGAGATGGAAATTACACACATCGATTCACTGGAACAAGCTTCGGAACCCACAATCCTGCCAAAGAAGTGAGGGACGAAGCAATGATGTTGTATGGAGGCAGCCGACGCGTTGGGGTTTTCGTCAGTATCGGAATGGGAAAACCAGTGAGCTATGGATTGCGAGAGACAGAAGGTATGCAGAAGATCTTTCGTTCGCAGCTCGTTAAAGTCTTGGCGAGTATTGCGATTGATTGCGATAAAGTTGCGGATGAGCTCGCCAGACAATACACCGATATTCCGGGTACGTACTTCAGGTTTAACGTTAGATACGGGGCGGGAAGAGTTGACCTTGATGAGTGGGATAGTATGGATGAGGTGCTTGCCCATGCAGACAATTATATACATGACCCGGAGGTTTTCAAGTCTGTTAAGGCTGTCGTAGCTTGTCTGTGCCAGGAAGCATCACGTCAACGGAACTACCCTTCATTAGCTACGATATGCATGTCTTCGTAAAGAGGGATATTAATAAAATTATGGTTTCAGCATATCCTCAGTGTTCTGTCGCATAACAATACGAACGATTACCTCTCTTTCTTCCATTCTTTTGGCACCACCAGGTATTTCATCCTCATACGAGATGTGGAGGGTAAACCACCGCCTCAACAGAGAAAGATAATGGAGCCGTATACCACTTCTACAGACGGACGTGCAATGCCCATACGCTGTTGATCACGTCTAGATAGAACGTAGCTGCTTGGTACGCTTGGATTGGCCTAGTGGTGGAGCTGGAAACTAGAGACTGATTTTGGAAACCGGAGCGTACCTGACGTCTGCCGGTATCCTACCAAAGTTGGGAAGCAAAAAAAAGAAAGAAAACGGTTAGCTCCTACATTCGTGCCGATTTTGAGCGCTCCCGCGTACATTATCATATTTCCCACGGGCGACCGGGTAAAAAGTAGATAGTTTTATGGTTCCGCAGAGTCAGCAATAGTGATAGAAGGATCGATGTTTGGAATCTTACTCGAGGGCTTTGATATTTCCTGTTGGAGAAAAGATTGTGACAGAAGCAGGTTGCCAATGGCTATTGTCAAACTTTCTTTGTCGGGTCAAAATAATATTAGCGTTTTCGGATGCTGCAACTTACGGAACATCTTTTTATATGATTCATCCGTGATAACGTCCAGGACTCTCCATTTTCAAGCTCGGTGATTGCGGGTACTGAAGCCCTTCGAGCTGATTCCGTCACGGCACTCCAGTAGAGACAGACATCCGTCAGCAAAATGTTTAGGCAAGAGCCGCGAATCCGAAGGATGGAACGGATCAACTCAAGATAGTATAAGTCCAGCAGAAAAGACATATTTTTCCTCATGCATAGTACATACACCAACCACTGACGTGCCAACCCAGTGATAATGTAGTGGGGAAGGTGAACCTAATCAGAGTTGAGTCTACATAAGTTCTTTCCTTCGTAACAAGGCCGTCTCGCTGAATACGAGAGAAGATGTCGAAGATGTCACGGGGTTTGCCGACCGACCGACGAACGCATCACCAGAACGAGCACAGTAAAACCAGTCTAGAAGGTATTGAGCTGCGGATAGCTTTAGGTAAATGTCAGTACTCACGAGCATTCTTCCCCCGGGAACAATGAAGTATCTCCAACATAGTATCTCAAGCGAAGAAACACAAACAGAGTGGAGCCTGGGTACATTGAATGCGACTTGAACATATTTTGATACTACATTTCCTCCTTCAGAAGTACTGAGCGCTAGCAGATGATGTGTGATATACAGATGCAGGTACATAACGGTAAAACAATGTTGATGGTACAACATCAGTAACAAGTGGGTGGGAAAAAGGTAGCGCGAGCGCCTCTATAAAGTAAAACCCAAGAAAACCAAGATCGAATCGTGAGACAAAATTCAATGGACACCACTCCGTTAAACTCAACACCTGAAAATCCGAGTCAGCGAGGCCCCAACGTGTTTCATCAAGGGTGCCTACCGTGAATGCTCAGATGCTGACGGCAACTCGGGACAAGCTGCTCTTCACATATGACCTGTTCTCCTTGGACCTCGGCGAAGATCGCCCATCAAGAACACGACTGAGTAGAAGCCCAGCCACTTGTTTAGCGAATGCATTGGGGTCAGATGCATTGTATGAAGCCGCGTAGGGAAGGGGCTTGTAGAACGTGACTGGGAGTACGACATCAGGCAGCGGGCGGTGTGTCCTGGGATCGTAAGTTTGATGGTGGATGTAACGATTTTGGTTCCGATTCATGGTTTCCTCCGATTCGCATTCGGACTCGTCCTCTTCGTGGACAGCGTTGAAGCCCGGTGCACCGGAACGTAGTGACATGACCCTGGTGTTTCTTGAACCAGAGCCTTTCGGAGCGAGAGCATGAGCGTACGGACTGGTCCGACCACGGAGATACAAGGGCCGCCTGGGAATGCTAGGCCTAGATCCCACAGCAGGCACACCGTCTCCTTGAGCGCAAGCAGAGGATGGTATGGCACCTGGTCGAGGTCCCCGAGGTCTAGCAGTCACTTGTCGGAAGGCAGCGGCTGTTTTGGGAGCAGAAGACCGTGCGGAGAGATTATGGTCAATAGAGTTAAAGATGCCCGCATCACGGCTAGTGGCGCTGGAGAATGAGGGTGAAGACGAAGGTGAAGAAAAGGGAGTCTTGACGAGGCGAATAGACATGGTCGTGAGCAAATGGTCGGAAGAAGCGGAAGAAGAGGTGAGATTCGTTCAAAGAGACGGTATATTATTATATGTTGGCAATACGATAGCTAGGATAAAGGGTTGTTGAGACGGGAAGATAAAGAAACAACGGACTTACTCATATAGCAACCAACCAACCAACGTCAGGGAACAATACCCCTTCAACAACCGAACTGGTCAGCCCGAGGGCACCTGGAACCACTATCGTGCTTGTGTGCACCAAGAGAGCGCTGTCGTCAATGGAAATGGGCGGTTTCAAAGAAGTAGGGCGGACACTGTAGTAGTGAAACACAAGGAACAGGGCGCCTGAGAAATACTACAACATAGTTTTATTTGGCTCTGTTGTGACAGATAGGTCCTTATTGTCCGATCATCTTCCTTCACCACCATGCGGTGCCGCTGCTCAGCTACGAACACACTCGGAGAGGGCTAGGCCGTTTCTCCAATGTTTAGACACTATTCTGGGCGCTGCCAGTTCTATACGGATTGAAGCTGAAGCTGGAGGTCGGCGCCGCTGTCCCCACACGAGGCGTTCCAGAATGTTCGCTAGTGTTCGCTTCGCCCCTCTCTAGCACAACGAGAATTATCTTGTGATCATCTCTCGTGATAGTCCCTCCACCGAAACAGGAGTGCTTCCTTGTACTAGTGACCATGGCAATCACGGCTCTTTTTCGTTATCTATCCCCTTCTGCTCCAATGCGTTGCCGATCTGTCCGTTCATCTACATTCTACCATTCCGGCCTTCCAGGAACTACGTTGATCGCTTCATTTATGCCTCTAAAACATTGTTCTCGCCTTCACTAATGCAGAGGTACCTGCACTCTCAATCAATATCCTGCTGAATCAAGCAGACAAAAGAGGCAGGCTGTCTCCAAGAAACGGCCGTTGTCGAGGCCTGGTCGGATGTTACGGAAGTCTTGAAACTCAAAAGTCAACCTGGGCGACTCGGAGCGTCTTGAAGGTAAATGAGTCCGATATACAACCTACGTTATACCGATGTGCATGTATAAACGAACTTAGAATCACGCACGGAATCTGCCTTCAATCGAATAGGAGACGTACTCGAAAAGTCTTACACACGTACGCAACTAAGTGTTATGGAGAATGCTCATGGCTTGTATCATCGCCATGGGAGTTAAGGAGTTAACGTCATTATATCAAAGGAAGCCACCAACGTTTCCAATATTAATAGCACCAAGATTCTGAGATATCCGGACAAGGAAAGCAGCAATGCGCGGAAGAGTTTGCGCAGGAAGTCATAAAGAGAAAACTGTGATAGACGGTTTCCCGAAGGACTTTGTTTGAGAAAAAGGTCAACCAGGCTCCTTATTGCAAAAGGACCAGAACGCCATTCCAGGCTCCTGAAGGGATACGCGCGTCATGGTGGCGTCAACCCTATATGGAGTGCTGCGCTTGAGCGGGGGCGCGCCGGCATTCTCCGTTGTGGCAAACAGAGACTGCACTTTCGCCACTATGCCCAAGCTATGGCGATTGCTCCATCGCGGCACCGAAGCTGGAAAACTTGAAACTCGAACCTCGAAGGTTAAAGGTCTCGACCTGGCTTGGGGAACTGAGTGTTTGAAAGTGGAACCTCCGTGTCGATAGAAGCCTGAGTGACCATCGAAATTGTACCGTGGTTCAGTCGATTCAACCTGACTCCATTCACAATTGAAAGTAGAAGAGTATCACTCGCTGCGATACCTCCATTCCGGTTCCTTATGATATGATGATAAAATTATTAGGTTTTTTGGACTTGTAGGTAACACTGCAGCGAATATCGACGTTGTGAATTCATCAGGGCGTCAGAGTAAGGGATTACGCCTCGATTACAAAAAACGATTATGGGGATGGGCCCGGCATTGGGGTCTTCGTTGTCCGTGGTGACCCGAATTAAGCGGGAGGCAGAACCATTGAGACCATCATCGTGCTCATAATCGTTTTTATAATCATCCACAATCCTCTACCCTGACTCCCCTAACGACCCTGTCCGTCCTCAAGGACTGTACGTCTCTGGGATCGCACTCATGCTGCGGTTCCCAGAAATTGCGCGCGCTAAAAATGTAGTTGTTCAATCAAACACAGGCGGCATGGTCATGAAACACTCACAAGTTGCTGGATGGCCGCACGCTCACCTTCCGGAAGAGCACCAATCTGATCCGGCGACATAGCCAAAACTTGCATCAACATAGCCTATTATCATAGTCATCATCTGTGAAATCTTCAAAAGCAAAGATGCTACTGACTCTCTGATGCTCATTGATATTATCCTGTGATTGCGACGGTGCCGATGCTTGTTGTGGGGGAGGAGCCAACTGGGGGGGCGGCTGAAGTTGCGGCGGAGGTGGAGGGCGGTAGTACGAGGGGGGCTGTGGCGGCGGGACGAACTGCTGTTGTTGATGATACATCGGAATGGAAGGCGTTGGCGCTGATGGTATGCCATTTTGCGGTGGCGGGAACTGTTGCATAGGAGGCGCGAATGCTGGTTGGGGAAGTTGTTGCACAGGTGGTGGCGCAGCCGACGTCGCTGCAAGCATTCGTTGAAGAATCATGGGGTCTACTATTTGATTCAATAGGAGAGCCTGGAAGAGCGCATATGCGAGTTGAGGATGTGCGACTAGCAGTTTTCGTGCTTGCTCGGAGTGCGTTATCACAAAGGCCTAGGCAGAGAAATTGAGTCAGGAAGGCTTCAGGCTTTGACGATCCCACATGGGGAGTTTTTTTCAGTGCCGAAGAAATATTCTAATTCGTTCTCCGAACGCGCCAACACCACAGACCGTAGTAGGAAGAGACTATTAGAAAATTCAACGAGAGCTTACCTTCATTTGGGCCAGAACTTCCATGAGTTGGTTCGGAGCCATCGTAGCAAGATGGTGGCTGATGGCATCAGCAGATGTCGTTCCAAGAGGGAGCTTGATACCGGGAGGCAGGCTGGCTAGAAATGTGTCCGTTTCACTGCTTCGACCACCTCCACGACCAGTTCCACTCCACGTCCGCTGCTCAGCCGGTCCTGGGACACCACCATCGACAAGTTCTCCACGAACAGTAGTTTTTCCTTCAAGGAACGGGTCTGAATCAGCCAAATCTATCCGCAAGGGTCGTCCCCCAACGTCGACGCTGTCGAGGTTCCGTACAGCGGATGCAGCTGTTTCGTGGTCTGCGTCTCGTGAATGGAAGGCATTTGCGATCTAGCACGTAAAACATACCAGAGAACTCGCAGAATCCATATCCTTTCGGCTTTCCGGTTTCACGGTCAAACACTAATCTACGGAAGGTGAGCATGTGCCTAGAGATAGAAGCAGTCTGCGTACCTGAATCCAACAACCTGCCCGACAGATTTGAAAACATCTATCAATTGCTCCTGCCCAAAGGGTAAGCTTTCCGCCGAGGAACGTAGTAAAAGAGAGGACATTCCTCTCCCATGTTATAAGGGACATTGCCAACTGTTCGCAGGACGTTTCAGCCACACAACGATGAAAACAAAGATTGGGATTGGAAACAGCTCACCAAAAACTACCTTGCTCATCGTTGATACGGTCAGCAAGGTGGTCCTTCAATTAAGAAAAGTTGAGGAAAAGGGGTGGTTGGTGGTTGATTTAAACTGTTTAACACGGTCCCCGGTCCGGGGTAATGTCACGTGTTATGACGCTCCGATTTAAATTTTCATTGTAGCGCTGGGTGAGAATGGTCGAGGTTAATAACATACCCCCTAAATAACATGTATGTAAACGAAACATGGGGAGTCCCAGATGCTATGTGAAAATTTGTGAAATAGTCTAGCTGACTAAGCATAAACAAAAACTGAAAAAAATTCGGCACTTCACGTGATGACGTCATAGGAAAATCACAGTCATTCATTTGCATGCGACGATAACCGTCACGACCATTGTCACGTTAATAACATCGACAAAAAGCATTCTCACCCAGCGCTATTGTTAACCCGGGACAAAGGTCGGAGGAACTTTCAAATTTCACAATGTAATGAATAGAAAAATAATATATACAACAAAATGCATTCACCGAAGGTACCAAAAATCTACTTCATCATAACGTATAAACTGCTATGATTCCCCAGATTCGACCCTCCAGACCTTGATGATGCCTGCACGGTCTCCACTCACAATGCCACCACGGAACGGTGAATCGATACACGCTAACGCGGTGACAACATCTTGATGTGACTTGAGAAGATTCTGCTGATTATGAGTGATCAAGGCCATCCGCTGGGGTGCACGGGTGCCCTGCCCACTCGACGCAGCAGACGGTGGCCACGTCTCGATATAAGTAGATGCTGTTCCAATGCTCATTGTACTGTGATCCATCAGCAAAAGAAGGTAATAGGGAAAGCTCAAGTAACCCACCTGTACGAAGGTCTATCATGTTCTGATTCCAAACCGCTGAGAATGGTGGATCTCTCCGGACGTCCCAAATCCCATAATCGTATCTTGCGATCTTCTGACCCAGAAATCACAAAACCACGGGAAGACCGTGTAGAATGGGCATCAGCCGTGATGTCATACATCTCTGCTCGATGCGTACCACCAAACTCAAATCCTACAGCCATAGCACGAACATCGGGAGCAGGAGAGGCCAATAGTTGGACGGAGGTATGTCTGTCGTCATTTCCATTCCTGACTAGTGCCGCAATGGCCGCCGAAGAGGTCGTATCAGCGTCTACCCCAGTCAGCTCGTGAGGATCAGCGAGCGGTTCTGATGTCGACGAAGATGTGCACGTTACAAACGTTTCTATCAGAACGGACCGTTCAATATCCCATACTTCTATCAAGTTGGTAGAAGTTTGGTCTGTACCCCACTTGGACGCCTCGACTGCCACCATGACATATTTTCCCTTTCCCTTTGACGGATGAACGACACATTGGTGGATCCGGATTGATCTGCCTGTAGATGCCACGCCAACATGCCAACTCTTCAAAAGCAACCCGAAGCGTCTATCCCATAACGTCAAGACACCGGTCGAAGTGCCTACGATTATCCAGGTACGCTTCCGATCAATGCACATGCATGTTATAGGCCCATAATGACGAGGATTTTGCATCGTCTGTAGTTCGCACATCGTCCGCAAGTCCAAAATCGTGATGACAGAATGTGTCGTCGCGTAAATAAGATTGGAAGCTAAGTCTGCTCAAATATGTCAATGGGCGACAGAATAGCAAACAAAGAATAATGTACCTGTGTTATAGTGAGCCATAGAAGTAATATATTCGCCCACATTGCCGAGTCTGTGTTCGCGGATCACCTGAAGCTTACTGTACTTCGGCAACGCTCCACTCTGAGTAATATGAACACGAACGACATGCAAGCTTCCATCATCAGCTGCACTGGCAAAGCAATGAACCCCTTCTAGAATACAAACACATTTCACTCTGGCGTGGTGCTGACCGTACGTATGTCGGGATTTGCTTGTAACATTGCGTTCCAGTCTCGCGGTATCCCACACCTTGACTGTCTTATCGTCCGAAGAAGATACGAAGAAAAGATGATCAGGAGACACCGCTAAACCAGTGATGGCTTCGGAGTGTGATGTTAGATGGGAAATCAAGGTTGATTCCATCCTCCGCGTCCCATCCCGAGACGTGAAGCTCTGTCTAATGGGTGTCCGTCGTCGGACTGGACCTTCATGCACACGGGGCCCAAAGTCGTTCTCCACTTCTCGATTGTTATCCAGATAGAGATTCTCCAGGAGTTGGTTGATACCAGGTTCTTGGCCATCTGAACACGATAAGAATTAGCTTGGTCTATCATTGAACATTGAAGTAACTCACCGTAGGAAGAGATAGGCAAAGCGGAGAGCGCGTTCGACCGACTAGGGTTGCGTATAGTCGCAGTCATGGACAGAGGCGTGGATCTGCCTGATGGTTCAGGAGAACCTTCGAATCTCATTTTCGCATGGGTGTCGAGTACACCAGCTACGTTCGTCTTAAAGGACCCGACCGCTGGGGCTGCCTTCTGACCGTCCATGCTACCAATATGTAGGCGACTTGATGGTCGGATGGTCGTGGAATTTGCGGCAGACAATACAGACTCAGAGGGACTGACAGGTCGTTCTGCAATTGTAGGAGATAGACGCCCCGAAACAGAAGCGGGTGAGCTGGAAGGTATCATCACAGGTGATAAAGTACTGCGAGGCTCTCGAGGCGATTGAGTAACGCTTAGAGAAGATGCAGAACCATTAATTGTCGCAAGCCTGCGACGAAGATCTTCGAACGGTGCGCCCTGGCTTCCGTTGAAATCACCGCTAGATACCCGATGCAGATTTGACATTGGACTCATCATAGGTGTCGACTTCTTGGATGAGATAGATCGCACTGATCCAAGTGATGGATCAGTACCACGCGACTTGAGGAAAACCGTCTGAGGCTGGACGTCCAATTTCCGAAGCTCCAGGTCGGCAATAGTTTTGAGATTCTTGTCGGTTTCAGACTCAGAACTCAGGCGGGATGCGAAGCTGACTAGAATTGAGAATAGAAATACATGTCGAATACTTATGGGACACACCTTGAGATGGCATTCGCCAACTTTGTTATGTAGTCGCGCATAGCAAGGAGTTTAGTCTCGTCGCTTGACGTCATGCCGAGCTGATACAGCTTCGACAATTGGGCTTCGTCACTGCAATAGTATACGAATTAAGCCTACGAACACCATTACCAGTTAACGGGGACAATAACTGACTCATCTGATTTCGTTTTAGGGATTGTAGACGACGCCTTCCGAAGAGACATCACACTTTCTCTTGGTGTTTCAACCTTGCTGCGCCGGGCGCCTCGCCAAAAACTGCTCTTCTCCGCGCGCATGGCCCACTGCACAGCGGCATCGAATATTTGTCGAGGTATCTATACGTGGATCATAGGGTTAAGTGTCATGATAGGTGGCTATGTGACTGACCGGAGGTTTCATGGCGGCTAAGAGGCTTTGCTCGTCGATTGTGGCTATATCGGACTTGAGGAAGTGCCGAAGGGAAGGGTACACAATACACCAGACATCACTTGACGGAAGCTCCTTTGCCGCCGAAGCAATAAAAGCAGCAGTCCCTGGACGAGAAGTGTTATTTTATAACGGTGCACCAATGACCGCAAAAGCGAACCTTGTCGGATCCACACATTAGGGTGGTAGAGGAAACCAAGTGTTGCGCTTATCAATTCCCAAACACGCATCTTTTGGAATAGCCCCAGTGTGCACAGACTTGTAAGGGCGGCAAGAACTTTCATCACTACCGTTTCCTCCACATCTGCCAGACGTTCGTCAGCGTGTCATTCCGCTATGGCAGAAAAGAAAGACCCTTACCTGAAAGAGCCTGAACCATCAGAGGAAGAATATATTCGTCCAAGCTTCGACCTCCCGCACAAGCGGCAACATCCACGATACTCTCGAAGAAGGCATATCGTAGAAGCCAATCACGATCATTTAGATAAGTAATCATGTGGCTCAGCAACACATCGTTCGTCCTTTGCCGCCCAAGGAAGATACACAAAAAGGAGATATCGTGTAGTATGGCGCGCTTTACGATACTTGAGGAGTCCATTAAGAGTGTAGATAGATGTTCCTGAATCCCAAGCTGCAATTCTTGGACACTTGCATCGTATGATACCTTGTGCCTCGTCAGCATCCATGTAAATAGGATCTGCTAAACACTAGTACCTCAAAATGTGCGTTCTCATACTCCTGCGCCTCACTGGACAGCTTGAACGTACCATGTGCCTTCAGAGCATGTCCCATTTCTAGATATCGCATCGCTGTGTTGGCTAGCTGAGCAATACACTGCGCGTATAGGCATCTAACTGACACCTCAGGGTCATGAACCAGGTATTTGACGTTGGGGATAATATATTCCGGGAAGATGGCAGCGTTGGAGGGAGTGATGACGGTAACGACCATCAGCTGAAAATACATTAATAGGGTTCCTCGCTACAAATGAGAACGAGACTTACGACTTGAATAGCCGTACGCAAGGCAGTCATGCGGACAATTGCAGCTTCGTCGTGAAAAAGATCCACGATATAAGGAATCATGCGATCCAGCTTGGCCTCGTCTGTTAAATGTGGCGACAACGCCAGGAAAACATCGAGAGCCTTGATTTTGGAGCTTGGAAGTATGCAATTCCGTATATTGGATGTTACGAGGGCAAGGATGATCAACGCAGGCCCATCTGAGAGAAGACTGTAAACAATCAGGAAATTCCGCGTAAACTGGAGTTTTACCTTCAGCTGGAGCGCGTGGACCCGCTTCTACAGCTATTCGCAATTTGGACTCACGGTTGGGAATATGTAGCTCAACAGGGAGGATATCCTGTTGCTCATGAGCGATGTGAAGTGGCAAGTGGGATGAGGATCACCTGAAATGGTCTTGACGTGCTTATTGGTGAGTTGTAATCTATCTTGACATCCATGACAGTATCCTCCGTATTATCAGGAACCAAGTATGGTTGTACACTTTCGTAATCACTCCACATCCGCTGCATGCGATGGTCTGAATCACTGGGAAGAGGTTCATTGGAAGGATCAGTAGATGGACCTTCGAGTGTCGAAGAGGGTGCTCGAGCAGAGAGTAAAGGGGGAGCCGAGGTTAGCGCAGACGAGGATAGTCCTGCATAGAGACCAGGGGTAAAAGGAGATGTGCTGGGGAGCTCATTAACAGAAGATACATAATTGTGTAGGAAACTGAAGAATGATTCTGGAAAGACCGATCCGCGAGAGGTATGTAGCAACGTATCGAATGTAGGACGTGCGGAGGGATCCAGATTTATCATCTGTTTGATCAAGTTCTACTGTCCTGAATGAGATCGCGGATGAGCAGAAAAGGAATTACAGAGTTACACACTCGAATGCCATCATCTTCAATATTGGCCAAGTAGCTGTCAATGCTGAATTCGCCTTCTCGGTACTTGAATAGTTGACTGAGGGTGAACACCGGTGCACCCTCGAGAAAGAGCTCGGCAATCACGCATCCGGCACTAAAACAGTCCATGGCTTCTGTGAGCTTCCCATCCCTTTTGCCTTCATTGTCCTCCATTGCGATCTTGGACTTCTTTGCGCTAATTTCTGGGTTCGTCGCCGCTGTGTAGAACCTTTCTGGAGCTATGTAGCATGTACGTCGCCCAGATGTATCGAAGAAGAAAGAAAAGTCCGACGGATCGTCGAGAGGAAGATATGTCGGCTTGTAGGATGCAAAATCCGAAAGATAGATCCAGTTCCACGACGTGACTAGGATATTCTCAGATTTGATATCACCATGAGAGACCTTGCGATTGCGAGCATCGCGAAGGGCCATGAGTAATTGAAAAGCTATCCATTTCTTCTCAATCAGACTCAGAAAAGGGCGGGTACTGTTTGCACAACGTGTTACAATAGTCACATAGCAGTAGAAAAGCGACGCACCTAATACGATCATAAAGGTTACTGGCAATCCACTGCCGAATGATATAGCCTGCTTTGTCCGTTTCAACAAACGATTGATAATTGTATACATTGGCGATATCCGTCAATGCCTCGCGGTCGACTGCTACGTATGAGACCATTGCCAATTGGTGCCATTCAAAGAAGGCTCACTCTTTAAACGCCGATGATAGTTGCGCAAAGTCAACCCAGGATCTGGCTTGATGAATATCTTGACCACCAAAAATCCATTACTGTGCCGACATTTCACGGTCTTTAGGAATCGCGCAGAGCCCAGACTGGGGATATACGTCAAGGAAAGTCGCCACAAGGATATGAGATGCGACAGACCTTTTCTCATATAAAATTTCTCCTCCAAGCTCTGCAACGAATGAATCCAAGGCGCCAGTAGTGCGTGTCAAAGTCGAGCCAGATTGCGTGTTTCCCATCTATTCTCTCACTCACAGTGAAAGGGCTATCAAAGTCATTGGTTGAGTTCCGGTATCACTTGATACTTAAAAGAGAAAATCCATGCAAATAAGGGAGAAGGATGGTAGCGGTCTGAGAATGGTTGTGGCTGTCGCACTCAACTTCCTAATTGGTAATCCAAATGGTGGCTATGCATGACGTATGATTCATGCGCTGCATACCCAGAGGGATAAGAAAGCGATCAACTGCTTCAATCACACCGGTGAATTCTTAAATGTAGCCATTAGGCCATTTATGAAATAACAGATATATTCTGTACATGTTAGTATAGATAACTTCCAGTCGAGTAAGATACCTTAGGGCACTAGATACTAATACTGACAAAGAAGTCGCACGAACGAGTCATTTCAAGGGCAACAACCGTAATGCGAAAGGAAGACAAATAATAACGAGATGATGGAGGAAGTAAACGGAACGAAGAAAAAACAAAAAGTTGAAAGTCCAAACTAATAAATTCACATATCACTGAACCAAGGAACGTCGACATCTGGATTACTGCCCAGTGCCCACATCTGGGGAGGATCTCCTCCCCGACAAACCACCACAACATGATATCCGCCCTCCAGGTGACGCACCACCCGGAGAACTTGAACGGGAAGACATCGAAGAAGAACGACTCCGAGCTAGCCCTGGCAACGTCAAGGACCCATCACCTTGGACTTGCGTGCCAAAACCTAGAGGCATAGCTGGTGGGGGATAATCGAACAACGACGGTAATCCGTTCGACAACTCTTTTCGCCTGCAGCCCTTCTCGCACGTCGTGGTGAGCGCGGCACTGCTTCCATCCCTGGCCATATCACACTGACAGGACCCCGGCAGGCAGCCATTGTCAATTGGACAGAGCCTGGGCCGGTCTTGGGTCATCCAAGGCACAGATTGAGCCATCTCGTCGAATGATGTTCCTGCGTTGAATTGGCGCATCCATTCGTCGAGTGTACTAGTCGGATCTTGGGTTTCCGTGGGAGATGCTTGTGGAAACGAAGGCAAGGACTGCACAAGACAGTCGAGGCAAGCTCCACAAGCACTGGGATTGGAGCAGGAGAAGAAGTTGTATGCGGCACGATCTCCTGACGGATCGTGCTGGCTACAACCTGGACAACCGCAGTTGTCACCACACCCGCACATGGAAGACATAGGGAATTCCATAGCGGTTTCTGCGTTCTGTGATTGCGACCATAGAACGTTATTGAATGCTTGAGTCTGATTGATTGGGACGTTGGAGCTGGACGGAATAGCACTATACATGTCATTAGCCAGCGGAGAGCTGGGTCTAGACGACATATGTACTTGTCCATAGGCTCGTCCATACGGGCTGAAAGAAGTGTCATGACCATGATGGCGGATAGCCGAGACATGATTGATACCAGCTGAGGGAACATGGACAGGGCCGTTGATAGCGGGTGGCTTCGGGAGAACAGGTCGCAATTCAGCGATCCGTGCAAGAATGTGGGAGGAGTTAATGGACGGGGTTTCTGGAGGATGGGGTGATGTTGATGCTCGTGTTTCAGTGTCGACCTTGGGACGTCTCCGGGGAGCGCTCTTCCGAGGCGTCGCGCAAGCACAAAGCTCATCGACGGAGACAGCACCAGACGCACAGGCGCAGCTATCGCCTGTAAATTTGATTTAATTGGATGAAATTGTCAGCGGTAAATTGAACGCACCACTGTGGTCTGAATCAGACGATACTCCATCCGAAGGTGCTTGATGTATCACGGACGCCTCGAGGACTTCGGGTAACCCATTTGGAAACGCGGCAGTTTCCAGCGTCTTGCTGAGACCTAGATGATGAGAGATCAGCTCCCCCGCATTCCGGGATGGCGATACCACTTACCCTTCTTTGCGGTGCTCGATGTAGGCACTCCAGCGTCCTCCTTGGTCATACATATGCATTTAACGTGAACTTGTTTTCTCTTTCGTAATTCTCGACAGTGCTCGCACTGTGTTACTGGTCTGCCTTTCTTTTTAATCTCGAACAATGGACGATCGGTGTGTTTGCATGCAGATGAACGGTGGCCTTTTATACAGGTTTCACTAAAGAAACCGTCAGCATATTCTACTAGAAGAAAGCGACGATAAGACTGACCATGCATATTTCTTGCTGCTGATTAAAACCTGTACAGGACGTGGGCTGTCAACGGGACGTCGGAAACAGGGCAAAAATATACGCACCATTTTGCGACTAATAGAACGTGTGACGCTGGGGCGAGCTCGCCCGCCAGCGACGTGCGCTGGCTGTGTTATTGCGACTCTACCTTCAGCGACAGATATACAAGCATCGAGTGGGGGTTAAAAGAGGGTTATGTTGACGTTCGTTGACGGGTCGGGTCTCCATTTATGTCTGCGCACAGACCGTATTCACAAACAACACCACACTCAGCCGGTCCGAACTCCGATATCCCTCTTCGTTGTCTCGTATTTTTCCCTTTCCTATGGCTTCCATTGTCTCTCCTCGATTCATTTCAATTACTCTTGCTGTTTTGTGGCGTCAAGTATAATACCCGTCTCAAAATACATACCGACTCAGCTGCGTTGCGTTCACCGTTCAATACTCAACTATCAAAGATTAATCACGACTGTCTGAATGGCGATATGTAGGACCTGATGATGAATTTCCTGATATCGAACCAACGTTTTTCGAATCGCTTGTTGAGTCGGAGCAAGCATTGCCTCCTTGCGGCTTACTCAACGTGCGCATTTTTTGCCACAGGCTACACGTCGACGAACCTGAATTCCTCAATGCCTTTGGACGCTCGTAGAAGCCTGCCATCGATCTCTTCCGCCCGCTGTTCGAAGGATGCTACTTTGCTGCTTTCCTTTTCTTTAAAGCGCACGGACTTACCTTGTGGATATCCCTCTTTGGGCGTCCAGCTTCTCGTCTGTTTGCCTTTTGGACTTGCTGTACTAGTCAGACTGCCTCTGTACTATTTCTGGTTGCTTTCACGATTAGCACACCTGCAGGGCTCACTGCGGTGCCCTTCTTCCTTTACGGAAACTTTTCACGCTTCTCAGATTGACCTTTCACTAGGCGCATTCATGTTCTAGATCGATGCTATACAATGGTCAAGGTCATGCAGTTGATGGTGGTGAATTCAACTTCCTGCGGTTAGCGGCCTATGTCACCTCTATGCGGCATGGGTTGCGGTACAGACCGGTATTTATCATGCTGCTAGTCTAACTTAACCCTCGTTTTGGTGGTACACTGCCTCGTTTACTATACGTTTACAAATTTGCCTTCGCTTCCCCCGTCACGGGTTGGGCACGGTGACTCCTCTATATATTCCTCCCTAACATTTTCTTCTTGGAAGACACCCGAATCACGAAATGTTGATCTACTGGGTACGATTTTCAGATTTGTGCAGAACTTGGATAAGACGCATTCTCAGCTACCGTAATTGCAAGTTCAAACCTTATGGAAAGCCCCCTCCGGGGCGGCAACAGCATGGTCAACGTTCTATGTCATCGCTTCCAGGGGGAACTTGAATGTCGAGAAGGATGCAGGAACTTTGCTCGAGTAGAGCAATAGAGGTGAGGATACAGCCGGAATAAGAAATCACACAGGCGGACCGGTTCGGTGGGTGTGTTTCATGCTAAATGATCTCCTCCATAATGATTTGTAAAACTACATTTCTGAATGGAGGGATGCCGGAAGTACCCGTCGATATGTACAATCCTCGGAGAGAGGAGGGGCAGACAGATTCAAAGCTACCTTCTTAGTCTGGAATCTCTATACTAAGAGCCTTTCAATGTACGATGGGACTCGGAATTGGATGAAGCATCAGAGGCGCACTTAATATTTACCAGAGTTGACGGGAGTTCTTTTCAGGATCAAGGAACCGTCACAACTCGTGCTTGGAAACCCAATCTGGTTTTGAAAAGCTTGCGTTACCCAACGTTATATCGTCCATTTCTCTTGACGCTATCGTTGTTTATTGTGGCCAACTTCCGATCTCTCTCTAAGTAGTAAACTACGTCTGAATACTGAAAACGCTGAACGAGTCATCTCCTACTGCCAGAGATTCCGTTTCTGTTCAAGGAAGTTTTGGGGCATCAGAGCCCCACACACCACGAGTTACAAGTGTCCAGGCCACTGACTAACCATATTGAGTTTAGAGTTAAAAAAATTGTAATACGAGTATCTTTCTAAAATTCCCTTCCTCCATTCTAGGTTACCAATGTTGACAGGGACGACTTTTGCTTCCATTCGACTTTTAATTCTCACAATAGACCGTGGTGACACCACCTGAGCGTTGAGATACGGTGTTTGTCCAGCTACTGATATCTTCCCAGCCCCAAGCAAAGTCCGGATGTGGATAGCCAAATCGAGAAGGTCGACATTGGAATATATTCTGGATCACAAGGTGTACATTTTTTGGGTGGATCTATTCATATATATATGTCGTTTTGTCAGGCCTTGTGTCGACTTTGGGGATTTCATATCGTCATAAAGTCTAGCTTCATCGATTGCAACGAATAATTTATTATTTGTTTTTAGGTGTTATGTGTCCCTTAATGTGCTGAAGGGTATTTAACATCCCATAGCACATATCGCTCAGCTCCATAATACCTCCATTGCTGTTTGTGCTGTCTGTATCGCCATGTAGCTGTCAAACGTGTCCGTATAAAAGTTGACACAATGCCATCGATCCTCGTTGCATCCTGCCATTTACAAGTTTTTCCTGGGGTCTTACCTAACATATAATCTGGTCTGTATCTGGCATGTTTCGCCAGGTCTCGGTTCCTGCATCGAGGTCCCGTCGGAAGACCACTTTGCTTTTAACCTCCATCTACCCTCGTCATTCACCAATAATGTCTACGCATCGCCCACTAACTGTCGATCATTTGAATCCGTCGGTCCTGAAAGTACAGTACGCCGTACGCGGTGAGCTTGCGATCAAGGCTGAAGAGTACCGCAACAAGCTCAAGGAATCGAATCACGGCCTTCCTTTCGACAAGGTTATCTCCTCGAACATAGGGAATCCCCAGCAAAAGGGATTGGATCAGCCTCCGATCACTTTTACCAGACAGGTAAAAAAATCGAATCTGACTCAAAGACTTGAACAGCGCTGATGGCGCCATAGATCGCGGCGTTGATGGAATGGCCAGCATTGGCTGAGCTTGCGCCCAACGCCTTCCCTAAGGATGTCATTGCACGCGCGAAGGAGCTTCAGGAAGAAATAGGCTCGGTCGGTGCTTACTCGCACAGCATGGGTGTCCCCTTCATCCGGAAGAATGTCGCCAAATTTATTGAGGGTACGTGTTCTTCTCTCCAAATCATGCTTCTAGACGTGCTAAGCCATGTGTAGAGCGGGATGGGTACCCATCGAGTCCAGACAACATCTTCCTAACCGCCGGAGCTTCGGCAGGAGTCTCCCTACTGATCTCAATGCTCATTTCGGCTCCTCATTCTGGTATTCTCATTCCAATCCCGCAGTATCCCCTCTATACCGCAACCCTCGCGCAGCACAATGGCGCGGCAATCCCGTACCATTTAGATGAACCCTCCGACTGGGCCACGTCCGTCGAAGAGATCGAGGCTGGGATCCAGAACGCCATCAAAGCCGGAATCACCCCCAAGGCTCTCGTCATCATCAACCCTGGTAACCCGACCGGCGCTTTACTTGATGAGGCCACCCAGGAAGACGTTGTTAAGCTCTGCGAGCGTCACTCACTCGTTCTCCTCGCCGACGAGGTCTACCAGCTTAACCTCCACAGCCCCTCCACTCACCCCTTTGCCTCGTTCAAGAAGATCGTATCCCGGATGGGCTCTCCCATCGGTCTTATCTCCTTCCACTCCATCTCCAAGGGCGTCTCAGGCGAGTGTGGCCGCCGTGGCGGATACTTTGAGTGCACCAACGTCTCCCCGGAGATTCTCGCTCTGATTTACAAGATGGTTTCGGTCGGACTGTGCCCCCCACTCACAGGTCAAATCGGTGTGGACTCCATGGTGCGTCCCCCCAAGGAGGGCGAAGAAAGCTACGAATTGTGGAAGAAGGAGACGGATACCATCCATGAGGCGCTCGCGTCCCGTACTAAACTCATGTCTGCAAAGCTTAATGCGCTACCGGGTGTCTCATGTGTTGATTCTCCTGGAGCTTTGTATCTTTACCCCCAAATATCGTTGTCAGACAAGGCTATTGAGGAGGCAAGGAAGGCAGGAAAGGAGCCCGACGCGTTCTATGCCTTGCAACTGCTCGACGAGACCGGTATCTGTGTGGTTCCAGGAAGCGGGTTCGGACAAAAGGAAGGCCAGTGGCATTACCGCGTTACGTGTTTATGTCCTGGCGTTGAGGAATATGTTGGCAAGCTTGAGTCCTTCCATAGGGGATTTACTCAGCGATACGGGCAGTAAAAGGTAAATTAGTATAGTTGTTGAATGGTTAAATTAACAGACAATTGATCGATGGTCGGCTGAGCTCTTATCATCAAACGGGCACAATTCCTACACCAATTTAGGACATTATTAAACGGTAACAGGCCATTCAACCTTTCAAATGTCGAAGACAGATCATCCTCAACATGATGTCGGATCCGTCAACGGGACTGCTGGTCACTAGAATGTGCGAAACCCGCTTGCTCTCAGGATTGATGTACTTTTGACATGTAGTAATCATAACCATCGACGTTCTGAACCCCGGTCCTACGAAAGCGATGCTTCTAAAGTATCGCCCAAAGTCAAGAGGAGGTCAATATTACGTATCGCAAACATCGAACACGGTCCTAATAACATGATCAGCCTTCCTCCCTGTGTGCTTTACGAAACCCAGATAATCAAGCTCATGCAATGCGCGGATGAATCTAGCCTGAACCTGCAATTTCCACTTGCCCTCATTGCCTCCACCAACACTCTTCTTCCCTCGTTTTCTCGGGGACCCCTTTCTGGGACCCGAGGTCTCCCTGCGCTGAGTCTCCAGAACCGACTGGAAAGAATCAAACCAGTCATAGACGTTGATCATCTTCCCACTATCTAGATATCGCTGGAAAAGAATGCCAGTATCCGGAAGGTCCCATAGATTCGTTTCTTCCGGCTTTTTGGCGGAATCGCTAAACTCATGGGAGCGGAGCAGACCGGAGACGGTGGAAGCTCGTATCGATGGATTCATGAGCTATGCATATGTCAATCAGATTCATAGGGATAAATTGTGAACGTCCGCAACGTGCCTCCATTGGAAATGGTGTTTGACCTGTGGACCAGACTTCCCATAGGGGGAGTTCCTCAAGGGGCTGCACAAGTTCACTTCAAGGATACATCAGAACGCGTGATGGATAACCGAGGTTGATGAACGCACTCAAGATAATTAAGTAACCAATCTCCTATATCAATGGCAAGCTGCCGCATCTTCTCGGAATACTGATCATCGCCCTCTTGTGGTAAGCCAGCGATGAAATGGTCAATGTGTTCTTTGTGCTTCCCCTCTTGGTCCCGAATATGGGCGGGTGCATCGCGGTAATAGGTCCGCAAGGTATCCAAGAAGGATGATACTTCGGAGAACTTCAGTTTTCTGTACGGTCATGTGTCAGTACCTGTGCAAAGGGATCTGCGGGCGAAAAAACGAACCTGATGAGAGAACTTAGCATCTCAATGTGCTTTGTAGCTCGCCCTTTAACAAGATCAATGGCAATTCTTAACAAAGCAGTACTATGATGCGCATCCGGTTCGACACTCTTGTATCCTAAGCTCGCCAAGGATGTGTTGACGACTATCATTAATTCGAAGCCGAGCCGCGATTTCCTGATGCAAGCATTGAAAACCTCGCGAGCTTCATCGACTGCTATTATCAACGTAGGCAGTGGTTTCTCACGCCAGGCATCTGAAGTTTTGGTGGTGCACAACCGACCAAATAGTGTATCTACAAAGGAGTAGGATGCCACTGCCGATAGTATGTCTGCCGCAGGAGTAGTCTTCACTAATGGAGACAGTGGGTTGATCATGAAATGTTTCAAGTAAACGAGCTTTCAAGCCAGGTTGAATCAGAAAGGGCAATCAATGTAAGAACTTGATTTACCTGGAACATGTTCAATAAGGAATCCAACGAGGAATTGTATCGAGAGTAGTAGTCAACTATGAAGCCGAGAGCGGCAGGACCAAGCATAACATCGGGGTCGAAGGTGGTGGTAAAGAAAGTCTAGAGAACGCGTTAGTCCGTTGTTACTCTCATTCGATAGAGTCGTATACCTGCCGCAACATTTCTTCAAGGGCATGCAAGCCGAAAGGTACGTGGAATTGCCTAATCCGTAGAACCGCCAGAGTCGAGCGAGGATACGTAACATGCAGGTACGAAGGAGATTGAGCCGATGAGAGAGCCATGACGAAAACAAGGGGAAGTTGAGGGATGTGAAGACTAGAGAACAGCTATAACTTAGCACAAAAATGAAGGCGCTTTAGTGACAAACCTGCAGATGTCGATAATGTCTTGCATTACAGAAGGGTTAAATTGCTCAAAGTCGTGCAAAACCGCAACTAGACTCGGCACTTTTGCATTGCGCTGTTCTGAAGAGGGCGTTAGATGGCAACTAGACTGTACTAGGATAATTACCTCGGTCATTCCGAACGGCCGCGAACCATGCATTAAGAAGATTAATGTCATAGTTTGCAAGCGAAGTGGCTGGTTTCCTTTTGAATTGGGCTGACAGAACTGGATGAAGCGGGGAAAGAACAAGTAGCGCACACCTACCCACTTTTTGCTTTATCCGGTGGCCTGTCTATAAAGCCGGTGATCAACATTTTCATTCCGGCCATGATATTGGAGCATTCTGCAGGATGCAGGTGTGTGACGAATGAGCTAGGGTCAGCTTCGTCGTTCGAGCGATCGAGCTGGTTGGTGAGTTCATTGAGAAACGACGTCCCACCAGCAGGGTCTGACTAGTGAATTAATGTAAAATTCTAAGCAAGGAGAAAGAAGTCGTACTAGATATCGTTATGGTAGGCAGTTCAGGATATGGCAGCCCAGGAAAGGTTTCCGTGTACGCGTTTTTGATTTCTTCAGCAATAGCCTCAACAACGGGCTCATGTAGTTTCTGGATGATAGTCTACAGATATGCTTAGCGTGGTACAGATCCGCAATCATGGATACTCACTTGAAGCTTGTCAAGACATTTTGCCCAGGCGGATTGATACGCCTCCCACCTCAAGATATCGCCATGCTCAAGATCATTTTCAAGGACATCACGAGCCTCTCGCAAATCCGTCTCGTTTTCTTCTTCAGGACCGTCATCTGCCACAACTGTCACGATCCTGACTGCACAGAAGGGGCCTCAACGTACCCAAAGAGCTGTAGGGTATCAAAAACACAGACTGGTTCATATGAGATGGGAGAGCAAAGTTAGGACAGGAAACCGAACCTGGCTAATATCTTCAAAATTTGGAATCGGCGACATGACTGAAGAGAAGGAGAAAGAGTGGAGGGTGGGCAAAGGAATTCCCAATTTTGAGACCGGCCCTAAAGTAACATTTGACGCGTCGGGGTCGTGACGCGACCTCTTCCATTCACTCCATCTGCATTGTTACTTCGTGCATCAAGCATGTCTTCTCCTCCAGAAATCAACCTATCCTCCGATGATGTTGACATGGAGGACGCCACTGCTCCTCAGCAATCATCAGATGCCAATCCCCTTTTTTTCAAGGGCAGTACGCCTTCAACAGCAGGCACACCAGCTTCTCGGAGAAGGCAGAACGCGCCTGATAGTACACCTATGGCGGGAATAATAGCTAGGAGGGCAGTTGGAATGGCCACACCGAAGAGAACGCCACTTTTTGCAGGTGACTAGATTGTGCATGCTCTGTTGCCGCTCTCTCTCTGACGACGCTACCAGGTGGAAGCTCCTCTCCAATGGCCTTTCCAAGTTCTTCGCCTGCGAAAGGGAGCAGACAACGCGTAATCATCGCCTCAGATGGTCCACCAGATTCAGATCATCTCGACTTCCCTCAGTATGTTCTTTTTTTCATTACATTTTCCTCAGCTAAACCGCAAAAAGGAGCCCTTCTCTTCTTCAAACTCCTACACCAAGGAACCGGAGAGGAGATATCCACTCATCTCTATCGATTACCCCCAGCTCAAGTGCACGTCGTGCACGTCGGCCTGTCTCCAATGTCGAGCGATCCGACCCTTTCAATTCTGACGGTACTCATCTCGACACTCCCCCACCTCTTTCTGTTCCAGAGGCACCATCCGAAGAACCAGATGAAATTCGTGCCATCTGGGGTACCACCGTCAACCTCGCGGAAACCATGAAACTCTTCCGCGACTTTCTCAAAGGCTTCAAAACCAAGTATCGTGTGGCTCACGATCGCGATCACGGCCGACCGACGCGTGTTCTTGCCTCACCGGAGGAAGGAGAGGTGTTGTTATATGAGACCTATCTACGTCGATTGAGGCAGACCGGCGAAATGAACCTCAATCTGGATATGCAAAACCTCCTGTCGTATCCTCCTTCAAAGAAGCTTCATGGTCAATTGGTCAAATATCCACAAGAAGTTATACCAGCCATGGACCAAGTCTTGAAAGATCTTATGCTAGAGACAGCGGATATGGACCAGCAAGCTGGCATGGAAGGGATGGAGGGCGCCGATGGCGATGACGAGATTGCGGATATAATGGGCAAGGTATATAAAGTGCGCCCTTTTGGCCTGAAGGCAGTCAATATGAGGGATCTAAATCCTACAGGTGAGAATCCTGTGAACTTTATTCGTCAAATCGCTAATCAGGCTCTTAGACACGGATAAGCTCGTCTGCATCAAAGGTCTAGTTATTCGTGCAACTCCCGTCATCCCTGATATGAAAGTCGCGTTCTTCCGCTGCTTGACATGCTCGCACACCGTCCAAGTAGAAATCGACCGAGGCAAGATTGAGGAACCGGCGCGGTGTCCTCGAGACGTCTGTGCCACCATCGGGACCATGTCGCTCGTCCACAACCGCTGTGAATTCGCCGACAGACAGGTTATCCGTCTTCAGGAGACTCCTGATGCCGTGCCTGACGGGCAAACTCCCCATACTGTGTCTCTCAGCGTATACGATGAGCTCGTTGACGTTTCCAAGCCCGGTGACAGACTCGTCGTCTCTGGTATCTTCCGTAGCGTACCCGTTAGGGTCAACCCAAACCAGAGGACAATGAAGAGTCTCTTCAAGACCTATTTAGACGTTGTTCATGTTAAGCTTGGCTCCGGGACAGGGCTCGGATTCGACAAGTCGACGCGTCCGGCCGGAGGTGACCGCGTGCCGGGAGTTGGCGGGGTCGGAGACGGCGTTGATGATGAGGAAGAAGAACGAGGACGGGATGGAAAACAAACGCGCAGAGCTGAAATGGAGGATAAAATTCGACAGCTGAGCATGAGACCAGACATTTACGATGTGCTCTCACAATCTCTTGCGCCTTCGATTTGTGATATGGACGACGTCAAGAAAGGTATCTTGCTGCAACTCTTCGGAGGCACTAACAAAAGCATTGCTCGTGGTGGAGGTGGAGGTGGCCCAAGATATCGGGGGGATATCAATGTTCTATTGGTCGGTGATCCGGGTATGAGTAAATCACAGATCTTACAGGTCGGGGTTTCACTGCTGCGAGACGGAAAGGGATTGACTTTTTACCTTAGTATGTGCATAAGATTGCTCCCCGTGGAGTATACACCTCTGGAAAGAGCTCGTCTGCCGTCGGTTTGACGGCGTACGTTACTCGCGATCCGGACTCCAAACAGCTTGTTTTGCAAAGGTAAACCTGGCATTGGCGTGTTTTAATTGAAGGCTAATAATGTCGCCAGTGGAGCACTTGTTCTGAGTGATGGTGGTGTTTGTTGTATCGATGAGTTTGACAAGATGGCCGATGCCACACGCAGCGTTTTACACGAAGTTATGGTGAGCCTAGCGATTCCTATTCGTGCACGCTGCTCACTACACGCCTGAAGGAACAACAAACTGTATCAATTGCCAAAGCGGGGATCATCACAACACTCAATGCGCGAACCTCGATCTTAGCTGCAGCGAACCCAGTCGGGTCCAAGTATGACATCGACCTCCCCATCACGCGAAACATTGATTTACCTCCAACGCTAATCTCTCGATTCGACCTTTTGTACCTGGTCCTGGACCAAGTGGATGAGGCTCTCGACCGGCGATTGGCGCAACATCTTGTTGGACTGTACCTAGAAGACACGCCGGCCTCAGGAAACACTGACATTCTAGTAAGCCGGCTTCGCTCGCTTGATGTCATTTGATTAAAATTTCCTCTTCGAAGCCTATAAACGAGCTCTCTGCGTACATCGAGTATGCGCGTAACAAAGTTTATCCCATGATTACAGAAGACGCAGGGGCGGAGCTCGTTCGTTCCTACGTCGAGATGCGTAACATGGGGGACGACCCTCGCGCGAGTGAGAAGCGGATTACGGCGACGACTCGACAGCTGGAGAGCATGATCCGGTTGTCGGAAGGACATGCGCGTATGCGATTGTCTGAGTTTGTGGAGGTGGAAGATGTCCGGGAGGCATACCGTTTGATGCGTGAGGCGATCAGAACCAGTGCTATGGATCCCCGCACTGGCAAGATTGATATGGGCATGCTGAACACGGGTACTGGGCAAGGACAGAGGAAGCTGAGAGACGATATGCGAAAGGAGATATTGAATATTCTCAATGGTGCTGGAGGCGGAAGGGGGGTCAAATGGGCCGACACAATAAAGGCCCTTGGTGGCCAGAGCAGCGTCAGGATTGACCCCGCCGAGTTTTCTGAAGTCATCAAAGGTCTGGAGAACGAAGGTCTCTTGAAGGTTGTTGGGGAAAGGGATAAGCGTATGATTCGGAAGATAGACGGTTGATGTACGAAATTCTTACTTTTGTAGTCTGCGTGGTGTATATTTATTAATTTATTTGGTTGTATCAACATACGTCCAAGTGTGACAGTGCGCAGCGCAGGGCTTATTTTTGCTTTCAGATATTTCACCCTTTGGCTACGTTCGCTCTCGGAACCATTATTGGCGCGTAGCCACAGACATCAGAATACAATGTCTCCATCAAGTGTGCTCTTACAAACAACATGCTTGCATTAGCTCGGCTAAAGATGCCTTTTAACGTCGTGTAGGAGCATAATTTGTGCGACGGCATGGTACTGGAGCGCTGGTATTCTGATTCCGTTGTTCTTGGTCGGCTCCTTTGGTCTTGAAACTTGGACTATCGCTAGACCTCAAGCTTCAAGCTTCAAGTACTCAAAAAATAAAAAAGGATCTTGATCCACTTGATCATTTACCTCTTTCTCTGCAGAGCTGTCGGTCCGGTCCCGATTATGGTCTACGTGATATTTCCAGTCGCACGTGTGACCCAAACCTTCCTTCTCTCTTACGCTGTCGCGTCGCTCGTTCCGTATTTTCTAGATGTGGTGCGCTGCTTCCACCATCTGAGGACGGCCCTTCCAGAGTGCATATATATTCACGTTCTTTCTTTCCCTCTCACTCGTTCAACATGCGGTTCGCTGCTTTACTCCTTTCCTTTGTTTTGGCCACGGCTCGAGCTACACTACTTGAGTCGGCCGACGAAGTACTTTTATTCGATGCGCCCGCCTTCCAGGATCCAAACAATGCTTCTAACAGCGTCATCAGCTTGCAATCTTTTGTATATCACAAACAAATCGATTTAACAACTTTGACGAATACCCTCACGGCATGGGAGAACAACGGCAGCATAGACAAGGCGGTGGAGAGACTCAAGTTGTTTGCTGCAGTTGGAGTGCCAGGCGTTTCGCTTTCGGTGGACGTAGCTGAGTGCAGTGAGCAGGCAACCTTGTCTGCCACGTCGGGTCTACCAGACCTTGGATTGGCTGTGACAAACGCGTCCATAGGTCGATGCGAGGGAGGAAACACCTTTACAGGGACGTTGCTCAATAATGGGGATACCATTTCCACAACGATATTCTCATCCGGCACCGATGGCTTTGGGGTTATTTCCGGTGCGCGTACATTTAAATTCCTTGGATTCCGTTTTGGACTGACTCTTGTTCTAGATATCGACGACACTGCGAAAGTGAGCCACGTTTTGAACAAGCTTGAATATGTGAAGACCACCCTCTTCGATAATCCGGAGCCTGTTCCAGGTAACGTGCTAGTTACCTGCTTAGTCCTTCTTTGGAAACTCACTACCGGCGTTAGGCATGCCTAATCTGTACGCGTCTCTTGCCAAGACACTTGACAACCCTCCGTTCATCTACATCACGGCTTCCCCTTACCAGCTCTTCCCATTGCTGCGTGACTTTCTCAAGGCGTCATTCCCAAATAGCCTCGGTCCTATCTTTTCACAGAATCTGACCCTTGAAGATGTCACCCAAGTCGTTGATATCATCTCCAACCCCAACGATATCTTAGACTTTAAGCTCTCTCAAATCGATCGCGTCCAAGCCATGTACCCGAACAAAACGTTTTTAACCGTCGGTGACTCAACGCAGTCGGACCCAGAAGTATATGCTGGAGCGTGAGCCAGCTGTTATAGTTTATTTAAGGAGATGCGGATTAACTAATGATGATTTCACAGGTACAGGAAATACGGCGACTTTATCCGATGCATCTGGATCCATAGAGTGGATGGTGCCAACAATTCTTACGAGAGATTTATTACTGCTTTCGAAGGTGTTCCAAAGAACAAGTACAGAATCTACACGGATAACGATATTGCTGGCCTTGCAGACATTGATGTTGCAGGAGGCTCATGTTAGCTCGCGGTTATTATAGATATGGATTATGTTCCTTATACGATATGGATTTTGCAGATGGCTTCGGTTCATGACGTTCTGTGAGCTCATAAATAACCCCCCCCCCCCCGAAAAGAAAAAAGAAAAAAGATTCGGATATCAACGCCGAAATTCAGTCGATTTCATCCGGTAAAAATTCAGCTCCATATTTATCACCTCCTCATTGCCATGAGGGAGTATTCATGACAAGGCTTGAGCAAAGTGGTAGAGCATGAGGTAGGTTCACATCTTCTGTATGCCACTCACATTCAGTACACTTCGTAGATAGCTATCTGTAGCTACGGACGCCGTTACGTTTCCATTCAGGTGCACCAGCAACTAATAAAAAATACTCCCACCATTTTTTTTTTTTTCATTTTTTGTCAGGATGATTGTAATCTAAGAAAGTGACGCGCATTCATAGCACCTAGTAGAGTACACTGTTAGCTATAATGTAGACTACAGGATACCAATCAGTAACATAAACGAAGCAATATAAGTAGATACTCACCCTCACACAGCGTAGCGATAAGCAGAAACACGGTGAGGGTGCTCGACAGACCGTATTCAATATATATAGTCCATCCCGACATAAAGGGGTATCAAGCTCCGCCGGCAGGATATGACAGAGCTCCTGCTTGCTAATCCAACACTCCCCCTCAAGCAGAGCGAAGTCCAAGCTCAGTAGCAAAGTGCTTCACCTTGGCCGAAGGTAAAGGCTTGGTGAGAGCATTGGCAATCATGTCCTCAGTGGGACAATAAACAAGACGAAGGGAGCCTTCACTGATGATCCAGCGAATGAAGTGGAAGCGAATGTCGATGTGCTTGGTTCGGGCATGATACTGATGATCTCTCTGAGAGTGCAATGACAGACTGATTGTCTGAGAATAAAGTTGTAGCATCAGTAATCAGTGAGAAAACTTGAGAGAGCAGACTGCGAAGCCAGAGCACCTCCTTTGATGCATGTGTTGCAGCCACATATTCAGACTCAGTGGTTGAAAGCGAGACAATCTCCTGCTTTTTAGACGACCACGAAACAGCTCCACCATTCAGCATGAAATCGTACCCAGTAATGGCATGCCTATCCTCTGGCATGCTCCCATCAGCATCCACATATCCATGCAAAACCTTTCCGTTTCCCCCAAACGTCAGCCAGTAATCCCTCGTACCCTTCAGGTAGCAAAAGATGTGTTTTACATCCTTCCAATGGGCCTCTGCAGCAGCCGTTGAATATTTCGAGACTGTTGTCGTGGCAAATGCGATGTCAGGGTGTGTCCCAAGCATAACCCAGATCAAAGAGCCAACAGACTCCCTGTAAGGAACATCTCTCATGGCTGCAATTTCCCAGGTAGAGGCTGGTGCAGGAAAGGAAGACAAACGGAGATTAATATCCATTGGTGTAGAGACTGGTTTGAGGTCTTCAAAGCCATAGCGACGAACAATGGCATCGATGTACGAGCGTTGGGAAAGGGAAACATAGTGTGACTCACAGTCACGCGTGATCTTGATGCTGAGAATCCAGTGCAGCTCCCCCAAATCTGTGACTTCCATGTATTTTGCCATACCTTCCTTTACCTCTCACACTAGATGCAATGATGATGCTGCAATGGTGCAGTCATCAACATGTACAGCAATGACAGTCAAATTTTGGCTCTCCTGCTTATAAAACATGGCTTGATCAACATCACACTGCTTGAATCCCAGCTGTGCCACCAAAACCTCAATGAGATGTTGATACCAGCAATGACCACTCTGCTTCAAACCATACAGAGTCTTTATGAGATGGCAGACTTGACCAGGATGAGAGCCAGGCTCAGGATAGCCAGAAGGTTGATGCATATAAATGATTTCTTCATTGGTGAGCTTTCCATTCAAGTATGCACCCTTGATATCAACTTGATGGAGCTCTAGGTCAAGTGCTGCAGCCATAGCAAGGATTGAATGGATTGATGCAAGTCTTGCAACAGGGGCATAAGTGTCAAAGTAGTTGATGCCAGGTACTTGTGAGAACCCTTATGCTAGACTTGCACCAATCTGTTCAATCCTTGCTATGGCTGCAGCACTCAATATCAAGGGTGCATACTTGAATGAAAAGCTCACCAATGAAGAAATCATTTATATGCATCAACCTTCTGGCTATCCTGAGCCTGGCTCCCATCCTGGTCAAGTCTGCCATCTCATAAAGACTGTATGGTTTGAAGCAGAGTGGTCATCACTGGTATCAATGTCTCATTGAGATTTTGGTGGTGCAGCTGGGATTCAAGCAGTGTGATGTTAATCAAGCCATGTTTTACAAGCAGGAGAGTCAAAATTTGACTGTCATTGCTGTACATGTTGATGACTGCACCATTGCAGCATCATCATTGCATCTAGTGTGAGAGGTAAAGGAAGGTATGGCAAAATATGTGGAAATCATGGATTTGGAGGAGCTGCACTGGATTCTTGGCATCAAGATCATGCATGACCATGAGTCATGCTCTGTTTTCCTTTGGCTTGAACACTAGTGGAAAAGCAGAGGTAGAAGATGGACCAGTTGTCACCAGATGTGTTCAGTGTGGGAACATTTGATGGTAGGCCTGTAGTCAAGGCAGCAATGGCAGAAGTCATTTGAGTATGAAGGATGGGATAGAGTAATTCTCAGGGCCATATAACCTCTAAGAAAGTGACATGTGTTCATAGCACCTAGTAGAGTACACTGTTAGCTATAATATAGACTACAGGATACCAATCAGTAACATAAACAAAGTAATATAAGTAGATACTCACTCTCACACAGCATAGTGATAAGCAGAAACATGGTGAAGGTGCTCAATGGACCATATTCAATATATATAGTCCATCCTGACATAAAGGGGTATCAAGCTCTGCCAGCAGGATATGACAGAGCTCCTGCTTGCTAATCCAACATGTAATTGAGTGACACTTTTTGAGCTCTGAAATGGGTGAGTTTGGCTTGCTGTGCCGATTTCCATGAAGCTGAATCAAACTTTGGATTGCAGTGACTCGAACACGTATTCTCGACTTGGACTTCATTCACAACTCTCCTCTACTCACCACTCTGAGATGTGCGACACTGTCTGTGATATGAAGACCACCGAAACTACTACGCAAAGTTCAATTCTGACCGGTTCTGACCACGCATTTCTGCTATTAATATGCCCCTTGCTCTGAGTATGGCTTACAATCTACCCGTGTCGTAGTGAGTAGTCTTAGTTTAATTAAAATTGAGCTCAATAGAGCCTAATGGATCTCATACACAGCTTGACCGGTAACAGATTGCGTTGGAAAAGGATTGATATTCCGAAATCCGGAATACTTAAAGCCCTGTTGAATCTTCCTCTCAGTGTATTTGACATACTGTCGGACTGTGGTCTTAATTGACGTCCTGAACAAAAACTTGAGCCTTCGCGAAATTGCTTCGATTTTCATCGGTTCCCCCACCTACGTTGGAAGTCTTTAAGATGTCTTTCGACTTCGATTCACAACCTTCTATGACGCATAGATGTTGCAACAGTGCCTACAGGCAGTATCGAATTTGGAATTGATTCATCGCTTCCCCGCATTCCAGCTTGGCCACGGCGTCTGGTCTGATAAAGTCTGATAAACGGAAGAAATTATTGATTTGCAATTGTGAGGAATCTCCCTTTTCACAACGATGGCCTTGACGCTCCCTTCCCCGTTCAATGAGCTCCCGAGGGAGCCCTTACTCTTTGGACCCTCGCCTATCCATATTCTCAATCGAATGACCGACGATCTCGGCGGCGCAGTGAAGATATGGGCCAAACGCGATGATTGCAATTCTGGACTTGCGTTCGGCGGCAACAAGACGCGAAAATTGGAGTATCTTTTGGCGGAAGCTCTCGCCCAAGGCGCCGACACTCTAGTGAGCATTGGAGGCGTGCAGAGCAATCACACACGACAGGTTGCGGCAGTCGCAGCGAAATATGGGTTAAAGGTATGTCTGATAGCTATTGATGGCCAAGTTTATCACTGACATTCTCGATAGGCTAAACTTGTTCAAGAGCACTGGGTAGACTGGGAAGACGTCGTCTACGACAAAGTAGGGAACCTACAGCTTTCACGGTTAATGGGGGCGGAACCACGGCTGGATCCTTCCACCTTTGGTATCGAACACAAACCCACCGCAGCCTCCCTCACCGCCGAAGTCGAATCCGAGGGCGGGAAACCGTACTACATCCCGGCCGGCGCCTCTGACCATCCCCTCGGCGGACTCGGATTCGCTCGATGGGCATTCGAAGTTGCCGCGCAGGAAAAAGAACTGGGCGTGTTCTTCGACACGATAATCGTATGTGCCGTGACCGGATCCACGTTCGCGGGTATGATCGCAGGGTTCAAGCTCCTTTCCAAGCTTGACCCCTCCTCGCCACCCCGTCGCGTGATTGGGATAGACGCGTCTGCGAAGCCTGCAGAGACCAAGGCGCAGGTTCTGCGCATTGCGAAGAACACTGCTGCGAAGATTGGGTTGAGCGAGGCGGATATTACAGAGGCGGATGTGATCTTGGATGAGAGGTACCATGCGGGATCGTATGGCATACCGGATAAGCAGACGATAGAGGCTATAAAGTATGGAGCGAGGTTGGACGCGTTCATTACGGATCCGGTGTATGAAGGGAAAAGTCTAGCTGGGATGGTTGATATGATCAGAAAGGGCGAGATCAAGGGAGGGAATGTTCTCTATGCGCATTTGGGTGGACAGTTGGCACTTAATGCGTACTCTGAAATGGAGAATAAGGTAGGAGCTTGATTGGATTTATTTTTGCGTAACCAAGTGCATTTGAAGCGAGAAATCAACGTAATTGTAAGTAAATGGAAGCTGTGTTCTGCTTGTTCTGCTGATCCTACACCTCACTGATAATCTTTGCCCTGACTTCATCGTCGACAAATAGAATGATGATGTCTAAGCCCACGAGTACATCGGGCACACATTCGTCGCATCGACCGTGATGAAGAAAGGTGCTGACAGCGACACAGTGCGCAGTAATATATATATATATATATATATATGATACTCAGGCTGGACATCCGTAGATCCCTAGACGCCTTGATATTGCAGACAATGGCAATCGCTTTCACCCTTGAAGCTTGAATGGCCATATGCAGATGGTCTCTAGGTATATTTGATTAAAAGCCTTGTCGATAACAGCTTACTTGTATCACAGGTGTCAATGATGTGCGTATCCAATGTTGGTCGCGAAGTCTATATAATCTGTAGGTTTTAAGCGCAACTGGATGATAATAGCGCAGAAAGACGGGAAGTCAAGCCATACAATTTGGTCAAGGAAGGCCACACCACAGAGCTTGCATTATTACGTCCTGTCTGTAATTGACAAAATTCTCGTCATTATGAGTGGACTTCAGTATCGTGCCGCCTGGTCTGGATGGTCCAGCAGTTCGCCAGCCATATCATCATCATCTACGCTGATGTTAAGCTCCTTTACATCCTCCATCTCTTCCTTGTGAGCAACGATGAAATCATCATCGCTGTCCCAGTCTTCTCATCAGTCTCCGTATCGTCGTCGCAATCATCATTATTGCCATCGGGCCCAGAGAAACGTGCACGCTCCCTTCTCCCTTATCTTTCTCTTTTGAGGCGGCAGCTTACCCACCACTTGTCGTATGAGGGTGAAATACTTGGGGGTGCCGAAAGAATGGAAGGAAGAGATAATCGCTCGTAAATCTTTAAGCTAGGCGACCGAGTGTGATGCCGACCTCGGTCGAACCATTTGTGGATCCCATCCGTATGTCTAGAAGAGTGGGTAGGGTTCGTTATGAGTCCAAAAGGCTTCCTGTTAATCGCAGGTCAATGTTCGCCTGAATGTGCCATGACAGAAATGTCTATACCTCGATAGATGAACACCAATATTTGTCATAAGTCTCATGAAACTGGCTTTCCAGCATCATGCTGTTTGTGAGCATTTCTACCATGTGTAACGAAACCGGCTTATAGGCCCCTGGCTTCCAAGGCTTTCCGGCCAGTATGGGGAGTCGGACATCTAAAAAACCAGGCTCGCCGATGTAAGTCAGAACTGGGGACTTGGGATAGCAGATCTTGCAGATAACATTTGAAAGCTAATACTTCATACGCCCCATCGTTCTGTCCGCATTCAATGATGTGGCAGGCGATTGACGACAGGCACGATGTGAAAGGGCAGCAGGCCTCGTCCGGGTGACCTCGTCTGAGATAAGTAGCCCGCTATAAGATCAACACTCAATTACGATACCCGTCTGTGGAGAGTAATGAGTTGTCTTACATCGCCGGGGTGCTGGAAAACAAATTAGCGGCGCTTATTCTTATGTGCCAGAGTTTTGACTTACACGGCTCTTATCCTCTTTGGTCGATTGCATGCTAAGATTGGTTAGATTCGCAGTGGGCGGCGAGCCCCTATGAAGATGTAAGCATATTGAGGCGATGGCCTACGTACCCCTTGACCTTGATCCATAGAATTTTCCCTGCCAGTTCCTTCATTGGCATCGAGTGTTCCTCCTGGGGCAGCTGACATCCGGACTCTTGATTAGTATAGAAACCACCTAAGGACCCTCATTGAGTAGAGCCTCTACAGTGAAAACGGCTTGGGTATTGATAGGCATTGGTGCCTCTGACAGACACTACACCATCCACTTATGGGTAGTAGAGGAACAGTAAACATGGGTTACTGGTGGTTCTGCATGTTGGCCACGGTTGCCATAAGAGTTCCGGTGGCGGCCGACACCCCTTTCCCTGTAACCACAATGACCATCAGCATCGCCTATAATTTGTGGTTTGACAAGGATGGCCTGGTATGTGGAAGCCAATAATATTCTTGAACTCATATCAAGGGCAAAATTGCTTGCTCATCGAATCCAGCTTGAACCACCTTCTGGCAAAAACATCGATGTCACCTAGCAGTGACAACGACCTCCTGGACCCTGTTGGTATCTCTCTGCTCCTTGGAACTTGCGCGATTTGTCGTCAAGAACATAAGCAACGAGTAAGTACTTATTATGTATTGCGTACCCCTAATGGAACAATTTCAGCTACGTCCTTGGCGTACACGACGAAACATTGGGCGGACACGACGTGGTAAATACCTCTCTCCTGATGCTTTCTCAGCTTTCCCAGGTACAACTACGATAGCGCAAGAGAGATGTAACGAATCGTGCCGTGTCCCATCTGGCTCAGGGTAACCAATGTTATGCTCATAATGCTGCCATTGAGCAGCGCTGCTCCTCAGATCCCAACTGTAGAACGGGACCTCTTTGAACCATTCAAACCAGGCGCACTCCTCCTTAACCTCGCTAGATCTACGTCCAAGCTGGAGATCCACATGCGCCTGCGTAAACGGCTTAACTTGAGTGGAAACGTAGTTCCGAGTCAGGCTCTCTTCTTCGTCGTAATAACGTTCTTCGAGCAGCCTGATGACAACAGGAATGACGCGAACTCTTGTTCCGTTTATCTGTCTAGCCGCCGACAACATCACTGCATCATATCCGTTGAGCTCGACTTCCGTCCCCGTCGAGTACTTGCGGCTGAGGATTATCCCAAAAGGACGTGGAATGCCCTGGAGGACAGGCTCGGTTTCGTCGACCAAGTCAGCAAAACGGGTCGCGGCCTCATTCGGATCCCCGGTGCTGAATAACTTGAACGCGATGACGGCCCGCGCACATCCCGGAGCCAGAGGCGTCACTTCGTGTGGGACATCGGGGTGAAAGGCAACCCAACTACCCGCCGCTGTATGTAAGTAGTTGCTGTCTATGTGAAAGTTCCCGAAGCTGGACGTTCCTGCAGAGTCATACAGTCCGACGAGGAATTTGCCCACGAGGCCATGTTCCAAGGCGTCGCGATGAGCCTTGAAGTGACCGCCTTCTCCGTAGATATGGATTTTGTGTGGCTCGACACGGACATCGCCGGGGATGAAGTTCTCTTTCCAGATCTTTGCAATCTCGTCTAGCAACTCGGGCTCCACGGTAAATTCATCTGCGTTGATTTCTCGCGCGTTTCGAACGTTGATATCTACTTTGGTTTGGAGATCCGCGGTGTCGCCATACCTTGAGATGATGGTGTTCTGGAGCCACGAGTGGAGAATGTCTTTGTTGAGCTGGCCGAGTTTGCCGTTGAATTCGCAGTCTCGACGGGTTACTTTGAGCTCTCTTTTGATCGTCATAGGACCGAGTCGACCAAATGCGTATCGTCTCAACAAATTTACGCCTTGCTTTTGCATGGAAATGACCTTGTCCAATACTTGTTTCTGTCGTATATCGATGAGACTCAGATTAACCTCTACAGTACGACAGCTCACCTGCGCTTGTTTGGGCGGTTTCTGGTGCTCGAAGTAGGACACGATGGCACCAATTTGAGAGACCTTGGAGTCTTTGTCGAACATGGTAGTGAGGGCGGTGTTTATGTTGTACGCTGTGCGCAGGCCTGGGTGAAAGGTCTTGATACTGTATGCCGCATCAAGTAGCGCCTATGGGTGTCCCGTCAGTTTCAATGATACGATGTCAGTGATTACTGCTGACCCGAATGTCGATGTCGTTTTTGGTCTTCTTCACCTGCTGAATGGACGAATCTGGTTCATCAGAAGTACTCCTGGTGTGTTTAGACATTAATCCGAGTCTTATGCAGGCGAAAATATTTTCAAAGTGGGTGCGCTGAGCAAGTATAAGTATGGCAAGAAGAAGCTCCACTCTGAACTGTAATGGAACCATGACTCGTGATCACGCTCCAAGACTTGTGGCAGATATTAGTCAGGAACTAATCTTCTACGTCTTGGATTATGTATTTTGTGTGAGAACCTTCAGACGGCCCCGATCGTTAATGGGGGTTGGAGTGAGTTGGATGGTTTCGTCTCAGGCTACTGTTTCAGTTTCATAACCATCGATAATCTCTTTTCTACCCAACGTCAATGCCGGATATACGATTCGTTCAAGTCGCTTGCTGGTGGAAGGGAACCGAACTTCACAAGCAAACTCCTTTCGCTATTCCTCTATCACCCATTAGCACCGGGTCATGTAGTGTTCATCGAAGGCCATCGATACCAAGCATTTTTCACCGCCGAGGCTCTACTCAATATCACGAGGGTCCTTGGGCGGTTTCTATATCCCTTCTGACTCCTCTCACTGACTCAAAGCCGCGGAAAGACAACATCCTTCGATTTACTTTTCACGGCGAACAGTCTGAAAACGATCAAGAGCCCGGGTGGCAGCTGGACCAGAAGAAACTCTCGGTGCCTCTGAAGGAACTGGCAGGACAAACCCTATGGATGAAGGTCCAGGGTAGGTACTCGATAGCTTCAATATGCCCTATGTTTACTCTTTTCTAGAAGCTCGCCGCCCACTGCGAATCTATGCAATCGACCAAAGAGGATAAGAGTAATATAAGTCAAAATTCTGGCACGTAGTAACAAGTGATGTTAATTATGTCCTCAGCACTCCAGGGAAGTAAGATAATTAATCACTCTATAGGCGAGTATCGTAATTGAAGTTCTTGATCCTATAGTGGGGGATCTTTGGTAGAAACGGGATTACCCGAAGGATGCCAGCTGCCCCTTCACGTCGTGCCTATCAGCAGCCGCCTGTTACATCATTGAATGTGGACAGAACGATGGAGCATGCGAAGTACTACCGAAGCTTTCAAATGTTTTCCACGACATCCACTATCCTGAGCTGCGCCCAACTTACAGTAGCGAGCCTGAGGATTTTTTAGATGTCCGGTTTCCCATACCGGCAGGAAAGGTTTTCAAGCTAGCTTCCCCGCCAATGGGAGAAATGCCCACAAACGGCATGATGGTGGCATCCGACTTCCATATTACCTATGACAGATATTTATGGTTGATCTATCGGGGAGGAGGTGTCTTTCGTTGGCTTGTTGAGGCAGATATTGACCTGTCATCAACAGCAGGCGTTTTGGATCGATAACGAACTCTGTCCTTTTTACCAGACGTATGGTTGGGATCTGCAAATGCCTCTGGACGACTGCGCCGCCTACCAAGGTGAACGAAAGCTGCGGAAGATGGAACAGCACGTTACACGAACCCAGCTGCTAGAGTTGCGGGTGATCATCTCTTTCTTCCATTCTTTTGACACCCTCAACTATTGCAAGATAATAGAAGATGTCGTAGATCATCATCGCCTAAGAAGAGAAAGACAACAAGCAAGGGAGGGATCAGGAAGCGTGCGCATTCTTCTAGACACAGTGATAATGATGACGAGGGTAAAGACGATACGGACTCTGACAGCGAAGACGAAGACGAACTTGTCCATAGTCTAGAGATGGAAGTTGAACAGCGTAACATCACAGCGCAAATCATGCTGATTTGGCTGACGAATTGCTGGTCCATTCAGACCAAGCAGTCCCAGAAACGACTCCGAATCTAACGTATAATGTCCGGTTATAATCAACAAACTCTGCTGTGGCTTTCCTTGTCGTGTCTCGATTATAGAGAAATTGCACTGCGTGGCTTTCTTTCGTTCCGCGCTGCGTTAGTACCTTGGTTCCTCCTACCCTTACTATCTCGATTATACTCAACGTTCGACATCAATGAAAATCACTGTAATAAGTCGATGGATCCTCCACGTATGTCAACAAGGTATCGCTTGTCAAGCAACAACGACAATTTACCTATGAACATTCAAGGGCCCTCTCCTAGGATGCGACAACGAGGCTCTAAGAAAAATGGATTTGCTGGAGAGCGTTTACATTAGTTTCGAACCACGTTCACCGGAATGGGACACACTCTCAAGGCTCGCATGGAGGAGAATTTTTTGGGGCTGAAGCATCTCGGCCGTGAAGTAGTGGATGCTGTGAGATGCAATTAAATTTTGAGTCCTTCGGGTCACTTGTGCGTAAGATGGACAGGTCGATGGCGTAAGTCTTGTGTCCCTTTCAACTATCAGCATGCTCTGACAGAATTTGTAGTTTTCTATGGGGACTTTCTTTCTCAATATCTTGTCATTCTCTTTTGGTATTACCTACACTGATCGCCAACGCCGATCTTTTCCCTCCATGACCTTTGTAAAACTACCAAAGACTCGTTTCGGACCTATACGTAGCTCGCGCTTAGGTGTATATATCACTGGATATTTACAAAGACCACTTGGTAAAAATTACAAATATGAAGCTGGTTATAAGGGGTCCAAAGACAAGAATCAAGTCAAGCAAACCCAGAAGCGCGTTGTCGAGTGATTACACTTTGATCTGGCATGCGGCGTTCTAGTATGATAGCTGTCCAATCGGGTCTTTCGGGGATCTGGCACAGCTGGTACCAATACCAGTGATCATCCTGGCCCGTCATCACGACCAAAGAACAATCTCGGTCTGAATTCACCACCTTTGGGGTTACTCCCTGAGACACTCTCGGGATCATACGATTAGGACAGCGCGGACCCTTTATTCGGCCTTCATCCTTGCTACAACTTGCGGTGCGCACTTCTCATCATCTACCGTATCATCACTGTTACACGGACAGGAAGCGACACAGGAGGTAGACTCAGAGCTTATCGCCATGTTATCAAGATCATAGTTGAATCATCGGCTCTTTATACTGTAACTTTGATCTTATATGTGGTTTTCTATGCTCGCGAAGACATCACTTTGCATTACTTCGACTGCCTAGCAGGAATTGCAAGGGTACTCTCATATGCATTTCCTGGCTCCACATCTAACAGGCATACCATAGGGAATTGCTCTGACGCTCCTCGTCGGGCGTGTCGCAGCAGGTCACGCTCGCCCTGACGACTCGTGGCAAGGAAGCGTGATACCGGGCTCACTTCAGGACATATTCCAGAGTTCAGAACACTCAGCGAGATTACATGATAAGCAACGACTTCGGCTCAGAAGCTCAGGTGGGAGAGGGTGAACATCCCCGTCACACACTGAAGGAAGATACTGCGGACAAGGTTGTCATAGGTGGAGATGATGACCCCGGGGCCCGGCTGGAGACTAGAAGACAGTCATTTGAATAACGAGAATGTCGTTCATGGGGATGACCCTCGGAAGGTTTAGCCTAATAGACTACAGGACAATCACCTCAGCGCGATCACATTCATTGCCATATGAAGGGATTGGTAGCGACGATGTTATCTCTCTGATAACACGACAATCAATTGAACTAGCTGCTGCCCTAGCAACTTTTCCTCGCTCATGGAGGTTTACATATCAGTCTTCATCAGTCAGTAGTCTGGTACCTCTCGATTTCCCCATCTCCCAACTGTAATATCATGTAATGCGATGCATTACCATGCAGAGGGCTCTTGAGCAACGCCGTAAGCCTTCATCCTACATCAGCCGCTTTCCCATACCAACTTCGCTGCTCATAATTTCGGCTGATGAATGGTTGGTAGATGGCAGAAGGAGAGAGAGGATACAGAGTTCTTATTAGATATATAAGAATGGTAAATGTACAAAGTGTGGTATGAAGCTATTGGTGCATATATCAAGAAATCGAATGGGTTCTAAGGCTACAGAGGAATGCGCATTGGCAAATAAATAATTAGCAGAGCGCATAAAATATCATAAACAGTCATTAATTGCAAGAATCCTTCGGGGCATCAAGCCCTCAAGAACATTTCGATGGGAATGGGCTTCCTCCTCAAACCCGAGCTGCCCGTGCTCTCAACGCTGGCCCCGCTACCAGTTGTGCTCGTACTCGTTCGACGCTTCAACGACGGGGCATCACCCTGCGAGAACCAAGTGACAGCTGAGAAGGTCGAGTTGGTCGGGGAGTCGACGCTACTCCGGAACGGGAACCCTCGTTTCTTCTCACCAGGACTTCGTTTAGCCTTATCCTTTCCTCCCTTGAAGTAAGGCAGCACGCGCTTGGCCAAAGTCGAAGAGCGCTCTTCCTTCACGGAGCCCAGAGTGGATGTGCTGAACCGGCTCCGAAGCACACGCCCGTTCTCAAGCTCAGCTAGGTAGTCATGCTGTTCCTCTTTGCTAAAGGACCACCCGTTGGACGACGACGGCTTGGCAGAGTATTTCTCATCTTCCCGTGTACGGAGCTCCTCAAGACCGCCCCGGATATCCGCTTCCAAATCAATAGGCGAGCAGGGGAGGGAAAGGGGGAAACGAAGGTTTGCGGACGAATCCAGGTCGAAGGTGAAGTCGACGAGTGAAACATTGGATAAGCTGTCATCTTCGGGTGCAGGAGATACGGAACTTGACTCCGGCTCAGAGTAGTGGCTACCGGAGCTGAGCGAGGCAGCTTCGAGGTAGTACAGCAGTACGTCGGCGCCATCCTCGTCGGCTTCGGCAGGTACAGGCAGGGAGGTACGGGGAGGGGGGCGGACAATGGTGAGAGACTTAGGACGCGTCTTCTGGGTGCTGGGAAGCGCACAAGCAGATTCGGGTCGCGATGCGGAGGTTTGAGAGTGGGGAGGCGCATAGAGTGATGAGAGAGAAATTATTTTGTTGAATTCCTGCGTGTAGTACTCGTAGTCCTCGTCTAAACCGCCACTCAACTCCTCGCAGCTGATTTTCTTGTGGAGTCGGCGGTGGATTTTGTTGATGACAAGAGGCTTAGTCGCAGGATATGAGAACACGTCGTCGTCTTCTTCCGAAGAAGAGGGTTCTGGCGACGTAGGGAGACTGGTGGTGAGAGAACGAGGACTTGAATAGGGAGACGGCGTAGTGCTCGTCGAAGGCGACGAAGAACCTGGTGAAGGTGGGCATATGGAAGGGGGCATCGAGCTTGGAGTAGAAGTCGGGGGATGGGGGAATGGATAGGTAACTTGGGTGAAGGTAAGATGGAAAGGGTCCGAAATAATGTTTGCCCGTCGTCTCCGAGACTTGAGGTCTTTGGTGGCATTCGAAGAACTGGAACTGGAGCTCAAATTGGCCACGTCCTCCTCCTCCAGAATCATCGACAGTGGTGCAGCCGATGTCGATGCTTGGAGGTCTCGGCGTGGGCGTATACGTGCTTGTCTTTTCAGCATTGGTTCATCGCCTGTAATCTCATCAATATGTGCTTCTTCAGTTAAAATAAAAGAACATACGGGATGCAGATTTCGTGCTTGAGTTCATGGTAATAATAGGTCAACGCGCCGTCAAGGGGAAAGAGACCGTTTCCCAGTTGTGGAAGGGAAGAGGGAAAAACAACGACCCACCCGAAGATGAGGATCGATGTTTATAATCTCTTCGGGCCTATTCACGTACTCATTGACAGGCAAGGTCATTGTTTTCCCAATGGCCTAGCGCACAAAAGGACTGCCGTTTTGGGAACAAAAAGATTCCACTGGGCAAATAGTCACAAATACCGCTCTTTGTCCTCAATTGTTCGCTCCATTGGTCGTCACTCGTCATCGTATCAAAGCAACGCTTGATTCTTGCAGGGTCGAGTCGTTTCCTAGCTCTGAAGTTTAACGGGTAGTTCATCATGTCGGCGTTCGGTCCGGTATGCCGAAATATGACAGTAAATGCTATGCTGTATAGTACATCCGTAAGAAATAAGACCAACATTCTTTTCCCAAAGTGCGTACAGTATCGACGGCAAAATAATGCCCAATATCCAAGGGAAATACGAAGGCAAAATCTTTGGAAACCCGTCCTCGGCGTCGGTCTTCATGTAAGGACCGAACATTTCCATTGCCGCCACTCAAAGTACCCTGTATCCAGCGGACTTAATCAGACTGGCAAATACAAAGTAATTGTGAAATGTTACCCAAGTTATTGTACACTGACATCGCCTCCAGAGAACCGCTGTCAACACTTACGTTGATTCCAAACGTTTTCGAGCTGGCCCCATTGAGCTAAAGGGTCGAAAGAATAAAGAGGTCTGCTTACTGGTTTTCCTCCGACGCGGGACTCTCGATACGCGCTTTCCTCTCTTTTCCTTTTTTTCCTTCTTAACCTGAGATTCAGTTGGCTCAAGCTGAAGTTCAGGCGTGGGAAGGCGCTCGGCTAGAGTGAAGAGGCTGGAGTCATGTGGAGCGAGAAGATCAGCCAACTTGTTCCGAGACTTAATTGTCTGCTGAGCGCGACGGCTCGCGTGCACTAGTTAATTGTCAACAAACGTCGGGAGGAGCCACTTGACCATAAACTTACATGACACAGTACCACTGGCATCATACATAGACCGTAGACGCATTTCTGCCCGCTCGATAACCCTGATTGATAGGACAATTAGCAAAAATAGAGAGCAAAGTAGGACAGTAAACCCACTCGGGATGGACAACCTTCTGGCTGACCAATACGTTCAAAACAAACCGCCAATCGATGGGATTCAGTCTGTTCTGCATGCTATCGGCTCGTAGAGGAGTATGAGCAACAACACTCGCAAGGATTGCCTCAAGGCAATTAGACGTCGAAAGATGCAGATGTGGCAGGTATTCTTTGTCGTCTTCTTCTTCGTCGCTCTCCGGCTGGTTCTGCTTCTGACGTTGCGACGCCATGACGGAAATCTCATCTTCCAGCCCCCACTGCGGTCTAATCAAGTCTTCCGGCAGCAGTGGCCATTTCGTCCATATATCAGCTTGTATCTGTTTCCTTTTCTTTTTGGCCGTCTGTGCTGGTGTCCGGGCCGATGTACCTGTATCATTGTGTTTATGTTTAGAAGTCACAATTGGAGATGGCGATGGAGGTTGTGAACTGGGGCTTGCTACGGGTGACGTCGGACGCGGCTCTTCTTCATCTTTCGAGTGATCTTCATCGTTCTCCACGACGGTTGTGCTGGACTCGAAGTGCTTAGAGATCTGGCTGCTGACGTCCAATGTACTCCCGGTTCGCAATGCCCGTAACAGCGAGGAGTACTCGGTCAGTTCACCATGTAGTGCTACAGGAATTCGCTTTCCTTTGCCTTTCGCCATCAGAGAATCGAAGAAAACATCATATTCTAAGTCACCAGTCAGCAATACGGTATGGCAATGAGGGCAATCGAGACGCACTGCTGTGATGGGTTCAGGGAACGATTATGCCATGAGAATTCATCATCTTATCAGTCACTGTGAGAAAAACATATGTAACAACTGTACAGTCGCTTACATCAGCTGGAACGTATGTCGCCCACCTCGCTTCTCCAACAGCTCACCATCTCCATTCACAACAGCTAAGTAAGTGATAGTTTATATTCTCCCATGGCTGTCTCTAATGACCACCGCACAGAATGAGAGAGAAGTGGAAGAAAAAGAGGTCTCGCAGACTCAGGCGCAAGCGCAGAAAGATGAGAGCACGTTCCAGTGCGTATATTTTCTTCCGTTGCGCCTATCCTCTTCCTGATGACGTTCGTCTTGCAGAGTAAAAGAAACGGCTTAGCATGTGCTGTCGTATCGCAAGCCGCGAGTAGGACCTGATCTTTCTCGGCGTTGTTGTGGTACAATGTATCGCTGTGCCTCAAATGGCCTCCTATGAGGCGCGCGTAGCTGGAGCTTTGGACAATTGCAAGCTTTTAGCTATTGCTTTAGGTCGTTTGACTGTATCTTCTATGTTGCAGAAGAAATGATATTTCTTGGTTAACATTTCGCATGATTTTCTTAGTGGTCGATACGAAAGCTTGGTTAGAAGCAGCTGACGTCGTGACATGCGTTATAGACGGCAATGACTGATATCGATTCCATTTCGCGAACCGGATCGCAAGTTCTTGGGTTCTTGCTTAAGAAGAAAATAAGTCCCTGCTGAAGAGAGAAGCATGGCGGCAAAGCTTTTGGCGCATAGATATAATAAAATGATTCCACAGGGTTCTCATGTCGCCTTAGGTTGTCTGTGGTAAATCAACAGTCGCCCTCGTACCGTGATATACCGGATATTGCCGAGTTTCATTTGGCCGTTTTGCTATCAAGTTCTCGTCTTTATCATCTTTCACTTCATATATCCACGACACCACTAAGAAATGCTGCAGATCTTGTCGCGGGAGCTCACGTTCGATGTGGAGAAATCTCGACAAGATGCTAAGAAGCGTGCTGTTTCTCTGTGAAGTGCTAGTCTCGCATTTGACTTATGCCAAGGACGCTCTTCCCCTTGGTTGTCGGGACTTGTTTTTTGTTTTTTTGCGAAAATAATTTCTCCCGATTCGGTGGTTCGCGTAGAATTTTGAAGATGAATGTTAGAAGTCAATCGGTCGGGTTTCATGTAACGGATGGATTGACTCAAATTATTTGACAGTCGTTGCAGAGCGCGGGTAAGTGTATGTCCAGCTAACATCAACCACGATGCAGACTTGCACGAGCTCCCTGACCTCCGGAGACTTGATATTGGTTACATGGGAAGGGTATTGCTAATAGATGGGTATTCACATTCAATCCCTGACTACTACTATGGGCGAATTGCGGTGATGGCACCGGGGCTTTGTGATCTATGATCGCCGTTTGCAACGTCTCACGGGGTGTCAGTGGGTACAAAAGACGCTCTCTTAGCCTCCCCATGCTCTCTCCTTCCCTACATCTGAACTATGGCCGATGGCGGCGGTGACATCTGCGCTTCAATATGTTGTGGTCTTTGCTGTACGTTTCTGTTTAACTCTTCCTTGAAGGGGCATTCAGAATAACCGTCTGCAGGCATGGCTGGAAGCTCGGCTCTCAGCAACTGGTGTATGCTCAGTGCGTACTACAGAGGCCGCCACCACACAAGACTCGAACTGATGTCTTTACAGAAAGCTATGGCAGTGGTTCAGGCACCTCCACTGGATGTTGCGGGTCGTGCTGCGACAAGTCTTTCAACGATGATTCGTTCGATGAGCAAGTGAGGAAGGATATGGAGGCAACGCGCGATCCTAATGCACCCTCCCTGACTGAGCAAATGCAGCCTGTGCAGAAAATGACGGCTGCGAATCCGGAAGAGGCTATGTTGAAAGACTCATAGTACTTCCTGTCGTGGTGAGTTATCAGTGTCTGCCAGTCTTCAGTCCTGTCTAACGCATGAATAGTAGTTTCGAATGTCGTCATTCCTGCATTCACTTCTCTGTCCTCAAGGATCTGATATTCTGACCGGGAACCTGAGTCACAACGTTTTGTTCTTGAGCTCTGCGGCAACGTCGCACAGAGGTTGTGGAAAAGAGCCTGTCGCAAGGTGAATATTCTCCTCAGGTAGCCATGCTGCATGCATCGCTTGATCCATGCTCAGTCAACTTTACGTGACAAAGCAGCTGTTTGTTTCCATGGCCATCTTGCACAACGGCCGTCACTGGATGAATACATGTATGTTATAGGAATTGGGGACCGGGCTCCGGTACGAAGACTGGAAGATTGGAAAATGACGGCTCGGTTCTGATCCGCCGGTTGTTGCCGACAGCCAGTCAGACGATCGCTCTCACTGGTCCTATGGCCAGCCCGCGTACTTCCACAAGTCCAGAAAGTAGGAAACGCATCCCAATTCTCTTCTTGTCCGAATCTTTCTGGAGAATCAATTTGACCCTTTTGTCTAATGCCGTACTTTTATCTGCGACACGATATTTTACATCACGGAGATAATAGCATACCTGAGATTTCATGGTTTGATCTTTTCTTGCTACGGGTCTCTCGTTCAAATAAATCTGCACTCAGTTGACTCTTTGTTGTAACAAGCCTATCGCTCATAAGCTGATCGACTGTATCATCCCAATGTCCAAGGCCCAGCCTGACTTTGTTCTCGTCACATTGTCATGGAACGATTCGAAATGTGATCTTCTTTCAATGAGTGTCTTCTGAAACAATGCACTATCCTTTACATGAGCAACACATCTTGGGCTATCTTCATCAACTTCTGTCTTGTTCGCCGTTCCTACATGGCCACCCAAATGGGCAGTTGAACAGGCTCTACTGACGGTGAAATTGATCCCATTTACAGATATCTTGATGCTAGGTTGAATTCGACCATTTTCCAAGGTCAATTATTTGGTATGTACTTCATACCTCTTCAAATTTCGGCCTATTGGAGTAGCCATGATCATGGTTATTCCTATCCTTCATGTTCTGGCTGCCATCGACTTTGCCCTCTGTTAGTCATATATACGCATGATATACATCGATCACGGACGAACCTTTTGGAATGAATATCTGGCATACTCTAGTCCCTACAGCATAGTAATCGCTATGTCCGTCACAGGCCTCGTCTCCACTATCTTCGCAGACTCTGCCATGGTATGTATATCTCCGTTGAGTACATGCATCCCACTGGTGCTAAAAGACATTTATATCTCCAGATTTGGCGATGCTGGATGGTTTGGGGAAAGCGCTGGCCTATTGTCGCGCCTCCGATCCTTTTCCTCATATCTGGATCTGGTGCGGTGACCTATACCCTTTATTTTTCCGACTCATGCAGAGCTGGTGCAGTTTTAAAGGCTCTAGCGATATACAAACGAAACACCGGTCAAGCGGGGCTCCTCGATCTTCCTCTAATCCTCTATATGGCTTTCACTCTTGCAACGACTCTCTGGTGCACCTTGATGATCATTATCCATATATTGAGTGTTAGAAAGGCCAGCACCGCATTGGAGAGACCAACCAAACTCTATCGTCACATTATAGAACTCTTGGTCGAGTCCTCAGGCCTCTATGCCATAACTTTGATTCCGAATATCGCCCTTCTGGCTTCCCAGAATATGGCAAACTATTACATGGAAACCATGGGAGCAATTACAAGAGTATGATGATAATAACCGTTACTCTCTTGGCATTAACAGATATCTCACCTCATGCACTAGGGTGTAGCCCCGACACTCCTCATTGGGGGCGTCGGGGCAGGACACGCATGGCCAGAAGACTTTTGGCAGGGAAGCGTTACGTCGTCGCTTCGCTTTGGAACGCAATCCGGAGACAGTGGCCAGATGAGCTCTCAGGACGATGCTACACAGAGTGTCGTGAGGTACAATGACCTAGAATGCCTGCCGGATAGGGAGGATAACCTCAACGAGAGCGTCTCCGAGTAGAGGGTGATAAGGACTGCACTGCATTTTTTAATCATGGTTGTCAGCATACTACTTTGAAGCGTATCACCGGAACCACTTACACGTTGTCCTTCGTTTACCTTTACGTGGACGACCTACGATTGTGTGTGATTATTACATATCCCTTTAATGCTCGTCAGTAGACCTCCTTGTTGCTGGGGTTGCCGATATGTATTTCCAGACGAAGGTCAATTAGAAAGTTTTTATTTCAAGAAAAGTGCAGGGTCGAATAGTGAGTAGGGCGCTCACATAGTGGCACGCTAGAGAAGGCAATAGAACAGTGATGGCAGACGACTAGCTTAGCGGTTCTCAGCTGCTAAGATGCGGAGGAGATGGAGCATCAGTAGATCGAGTAGCTACTTGATTTGATGCTCAGAAAGCATCGAAGAAGCCTTTTTGGCAACTCTGTTTCAAGGTATATTGTTGAATCTGTCGTGATACGCTCACTGTCTTCTATTGAAATTCCCCGAGATACCATCTAGGTCAGAAGTAGCCGACACAAAAAATATGATATCATATAGGGCCTTGTTAAGCATTTCCATGCGGGAGAAGAATTGAAGTAACAGAGTAGCGGTATTTGAGTATGACATCCAAGGACTTCAGTGACGGATATTCTCGAGATAGCTTGACATCCTTCGTACAGACATTCAGTGTGAACCCCTCCAATCGTAATGCTGCGGACCGGATCGACAGATTTTAGGACCATAAAGCGCTGGATGTCTCCTGTCGCGCAGAATCATGACATCTGACCTTGAAACGCATAGAGTGGATCATCCTACAATGATTGCTATGTCAATTGATCTTGTATAACGTAGCCTGAGATCGGTAAGTCACAACATCCGTGTTTCAAACATAGCAGGTCCACATAGCCTTAGGTTGTGCGTATGTACGGACAACGAGAATGTAGAATACATTTCGAAAGTCGCCTGTGGGAACATTACGATTATATGGCGCCCATGAGGGAGTTTCCGTCTGCCGGAATGATAAACAATGTGCGAGGATAAAGCGTCGAAGATGTCATGATGGCTCCAGAAAACGTCAGCGGTCAAAGTCCAGGTGATAGGTCTGATAACGAATAGCAAAGGTTCGTTTACAAGTAGAAGATGGCATAGATTTTCCCTGGTAGCATAGAATGGAAAAGTTGCAGAACGTGAATAATTCAGACAAGAGACAGTCGCTGCTGTGAAAGCCTCAGGAAAGTTCGCAAAGTTTGACTTGGCGAAGTCACAGGCCACGCTAAGGGCGCTATTACCGCCACTGGTCTGATCTCCGATCTTGCGGAGCCCATTCAACGAACACCATCACGTGCCGCCGTCAACTCAGACTCCAACCACCGACGACGACTCGGTTCACGCGCCAAAGCGGCTGATACGACGAGAACGACATCTATAGAATGGATTTGACGGCTACAGAAGACATTTTGCGCAATCCTGCTGCGCTGCACTCCCTAAAGCGTGACCAGCTGATCCGTCTTTGCAAGATTCACGGTGTGAAAGCCTCAGGGAAAAATGTGGACATTGCTGAACGGCTCGCGAAGCTCCCACTACAAACTACACGACCAGAACTACAACCACATCTCGTTACGATCAAGGAAGACACCGTTACTAGCGCCGGCACCACTAAAACAGGAAGCGACTTTGGGAGCGTCAAATGTGTGTCTATCAAATTTTCTTCTTTGACTTTCCTCATCCCAAGTATAGCATCATTATCATTAAAATCTATTGTATCTTCCTTCGGTTTCACTTCGCGCAAAACCACCTCTACTCCGCCTACGTCAATATCCACTACCGCCACCTCTTTGCCATCTACAGTGTCATCACAAGTTTCTTTTGCAGCGAGCATTCCTCTGCCCCCATCTCCACCACCTCCGCTCATTACTCCGTTCACCCCACCTCCTAACGTCGATACAGTGCGTCTGGTGTCTGCTCCCCGTCCGAGTGTGGGTGGCACACCAATGTTACCAGCTTTCAAGACGACTTTCGACCTGGTGCTGGGCACTCCTGCGAAGTTCGGAGATTCCTCTGCGAGGGTAGCCAGGCACGTGATGGTCACTGAAACTGAAAAAGACGACAAAGAGAAGAAAGAAGATATTGAGAAGAATGAGGCTGCAGAAGTAGAAAAGGAACTGGTCGAAGCTCTGAAGAAGGGGGACTACGAAGAGAACGTTCCGGAACGAAATGATCTTGAAGTTGCAATTCCTCAGACTCCTTCTCGATCCAAGCTCCCGATGCCTGGCCCTGCATTTACTTTTGGCTCGCCTGCTCCACATGTCTTCCGCCCTCGATTGAGTTCGAATGTGAAGGCAAGTGTGTTTGAAGAGATGATGCGGAGAGCCGCAGGGGAGTCGGGCACAGTCGATGACACATTCGTTGTCGTCGATGAACCCGCTACGCCAACAGACCCGAACAGGCCTATTCGACCTCTTCCCAAAAAGTCTCTACGCGTATCTGGTCCACCGCCTCCGCTCGCTCTCAAGTCTCCTGCTACCACAGTATCTTCACGGTTTGACAAAGCCCATGAAGCTGCGTTCAAAAAGATGGCTGGGATTAATGAGCCTCGTGGCGTGGTAACGAAGCGGAAGATCGAAGCCAATCCTAGCATCGATGACCGCAGAGTAAGCACCAAGCTTGCGCCGAAAGCCGTCGCTGGGAGACCCGGTGTTATTGGTGCCAACGGTGTGAGAAGGACTAGTGGTATACAGGGGCGCAGGAGGAGCAGTGTTCGTCCTCGAACAAGTGCAGTAGGTGGGCGAAGAATTAGTATCAGACCACCACCTCCACCTCCGTCGAGGAAGGGATTCAACTTTGGATTCTCAAATTTGAAGGGTTTGTTCTTCGGGAAGAAAAAAGAGGAACCAGAAGGCGATGGGAAACCTGCCGCTCCCGGACCCATTCCAAATATCGCCGTTAAGAAGAAGGAACCGGAGAAGGGGAAGAAACCAGGTTTGACGGGTTTGGGTTTGGGCAAAGTCTCAGCGACCACGGCTACGACTCAAAGTATTGCGATGGCTGCACCGTCTCGCAAAGTTTCTGCACCTATGAACTCAAATGATTCATTCGTCGCTATCAACGGAAAGGTCTCTGCTCCTTCTACTTCTTCCATTCCATCTACCAGGGCGATGGGTCCTCCTACTACCACGACCCAGAGAAAAGTGTCCATGAACACAACATCCAAGGTTGGTCCTTCGAGTACGCTGCGACCTCCAACTGCCACAACATCGAGTATGACAACCAGAGGCAGTTTATCATCTACTACAAGGGGTTCCATTTCAAGTACAACCGTTCGAGCTCCTGCATCGACGAGAAACTCGTCGTTGTCTTCGGCAGCGCGGACTTCCACAGCGCCAACGTCTTCCATAAACTCTACAGTCCGGACAACTTCCATATCTTCTGGTACACGCCTATCTTCTGTGGCTGCCAATACCCGGAGCTCTACAGCCAGGGGATCGCTCAGTTCGACCACTGCTCTGGCACCGACGTCTACGCGGAATTCATCGATTGCTTCGGGGAACCGTGGTTCTATTGGGCGCCCCTACATGACTTCGACGCGTCCCTTGCGACCATCTGCTGCCAGTGTATCAAGGCAGATAAAACCCACCTTGGGGCGTGGGGAGAAGGAGAACGTTCCATTGAGGGGTGTTCCGGAGAAAGCTGAGCCGAATTTGCAGGATGAAGAACAAGGCATAGTCCCCAAGAAGATATTCAGCCAGCCTTTGAGTGTGCCTTCCGAGCCTTCGAATGGTACGTTGAATCGAAGTCTATCCGGGCGAAGGCCGAGGATATCACGTACGACTGTAGTTGCGAGGTTGGCAGCTAGGAGGGCTGGCCCTACGACTGCCCTATCTTCTGCTGGGTCGAGGAGGAGTTTGGTTGGTGGTGATGGTGGAGGGAGGGTGCGTTCGAGTTTCGGGGCTGGTGGGAAGGCGAATGTGCTTGGGGTTAACGGCGGGCCGAGGAAGAGTATGCCTGGGAAGAGGGCAAGTATGCAACTGGGGAAGGGAGAGGCTAGGAAAAGTAACCCGGGGAAGAGGCCTAGTATGAGGATGCCGGTGTAGACCTCGAGAAGTGGGAGGACTTTTCTTGTTCATAGTTTTGTAAATTTGGACATGTTGTATACATATGTATCTACGTATCTATATGTCTGCGCTGGTGCGAGATCTAATATTTGTATGTATTCAGTGCTGAGGCCAGGTAGTCTTGCGTATTATTATTTAATTAGTACTCACTAGCGTAGTAAAAGCAGACTGTAAAAACATGCTTCTTCGACATGGACGAAGATTTCGCCGTACATTGGTTATTATAACGCTATGAAATGGAAAGGATATCCACAGTACATAATTCACTTTTTGCATCTTCTAAGAAGTTTGAGTGACTGCCAAGGTGAATGCAGAATCTTTGAGCTGAAGATCGCCTTCGATTTGAAAAAATTGTCTTCTCTGCCATGCCATCAAAATTAGGTATCATTTATGTAATTTGCCGCGCTTCACTTCTATTTAGGCTTCATGGTGCGTTCAGAGTTTGTTTTCTAGTTTGACTCCTACCTCCAGCCTTCGCCTCGGAGAAAAGACATGTGGTCTCCTCCACAGCTTAGCAGCAGAGAACCGCCCAGTTGGTCGTCTGTCACCACTGCTCTATTACCTTCTCTAGCTTGCTACTATGTGAGCGCCCTCCTCACTGTTCGATCCTACTCTTTTCTTGTCCGCATGTGTTTTTTGCCAATAACACTGGGCATGCTGTACCGATGTTCTGTATCTCTCGATATGGCGTATATGGACGGGGCCGTCCGGAATGATTGTTTGAATTGCCGAAATGAAACATTGTTGGTATGTCGCCGTTATAGTGATGTAAAAATACTTACTCATTTCATCTGAGGCGGGAATGACTTTCTTGGGTATGCGCGCTATAGCCTGGACCGTTTCCGCCACTCCGCCTAGAAGGCTAGATTCCAAGAAACCCAGCGCCATGCAGCTATGCTTCACAGGCAGGTACCACGAGTGGAACTTGTCTTCAGGACTCCATGTACCAGCGGAATGGCGTCCGACGAATTCAAGAACTATGTTTGTGCTCGCTACACTGGCTCCCCAGCTCATCCACACCGTCATTTTCGACTCCTTACACTTTCATCTCTAGCCTCTCTCACCGAACACGTTCGGATCCCCAACGGGTGGTACCATTTTTACTGCCAATGGTGTCCCCGACCTGCATTCCACATATATAACCCTCCTTAGTGGCATAGTCCTCTACAGTGCCACCCAATCTGCATATGATGCTTGTGCAAACTTTTGCGTCTTCTTCCTCCAACGGAATCCCACACAGTGGCCCTCGTTCTTTGACCGTCCATGGCAATCGACATCTTTGCACCATTTTTGGGCTAAAGGATGGCACCAGTTCGTAGCCCCGGGCGGCAGACCACTGTACGCGCTTGGCTTTGGACGTACCGGTGCAGTTCTCGGCTCCTTCACTGTCTCTAGCATACTTCACATTTCCAGCCACTGGGGTCTGGGACGCTGTTCCGAGTGGGCTACTATGGGGGGGTACTTTATCATTCAAGGCGTCGGCGTCGTCTTGGAAGGAATATGGAAGAAGGTGACTGGGTATCGGGTTGGAGGCATTCTGGGCTGGCTATGGACCGTCGCTTGGGTGGTAGGATGGGGAAATATAGTAATTGATGCATGGGCAAGGGCAGGGCTTATTGGTAGTGTTTTTTTCCCAAATGGGATGAGACCCGTGGATATGAAACGAAGTTGCTGTGACTCGGAGGTATCACGTCTATTTAGACAATCAAGTTATCTCGGGGATCTTGTGACCGGCAGAGCATTAGTGAGATCTGCCCATTAGTGATTTTTTAATTCCATCTATTGTATTCTTTTAGATCACTGGTTCTGGTACTTCATTTGTGACGGTCGTCGTCAGGATTGGATAGTCCAAAACTGGAGGTCTCGTGATCGCGTCAAGTCACGTGATATATCCTCAATTTTGACCTTCCTGCTCAGCCGATCGGACTTCGCCACGACGAACAAAACCAAGCAGCGGCCATTCACCGGTTCATATAGCATATTGATCGCTTCTGGCTTGGTACTTTCAGTGTAATACTGAAATTCACTGATTTCCATCTGATTCTGATCCTCGTTTTCGTAGGAAATGCATTTTTCTCCACCTGTAGAACCTGACAGCAGAGAATCACTCAGCTGGTCGTCCTTTACCACGATTCTACTACCATCTCTAACGTGCTACTATGTGAGCGCCGTTCTTACCACTCGACCCTATCCGTTCCTTGTTCGCTTGTTTATTCTACCAATAACACTGTGCGTGTTGTACAGATGCTCTGTCTCGCTTGATTTATGCCGTTGGAATGGGTCAGCGCGGAATGAACGGTTGAACTATTGGAATGAGGCTCTGTTGGTAGGTGGACAACCCATCTCGTAAGCATCTTTCTCACAAGAATGTCACGATGGCAGCTGGCCATGACCCTCTTTGGTATGCGTGCTATTGCCTGGACTTTTACCGCCACGCCGCCTAGAAGAATAGATTCTAGAAACCCAAGCGCAGCTTTGCTTTGCTTCACAAGCAGATATCAAGGGTGGAACTGGTCTTCCGGGCTTCACGTACCAACGGAATGGCGTCCAACGAATTCAAGAACTCTGTTCGTGCTGGCAACGTTAGCTTCCAAGCTCATTCATGTCATTATCCTTGACATCCTCCACTTTCATCTTCAATCTCTTTCACCAAACACGTTCGGTTCCCCGAAAGGGGGCACCATTTTCACTGTCAAAGGCACCCCTGACTTTCGTTCCACATATATTTCCCTCATCAGCGGCTTTGTTGTCTACTGTGCTATACAATTCATGTACGATGGCTGCACAGTCTTCGGTATCCTCCTCTTCCAGCAGAACCCGACACAATGGCCCCCGCTCTTTGATCATCCATGGCGGTCGACGTCATTGAACCGTTTCTGGGCCAAAGGATGGCATCAAGTTTTTCGACACGAATTCATCGCTGTAGGCGGTGTGCCAATGTACGCACTAGGTTTTGGTCGCGTAGGTGCAGTGCTCGGCGTTTTCACCGCCTCTGGAATTCTGCACGTCTTGGGCAACTGGGGCCTGGGTCATGAGTTCGAAATCTGGGCCGTCGGGGGGTATTTCATCATTCAAGGCGTGGGCGTTGTCTTAGAAGGTGCTTGGAGGAAAGTGTTTGGATGCCGGGTCAGAGGTGCCTTGGGCTGGATATGGACTGTCACTTGGGTGGTAGGATGGGCCAATCTCCTGGTCGATGCGTGGGCGAGAGCAGGGCTCATTGGAAGCGCTTTCTTTCCCGACGGTGGCAGACCTGTGGATATGATAAGGAAGTTGCTATGAGGCAGGGATAAACATCATTCCTGTTTCTGTTCGGTGGATATTGTTGGCCAGTCAGACCCAAGTACGCATGGGTGGCGTGTCACGCGTCCAGAACAGTAACCTGCTACCTCCATCTATTCCCTTCGACCACCGGGACCTCAGTATCTTCTTGTTACAGCTTCGTCGGTCGGATCGGGTGTTTCACCGGACCTAGCTAATTGCTTTTTAAGGACTTGACTTGACCTTCCTTTCATGGCAACTGCATTATCCGACGTCATCCAGTCAACGTCTCCATCTGCAACCAACCCTCGTCATGGATTGTACGAACCTCGAAGCCGTTTCATCTTTTTAGCGCTAAGTGGTGTACGTGAACCAATGGATCTTGATCTAGTAATGCTAGGACCACAGCGCCTGATGGCGCGTCAAGAAAGAGTGATTTACGTCATTCTCGGACGCTAAATACTGTCCTCAGGAATTTCAAACCTTTCCGTGAACTGCTACAGATTACAGCTCTGAAATATGGTAACGACCATCTACACTACTCGGCACTTCGGATTAGCGTGCGGTGTTGAAGTGGCCGAAACATGCTATGCATTGACGCCTGTGTAGGTGAAGCTGTGTGTTGTTTTTCTCTTATGGCGATCCAAGTAGAACAACGGGATATCATTCGCCGCGGTGTATACATTTCTAAAGTCACCTTGACCCGAGGAAGGGGAAGTGGAGTCGGCAAATCTGTTCCGACTTCAAACGCAGACCAGGTAGCTCCACCATCTGTTCACTGCCTATAAATGTCCGGTCTGTCGTTCAGATGGGACGTTTATCGTTGCCGGTGAGTAACAATCGTCTTCTCCTGGCTTGGCTACCCATCTAATACTGCAAGTTGCTATGCTACCCCACAGTAACTTGTATCTCATTTGCGACATCCATCCCACCTGCGACATCCATCATCTTCCCGGTTTGGATGGGATTTACATGCTTACCGGAGTCATTATATGATGCTGTATTGGATCATCCGCTCCTTCCCGTTGACGTCTGGAATGTATCCCCGCCCGGAGATAAGCAATCCCTTAGACAAATATTATCCCAAACACCCACTGATTCGCCGTGCGTGAGGTGGAATGGGTATAAGTATAGGACTCATCGATTTCAAGCCAAGCTCATACTACGTCGTCATGGCTCTTTCTACCAGCTCGTTTGGACGTATTATACGCGACGAGATTTCGACTAATCTCGCTGTTCAGCAGCGGAAGATGATGGAAGATTCTCGTAGGCGTGTCGACTTTGGACGTAGGCTGGAAACCTCGTTCGACGAAATTACAAGCTGCCTTCAGTGCCTTTCTGCGGACCACAGTGACTCAGATTTTCGACAAGGACATGACCAGCGAATTCGAGACCTCTTCATCTCATGGCAGAATATCACCAAGGTGAATTATTTTCTTTTGTCTGCAGTTAAAAGAACTGACCCGACTGTCCATGTGGTCAGGACTTCAAAAGGGCTCGCCAGGACTCTCAGCTGATCATCCGACTTGCTTCCCTTGCGTCCTGGATGTTCTCAATGGAGTTCCTTGGGGAGTTCGAGAAGCGCGAATATTGGCCTCAGGAAGAAATGCGAAAGTTCAAGTCTGTATGTACCTATCTTCTCTCATCCTTCCATCTCATAGTTACCAACTCATCGGCTCTAATACATAGGACATTGACAAACTTCGTATTCCCGAAGCTGGCCGGCTCGTAGAGCGCTTTAAATCCGTAGCGGATTCAGTGAGGAAGGTGACGGAAGAGTGGAAAGCGACGTGCAACAGTAATAGCAGTTTTGAATATGCTGACATTGCTTGGGATGCGGAGGATAGGCTCCATGAGTTCGTATACTGTCGTAAACCTTCCAGTAAACTTTGGTTGACAAAGATATTTTACAGAGTTGACCGCGAGGTAGCGTTACTATGCCTGCTCTCACACTACATGCTTAATTTCCTGGTTTTCTAGATTGCTTCAACAATAGAGTTGTGTGGCGTCCCGATGGCGCGTGCCGGTATCTTCGACTTGATGCATACCATCTGTCCATCGGCCTGGTTTACTGCTTTGGTGAGTCCGTATTATCTGCAACCAGTTGTACGGTTTTCTTATGTATCCTTGTCTTCTTCGCAGAGATCGATTCCCCATCACGATGGTGGCGGAGTTGCTGACATGGTGTACACGAGATGCGAGGACCGTGACCGTAAGACTAATAAAAAGTTACTACTCTGTCGTTATGTTCTCATGGTCCCTGTGTTTCTTAGGAGTCTTTTTGATCATGGAAGAAGAACGACATAAGTTGGAGCAGTCGTGTTCTCAAGCGAGACCCTTCGCTAAATTAGACGCCATGATGCGTATGCACGAGCACGATATGAATTCCTACGTTGGTATCATTGCTAAGGCCTGTCACGTGTGGGATATGGTCAGGCAATCGTTCGTAAATCTCCAATGATAGCTTCTAACGAACCTTTCCAGATGGATTCGGATATTTCTCTTCTCCTTGAAGTACGCCCTAAGTTTCGAACTGGCGGTCGGGACGATGAGGACGTATTGAAGACTATGAAGTACGTTCAGAGCATGTATGATGCCGTTGGTTATGCCCTGTTGGAATACGAGTCTTGATCTATGGTATATCCTTTTCTTTCCCTTGATTTACTCGGCATGGACCTTTGAATAAATACAATTTGAATGAACTCTCAGTGCTTCAAGGTGAGCACATTTTGAATGACGGTATGCAACGCAATACCTCCACCAGAGACATTTCTATCCCAGTTGGACGGTATACGCCACCAAGAGAGAAGCATTTTAGATTTTCAGCCGCGAGAGTTTGAACGTACCGTTGTAGATACCTTCTCGTTATTTTCAGCGAACCCATAAGGTTAGAGATCTGCACTGCGTCGGCTACTTTGATCCCGGTCCCGGTCTCGCCGATAGTATCCCATCAAGATCCTATTCTTCGATGTTGTCACCATGGCCTCCGAGTCTCCGAGTTAGCCATGCTATATCCAAATGTCTCTAGGAAGCGAGTCAAGTAGCCGTATTCCTAACATGCATAAAGCTGCGCAAAAACAGAAGCCCGACTTCTTCCATACATCATTGTATTGCCAGTGAACGCAGCACATCAGACTTCACAGGTCGATGCTAGCGGTGTGTTTGGAACGGTTGGTATCCTAGCCGTTTCCCTGGTTACTCCGAAATGAACGTAGACCCCTTCCAGCTGTACCATGCCACTAAGTATACCCTTTTGGCTTCTTGCTTCCAGTAAAGAATGGTAGACGGACGTTCCACAAACACACATCAGCAAATGACCCATGTTTCATTGGTCGGACATGGATCGTCTCGCAGCAGAAAAATTAGGTTACCCTGATTTCCTCTGGTCACTTACAGCTCGATATAGTTAATTGCAGATCAGCAACTGCGGGGCCTTATGCAACTCAGTACATTTTCCGACGCACCGCGTCAGTGCACCACATGCATAGGACTTAATGTGGCCGCTATCATTTCTCACAGCGACGCGGCTCCTTGTTTCCATCGTCGATGGACAGATATCTTATGCATAATTACTGCGCTACAACGTAATTCTGGTTGACGCGCAGCCGCAATGATAGCGGTCTTACATCAAGTTCGTGTTTTTATTCAATCTGACAATCAAGTTTTCAGTTCCTTTACAGGCCTTGCTCGTTGCTTCTATCCACGCCTATCTCTCAAAACCACCTCTGCTGTTTGAGTGGCACAATGATCAGCAAAAGACACCGTTAATCCACAAGGATGTATTATCCTAGCGGCGCGGTACATCAGCCTGAGGCTATCACTTCACATGAAAGGGAGTTTTGCCGCTTTGACAATTGCGTCCGTTTTATTTGGTCTGTCCAATACGCAGCAGTTGTTTGAAATAATCATTATTCTGTGTTCTTGGCGTCACTGTAGTGGCTGCGGGAATGTCTGTATAAAGGCTTTCGAAATGGTCAATACCATTACATTCACCTCTTTCTTTGTCTATGATGTTTTCTATCTTGGCTACTCTCCTTCTTGCCGCTTCAGCTGTGACTTCTGTCTCCGCGCATGCTTCTCTTGCTCCAGTTCATTGGAAGCGCGACAATCTTGAGGCACGTGAGTCTCTTGAGAAACGATGTGGCGATATCCTAGCTGCACGTCGACGCAAACGGGCCTTGCATGTATCAGAAAGTCTTTGGGCCCGTGGAAGTTACTACACGCCAAGGTATCACTTACCCTCTCTCCCTGGTTCCACCGCCGGCTAATGTCGCTGTGGCCCGTAGAACGACGTCGAGTAACGATAGTACCTGTTTCGTAACTCCAGAGGTTACTCAAGGGCCCTATCATATTTTGTAAGTCGCGTCCCAGTCATATTTCATGAACTTGGCTAACGAAATCACTGTTAGAGGTGAAATTGTGAGGCAGAATATGACTGAGGGACAAGGTGGAATCCCCCTGGAAGTTTCTGTACGCCAATCTTTCCCACCCAAGAGGTTGTGTTCGCTCTTATGTATAATTAATTCAGGTTGATTTCATTGATATCAATACCTGCGACCCCATTCAGGTTTGGGTTGACGCTTGGCACGCGAATGCTACGGGCTTCTATGCAGGATACATCGCAGAGACAGGCGTAAGTCATTGGCATAAATGTATATCCCAGCTGCTGAGGTGTGCTTCTCTTAGTCGTATCTTTCTAGCGGCGATTCCGGTGAAGGCAACGCGACCAGCGAAGGTGGAGAATCTATGACCAGTTTTGCCAGCAGTGGTAGCTTTGGTGGTTCGGGTGCGCCAACCCAAACCGCTGATACAGCGTCGACCACCACCAGTTATGGTGCCTATAGCGGCGCCGACTCAGAAAGTGCTGCCAGTATGCTCGATACACCTGTGGACGACAACAGCACCTTCCTTCGAGGCGTTTGGCAATCAGAGTAAGATGTCACTAGTCATTGATTTTTCTCAAGCTGATATCACCTTGCAGCGAGGATGGGCATTTGACCATGTATTCGGTCTTCCCTGGATGGTGTATGTGTTGCGTTCTTCCTGGGCCCTGAGACAAAATTGAAATACGGATAGATTCTCAACGGGCCCAACATTTCCACATCAAGGTCTATCCCAAAGGAGAAATTGCAGCGAACGGCACTTTCATTGCTGGCAGAAGCGCCGTGCAGTACGTTGTTTCATGCGCGCGGTAGACACCTACCAACAGTCTGATTTCCGGAACAGTACAGGCCAGTTCTTCTTTGACAATGACACCTTGCAGGCAGTTGCTGCCAACTCCATCTATGCTGCGAACTCTATACCGTGGTCTGACTCTGTCAGCAATGAAGGTACGCACTCCCCATTACGAAGTAGATTCACTTATCCACAGTGTTCTCCTCAGACGACAAGTGGTACCCTTACCGTGGGTTTAATCTTCTCTGATGCGCTTCGATTGGACTTAAGTTATATTCTTCAACAGAGTCCGCCACAGGCTACAATGCTGATGTACGTCCTTCGCCAATTTTGTGCATAATACTTAGTGATGCGGTGTAACAGATGGATATTACCTGGGTTGGTGACAATATCACAGATGGACTTATCGGAAGTATCACCGTAGCACTCAACTTGTTCGCATTTTCTCCCTTCTCCGTCGTTTCGAAGCTTTGACCCTTTATTTTTCAGGTCTTACACAAGCCTGGAGCTCAGCACTCAGTACGCCGAATTTGATGTCGAAGAATATGAAGAGGAGGGCCTTCTTCCATCGGCATCATTATCTGCATAAATAATGGTAGGAGAGAATTAGAATCGGCCTTATCATTGGACATGTGACTTGGTAGTTAAAAGGTTGCACGATAACTTTGGACATTTTTCTTCAGAGTCATCCTTACACAACACGTAACGTATCGTTCACGCCGAAATCGTTAGAGGAACCGTCGGAAGTTTCGCCAATCTGATGGCTAGCACATACGGTCTAATGAACCATACCCTCATAACGGAAATGTCTGAAAGGAGCTACAAATGATGTCCTCACAGTTCGCTGGATCATTCTGCGAGGTATATTATATTATATAGTTCCATGATCGGGCAAGAGCAGAACTCGGCGCTCGCACACTTGAACATCAGATTCCGGGCACACGCAATATATCGTGTCTAAGTATTCTATCGTCTAATCTGCTTGAAAAAGAAACAACGGTTTCATAGAAAGTCTCACCTCGTATGTTAGCGATTCGAGAGCAGAAGGCTATCGAGGGCGGTCCAGACAGGCAAGTGTTCCTTCTCCCTGGGTCCTCCACCATCCCTCCCCCAAGGAGATCCTGATAGGCTTGAGAAACAAGGCACGGAAAAATAATACGACACACCACTTCATGTGCAACACACCCAAGAGGAACGTAGATAATTCCGTGACGAACAAGGAGAGTCCGAGAGTGGATGAAATTCAGATACAATCACCGTGGACTCACCTCTTCCTCCCAAGCCCGCAGTGGGAAGTGCCCGGCGTACTTCCCAGCAGCCCTTTTCCCAGAGAGGTTCAGTAAAGCCCCAGAAAGCCTTAGATAGATAAAGTTCGAAACCATTGCCGGTTGATTAACGATTGCCGGGGATATCGTGTGGGAATGCCGAAGAGAAAGGCTGCAAGAAGAACATCGATGATGGTCAGATAACTGGGTTTCGAGGGAGCATGCAAGGCACTACGGTGGAATTCTGAAAGGGGCGTATTCTGCGAACATTACACATGCCAGCAGTTGAGAGAAGGATGCAGCTGCTAATAATAATAGATGATGGCTTCACCGACTGCGACTTGACACCTTACTTGTTTATAGAAGACTGTCGATTCGACCCGAGTCTCCAATCAAAACCCTAAAATTCTAGTATGGCAGGGCCGAACGTTGCCCGAATCGCTGTAAAGTAATGACTCGGGGTAACCGTCGTGCAAGGTTCCAAACAATACAATTCGTATCCGATATGTGTAAGTACTGATACAGAATTACAACGGATGAAGGCCTCGAAATAGTGTGAATGCAAGGTGAAGTATGACTCTCGTCTGCATCAGACGTTCATCTCCCCATGCGCGCTCTCATTTTACGAGTAGTTTTGACTCCCAATGTAACCAGCGCTCCTGACTCGGCGGGTTCCACTTCTCAAGAACAGGGCTATCCCGAGAATGAGCTAGAATATCCGCGTTTTTATCACTTGTGATATAGATCAGGCTGAAGCTGGACCCCGATCGTTTTCAGCAGTCCTGCGCCGCCACAGCGGGAGCGTATCATATCGAAGAGGGCAAACGACTCCGTCGGCTCACTACAGGGAGATTGGATTATGCAGAGAATGGAACGACACAAATTGAGTAGGACGGAGGAAGAGATGAGGGTGTCGGCGACATTGCTCAGTCGCGAACTGAGCTTGAGTTTGAGGTGAGAAACTGTGTAGTACACGCTTCCAATGAGGAATTTTGTTAATCGAGACCGACAGCTCTGACTCGAATACCTCCATGTCAATAGTCAACCTCTCGAGACTGGAAGAAAAAGGTTACATATCTTGGTTCGGGCGGCAGTCGTAGTATAGGTTGGAAAATGGTCAAACTGTTGATCAACGAAAACAGTAGTGCCCAAAGGGTCCAGTGGCAACACCTTCTAAGCTTGGGTAGTTGGGAGAGGGCCTTAAATCTGCCGGACAAGAGATAGATCCCGAAGAATGAGTTATCCCGGATGATAACCTCAGTTGATGGATCTCAAAGCTTAAAAAGTTTGTTTTCCAGAGTGTGGGGCCTTCAAGAACATGTCCGAGCGATAATATTGTTTGCAGAGCAGAGCAGAAAAGTGAGATATGGTTCCAAGTGGCGCATATGATAGATGTCGCCATGGATGCAGACATTTTTCCAGTAATGGCAGGATTGTACAAGTAGCGACATGATTTTATCGCCTCTTAACTCGTGGCGTGGAACAACAATATGCAGAGTAAGAGGATACTCGGCTGTATGCTCCAGATATGTCTGCAATATCCCGGGGGCGTGCTTGGAAAAAGGCGGCTTCACTACAACGGTAGTTGGTCCGATCGGTGTGACTTGATTTCATGAAGCTCACGAAGTTGGGATTTGCAGCTGCGCCAGTGGCTCGGAAGAAACTCTATGAATTGGCTGAAAATGCGTCGTCCCCATAGCAACCATGCCTACCATGCATCGTGAATGTACCAGGTACTTAGCATAACTTAAATAACCTAAATAACCATGGAACCTGCAAATAAAAAGGGCCGGCCCTGAAGCGGAACGGACGTATAAATACAGTAATTTGAATTTACCTTTTGACCACTACTACCTCAACTTTTCCTCCTGTTGTCGCCAAAGGCTATTTGTCTGTTCGCCTTATATGTTCCCACTCGATGTGTCTCATTATGTCGAATACGGGCGTCCGAGATCCCAAAGCATATACTGATGATCCATATTATCGGCCGACTAGCGACATGTCCGAATATATGACTCAGAGGACCTATAAAGCTCCAATTTCTGTCATTACAAAGCACCATTTACCATGGCACACGAGCCTCCTACCTCGTTCGTCGACTGGGATCGCTCTGATAAATACCACAATTCTTATCTATTGCAGAAGGATAACACCCTCGAAGCTAATATCAAGAATAGTATCGCGAAAGGGCTGCCAGATATCGCCGTCAGTGCTGCGCAGGGACAGTTCTTGAATCTTTTGGCGAAGACCATCGGCGCGAAGAGGATTCTGGAAGTCGGGACCCTTGGAGGGTGTGTTTGAGTCACTGCGCAACGCTTCACCACATCCTGACCAGAAACAACAGGTATTCGACCACATGGCTTGCGAGATCGCTTCCTGAAGGAGGAGAGTTGGTTACTTTTGAATTGAAAGAGCTCCACGCGCAGGTACGTGATATTTTTTGACTCGTTCCTGTCCCTGATCAATGACGCGTAGGTTGCGGCAGAAAACCTCACAAAGTCCGGCGTAGCCTCTCAAGTCAAGATTGTTCTTGGTCCTGCCTCGGAATCTTTGGCCAAGGTTCCTTCTGAACCCAAGTCTGATCTCGCCTTCATCGATGCGGACAAGGCCTCTATACTGCAGTATTTCACTGAGGCCAAGCGTCTCGTGCGACCGGGAGGGGTTATAGTACGTGACACGTAATGGGTGACATTCAGTGTACATTTACCTGCTTCTGCAGATTGTAGATAACGTCGTCCGTAATGGACGAGTAGCGGATCCATCTTACTCGGATGGGAGTGTGGATGGTGTACGAAAACTGCTCGCTGCTTTACCCGGAGATAACGGGGTGGAGGCGATTACGATGGGAACTGTTGGGGAGAAGGGCTATGATGGGTTTTTGTATGCAATCAGGAAGTGAAGGAAGTGAACTGTTGAGATTACAGCGTATCTTTGTCGATGCGGTTCTAATGGCACACATGTAGGGGAAACGTAAGATGTGTTTTTACTGTATCTATGAAGAAATTGTCCTATTTCAAGAGCAGACGAGAGTTTACTCAGGCTCGTACGAATCCGTTCTTCTATTTCATGGTACCTTGTTGCTGTCTCGGTAATGAACTGTTTTGGAGTCATTCAGGCCGACGATGTTGCTTTACTTAGCAACACCCCAGGTGTTTGCGTTCCATCTGTATCAGTCTGCCCGGTGTACATCCTTTCCGCTTTGCTCAGATGACATGGTAGGTATGAGTCGAGTAAACTTCCCTCGATTGTCGCAAAGCTATGGCAGATTTCCCCGCTACCACTCATGCTGATTGGGCCCGCTTAGACTAATACTATAGGTCTTTTCTTATTCCGATGGACGACATCCTCCATGCCGCCCTTCAGAACGGTGATGCTCACGGACTCAGGACAGAGATATCTGTCAACGCTTTGGAAAATTCCTGAATTTACTTGTTAGATCCATTGGTACGAAGACGATTCTAGAGATTGGAACACTTGCAGGGTAAGTATCACGTTTGTACTGGTCCGCCTTTGTAACACTTATATAGATACTTGACTATCTCTCTGGCAAGAGCACTTCCCGAAGATGGAAAGGTTATCTCACTGAAATTCCATGAACCCAACGCCAAGGTAATAGCAAATTGACATTAGATTGCGTTCAGGGTTTTCATTTCAGCTTCGGTGGCCTCGGAAAATATTGCACTCACTGGATTGACCTCCAAAGTTGAGATCGTCATTGGTCCTGCACTCGAAACACTCGCAACACTTCCTAATTGCCCAAAATTTGACCTCATCTTCATTGACGCAGATAAGCCCCCAATGACTGAGTACTTTGCAGAGGCAAGGCGATTGGTAAGACAAGGAGGAGTTATTGTGAGTACATCGCTGCCATGCACGCAATATTCCTGACCCATGATATTCGTAGATTCTCGATAATGTCGTTCTGAATGGCGACGTGGCCAGGGAATATCTTCCAGATTCACTCCCCGAATACGACAAAGAGAAATTGAAGGGAGTCTTGCTTGCTTCAATTAAAGGAGACAGTGAAGTTGAGGCTACAACTATCAGTACTGCCGACGAGAAGGGTTATGACGGCTTCATGTATGTTATACGAAAGTAACGATTTGACTTGTAATTTTACAGTATGTCAAAACCGCTTTGTCAATGTTGTGCAGGAGGTGGGTAACCAAATATTGGCTTTCCCCACGTGAAACACGCCACCGCGTTTCTCACGTTCGCCTCCCCATATCATATCAGCTGCACACGAGCCATTTTCTGTATTGAACTGCCAGTAGCTCATCTAGAGAGCCAGGTGCTGGATTGCGTTCATGGGTCCTGACGAAAACCTTGCCTCGTACTTCAATCGCAGTGCCAAGGACATCCATGCTTATGCTGACCGGTGAGCTGCATTTCCGAGAAGGAGATGGGAATTTACTTGGCTGATGATATATACAAGTATTGAGCATGGTTATGCACGACCTGCACTGAAAACTGTGAAGGAGCTCTTGGATGAGCATCCCATATCATTTGTGAGCCTCGTTTGTCTTACCATAGTACTTTCGTTGACGCTTTGCTAGATGTTCTTTTTGTTCTTTGCTCTGCTCAGCTTTTTCCCCGTCTTGCTCTTCCTGTTCGTGTTCATTTTCTCGATATCTTGTCTCGGCATACTGATGGTGGAAACAAACAGTGGCTGCTCCTTTTTTGTTACTTTGTCCTTTGTTCTGTTTGCACTAAGCTCGGCTTTATTGGTCTCAGGCATCTTCATTTTCACGTTTGGTGCGTCGACCTTGCAACTTTGCTTCCATCTTATCTCACTAATGACACGTTTCTAGCATGTATTCTGATCTTCGTCCTCATCATGAACTTCTGCATTGCTGCCCTCCCTACTGTTGCCTTATTCTCAGCATACTCTGTCATCCGGCTCCTCACTTTAACTCGTTCTGGTGGAAGAGCAGGCGCGGCGGAATGGGTCGATGAAACCAAAAGTTTTTTCTTCAGTTCGGGATCCAAGAAACCCCCGGTGAAGGAAGACGATGAAGATATCGATGGGGCATCAAATCAGTCCGCTGGATCCGTTGTTGTAGTTGAAAACAAAGAACGCGAAAGTACTGCGACTAGTAACGGTCCAGAAGAACCCGCGAACGGTGTAAAGGAGGAAGATTAATCTTGCTGCATGATTTTCATTGTAACGAAAACAAGGTTCGGACTGTTTTAAATTAGAATCAACACGTATGGTTTAATAAGATTACAACGCATGCAGTATCGCCATCAGTATCAGCATCGAAACTGGGACAGAAGGGACTCTTTATTAAGGTCAAATCGTAAGCCCCGAGTGCGAGTGGGTCTCATCATGGTTGCCATCATTGTGGCTGGCCTATGCGTACTCATGATGGGTGTTTCGAATCAAACGAAGATATTCTAGGCCTCACATCTCAGATGAACCTGATACTCTTGCTGGCAGACAACTATACAGGAACCGAACATAGACGAGCGCCAACGATCATCCAGAGTATATCCAGGTTCGGTGGTCGCTCAATCAAAATACCTCTGCAATGAATGAACTTCTAGCTAATTTGACATGTGTCCAACCCGGCCCACCCCGAGGATGCGCCGATCCAGGTTGAGGGCGTCGTCTTTCCGAGAAAATGGCATTTGCTCGGGGACCCCGCCTTTTATAATAGAGTGAATTTCTTGTTGAAGCTTGCTCACCACTACCAGTCAACAATGACAAAAGTCTTGTATATTCCACTATTTTTCGCAACTTTGAAGGTTCTTGCCCAGTCGACGGCTGGACAATACGGTCAGGTGACTTCCCTTTACTCGGGGTCTACGTTCGCAGTTCCGACCATTTTCGATGCAGTGCGGGGGGATTGGGTGGAGTGGGGCTACCATATGTCCTTCAGGATGGACCTGCAATGTGCTGAATTCTTGGTATTCACAATGTCTTCCCGGCGCATCCACAATAGGCACTACAACGACATCGGTTGGTGGAGGATCTGAGTCAATCACCACCGCCACATCCACGACATCCGCTTCGGGAGGCTCAGCAACTCTAGCGCCGGGTTATTCGTTCATTCGCGCAGTCGTAGGTCTTCTCTACTCTTGTTGCTTCTATAACTCAAGCACGATCTTCAATAGGAAGACCCCAACTTCCACAAATATTTGCGATCCGAGATCATCAATACGGCTTCGGATGCTGTTCTAGGAGAACCTGCTGATGCTGCGCAGTTCGTTATTACGAATGGCCAGCTGATTCAAAATGCCGCTGGGACGCCGCTGTACGCTATCGTTGAAGAGAGAGCTAACGATACGGTGGTCATGTTGAAGATGTCGTGGTCTGAGAGTCCTGCCACCTCGGGGACATTTGTGTTTAGCGGAGATACGCTTGAATGGAGTATTCCAACGATCGATAGACCGCAAACAAACGTGCGCTCGTTATTACTCCTCCTCAGCTGTGACACTGACGAGACCTGCTGTAGGCTTGGTACGTATGCCCAGATGATGAAGGCAATCTCATTGTATACGTGAACTTGGGGTACTATGATTACAACACTCCGGCAGGCTGTGCGGATGAGACCATACATGCTTATACGGGATCTACGGCGACTGCATAGGCAACCTCACTTTGACTCAGAGTATTGTTACAAAAGCATTGCAGTCTTTGCCTTTTCACGCTTTGTTGAGTGGACCAGTGTAAGGGTATTTTTCGCGCCAATGGCGAGCAATCTCGTCTCGTCTCGCAACCCATACATCTGGCTTCTGAGAGATGTATGCCATAAACCTGTTACAGTAGTAAGCCTTACGCTCTTTTGATGAGCGTTTAAACAGCTTACTTCTGAAGACAGCGAAATCGGCCCGGTCTTCCAATAATGCGGTTATGAAGGCTTCGAAGATTTAAGTCAAAGGTCGCACAAAATGCAAAAGACTAGCGGAAACCTTACCCAATGGTCATCATCTTGGGCCTTCCCTCGACGCCCTCTTCGTAGAGGTAATCAAATGTCTCCTTCATATGCCAAAAGAAGTCATCGGAACTTGACCATCCGGATCCATTACAAAGGAATCGGTGATCATTGCAGTCTAAGCTGTAAGGTATCATGAGTAATCCTTCATCCTCAACACCCTCGGATGCTAGAGGACTTTCAACCCAGTACTAAAGGATATGTGGTAAGGAAGTGTTCGACTCCAAGCCATTGCAAACTAACCGGAAGATCGTCCGCGTAGGTGTCGGAACTATAGAGCAAAGGTATGCCACGTTTGTGATGCTCTCGTGCAATGATTCTGGTGCTTTGGTTACTTCCGCGACCAAGGTACCATCCGCTAGGTACACTCTTGTCTTCAGTAAGGCGCTGAAGACGTTCTATGCCCTCGGATACGTGTGCGGCTTCCTCCTCGGGAGAAGCAGTAAAGAACGAGCGCCATTTGTTTCCGTGGCAAGCTATTTCATGGCCTAACTTCGGTAAGAGTTTTCCATACTGAGGCGCAACCTCTATCGCCCTGGCTACTGCGTGTGTGGTGAACTTGTAGCCATATTTATCAAACAGGCGTAAGATTCGCGGCAACCCCTGGCGGATACCATATTCAAACTGTTCTCATTATCAGTTCAAGTCTCTGCTTCAAATTGGGTGGCAAAATCACGAACCATCGTCTCCAGCTGTTGGTCCCTTTTGCCTTTCAATGGAACTTTATGAAAAGCTTCATGGAGATATCCCTCTGAGTATTCGTCGCCATTGGCAAGAGTACTCTCTCCACCTCTGAAATCTAGGGTTAAGGCATAGCCGGAATTCATAACAACTTTGATCTTTCACGTACTCTTCAAAGTTGATCACGAAACTAACCGCAATCTTGGCACTGTTGGGCCAACAATCGCCAGGCGTATCCCAGCCGTAACCTACAAAGTCGCGCTTTGGTAGGAAAGGTGGGCAATCCGTTGTTGCTGCAGGCATGACTAAAATGGGGATTGTGCACTAAGGTCTTAACGCTCCATCGCTGTCATAAATAGACGAATTCGCCAGTTTGCTAAAGGGCTATCAATTTATTACGGCAAAGGAACAGCCTCAGGCCTTAGGCAAGCTATCGTAACCCGCGACTCTCGCTGCCAGCGGCAGGCAGTGAGATACATACGGGCTATACGGCTATCCTCTGATGCGGAGTACTTAAAGCTCTTAAAATGCTCCTGCCACAGGTTGGGCAAAGGTGGCTCTCTGTAACACCGTACTCTCTCTTCTAGGACGATTACCGGTATCCCATGGCCCCCCTCAATCGCTACGCAGAATACCTCCCCGAACGGCCAATAATTGGTTATGGGATGGACCAACCTGACCCGCAATGGCCAAACGGTGCGAAGATAGCGATTTCATTCGTAAGTTTGCTACCTTTTCCTTAGGCTTACTGATTCATACGCGTCAAAGGTCATCAATTGGGAAGAAGGCGGTGAACGCAATATTCTTGACGGTGATAATAGCTCAGGTGGGCTCAGGATATAATTCCCCTGTTTCGGAATAGGCGCTTAGCACCCGGCCACAACGGATTTTATAGAAAACTTTATCACCGAACATTGTACTCAGGTTATCGGTGGTAGAGACCCTGTGACTGAATCGCAATTCGAGTATGGTCCCCGAGCTGGTCTACCTCGTCTGATGCGCTTATTCAAGAAGTCAGTCAGCCAAGACTAGTTACCCGTGCACCTGATTGCTTGAACTCTTTCAGATACAACGTACTTGCGACAATGTATACAGTTGGCGCCGCACTGGAGCGCGCGCCGTATCTGGGACCTATGCTTGTTGAGCAAGGTTTTGAGATAGCCTGCCACGGCAATCGCTGGATCAACTTCATGGATGTCCCTCCCGAGGAAGAGGAGAAGCATGTACATCAGGCCATTGACCGATTACAAAAATACACTGGTGATCCCAGCGTACCTAGGGGATGGATGATCGGACGAAGGAGCAATGCCAGCCAACGTTTGTATTGTCATGCGGCAAACGAGAGAGGGCTTGAGTTCCTGTATAGTTCCGATAGCTACGGAGATGATTTGCCGGTAGGACCTGTCGCTAATGAACACCACTTCCCCTGACTGATAAGACGTCACTTTTTAGTATTGGCTCGAAAGCCCACTAGCGTCAGAAGGCCTACCCGACGAAGGGATGTTGATTTTGCCGTATACATTGTACGCGAGGCAGTTCGCCGTGATGGGATCTTCATTGAAATGACCAATACAGGGACTGTAATGACTTCCGATTCGTGGTTCCGGGATCAGGCTGGTCCTCCGGCGAAGACTTTTATAAGCACCTGGTTAGTACTCTTCGACCCAGATATTCGGCTTATTTATATAGTGATAGGTCGACACTTTTGATGTTCTTTATGAAGAAGGGCAAATGGGTCAGGCCAAAATGATGTCTATCGGGCTGCATAATCGTTGTGTAGGTCGACCGGGACGACTTGCCGCCGTAGAAAAGTTCATGCAGTATATCTCTGATAAGGAAGGTGTTTGGGTGGCGAGAAGGGACGAGATAGCCAGACATTGGAGGAAAAGGTTTCCTTATGACCCGTCCAAGGCACAAGGAAAGGTAGCTGTCGACTGATCCGTATATTTCAGGACGGAGAACTCGTTGTAAAGCCTGGGAGTGCAGGCCTGATTGTTATGTTTAAGATTACCTTGTTTAGAGCGTAAGGTTTAGCAGGGTCTAGCTTAGTGTCGGTCGTATTATAATTATTCATTAGCCCCCTTATTTCTCTCATTTTATGGTGTAGCCAGTATTGGAAATTTACATCCTTTGCAACAAGGTTGACAGTCTGTGATGGTTTTGTGAATGGGAAAAGGGCCATCGGACTTCATCATAACCGAGGTCTTGGGACTTGCAATGCGTAGAAGCCACTCCGTGATTCCAGAAATGGCATTAGCCACCATAAACTCGAGGGGCGCCCATAAACTCCTGACTCCCAAGTCCGAAAAGCCCTGCTTATGACCAAGTTCAAATTGCTCTCTCCACCCGCAAAAGAAGTGGGTTACTGTCAAACTATATGCAAACGACTATAGAGATATCACCACCCTGACTTTCTCATGTTTCGAGTTGTGGAGACGGAAAACGACTGTTTCCTATCCTGGTGTGAATGATAACGCTAAGAAGCCAAGTCATGTAAGCATACATTAAAAGGAATACACCCGTAACTAAAATCATCTAGGCCAAGAAAATATGGCATTAATCCACAAGATAGATATCTGCATCCACGTTCTTGTCCGACTCCGGAGTCGAACCACTTTCACTATCGAATGCCTTCGAGGCGAGCCGTCCCTTCTCATCTTCGTCTTGAGCGTCCGCCACTGCCTCAAATGGCTCGTCATTCCTCCACTTCGCATCGAGGGGGGATATCAGGTAGGAAATATAATATAGGAAACCGGCGATGATATAGGTCAATATAAAACTAAAGATCGTTATCAAGTGCGCTAGAAAATAAAACGATAACAGGAACGTACGAAAATGTATTGAGATCCTTAGCTGCATCGGAGATATGCACTGAATCTGAAATGCTAGCTGCAAATCTAACCGAGGTTCATCAGGAGCAATGATATAGAAATTAAAGAGGAAATACATACCCAGGCATGCAAGGAATCAAAGATAAGATGGTCACGACTGGGGCGCGAATGTTCCATCCCTGTGCCACGAGTCAGACAGGCCTCAAAAAATAGAACGGTTGAAGATAACTTACGCCGGTATACCAGTAATGACCCGTAGGCGTTCCATTGTACAGCTCCTTCGTTATGATATTCCCACGCTTGATGACGCTTTTTGATACGTCATTAGATAGACCACAGATCAGAGTCCAGACTTACAAATAGTCCACGAAGAGAATGGCGGCAAGGGGTGCCAGCCAATATCCGTAGCCACTATGAAACCATTAGATAGCTATCAGAGTAACATATTTGCAGCTTACGATAAAAAAGCCAAAAATGTAGCTCCGTCCTTCAAAATCTTCCATGGAACGATGGCTATACCCAGCAGACAAGCAATGAACTGGCCTCGTCTAATAGTCATGTACTTGGGAAACAGGGCAGACACATCACTTCCGAATGGCAGGCACTGATGAAAGTAATTAGATGAGACGTTTATGTTTTCGAAGAATCAAATTTTTACGTTGGTAGCGAGATTGACGGCAATCAAAGCTAGGGCGACGCTTGCAGATGCAAGAAAAACACCGAAACGAGCCGCCGAATTGTGCGGGTATTGATCAAGCATGATTTGGCAGACATCCCAGAGGTTCCAAGCCGCCTCGCCGTATAGGTCCATGCTAGCCGATGCTACCAAGATTCCATAGAGGCCCGGAAGTGCAGACGCAATAGGGAACATAAAAATTTGGCCCCAGAACTGTCGTAGTGCGTTCAAAGGTGCTGTAGACGGATGTACAATAACATACCTGATCGTTCGGATTTCTTGCATAACGGGCTATGTCAGCTTGATTGACCGTTAACGATGACAGTGTTCCAAATCCGCTGTTGAACGCTTGCATAAAATACCAGCCAGTTTCAGAGCTAGTCAGTCGCCTCGAAGCTTCAAGAGGAAAGGTCGCGCCACCATTCTTCTTCATCCACCATATTAAAATAGCGTGCAAGGCTATAAACTGGACACAGTAAGTATGAATCGACTAATCGTGTTCATGTCAAAGATGATGGGGCTCACTACAATGACGGACTTGACGGCATAGAATACTCTCAAGTCCCGAGGATGAAAAAATGTCAGACATTGGACTGTATGATTTGGTAAATTCAATGGGCGGAGAGGAGAAACCTGCGCTAGCACGAACAGACAAACCATGCAATTATGACTATGATATCAATCAGTGACAGACTAGACTCAAAGGAATAATATCAGCGACTTACAACTTCCCAATTGGCGGGTAGTGATCCCCGACGACTCCGGCAATGTATTTTTCACATTGGCCCAAGACGGCCAAATGCACTGAAGACATACATCCACCATACGACCCGCGTAAAATGTATTGACGCCGTTCCAGATGACCTGATGGACAAGTAGGTCAGCCTGACCTATTGAACGATGCAATGAGGATTGCTTACACAGATAATGGCTCTGACCGATCATACACATCAACATCGAGGAAAAGATCATTCCTACACCTGGACAAACCTCATGGATACAGCCATGTAAGAGCCCCACATACCCCAAGATGCCCTTATACATGCAGGGTATCCAATGTGATAGCGGGCCGCCATCCGGCCATTTGCAACGACCATAAACGTCTGGACAATGCCTTGAGTTGTAGTAGAACATAGGATAGTCTCCGTACATACTCCAATAATGTGAGCGATGTTGAGAGCAAGCCATGCTTGCCACCACCTCAATCCGAGCCCCACGACCTGGTAAACGAGGTCAACACGTTTCAACAAAGACCAGGGGAAACGCACCGCGGAGCCCGCAGTCCAAGCAGACGCATTCATGGCATGGGCCATCCAAAATGCGGAGAAAACCCAGGCAGACCATTTACGCTCTTCTGGAGGAGTAGGATCAAGGCTACAAACTGTTCAGTTTGGTACATTCGAGAAGGAAGGTGGATGTTACTCGTGGTTGCTCCACTGGTGGGTAGAACATAATGAGCAATGGAATAGAACTGCTGAAAGAAAGAAACATACCTGATACCCTTTACTAAGTAGTCAGCGCAATGAGCGAGTCTATGTACGCACAAGACGCACCTTGAGAAACGTACTGATCCTCTGGAACTTGAAGAACGCGCCGAAAGTTCTCCCATGAAGAAAAGGTTTGTCGAACCTTTGAAACGCCCACCATGGTAAAGAATGAAGCGCAGAGCGGTCCTTCACCACGTCGACGTATTTATCGACGGGCACATATAAAGAAATGATCTAAAAGGCACGATTTATATTTTACTTGCCGGAGTATTTTCGATCGTTTATCATCATTTCTGCCGGCGGCACCTGACCTTTCACTTCAGCGCTGTAGCAGTATCACCGGTCCCGAACAACCTGCTGTAAAAATGGGATAGGAGGCAAGAAAAATTTTTCTATATTACCTGCCATGGCGGTCTCATTGCATTCCGAAGCTGACTCTGACTCCCAATCGCTGCGTCTCTATTAGATCTGAAACTCTTCGTGCCAGCAACCTGCAAGTGACCAGTCATTGCAACTCCCGTTTCGAAAATTGCCCACCAGTTTGCTGTCATTACAGTTGATTATCTTCTTGCTATTTATGCATCAGATGTGAGCCATCCTGCAATTTTCGGCAAACAATTTCTTACCTCTTTTTCCAACTTGAAGGTGTCATAGCTTGGGCAGATAAGGTTATGAAAGGACAGTTCTGTTGTCTGAATGCGTTTCATGTTGCTGAAAATGAATTAGGTTCAGGACCTTCGGGTCAGTCGGCTTGAATGCTTCTACTAGTCAAATGGTGCTAGTAGTAACGAGGTTCTCTGATGTCTTGCGATAGTAATCTCTCACACTGCATTGCCGAGATTACGTTGTAAGTTCTATTACAGAGGAAAATCATGCTTACGGCAGCTCTCTGTGAGCCACCAAGAATACTACGCCCTAGGTGCACTGTCAGTGGATAACGTCTGTCCACAGTTTCTGGGTGATAAATCTTTTCTTAACTTTCACTTAAAAATATCTGCTTGTAGATGCGCCCACACTCTGCCTCATAGGATCTCTCTGCTGTTCCCATGCGTGTCGATGCTATCCATTGGGTATTTCTCTCCCAGATGATTCTTGCTGGACCTTCGTGGCAAAGGTCTGGCATATTGACCTCCTCAGAAGCATTCTAATTATGGCAAACGGAACTGTAGGCCATCCGAAAGATGCTTGTTACTTTAGGATAATATCTGGAGGCGGAACTATATATCCTGGGTAAGCTCCGTCTTGTAGATCTGTACCAACTCATGCCAACCCTTTCCGGAACTAGACTTTTGTTATTGCGAGGCTCTGTAGTACTTTGTGTCGCTATGACCTTGGCGTTATTATCCGTTCAATACAGCTATGCGAAGATGCTCATCTTGCCCTTTCGAATCTTCTACACTGGCCTCGGTATCTACTTCAAGCTTGTACCAAGTTTGGGGATTCTGGCTCTATCAATACTCGGCAGGTTATCGGATTCTATATCTAATCAATGAATAAATAAATCTTTTGGCGTTATAACCTCAGGGCATTGGTGACTAGATGATTACAGGGACAGGATATGTTTTTTCTCAGGTGCAGTTTGCCCATCCCCTTTGGATTTTTGGTATTTCATTGTCCTTTCGTTCCCGATGAGAACTTGTGACTGATAAATGTATCCGTGCCATAGGTGTCGGATTCGTGCATCAATTCATCGGATCCATCACGCTTGAGTCCATGATTTCCGCATTGGTCGTCGCTGGGATGGGCACAGGCCAATACAATCTGGTCCTCTCCCCTTCCTCGTCATCTCCTCTCAACGCCGCATAACTTAATTAGCTACCGTAACTGTTCAGTCTGGCTCTTCTAAAAAAAGACCTGGCAGTTGTTGTCGGAGAACGACAAGCACCATACCTCTTAGCGGGGCCGTTGGGTTTGCATGTTTGGCCCATCCCCTTGCCCTTTCGACTTGAGATTCGGCTTGTGGCGGTATTCAGAATAGTCCTACGCGAAAGCAGCTTGCTAGGATTGCAGCGTTTTCTTTGTCAACGGCTGTCCTTAGCTATATCCGCGGTCGACGACGATATCACCGATGTCATGTTAGGCCAAGTCCGACTATGGTGGAAGGCAATGCATGAATAAGTGCTTTTTTTATGTGTCAGCATTATTTATATGATTGACTGCACAATCAGCATTTTCCCTCTGTCGCTTCCGTCGTGCCAGCGATGGCCACGCCGTTGACTTTTCCGCTACCGGCGAGTTCCAGTTCGTTTGATGCACAGGTCCCAAGACCTCCAAGCGTGTATCGATACAAAATGTGCACGCACATGCAGCGGCATCTATCGCATGGGACAATATTCTTTAAGAGTATACATATAAAGTACGGTCTCTCCTTCCTCCTATCAATTTCAAGTTTTTCGACCCGCACTTTCACTCAGCCACGCCAAACGCAGGAGTCGAAATATGCTTTACGGATGACAGAAGTTTCGCTCCTTGGCTATGTGTCTCGGACCATTATTAGCCGCGATGACTGGGCTCAGTGGGCTGCGTGTCTCTTGTTATGTACTCTTGAAATTCTTGGTATTGAATGACGGGCTTCATATCGTTACAACTTACAGCTTGAAGGGGCCTCTTTGTATACATTGGGCATCTCTTTCGGATTGGTGGCAATCCTTCGAGCTGTCCGATATGCGCCCTTTGTGAAAAACGGGGCCCGTCGGCACATGTAGAATGTCGGTGCTTGAACTTGAAGTGACAATTGGAAGTTCGTTTGATTTCCGAATCGATCGATCATCCATCGTCAGTCTTTCGTAACGCGACGCGTCGACGCATCGCGGGAGAATAGCTTATTCGGATAATGCGACTGGGGGAGAGAGGCCAGTCGAAAGTAATGGTTTAGTATGCATGTGCATTATCGATTCGACTGCGTGGTACTAGTATTCAATGTAGAAACTAACGATGCTAACGATTGAGGTCGGCAGTAGGTTCGATGATCGCCATGGATTAGCAACGGGGTGGACAAGGTATTCTGAGCGAGACGTCTATAGAGGGTGCACATACTATTCGAATATACTACATTCTTCGCATGATCCAGAAAGATATCCAGATTTCTTCCCCCCGGCTCGCCATCTACCCCATCCTTCATCTGCGAATGGAGCTGCCAATCCACAGCGTTGGTGCTAGCAGTGATGGCGATCTCACAAGGCACTATCACTTTTCCGACAGTCAACTTGAAGTTGTTACACCAGTTTTCATTCCACAACATACGGTGCAATCATAAAGTCCTCGCGGCCTCGGACTGTGCACTCTGTGCCACATTGTTTACGGAGAAAATGATGCTCCATTTCATCCGGGCCGTTCAAAGTGACTGCGATTTTTCAGGTGGGGAAGGCTAGCCTAGCCTTTTGCAGTATATTCCATGTCGTACAGGAACGAAGATGTATAGGATAGTATAGGATCGGGACCATTGTTCATGAGCGCAGGACATGCCCGAGCACGATAATGCCCTTCAGAAGGGTGGTACGGGACGGACTTGCAGCGAATACAAAGTTCAAGTCAATAAGAACGTCACGTTTTGCCGGCGGCAGTTGTTTCTGCTTTCATACCGCCACCTCCACTACGTCCTTTGGCCCATATCCCGTCCTGCGACGGTTCTCATTGCAACAGTCGGTGCTGAAGCGAAAGGCGGACATTTTCACCCCTGTTGGAGTCGAAATTGCCGACAGGAAAGTGCCGTGCCGGTTCCTGCCTGCCAGATTCTCAGTTGTCACCTACCCACCGCCACGGGAGAATGCTAGAGCCAGATTCGACCGCATCCACTTCGCTTGGCGAAGAGATCCTTGTTCCACCTCCGAAGCAGAAGCGGTCCAGTGTAGCTTGCAGACGATGCCGTCGTCTTCGAGCAAAATGCGTCAAGGATGAAGAGAAGGGACGATGTCGCGGCTGTATCGAAGCAGGCGTGCCTAATGAATGCCAGTTTTTGCCGCGAGGCATGAGTGCCATCGACAGAGCCGTCAGTTGCGATCTGCCTGTACAAATGCCTGCGCTAACCTTCTTTTTTATTCCTTTTATAGCCCCGACCTCCCCAGAATCGAAAGCGGCAGACACGCCCCAAGGACCTTGATGGGTACGATTCTTTTGTTTTTCTTCATGGTGAGAATGGTTGCTTACTCTGGCGTAGAGGACACCGTTCCGATGGCTATGATGGCGCGAAGGCGGGACCGCTGACCCCTCAGTAAGTATCCTATCATAGCACCATAGAGGCTTACAAATTCTTCCACAGAAGCCCTGTTGAAAGGTTTTGCGACAACTGTTCACAGGCTTTGTCCTCAAAATCTTCTTCCCACCAGGAACTGTTTGTGTTGCGTATATTGATACCTTCCCACTGATCAGATCTTCGTCAGGCTCCCTCCTCACGAAGAACTCGTCGAAGCGTGCGAATGGTTCTTTTCAACCTATTTTCAGCTAGGTACGACATGAATCTATCCCTCTTTCATTGCTCACGTTCAAACAGGTTTCCTACACAAACCGACTTTCATGCACACTCTTCAGACCTCCCCGCAATCTCTGAGCACCTTTCTCCTTCTTTCGATGCTTTCAGTCTCAGCGCGATTCACTCCTACCCTAATACAGCGATTTTCAACACCGGTCAATGCAGCCAATACCTTTGCAAAACGTGCACAATTACTGGTTGGCCAGGAAATGCTGGCCGCGGCTTCCCTTGATAGAGCCCAGGCGTTCTTCCTATGCAGCATATGGAACTGGGGAAGCGGGTTTCGGGACCGTAGCTGGATCTTCCTCGGGATTGCCGCACGGATGGCTTCCGTCCTCCGACTTTCGCAGGAAGAATCCTTCGACCTTCGCCCCGACGCGAGCGTGGAGCAGATCATCAACGCCGAGGTATCCCGGCGGACTTGGTGGGTCATCTTCATGAGCGACAATCTGTTGAGCTCTGGATGCGGGCGACCAATATCGTTTGACCTAAACAAGGTGACGATTCCGCTGCCATGCGACGAGGATCATTTTACGTTTGGATACAATGGTCCGGCGACAGTGATGGAGGGGACTCACGCGCGACCGCGACTAGCGCCGCAGTCCCGTTTCCCTATTGATCCACAGTTGAACAGTGAAATTGTGGACACTAACTCGACGAACTCGAATGGCGATCGGTCGCTCTATGGTAACTTGGTCATAATCGCAGACATATGGGCGCGGGTAGCAAGGGGTGCACTGCAGAGAGCGAAGGCTGGACCCACGACGGCTCCATGGAGGAGTGACAGCGATTACTTTCAGATGGCCACCGAGCTGCAAAACTGGGAAAGTAAATTGACCAATAGACAGACGTGGTCGTTATCGAATCTCCTAGCGTATCAGAGCAAGAGCCTGGACTTGGTATGTATCTTTCAACATTTACTCACTTGTATTGAGAAACGTTCCAAGGGTTACCGATGCATTTTCATGATTATGCACTTGTCACACATCGTACTGCGTCGGTCATATTTACCGATGATGGCTCGGGACGTCCATTCATCAACAATCAATCCTTCAAACTATCGGCCAGAAGTGGCACCTCCAAGGTTCTGGGAGACTATTGTCCATGAAATGTTTGCCCATGCGCTCAAAGTTATCGAACTCGTAAAGAGCTGGGTGCCAACTATGCCTTTTACCAGAGGCTCAACGCCGATGATGGTACGATCTTTGCTGCACCAGATAGGTGATGTTTTCTTCTTTAACTACTCTATTTAGGGCTTTGCTATTTACATGTCGGGGTCTGTATTATCATACCTCAAGCGTTGGACTTGGCGTAAGTTTTATATACCCATAGGTCTACAATCATCTCATTTCATTGAATCTATCTAGTATGCCCTTCATTAGCAGAGTACTCCGGACCTGCTATCCAGGATGCCTTAACACTCTTACTGGAGTTGGCGGCTGTCTGGCCTACGATGGCAGGTCGATGGCATGCTAGCTTAAAGGAAGTATCTGTTACCTTCCCGTCCCGCCATGAAAATCCGCACCGGCAGGTCGAAGGCTTTGGCTCTGCCGCAGAAGAGGACCTTAATACTGATGATAGGGAGGGGATGTATAGACATAAATATCGAGGCAGCCTGGAAGAGGCTGGAGATCAGGAGGAGGTGGGTTTGGATGACTCTGCGATTCAAGAGGATATTAAACATCCGCATCCGCGGCAGCCGGTACCTGTTAACGGTGGTGTGCCAAAGGAGGAGACCAGTCCGATTCCACATGGTGCGGACATGCTGTATTCGCTGGCGACGGCTGCGTCACATAGAATGCAGCCTCCGGTTCCGCCTGGAGGCGTGCCGTTCGCCAATGGAGCCACGAATGGCTCTGTTCCGGCGATCTGGGTTAACTACCAGGAAGACCTTGTCACTTTGTTCAACAAAGATGATCTTTCATCTCACCTGGAGTACAGTGGTGATGGATGGGCATTTTAATTCTGTTATGTTTATTGTGGATGATACCCTTTGCTTTTATATGGTTGTACGTATTGAAATGACCTGTAATTGTATATCTTTGCTGGCTTAGTGGTCTGTCGAAGCTCTTATGTAACCCTTCCGAAGTTCCATGATCCTTTTTTTGAAAAAATGTGTTTGGGACTATCGAGAACTTTGACAAATGAAATACAAAAGATTGAGCCCATTGTTGTAAGCATTAATGGGGTAGTGGTAACCTGGGTCGTTGCCATGTGAAATATGCGAAGCATAGTTCGACCCGCCGGGGGTTCGATTCCCCCTTAATGCACTGAGCTCCGATGTTTAAAGTTGTTTTTATATTATAATTATATCCTTCTAAATTCTTTGTTTATTGTTCAAACTTCAAAGTTCGCATGGCACCAAGGTCCAACAACGAACTAAGCTATACAGTTCCGGTACCTAAGTCCCCACGGCGACTTCAGGACAGTGGACAGACATCGGGGCCTGCGGTGCATAAGCAGCTCTTCTCCGCCTAAGCTTAAGCTTTAGAGAAATCATGCAGGCGGACGAGCCCTGCTTCGCCGCTATGCCCAAGTACTTAGATTCTTACGATATCATACTGGGTTGATATCGAATCAAGTTGTCATCTCTTCAATCAGAGCATCTTTGGTATATTTACAGACTGAGCGTGTACGGAAACCCCATTATAGTTAATACAAGACTACAGTTGACATCTACCAGAAAAGTGATCTAAGTAACCCAGTAAGGAAAGAGTGGAATCGATAGGACCGAAATAAGATGGTATGAAACAAGGCAATATATGTAGGTCTGGGTCATGACGTCGTAACCCAACTCTCTAAGCGCGCCTCTCTTGCACTCAACCGATTTTGTGGGTCGACGCACACAATCGTGCGCAAGAACGCACAGAAATGCTCGCGTTCAGGGTTCCTGGCTTCGCTACTGCTTAAGCGGGTAGCAGACGATGGGGTCTTCCACACGCCCTTGGCGATCGCTTCGAGAGAAGTCATTTGGAGCGGGAAGGGACATCTGAAGGTTCCTGTAATACGGGAATGAGTACTGTATGTCTGGCCATCGAAGAAAGAGCTCACCATCTGTGTCATAGAACTCTTGAACCCGTCCCCTGGTGCCAGGATCCCTCATCGATTGGGGTACTTCCCCAACTTGCTCGATAATCTGCAGCAGGTGAATCTGAGCGGGGGTCATAGCCTCATAATCCGGCGTGGGTTGGAAGAATGGGTCAAAGAGCGGGCCACCCGTGGCGAACTCGTACAGCAGGCAACCTAAACTCCAGAGATCGATCTTCTCGTCCCAAGTCAAACCCAATATAACCTCGGGTGCGCGAAGGGCATGCGGCTGAACGTTTGACGAAGGGTGGCGTTTGTGAGGAAGCTGGACGGCGTGGCCTAGGTCTGCTAGAACGAATCTCCACTCCGATTGGTCGAGAGAGAGGGCATCAGGTAGGGACAGGAGGATATTCCGTGGCTGGACGTCAGCGTGAACGAGACGCTGGGAGTGAAGGAAACTGAGTGCGGCCAAGACGTCATTTGCGATACGTCTTACTACAGGCATGGGTAGCCAGCGACTAGAAAGATGGCGTTTGAGATCAGTGATGGTTGGTCCGTGAAGAGAAAGTACAAGACATGTTGACGGAAATGGGGCAGGTAAGGGTAAGCTATGGCGAACAGGGAACGCAGGGGGAAGGGAGAGTCGTCTGCTTCGTTTTCCCTTCTGCTCCGCTGTAGATGGCCGTTCGCTCCGCTTGGAAAAGGTAAAATGGTCGAGCAACTTGACGAGCTGGTCTGGCGGGTGATCCAGCCGCAAATGCTTCGACAGTTCGCGAGTCCGTTCGCCTGCTGTTGTGAGGACTTTGATGGCGACGAGGTTTGATGGTGACGGAGAGAGATATGTCAAGGCGGTATGGAAAGATGCGCCGTCGTCTACGTCGTCCTCTTTATCTGTCTGTGCCAACCAGACCGTCGAGAACCCGCCATCGCCCAGGGGTCGTACCAACGTGTACTCCAACCCACGGCCGAGCACAGTCCCAGGGGTCAATTCTGGTGTTTGCGTTGGCAGATCCGGCTTGGGCGGATATGTCCTTGAAGGCGATTTCTGTTTCGAAGAATGTGCGAGATTGAAACGGATGGCGAATTTGAACTTTAGGGCAGGTGCTGTGAAGAGAGGGAAGAGCTTAGGATGTTTGGTGGACTTGGTGGACATTTGTGAAGCTGCGGAGGATACAGTTACTGGGCATGATTCTGTGCGAGTAAGAACGCATGATAGAAGAACGTTCACAAGTTGAGTACCGTGACGGCAATTACCGATCCGGAACACGCCACTGTCTATCACCTCTCTTTTTTGTCTTTCTCTTCTCTTCTACTTAGTGGTCGCCGTATCCTCGGACGGTGACGGAGCTTGTTTGGCCTTAATCCTCACAGCCTAGAATTTTTTTAAGCGGGAAATGCAGCTTTACCCCAAGCTAAGAAAATTTTATCAGTCTCAATCGTACCAAGAGTTACCAAGAGTTACCAAGACTTAGTCAGTCGCCCACCTATCCCAATCAATGATGCGTGATGTCCGAGTCGAAGATTTTACGCTATGCTGTAAGTAGTGTCGGGCCGAGTTTCACAGGTCTTGACGGAGGAATTTCACAAAGTCCGTGTGTTCAATAATCAGCATCTGAAGGATTACATACAATCTGCCAAACTGTGGGAGGACACGCTTGGAGATGTCGGGTGGCGTCGAGGACCTGCTGTCCAGAATGGGTTTGAAATCTTGAATGGAGGGCGGGTGTTCTTGTTGAAAGTGGGTCACATACTGAGCTTGGAACGCCAAGTACCATAGAAACGGGAAGCACCGATCGTGTCAGACTAGTGTGCCGTAACTAGGCTAGACATTGCGCATCTGGAGATCTTATTCCAGGCTATTCCGGGTAATTTAGTAGCCAAAGCACTGACAGCTTCTGAGATGCAAGATGCACGTTAAAGTTCTTAAAAGGCTAACCGCTAAACGGATCTGCTTGGATGCATTAGCTATCTGCCCTCATATTTCATGGAGCAAGATCAGGAGTATTTACCTATGTTCGATGTCAGTGCAGGTCTTCAAGATTTTGTCCAGTAGTGATTGACATCTCGAACTACGGTAACAAGGTTTCGTTACGCCTTTTTGCAAATAGAAATTCGAAGACGACGTTGATTAAGGGTGAGAAGGTTTCTGTTATCAACTATGAAAGGGTGTGCACTTGACTGAATTCACAGCAGTTCTTTGGAAAGTTAGCGCTAACCAGTCTTATAGACACTCGAGATCCTGACACTGTTCTGGAAAATTGACGTGCGACGTGTGGAAATCGTCCCTTCTGTCACGTGACCGAGTCCAGAAATTATAATATGAGATTCGAAATCAGCAACTTACACCACGATGTCGGTCCCTGAGTCTGTCTCAATTTGAAAGGTTACGAATTTCTGCGCCTCCCAACGATGCTGTTCCCGCTGATAGTGAAAATGTGACAACTTATTAATCCGACACGCCTAGCGAACTTGATTGTGGAGTTTGGAACAAGAATGAGAGAAACTCTCGACTAGCATATTCATTTGCATCTTTTCTCTATCTGTGTCGTCAGTCGTGGGGGTAGGCCCATATAAACCCCTAGTATATCCATGTGGACAGTCTGGAGGTCATCTCCCCATAACAAGAACGAGACTCTTAGCCTTACGGGTATGCGCCCCTTCACCTTGACCGTTCGCAACTTACATTCAACATATTTTTATCAGGCGACCAAGCGGCTGACTGTCTTGTCCAGCTGGGCGTTCCTGTTGGTCCCAGCCCCGACGCACGAGCCCGATCTTTAACTTCCATACGAGTCCGTTGAGCCTTCGTCTTTGTATCAGTATACAACCTACATACTTTCAGTCAATGCCAAGGCTTGTAAATTGTAGGCCGCCGTCGTACCTGCAAGAATCCAGAGTTGGTAAAGCGAAAAAATGCAACGCAGTGCATATATATACTATCAGTATACCAACATCACGGTTGATTGCTCAACGGAGTAAAAAATCTCTAGGCGATTTCTCATATTCGACAGAAACAAAGAAGCACGTAGTTACCGACGATTCCCAAGCAGCTGCAGCGCAAGCTCTTCATCGTCTTCGATATTATTCTGCCCTCCAGACTTCCGGTTCTGAGCACTCTTCTTCTGGCGTTTCTGAGGAGGAGCCACAGAATCGTTCTCATCGTCGGAACTCAAATCAAACACTGGTGAAACATAGCCGTCATCCTCCGGTAATGGCTCCGCGACAGCTCCGTAACCGCCATCATCCATCTAGAAGATCCGAGCAAGTCAGGTCAATATGAAAGAAACGACTGGAGTCACATACCATTACCCCCCTCTCCCTTTCCTTTCTTTTCCTCTTCTTCTCGCGTTTCTTCTCCCTCGCCTCCTCTTTATCTACAACATCCGCAATCTTCATCTTACCCCGCTCTCCCTCAGCATACTTTGCTCCCTGCCTCATCACACCCTCCATTCCACCCGTCTCTTTAACCCACTCTTCTGCATCAGCAACACCATACACCTCCTTCGCCTCACCCGCATCGTTAAACACTATCTTCTTCGACGAAGGTGCGTTCAAGATCAACGTCCGCTTCGCGCGGCCAAGCTTCAGTTTTCGGTTTGACAGGTTGTCTATTTTGATGAGGTTGAGAGGTTCTTCGGTGGATGGGTCCTCTTCGAGATCGTGATCAGCGCGTTTGAGGGTCATGAAATCGTCGTCGTCATCGTCTCCTGCCTCGCGATCGACGAGTTTGTTATAGTGCTCTGATAGAACACCCTGGTTCTTTCGTTCGAACATCCGATCGTATTTCGTTCGTATGGTATCAGCCTAATGACGATGATCAGTTTATACGCAAGAAAGTTTGTCGAGAATACCTTGGTTGTCGTCTGTTCTAAAACTTTTTCTTCTTCATCGCTCGATGACGATGAATCTTCTTCCACCTCGGACCCGCTGTTTTCCTTCAGGGCCTCGGCTGTTGCTTTAGCAGCCGTGCGATCAGCGTTCTTCTTCTTCTTCGCCATCTCCTTGCTGAGGAACTTGATCTTAGGCGTACCTGGAAGACCTAAAGATTCCGCGAACTGATCGACAGGCAGTTCCGATATTTTGAATATGGACTTGTCTTTGTGGAGGTAGATGGACCGCAGGTAGGACACGAAAGCCTGCAGCCAAAAGTATTATGCATGAGCACGGCGTCTTTTTGAAAGGAACTCACCCTTTGACCGAGGTATTTAATCTCTGGGTCTTGGAATGCAAGATTTTGGAGTTGATTATCGATGTTCTGCGTTTTGCTGCCTCGAACTTTGAGCTTGTCGATGATGATTGACTTGGCTTTTAGAGCAGCCAACATGCCTTCCTCTTCGCTGGGCATCAAAAAGAGGAGGCCTTTACCCTTGCTCTCATATCGCGCTGTTCTGCCAACCCGGTGAATATATGTCTCTGCGTCTTCCGGAGCGTCGACCTGCAAGACCCAATCCACCGACGGAAAATCCAAACCGCGCGCAGCGATATCGGTCGCGAACAACACTGAGTGCTTGGATGTGGTAAATTTGTTATACATGTTAAGGCGCGCAGTCTGTTTTTGTTTGCCGTGCAGGTGAAGGAGGGAGATACCGGGATGCATCTTGCAAAAGGTTTCATAAACGAAGCGAACCTGCTTACAGCTAGACAAGAAGACAAGAATTTTTGATTGCAAGTGTGACTTGATGAAGCTCCAAAGCACTGAGAGCTTCTGGTCCAATGTGCAAATAAGGTAGTGTTGCGATAGATTTTCTGGAGTCGCCGTCGGGATAGAGGCATCCTCGGCATCATGTATACCAATATGGACAGGATCCTTCAAGCTTAGCCGTGCTAGGTCGCTCACTGACTGAGTCTGTGTGGCGGAGAAGAGCAATGTTTGTCTGGACTTGGGAAGGTGGGCGAGGAGTGCAGACAAGGTACGGGAGAATCCCATATCCAATATTCGATCGGCCTCATCCAAGACTACAGATGAATGAGAAATGATGTAGAAGCATCACGAAAAAGAACTAACCAAGGACTTGCAAGTTGTCTGATTCAAATCCGAACGTTTGGTCCATGTGCTGTAGCAGCCGCCCAGGAGTGGCAACGAGAATGTTCATTCGAGACAAACGATCTCGTTCGTCCTTTAGATTCTTTCCTCCAATTACAAGACCGGCCGAGAACGAATGGTATCCACCGATGGATCGTAGAACGTCGAAAATTTGAACGGCCTGTTGATGAGACAAAATTTGGAGTTTGGATGAGCATTCAAAGACATACCAGTTCTCGTGTAGGGGATATTATTAGTGCACCCAATCCATCCGAGGGACCCCACTTGCGACGGTGAAGAATTTCCAGTACAGGTATGAGAAACGCGAGTGTCTTGCCACTTCCGGTACGAGCGGCACCTAGGACGTCTTTTCCCTTGAGTGATACAGGTATACTCTTCGCTTGAATATCTGTCATGTTTACGAAGAAAGCCTTTTTCAATCCTGGTGATGATCAGCTTGCGCGTCGTAAACAAAAAGACGGTGGCCACCTCTCTTGGTATAGTCAGATACTGGCAAATCAGAGAACGCCTTCAAGTCCTCTGGCGGAACCTGTTCTGTACTGGTGAGCCTCCAGCATTTCCAGAGCGCGTCCTTTGAGACTCACAAAATTTAGCGCATCGTGATCCAAAGAATCTATTTTCTGGTTTTCTGTCATCTGCTTGGCTTTCGCAGACCGAATGGCATTTTTGGTCTGCTTTCCCTTGTTGGGTCTGGAGGGACCAGCTTCGGGTTGGTATGTCATGGACGTGAGAGCTGAAAAAAAGTGCCGGAGCTTCGGGCCGATGAGTGTGCATCCAGGGTTAGGGTTTGAACTCCCGACTTGGTCGTCGCAGGCAGTCTAGTGCTCTCCCCTGTGTGCGACCATCACTATTGTTATGTTATTTGACAGCTCTCGTTCTTCAGCTTAGCTTGATTATTATTTATTTTTAAAGCGGTCCGTGCACATGAACCGGGGCAATGGGCGCATGTTTGATCCCTTAAGGCCGTCATCATCATCACCAGAAACGTTGGAAATGCCACCTACATTGAACTCGACATCTTCTGCTGCCGATATCGATGGACGACCCGATATCTTGTATGAGGCCGCAGATATAGAGGACGAGGAGCCCAAAGGTGAGGGTATCGTCTTTTACTGGCCGTCGTCCTGACCGTCTCATGCAGACGTACTAGGCTCGGACAACGACCGCAGAGCGCTAGTCAGGCTAGCCTTTTCGTTCTTCCTATTCGGCCTCATTAACAACGGTTAGTGTTTTCTTCGTCGTAGTCTGTGTTCTCAGTCTCACTCGAAGGACAGTGCTCTATGTAATCATTCTGTCGGCTGCCCTCGACTTGGTCCCCCCCTCCACTCCAAAGGGAATAATTGCGTTCTGCAACATTGCACCCGCACTCGTTGTCAAGGTTGGCTGGCCGTACGTCCTGAAAGGCCGTATTCGCTATGCTAAACGTGTCATTGGCTGCTGTCTTCTTAGTGTATTGGGAATGATTGTGCGTCTAGACTGCCTCCTTTTCCGCGGTATATGCTCACTCAGAGGCAGGTCGTGGCCCTTTTTGATTCTTTGTCAATGAGGCTTTTAGGCATTAGTCTCGCGTCATTCTCGTCAGGTAGTAATTTCCCCCACATGGACATGTAGCCCGATATCAGCTAACCCGTCCTTTAGGCTTGGGGGAGTTGACCTTTCTCCAGCTTTCCACCACTTATACTCCCCCGTCCATCGCTGGACACAGCGTAGGGTGCGTTTTTTCTTGTGCCCTTATCACAGTCTTCTTATCTATCGACTAGGTACTTTGCTTCGGGTACTGGAGCAGCCGGCTTAGTCGGGGCCTTTTTGTGGTGGGAGCTTCGCGGCTTGGGTGTTCGCATTGGCGTCGGACTTTCTTCTGTACGTCTACTCCACTAATCTGCGGCCTCATAGCTTACCATGTCTCTAGGTCTTGCCATTCATCATACCACTGACTTTCTACTTACTTCTTCCTCCTAATTCTGCTTTTTTGCCGTCCTCATCCTATGATGACGATGATTCCACCTATCCGATAACGTCAACACTCCCTTACACACCATTGCCTACGGAAGAGGATGCCGCTGAAGGCGAAGGCAGTTTACTTTCAGTTCCGAAAAGAGTATCCTTATCCCCAAATGACAAACTACAACTTGTCAAGCCTCTCTTGATAAAATATATGTTGCCACTATGTGAGTGCTCCCACATATGTTTTTGGACTGAGCTAATGCGTTGTGCTGGTAGTCTGTGTCTACACGGTATGCAGTGCCCACTTCCATCTAGTTTGCTGTATTGATATCATTATAGTTTGAGTATACTATTAATCAGGTGTGTACGCGCCATTTCTGCCGTCGTCTCGGTAGTCTAGGCTGACACCGAGGCACACAGGGCATAGCTCCTACTCTTCTGTATCCGGTTCCCTCTCCTGACAAATATACCGTTCTGAGCAAGATCATACACTCAGTTCGCGACTACTACCCTCTTTGGCAGGTACTGTACTGTTCGCCGTTGCTCTGTTTTATTCAATTTCTGATATTCAAAAAGCTCGTTTACCAAACAACTGTTTTCTTTTCTCGCTCTTCGATATCAATAGGAATTCCTCCGCTACCGGCTCGGCTACTTTCTTTGCCTTCTATAATACAATGCTTAATACTTCTTACGCTGGCATACGAATCTGCCGTAGGTTTCTATTCTGATGATTCAGAAGGACTGAGCATAATCACCGTGTTCCTCCTGGTGAGCCTAGAAGGGATATGCGGCGGCTTGGCTTAGTACGTACTCACTTTTCATATGCTGGACCGTGTTCACGCCGCGTTCTCAGCGTCAACGTCTTCTACCGTGTCAACCAAGAGCGTCCGGACCCAAGCTCAGCCAACGACGTCGAGCGAACGCGTCAAGAACGCGAATTCAAGATTGGCTCCATTGGTTTTGCAGATTCATCTGGAATTCTGATTGCTTCGCTTGTTGCCGTTCCTACTGAAGTTAGATTATGCCGGGCACAAGTCAACAGAGGGAAACTGCTGTGTCAGGGTCTGTAATATAATTTATCGGAAATTTCCTAAGGGTTGAGTTTTAGTGTTTGATGAGATGCCAATATGATTCGATGGCTCGGGCATAACATCGCCATCTCCTACAACATTTTCCCCAATCTAAGGGTCGCTGTTATCACTTAGAAGATCGGCTGTCTTTTTTGCATTTAACTTGCTTTGATGGACATATTTTTTTTTTTCGATCCGGATACCGAAGAATTTATTTAATCCCTAAATCACCATCATTCTCGTAAGTACGCGGAACCGACACTTGACGCGCGCGTGCATCTTGTAGTAATTATTACTGTCAAGAGACCATCATGGACATGACACATACAACATTCAACTACTAATGACGCTATCTCCACCCATTTTCGTATCGGGAACTCGGTACTATTATTAAAGACAAGAGACACTAACATAGCGAGATGACAACATAGATGATAGCCAGACATGACCGGGACCCGATAAAACCAATGAATAAATACATTTGAGATAGCACCGGCAGAGCATGGAAGAAAAGAATTGAGAAACGGAAATGCGTTAAGAATACAAATTTTGAAAATGAAATAGAAGCGCGAGATTTCTTTTTGTTGCTTTTCTAATCCTCCAGGAGGTGCCGCGGAGAGCCGACCTTTGACGTTTCATATTGAGCTCAGACCCATCTGGAGAAAGAACACTAAAACTCACATTGTACATGTACGACTGCCACGTTTGTTGGAGACTCTGATCATCCGCTGCGATGCCCCTCATGGCACCCTCAGGTGTATAATGCTGTGGGCGATATTGGTGCATGCCGTAGTGCGAATGCGGCTGGGCATAATCTGCCGTCGTGTCCATGGCTTGATCGGTCCAGTATTGTTGTTGTTGGACTGCCGATGTAGTAGCGGTCTCCGGGGAGGGATATTGCTGTTGAGAATAGCTCGTAGACGGCGAGATCGACTCGGACGCCATGGATTGTTGCTGTTGGTGGTGGTACACAGTGTCCTTGGAATAGTCGTACGCATCTTGCTGATGTTGATGCTGTCGCGGTGGCGGTTCTTGCGGCGGTTCGTATACACGAGGCGCGGGGGGTGCTAGTTGTTGGTATTCTTGATACGATAATTGATGGAGATTGGAGTGAGATTGTGAGTGCCTTAGCGTGTTCAGATTGGACTGGGATTGGGAGTGTGTCAGCGCATGTCTTGGTTGGACTGGAGCTGGGGCCGGGACGGGGGCTTGGGCCGAGGCCAGGGCGGTATGTTGAGCATAGTCAGTGGCAGTCTGGTATGTCTGGTGGACCACAGCGGGATATTGGTTCGCCTGAGACTGAGCCAAGGAATCGGGTTGATGCACAGTAGTTTCCACCGCATGCTGACGTTCGTAATGCATAGACCGAGAACGGCGAAGTGAGTGCTGCTGATATTGCTCCGAAGATGCCGGTTGAGCATATTGTTGCTGAGATGGCGGCGGCACCGGAGGTGGTTGATAATAGGCTTGCTGTTGCTGCTGCACGATCGAAGGCTGTTGCTGCACAGTCAAAGACTGCTGCTGTACAGGCAGGGACTGCCGCTGCTGCTGTTCCTGTTGTTCCTGTTGTAGTTGCGCCTGACGGAGCCGTGCCTCTTCAGCGAGATACCTTTGATGTTCACCTTGGTACGGATAAGTCTGTCCCATCAATGCCTGAGCAAACACCTCATTGCCCTGTTGATACGCGCTCTCAATCTGGGCACGGATATGCCCTTCAAACCCATTGAGTTCATGGACCAGGTTAGGGTGAACACCCGTGAACGACGGATTATTAGTCTGAGGGGGAGAGTCAGAAGGAACTCTTGAGTCTGATTGCAAAGTGCGAGTTGGCGGGTTCGGTCGTTGGGGGTACTTCGTTGTCAGCGTTCGGGTCTTCCCGCTGAATATATGCATCTCGTCGTCATCTTCGGTCTCGGTGGAAGGACGGAAGATATCTTGTCCGACTGTAGGTGCTATGCCGTTTCGCATGTCGAAATAAATCTTCTGCGCCTTCCCCTGCAGTCGCCTGACAATAGGCTGTAGCATCGAGCCAATAAATCTGATAGGTTCAAAAGTATAGAATCGCCGACTGACCAGGAATTTCACGGCCCTCCCACCATATCTCGCCGCAGTATCAAAGAGATCACAAGCTGCCTTGAGTTCCAGCAACGCGGCCGGAGCAACTTTGCAGGTAGGCCCGTGTATAACGACCGAAGAGATCATTACCTGCCGGTTACGTGTGAGCTTGAACACGTACACATAAATTACATGTGTTCTATCTCACCGTCGATGAAAACGCATGTGTCCACAGAACCCAGAAACGAGCGATCTGGGCTGGAAATCTCGTAAACTGCTGTCTTACTGATGCAAGCAAGTCACACGCGCTCCGATAACCAGCCAAGAAAGATGGAGCGTATTGACTCTTGATAGGATCGCTCGGGCTGCTGTTAATTGCGTGCACAAAAAAGCAACGATGAATATAGAGGAGAGCTAGAAGCAACACGTCAGTGTACACCCAACTACGGTCTAGCACAAAACCACCCAACTGAGTTCGCGATAATTAGTCGGCATGTAATGGCTCATAGTCTCACTCAAACCGACACCCTCCGGAGGCGACCCCTGGGCATACTTGGGAAGCTCCATATCACGGACTTTACGATCCAGGTCCAAGATGATAGAATATTTCGGTGCGCGAGAAGTCAGAGTACCCTGAACGACGGCAGCAACGCACTCGGCTCCAAAACGCGCCTTCCAATGCGGAACTGGAATATCAACGTATTGCCATCGGCAAAACAGCTCCTAGGAAATACGATCACGGGACTCACAACTCGGTTGGATAGTACCATCCGCAGCCATACTTTGATCGACATCGAGCGGAAGTTCGCAGTCTACAAATGGGAGGGAGAATGTTGCTAGTCGCCCGGTAGCGAGACTCTATACATACAGATTGAGTAGGATACTGGAATAGGAGATTAGAACACACACCTGCCAACCGTCAGTGATGAAAAGCTCCCAGAAGAGAGCGCGTCGTTTCTGTACCTCCGCCGGAGGGAGTTTCCAGCGCGCACAGTCCCGATCTGGTTGCCATTCGTTTAGGGCCAACTTGATTACGGTATCTCTTCAATCTACTTACGGAGACCGATCTGCAAGTACGGTCAGTTCATCTCATGACACCGTCCGGGAGCAATCAACGTACACTCTGAGCCAATTTCGTTGACATTCCCATAAGTGTCCATGTGGATTCGATGCTATTTTCGCCGCTCTTCAGACCTTCGTAGATGGCCATCAGCGAAAGGGTTTGGACTGTCGCAACAGAGGGAGGTCGCTCAAGGAGGGGCTCAATAGACAAAGCCGCCTTGGTCAAGTCGTAGTATTGCTCGCAAACAGGGTTGTCCGGTGCAGCTGGGAGATTCATGTCGGTTAGAGCTCCGAAACAGAAAATAATGAACAGCAACGCCAAGTCATGCGCCCCGCCCTTGGTTACTGGAGCGGATGTAGCCGACGGAGGTGTTGAGTTGGTTGGCCTTCTGGCGCCGTCCTGATACCACAAGGGAATGAGTTCATCGTATAGTTGCCGCTGATGTACGGCACCAAAGAACCAAGGAGCGGTCTCGAGATACAAGGAGCAAAGCCGATAGCCCTCGCTCCATTCCGGAATGTGGTTTTCGACGAGATAATCAAGATCAATCCCAGTGGGTACGGTCGAGAATGGGAAGCTGGTTGATAGTTCGGTAACAGGCGGCGCGAGGTCTGAAGTCCAGGTGGTAGTGGTCGAATGACGCGTTTCCGGACTAGCGGAGGATTCTTTTGCCTCGTTTACTTCACCCTAAATAAAGACTGGGCTGAGCAATAGAATCGAATTACAGCATGAGAAACATACGATAAGGAGACTCTGGAGCATCAAGGTCATGAGGTTGCAACGTTCACATCAAAGCTTCCGAATGCTCACCTCTTGACCGGCAGAGCGACCGTAGAAAGTAGCAGCACCATCGTCGCGAATGGCAAGCGTACCAAAAGCGTCAATATACTGAGAATCGTCAGTGTCCTCTGCTTGCGCCGTACTGCCTTCGGACTCTTGTATTGCGGCATGAAGCTCAATACTGGACTTAATCTTCAGCAGATCACGATCAAGGAGCGGATGGGGCTCGGTTGTAACGGTCGATTGAAGGATCGTAAGAGCATCCTCGAGTTGACGAATTCGGTCACTCATATGCGCAATTTTCTGATGGAGCTTTTCGGTATCTGCAAGTACGAACCTGCATAGTTGTATGTTGGCATGACATCCACACATAAAAATTATTGGGGGACAAATGTACCTGGTTCCTTGACCCGTGATAAGACTGCCATTGGGACAAATTGCAGAGCAACCTCTTCGTTTACAACTGAAAGCGCATGAGCAGGTCGGAAAACGCCCCTTGAACGACAAATCCTACCTGGAACAGGGTACCGTCTTGTCACATTTGAGTTTCAGTCTTAAGAAGTAAGTTCAGAGTGCATTCACGGACAAATGAGACTCCGACTGACCGTCTGTGATACAACGGAGAAATCCAGTAACGTAACCGGCGAGAACAAACGAAACACATACCGACATTCAGCGCACGACAGGCGTCCTTGCGAACGCTTTGACTCTTTGTCTTGTACGCGCTGCCCAGAACTGTTATCCTTCCGCGGCTGCGGGGCCATGAAAGATGAATTGTGTCAAATATATCGGGTATAGCGCAACAACCAATTTGGTGGTCGGAATGTCGGAGAACGTCGCTAAAAAATAGCAATGTCAATTAGATGGCTACCACTCGAGACAAGGACCAAGACATGTACCGGTAAGCGCCAAGAAATGATGGGCAAGAAGTAGGAGAGATGCACAGAGCCCAGATGACGCACAAGGCGGTGGTGGTACGAAGTCAAGTTGTAGTTCTACAACTAAGCATGATGAGCGGACAGAGAATCTGCCCAGGCACTGTAGCCGCAAGGGCAAGCTTTTCGTTTCAAAATACCCCTAATATATCCTTATGTGGGCATTTTACTCTTTATTTGCGCGGTTTTTCGATGGAGCCCTTTTTTAACCCCGAATCGGGGGAACACTTGCCCATCAACAGTACTAACTAGATCGATCAGTCCAAGATCGCCTTCAATCTTTTTTTTTACTTCCGGCTCGAAGGAAGGTAACCCTGAGTAAGGCAGGAGGTGTATACCGTTGTAGCCCGGCCAACATTCCAGCCTCTTGAGAATAGGCGGAGTCCACTAATCATGACTCATGCTACGAGGCGCCGATGATAGGTGGGGTTTACATACAAGGCTGGACTTAATAAACTCGGCGTTCGTTTCGTGTGCTCTCGGCGGTACTAGACGTCTCGGAAAATATGGGTACATAGAGATGGATGGAAGGTAGAAAAGAAAATGTACGCAGCACCCGGTCACCGAAATGCAATGCCTGGGAAGCAAGCAGTAATGCAGCTTACGACGAGCTGATCGCGTTTCTTTTTTGGGGTGCGAAAACGATGACATCACGTCATCGGTTATCTCGGAGATCCAGGAGTGGTACTTGGATCTCTACCCAAAAGATGATTTCCGTTTTCCTGGAAGATCTAAATGAAATACACTCGAAGGAGTATAACGAGGGGTAATAATACTGAATCTTCGCTCTACGTCCGCCGTTCTCCGTACGATGAGTAGTGAAAAGCGCCACGACGCGACGGCCTGTAGCTGCATGATGATTTACGACGTCGAGATCGTCGATAGTGTGTCGATCCCATGTCGACCTCCTCCTATGCAAACACACTGTGCAGAAACACCCAGTCATTCGAGCAATCCAATATTGTATACAATTACAGTGACAGGTACAGACAGTGCAGTGAGAGATGCACTTTATCCTGTAATGGTCCAAGTATTATGACTAATGGGAAAATAGCAGATGGGACATTGGCAGACAGAGGGGCATCCGTCATTCGTTCTTGACCCTCTCATAATCAGACGTGCTAGAACCGCCGCCCCAGCTGAACCAGCTGCTTCCCCGCTTCTGAGCAGCAGGTCGTGAATCGTACGAGTGTCCAACACTGTCCGTCCCCACATCGTACCCTTCGACGTCGCCCGGCACTTCTATCTCCTCATATCTCCCCGACACCGACGTGGAATGTTCCCGAAGGTACATGTCTTGGTCTGAAGACACCCGGGAAGGACTCAAAAGGGGCGATCCAGACGGCATCGGCTCCCCTACTCTGGGCAGGGCTGCCAGCTCAGCCTCTAGTTGGCGTCGCCTCTCTAAGATGGACCTAGTGGTCGACCCTGACGAGGACGGCCCAATCCGCGACGAGGTAGGGGTCGGGGCAGGGGCCGCCTGTTTCAGAAGAGCTGCACCTGATGCAACGATGCTGGGCCCATACGACTTCCAGAACGACGTAACGAGCTGAGCGGGGCCCGACACGGGATTGTTCAGAGACGGAGGAGGCGCTTCTGGCCCACCGCCTGCTACTGAATCCGATGACGACTGCTGTCCCACACTCGCCGAAACCTGGTCCCACAGCGCCCGAGCGCGTGATTGGATGAAAGCGTACAATTTTGCTTTCAGGGATGCCGTGGTTGCGTCAATCTGTGCTTCGTGGGTGCTGAAGAACGGCTCTAGATGGTTGATATAGAGATACGTGGAACCCTGGGTCTGGGGAAGAGAAAGGTAGAGGAGAAAGAGGGTCTTTGTGAGGTAATAAAACGGGATCCTATGATGAACCGGGATTAGTAAAATGGACGGCGAATACTTGGAAGTAGATGCCCATGAAAAGGAGCTATAGAACGTAAAAACGAAGGAGGCAGGGCTCACCATGAGATCAGCCACTCGGCAATGTATTCAACCGCGACAATGCATCCCAGCACCGACCAGTACATAAGCCATCGCTCTAGCTCCTCTTCTGATGCTGGCCGCTGGCTGAGTGTCTTGTACGACGCGTATCCAGGGTAAAGAAACGCAGACACAGAACTGACATACATAGCATATAAGCATGCCCATCGATGGCAAGATATCTATGAAAGACGTACCAGATAATTCGTGATGTGAGGTAGAAGAGCATGTCTACTATGAGGCAGTAAGGGTGCAGGTCTCGCCTCGTGCACAGTTAGGACAGTTAGGGGGTGACGTAATAAGCAGAGTTCGGTCACATGCACCTCACCCACCTTTGTGTTCAGAATCCATGGCCCGTCGTCGTCGTCGTCTACTGTTCACTCATCGCAAATCATCAAGAGCCGCAGAAAGACAGCTAGGAGGAGACCCAGACGCGCCGTCAAAGGCGCAGTTTATGTCCTGGTCCAAGTTTGCACGGTTTGTTAGTGAGGATCATCTATTCCTTCCTTGTCTATCGGCTCATCGTTCTTGTCTCTAGTGCCAGATGTAGGAGGCGTGGACCATGAAATCAAAGTCAATGACGAGTTTGTTCATTACCCTTCCATCCGAGTGCTCCATGCTGACATGCGCTCAGTGTCCTCGTCTGGCCACAGGGACGACTGATCAACGAGACTTTAAAGATGGACGATTACTGGGTGGCCAAAGTGCGCGATATACGATCATCAGAGGAACAGCACGAGGATGTATGTCTTCGTTTGATAACGTTTCCCAGCTTCTAAACGGCATAGGTGTGGGTTCGGGTCCAGTGGTACTACTCGCCGCGGGACGTGGCTGATGTGATCAAGTATTTGTGAGCAGCATTCACCCGCGTCACTTTGCTTTTCATAATGGTGCATGCAGTAACGCCGAATTATGTGGACAACATGAACGGATCTTCTCCGATCACTACGACTATATCCACTCGACGACTATAGACGGTAGGCGACTTGCCTCCACCGCGGTGCGACGATGGTTCTAACTAGGTTAGGTCTTGCTACCATCAAAGGTTACAGTGACATAGATATGGAGCAGGATGTCATAGAGAAGGATTCTTATTGGTGCCGGTATACCTTTGAGAGAGAAGCGCGAACACTTGAGGTAAGGCTTTTCTGTCCTTGTCGATATTATCATCAACTCTTTTTGAAAGCCAAAGCCGACCAAGTCGTGTATCTGTCATCACCCATACGACCCAGACGACGACACCGTAGTCATGCATTTTTGTCCTCGCCCAGGCTGCCGGAAAGCATACCATCAATCCTGTCTTGTAAAAGAAAAGTTCAAAGAACCAGTCTCACTGGATCGACCGTTGCGGCTCCTTTTGTCTTCACCGGATAGCGATGAGCCATTCGTCGTCCCAGTTAAACAGTCTACTCGCTCAAAGAGGGCCGCGGCCAAACGGACGATTGAGGAACTCCTGACAGAGCTCCCGAATGAGCTGGTCAGGGTGGCGAAGCAACCTATAGTGAAAGGCGCAAAGTACCCGCTAGGCGGGATTGTTGGGAATGTAACTTGGGTGGTCACCGCAAGGCGGTTGGTGTACGATGCTCTCAGTGGCTTTGGTGTCCCGGACGACTGGAAAGGGAGTATAGACTGCTCGAAGGCTATTGTAAAGTTCAAAGACAATAATGTCATTCCAGCTGTGATCTGTCCCCAGTGCGAGGGTCCGATATGATTTTTTGAAGTATCTGTACACCTGCTATCTTGCTAGATGTTGTATTTTTTATGGGCTGTATATATATTGGGGGCATCCACCTGTCATCCGAGGCTTGATCGCTGTCTGATTGACAAAGTTTGTCCTTCATGACATCCACCACAGACGATTGGGACACACCTTCAGCTTCAACTTCGGTAAGCTCCTACATCTCCCGGCCATGAGCTCGTCGTACTCATTACCAGAGGGAGGCCCCAGCGCCAGTAAAGGACGACTGGGAGGACGACGACGACGAGGATCAGGTTCCCACTGAGGAGGCGAATCAGAGATTATGGAACGATGCGTGCGTCGTGTTCTCCTCATCTATGCACTAGCTCTGACCTCCATGGCTAGCAACACCAAGCTCGCCGCCCCTATGCCCACTGTCGTCTCGAGCTCAACACCCACTCCCCCAGCAGCCGCCTTCCAACCCGTCATGCGCATCCTAAAACGCCCCACAAACTCCACGAACAGCTCAGTCTCGTCTGTGCCTAGCACAGAGTCTTTCAGTGAGAGAGAGGCGAGGTACCAGGCCGCGCGGGAGAGAATCTTTGGGAATGGTGAGCCATTGTCGTCGTCGTCGTCGTCAGCGGTGGTCCGGAATCCAAGAGGGCCGGAGGAAGAGAAGGGATTCACACAGCGTAATGGTAATACCAGTCAGTCTCAGGCTCCAACTTTGACGCGAACGGATGATGGATAAATTGACCGGGTTATCAATGTGCATACCATCTTCTTTTTAGATATCCTTTTGGTTTTCTTTTGCAAGTTGTCCCCGATTATTACATGTGGGCAAGACTATAAATATCTTGTACAGTTACTCGACAACGATCAACCAGAAAACCAAAAGAACGTTGGTCTCTACTACCACCATGTTCTGAACAGAAAAGTCAACAGGGATGTCTTTCTAATACAGGCTTTCGAACTCATGGCTGCCGAGCGTCGAGGTCTCTCTTTTCCTGAATGCCCGAAATGAGTTGCCAGGGGTTCGATATTTTGATGACGCGTACTTACGGGAACATGTGCTCGTTTAGCATTCCCCGTATCAGCTTGAAACACTCGGATATGCAGACTTGATGGGGATAAACAAGAGCGAGATGCTGCGAAAGAAAAACTCGGGGTCCTCGATTCATATCTCCATCTCGTGCCGGTCTTGAACAGGATACGAGACCGTCTGCGCAAGGCCCGTGGTGATATATAGATATCATGTTCAAGTCGCGCTTTAATCAGCCTCGAAGCCAAGGTCGTATCGTATAGCCTTCGTGAAGGAAGTGGAGCTGGATCCAAGACCGACGTTGGGCATATCACAAGTCCGGACGACGTCTGGTAGGTTTACACGTCGTTCAGCTTCGCCGTAATCTTCATTAAATTGATACAGGTCCCGCGACAGGGACCTAGAAAGTTTCACCTCAGAAAATCTGGTGCTCTCCGGTGGAATATAATCTCCTGTTGTTTGTGTTCGGAGTGATTGGGGCACCGAAGTGTGGGAGAGGCAATGGCATCTGTGAATTTGGTTTGTCAATCACCGCACTTTGCAGGAAGAACCGACACGGTACTGGTAAACTGCGACCCCGTTAATATATCTTGTCGGAAGATTTGCAAGTTTACGTGACATGAACATTTGAACACTCGTCTCGCGTCATAGAGTAGTCAAAGGATATTAGGACCCCGGCAGCCGACGCATACAGCGGAATATTTCAGAGAATGGGCTATTACTTGCATATAACCATTCGGGATTGCCTGTCATATCGATATGGGGTAAAAACCATTTGAACTAATATAGATCCTGCACAAAACAGCCGAAATTTCTCAGGGATGAGAAGATTAATTGACCATGGTTTAAAGAATGTAAAAGATACAGGAATATTATAACTCATGATGACCCACGATGGCATGAACAGAAACAGGCCTATCATACTAGAAGTAGCAGCATAGCTGCATGTCATGTAGGTGCTGTTCTATGAATGTTTTTGCATCTGTTGTTGGACCATAATCTTGCAGCCATTTGCATCCAGCTTGACAGTAAACATGCTTCTTGGAAAAATCAATTTGAACTTCATCATAAGCAACATTTTTGTGGACTTGGGAGTCTGGAGTTTATGGGTGCCCCTCAACTATATAGCAGTTAAGGCTATTTCTGGAATCTCAGAGTGGCTTCCATGCATTGCAAGTCCCAATTCTTCAGTTTACAACAAAGTCCAATGCTCCTTTCATCATTCACAAAACCACCAGACTGTCAACCTGCATGTAAACAACTGTAAAAAAAGGAGTATGCACTAGATTTGTCTATGAGAAAGGGTAATGAAGATTATCCAATGTTCAGATATCCCAACTAAGATAGAGTTATAAAAAATGGATATTAATTAACATCAGTTTGTTAATATTGTTATTAACTGAGCACCCCAATGCACCTAGTGAATAAATGTGAATAATGTGAATAAATATCAAATGGTTTGCCAGGACTATGCCATCTGCTTGCACTCCACAAGACATGATTCAACTCTCCACTGTGGAGCAACCAGAAAGTGAGCACCCTCATCAACATGATACAAGTCAGACAATGGTATGGCATCCATTAAATAAGTTTTAACTGCTGTATTTATTGATGAATTTTCACAGAAGAAAGGCAGAAAATCAAAGGCCCAGCTGAGTATCAAGTTCCATGACATGCAAAATGACCTGAATCAAATCAGAACAATTCCAGTGAGACCAAACACATCAGGACAGGTGTCAGAAACTGTGTGACTTGTGGATATGATTGACTCTGATGATGAAGAGGAGGATGTAGTAATTGACATTAATATTGAGGACACTTCAGACACACTTGAACTTGATGCTTCATGTCTGAGGAAGAGTGCTGCATCAGTCTTTGCAGCATTTGTTGATCACCAACACCATCAAGGCTTGCTAGCAACATTGAGGGACTCAAGAGAGACATGGATGAGACTGATTGAGACAATATTTAATCTGTTCTTGATTTTCTCACCAGCCTTTTGTTATTAACTCATTAGAAAGTCTGTTTTTCACATGTTATTCACATTATTTCACAAAATGTCTATTAACTGTTAATAACCTAGTGAACAAATACCCTCTCATGACCCAATGTTAAATGACATGTTATTAACAGGACTGGGAATTATTAGCCCTACCTTAATCCTAACTTGTGGGCAATACCAGCATGTCAGATGTGAGGGCTACCCAGCCTTTGACTAGGTTAGTGACCATTTTGAGTCAGCCTAGATATACCACCTAGCTAAAGAACATGAATGTCTCATAGTGGAGCTGTTATTCGACATCAGTTTCAAACTTGTTTCATTTGACATCATTCAAGATGCGGACAAACAAAGGTAAAGAAACCGCACCGTTGACCGCAACCTCCGTCATCTGTGGCGCCCGAAATTCACGTTCAAGTTCGTCTGATCCACCTGGAGACTACTCATACAACAATGCGTATTCAGTAACTGAGGATGTCAAAAGTTACTATGTCGGATCCACAATCTACACTCAAGTATGTTCAAGTTATCATACTTCAATTCTCTACTTATTTGCGTTGCAGAGAGGCGAAAGGTATACACCAAACTTTAAAGGAGTTGCTGAAAAATAAGGAACCGTTCGATAAGGAGACAGATTTCCAACGGAAGAAGTGAGTTGCTCGTTGTTCAGACTTGTATTGTCGTTAAATATCTAGGACAGCCTTCGACGCTGTTATCTGAATCTTCTCCTCCTTCATCCCTATGCACAGGAATCTCAGGATGTAGAGAACCATCTCTGGATGCAGACCTCCTACGCCATCATATCCGTTTATAAGCAGCGCATCGCAGCCCTTGATCGCATATTACAGAATCAGCCCCAGCAGCTTCACCAACACGGTCACGGACCCGTAGAATACCGGAAACTTGTCCAGCGCTTTCGCCAGTTCCTTGCCGAGGAAGAAAAGTTCTGGACCCAAGTAGTTACCAGGCATCAACGATCCTTCCAACTCGATGAAGCCAAACCGGCGCTTGTCGCTTTAGAAATTATTCCTGCCACCGGAACAGCTGATAACGACGCTGCTCCTCCCAACGGCCGCAACCATTTCCAGTTTCCTAGAACGGATCCCCTCGAGTCTGTCGCACCCACGACGCCTGAGCAGCGTGAGAGCCGTCTGTCTATCCTCAACAAAGCACTTGTTTGCTTGGGTGATATTGCCAGATACCGTGAGCAGTATAATGAGGGTGGAGGCAGGGGCAAAATAGGCCATGACGATTTCCCTAGACGAGGACGGAACAGGAGAGGTGGCGCGCTGGGTGGAGAGGCTCTTCCCAGACCTAGGAATTATTCGAAAGCACAGCATTCCTACGAGCAGGCACGTCTGCTAGTTCCTGACGACGGCAATGCATCGCATCAGCTAGCCATCCTCGCCTCTTACCAGAAGGACCCTTTTGAGTCTTTGGCTCATTATTATCGTGCTCTCTGTGTTCGCCAGCCCTACGACACAGCAGCTGAGAACATGGGCACCTTGTTGACTAAGGCGCTGGAACAATGGAAGGTCCGCTCTAAGAAGAAGAAAGACACTGGTCCTCCTATCGATCCGTCTCACGTTCCCATGGTCATAGTCGTGACCGCATTCAAGGAGAAGGTCGTAGTCCTGCATGCTCTGTGGCGTCTCGGTTTACAAAAGTATGTTTTCAAAGTATCCCGTTCGAAAAAATGCGTCTGATTTTTTTGCTTACAGGATGGACTCTTTGACAAGGAAACTTTCTAAGGAGATCTCCATCGAGCTAAACGAACTCGTTGCTGGACGTCACCTACCTGAAGATCTCATTCTCAAAATCTTTGTGACTGGCCATGGCGCTTTATGGAAACATCGAATGTTTCGTGATTCGCCGGTGGCAACCCGTAGGACGGTAGACTCGCCGACTTTGATATCCCCCACGGCCATTGAAGTCAGAATTCTCTATCATATTCTATTGCTTCACCGGGCCTTGCTTGAGGTTGGGATAGAAGAGCTGAAGGTGCCTCTACCGGATGATGTTGAGCAAACTGATCTCGCTCAGCGCATAACCGCGAATTTCCGCCGTACTCTTCCAGCCTTAAGAATGGCGAGCAAATGGCTACGCGCTAATTATCCTTACGTTCTCGAGAAGGACAAAGAATCCCGTGATGATGCCAGTGAGATCACTGAGTTTTGGTCTACCTTCGCGAAATTCATTAGTGCGCTTTCGCGAGCGTTCCCTGTGGATCGTTTACCTTCGTTGAAGTTTGGCTTGGAAGAAGATGTTGAACTGCTGGGATTCTTGCCTTTGAAGATGGTCGTTACCAAGCGCCAGGCAGAGGCGGAAGAGCAAGTGCACCCTAACGTTGAGCAGTTGATGAGAATTAGCGACCTTCTCATGGATGCACAGTTTCTCGCAGCCGAAGAGGTAAGTGCTCTTATACACCCCGGACGTTATGTTGACACCATTTAGGGTTCGCCCCTGCACGCTGCAGACATCAATTTGAAGACTTCTGATCCTGATCCTGTTCTGTCGACGAGCGATATTGATGCACCAGTGGACCACTTTGTACCTTTACACTCTGAGAGCAAGGAGGACGAGGTCATGACTGAGGCCACTAGTGACACAAATGACGATATTGTCCGTGCTGCATTTGAGCACTTGAATGCTTCAGAACAGGACGAGGAAGACGAGGACGAAGAAATGGTGCTTTATCCTAGGTATTTGTTCTCTCCTTTCTACGTTGCACTGTTCTAACCGTTTCACAGGCCGACGCCTCCCAAGATATCTCCAGTCTCGCGTCCTACACCCATCAAGCCCATCAAGCCGTTGAGCCCCATCGCACCCCCACCCGTCTCGCCTCTGAAGAGTAAGTCACCCCTGATCACACCCAAGGCAACAGCTCCCCCACCTATTACCGCCCAAGATCTGCTCCACAACTTCATGGGTGCGCCTCGTACCGCATCTCGCAGTATCTCTGAATCGAGGCCGCCTCTTCTGTTTGGTCCTGAACCTAATCAACCCCGATCTATCTGGTCGGCTGTTCAGGACGAACCGTCCCTCCAGCGCCCAGGCCATAAAAACCCCAGTCCTCTCGTTTCACATTCCCAGCTATACGAAACACCACCGTCCGCCCCGCAGACAAGTTGGCCTCCGCCGTTGTCATCTTCCATGCAGAGTCCGCAAACACACATTCCTGGATCCATTTCATCGGCTTCTTTTGCTCCTCAATCACAATCCCTTTTTATGAACCACCAACGAAATCTGTCGGTCAACATAGGATCTATGCGAATGCCAAGTCCGAGTCCCAATCTGGCCCAGCACTATGTGAGTGGGTACGCACCACCTATGGAGCAGCCATCGTTCGCTGGAACTCACGAGCTCTACCCGCCGGACGGTGCTGATGTTGCTGCCATGTATTATCCCGCGAGTCCTACCCACCCATTACACTCGCGACATATGTCGCTGGACCCTAGGCAGGCGTACATGGCCCCTTCGCTATGGGGACCAGCGGGATGAGATGTATGACGATGGTCCGCGTTTCCTTCCAAAGTAGAGAAGGCCTTGCTGCAAGACTGGTCAGTTCCAACACCTATAGCAAATGCAATGGCAGGATGGTCGGCTATATCCCGACCCGTGACTTCCCTCTCGTGACTTCGTCAAGCACCGCGCAGATAAAGTTCGATGGTAAATATGCACACTGTTATGCGTCGCTTTTTTCGTCAGTATGTTATGCCGCCGGTGTACCACTATGTTTTTTTTATCTTTGAATAACAAATGAGTCTTCGTCATGAGTCTCCGTGTCGTCGCATTCATCATCATCACCATTGTGCCAAGGTGAACATGCACACTTCCTGCTCCCTTCCTACTCCACTATCTTTCTCTTCCGAGGTGGCAGCTTATCCGTTACATCTCGTATAAGAGTGAAATACCTGGTAGTGCCAAAAGAACGGAAGAAAGAGACAATCGTTCGTAAATCTTGAATCTGGGCTTGAGTAGCGTACTGCATGATCTTCCTAGATTTCCGTTCGCTTCTGTCGGTGTTACGTTTGGTCGGAAGCATTTGTGGATCCCAACCATATGTGAGTAAAGACATCATGTCCCTGGCCTGCATATATCACTTCTTTCATACCATCTTAATTCTGTACTATCGCACCTACTTTTGGTTACTAGGTTAAGTACTTAGATCTCTTTTCTGATATGGAATCGTCGAATGGTTAACTTCAGTTTTGTATTAACTATAACATAAACATTGTTTGAAACTATCAGAACCTGATGGTATGTTACCAAATCTCTCAATATGTCCAATGTTTACATTTTTATAAGGGCTCGCCGCCCACCACAAATCTAACAAATCTTCATATGCAATCGACCACTGAGAATAAGGGCAATGTGAGTTCAAATTCTGGCATATAATAACAAGAGGTGCTAATCATATGTCTTTAAAGCACCCCAGGGATGTAAGATAATTCACCACTCTCTTCAGGCACAGGTATCATAACGGAAAAGCGGTATAATCCAGACGTAGCCCGCTGCCCCTTCACGGCATGTCTGTCGCCAATTGCCTGCCACATCATTGAATGCGGACAGAACAACCAAGCATATGACGCACTAGCGGACCTTTCAAATGTTATCTGCGATATTTGCTGTCCTGGATTGCGTGTTCTGACTTACATTAGCGAGCTTGGTTTCTTAGATGTCCGATTTCCCATACCGGTACTCAAGGCTCTTGCACTGCCTTTGTTGCCCTTGGTGGAAATGCCCACAAATAGCACGGCACTGGAAAGGCATTTCCATGAGACCTACAAAAGATATTGGTGGTTAATCTATCGAGGAGTAAGCATCTTCCCGGTGGATCATTCAGGGCAAACATTGACCTGCATTCAATGGGAAGCCTTCTGGACTAATGACGAATCCTGCCCTCTGTTCCAGACGTATGGTTGGGATCCACAAATGCTTCCGGCCGAATGCGATGCCTACCGAGGTGAACGAAAACCTCGGAAGATTAGACTCCGAAGTACACAAACCCAACTTCAAGATTTGCGAACGATCATTTCTTTCATCCAAATTGCTGGTCCATCCAGGCCAAGCGGCATGATATTGAATCGCACTGATAATGAGCAATGGTGTACATACCCCTTGACCTTGATCCATAGCATTTGCCCTACCAGTTCCTTCAGCAGCACCGACAGTTCCTCTTGGGACAACTGACGCCCGGGCTTTTGATCATTCTCAGGGTGTTGCCCATGAAAGGTGGATCGAAAAATGTCGTCGTTACACGGTTCTGAGTCAATGAAGACATCCGAAGGGATATAGAAACCCCCCGAGGACCCCCAAGCAATACTGAGAAGAGCCTCTGCAGTAAAGACCGCTTGCGTATCGATGGGCATCGGTGACCTCTGATAGACAGTACGGGGCCCACTGAAGGGTAATAGAGGAACTGCGAATATGATTTGCTTGTGGAGTTTAGTTCGCTTCCACTAGCAAACAACTTGAACGTATTTTGAATGTGGCAATACACAAGGCATGAGTGTTAGTGGCTGTGTTAGTTAGAAAATAATGAAAGCTGAAAGAGAGACTACATAGTCGATTACGATGGACACTTGCCTTTCTGTAGAAATATATCTCAGTTACGTAAGCACTGAGCAACTGGAAAGTATGCCAACCAGCTGCGGCCCGTCTCATCTCATCATCTCATCACATTTCACGGTTCGGTCCTCCAATATATCAGCAAAATTGCGCTTATTCCACGAATATCATGACTCTATTATCCCGGAACTGCTCAAGGTGGCTACGAGACTTGGACTCCGTCCTTTTCACGGAAATGGCGCCTAGGCGTCGGTTACACCAACTACTAGATGGGCTAGCATCTCTACTAGAGTCCATTGGGATGTCGAAGCTTGGCACTATGGAATACGAGGTCCCAGCATCGCTGCTGTCAAGATTACCAAAAGTCGAAGAGTTTGTTGGATATTCGCGATCCTACCAATGCCGATAACCTCCATTTCATGCTGCAAAAGTATCTGTTAGGCCAGGATGTGTTTCGATGTCGTAGTCCGGTCCTTATGCTAGACGACTGGCATTTACCCTTGCAAAGGTACCAATCCTCAGCGACGTCGCTTTTCGTACTAACGCCTTCGAGCAGCCTTATCAATTCCGAATACGAGGACATCGCGCTGAATAGAGACGTCGACGAGACGGGATTGAAGCAGGTGAGAGTCCTTGCTGTTGCGTGAGCTCTTCTGACACTTTCCAGGGAAGAGAAATTAAGGAAAGAAGAAATTTGGTGTACGTGGTTAGCCCAGCTGTCAACGCGGCCAAACACGGGAGGCTCTTGATCTTAGGCTGAGCGAGGAACCATGCTTGTGCGTCCACTATTCTATCTTCTTTGATTACGATTAATTCCCTGTCTGATTCGTAAAATGTAGACATCATTAATCTGATATCTCTTTACGTGCTGATATCTTCGCGGGAACCTCGAAGATGGTACACACATTATACAACCTCCCTCTTGGATACCGCCACCAACTTCCTACCACCCTATAAAAACTTTAGAGTTATCGCAATCGCAGTACCCCTCCCTCCGTATCCTGGCTATCCCCCATGGACCCTGTAGGGGCCATGGTTAGTCTCAGTAACACCATTCAGTCCAGGACCATCCCGCTATACAACAAGATCCGCGATATCATACTGTCAACGCAATAGATGGTGTCTGAAGGTCTATCAGACTAACGTCTTGCCTCCCTCAAAAGGATGAGCCACCGCATAGCAGATGTTACATTTGACGGTCTGCAACCTGTGGTTTGTAACGTACCGGCAGGTCCCAAAGCTTTGTTGGAATATCTGCTAACAGAAGCGCCAAACCTCCATGTCACGGCTCTTGATGTGTTCTATGCAGGCACATGCACTGATGGGAGATATTTCTTATCCACCTGCTCAGTCCTCAACGTGACGTCGATATCGACCCTGCTTAATGGCAGATACTTGGATACGAGATGAAGGCGATACTGACGTACAAGGAGCTCGGACGTCGTGAATTGGAAATGCGAAGAAAAATACAGTAGGGGAGCGACGGCTTGAGAGTCTGAATAATACCTTCCGTTGTTCTTGTCGACATTCTCCAACTTATCTTGTCTAAGTCATATCATAGAGGCAGCATGGAAATGAAGAATGGCACACTTTTCTGGTCTTGATGTTCTGGGGTCAACCGCAGGGTCATTGTCAAGGCTGCTTCAGGATCGAGAAATCGGGCTTTGGGAAGGGAAAAGGCTCGTCTCTGCAGCCTCTCAAGAAGGGATAAGGATATTTTGTGCGTCTTTTCGCTTTCATTCACTAGCCTTGCACTAGATCGTTTCGTGAGTTAGTCTTGACCAAACCATCATTTCGGGTCATAAGCACCGCATCAAGGTCCATCCCGTTGAAAGATTGGTTAACAGAAGAACACGCCAGAGTATGTTCCTCCTCGTCCCTAGCTAACCCATGTCTGTCGAAGAGGAGGCCCTGATCTCGCGCGCTACGGAATGTGCTTCAGCCTACATCGAGACACTTATCATTCGCCAACAAGTACAGGCGAGAATTTCTGCTGACAATGTCTAGAAGCAGTGAAATTGGGTACGCGTTCTTCTCTAGCCAGAATAGCCAGACGACTGGCGATGTTTTCGGAAGATCATGACTTGCATTCCATACTCAGCCAATCACTTCTTGCTGATTTGGAAAGAATAAGATCAACTTACTAGTCTGACTGCCCCACGTCTTGGATTAGACACGTCCCAAGTCTGCAAAGAAGTATACAGTTCGAGTGGACCCAAGGAGGGGAAGCATGACAATCAAGGACATACAGGACCACGATCACGTTTTTCAGTGTTCGCAACAGTCGCAACTTCCCCCCCAAGCTATCACGGTTTCATTGATAGGAGAAAGCGATCATCTTTGATTATCCTATAGCCCTGCTTGATACTGGAGCATAGGATACTCCTGGTTCCGACAACGATGGCTAATAGTAACCAGTTCTCGGGCGTTTATATAACGGCATTTCGTTGCAGATAGGACGCGAACGATCGCTGCGACAAACTGGACATCAAGGTGGGGCGACGTGATTGAAACTTCGGCTTCGCTTGTTTCTGTCGTCAGACTCATATGTCTATTCGTTGTGGCCTACTACAGCATCGACTAGATATTCCACCATGATAAAAAAACATGCACCTACTCTTCAGTAGGAGTCGGACCTGCAGTCAATCTCTCTCCCAATCTCAGATCTGAATGATAACACTTGGGGCGCTAAATCTGTACGTAACCATGGAAAAAATCGTTAAGATCTCTGATACACTGTATAGGTCTCGGGGTCGTAATTCTGGTTACCGTGCCTCCTTCTCCATTTAAGGGTGTCCCCTTGTACTCTGGAGTGATAGATGCCTTGTAGGATTGCCGCGTTAGACGGGTTCCAGTTGGTATCAAGAAATTTCAACATCTCTCCTGATCAAAGCGCGTTTCATTTCCACAATCATGATCGTCACAATTATAGCAGCTTCCAGACTCAGATGCCCAAACTATTTGTTCGCGACCTTCGCTTTTCTGAGAAACTCAAGGATTATGTCCGTCTGATTCCAGTACGTGGATTGATCTTCCTCGTACGGTAATTTCAAGCTGGGCTCCCCAAACAAATTCTGGTTGCCTGATGGAAATAAGAGGCCCCTCGCGTTGCTCGATTGACGGACAACACCTATTCTTGTCTTCTCCGATATCGTACGATCCATCGACTGTAATTTTGTTCGACTCACCAAGGGTATGAAGGACCCCCCTTGATTTGCAGCGGAGGTCGATCTCTGTTGCTACGCCATTTTGATCTTCGGTGGAATCGCACACCTGTTAAATGTTAGTCTTCATTCTCGACAGTGAAAATCATGATCGCCTCCGGCCACGTTCTGTCGTTGTCTCCTCCGCCCTTGTGTATTAACACCCCGGATACGAGAACCTGTAATCCGAATCAGCAGGTAACCTCGGTCAAAGTAATGAATTATCAAGGCGTTGCTGGATGGGTTTTGCAAACCGAATATGAGGTGCTTCCTTTGTCCTGTATTATTTATGATCTTTCAACGCTGCTTTTTTCTTCTCATCACATCGGGATGTCGAACTATCCTTTCAGGCATTCCACATATTATACACGAGATGAGGACGAATTCATTAGCGAGCTTCCCGTGAGTGTTTCAATGTTGTGGTAGACGTCATTAATACGCTAAGACCTTGCTGGCAGCCAATGAGTAGCGAGGAAGATATTTTGCAAGAGCTTCAAATTTATCACCGCCGTCAGGCCTCACCTAATGTGTACTCGCCACATGTGCGGCCACGGCGTACGAGAAGAGCGCATGGGAATCGCCTTGCGATGGCTTTCCAGGTGAGGTTTCATGGTAGGCATTTTTGGTCTTGCGTTCTGAGTAAATTCTTCAGATAATAAAACGGAAGTTTCAGAACGGCCTCAGGGTAATAGCTGCCACTGTGAAAGGTACTCGGTAATGAGTTTTCTAGTCACTTCATCTTTACCATTACCGAAACGTTGTTGGCTTCGGTCCCCCGTCATGGACATGTGAAAAAATATGGACTTATTACGTTTACCTTTTGGACTTCAAAAATGCTACTGTATCTTTACTTTCCATCACTTTTGCGTAACTTTGGCCTTGTCTTTCCATTCACATGATATTTGACTTTCCCCATAATACCTCAACTAGCCTAGGTGCTGAGAGACGTTGTATCATTTTATATTGATCTCGCCCTCATGCGCCTAATTCTGGTGTGTCCTGAAAAGTTCTCTAAGGGCTACATATAAATTCCTCATGAGTCATCAGCCATGCACAGCCTCATTCTTGTACCTTCGGGTCCATGTCGCCGAATCCAAATTCTTCCTCTCACATTGAATAGCTATTTTACTGGGTTGGCATTTATTCATATGCATAGGGATACGTATATTTTGAGAGAGAAGACAACCGATGGATGCACTTGAACGGTTTACATTCCACTTCAAAGGTCCATGTCTCGATATGAATTGATGATTTAAAACTTCCGTACCAGTTTTCCCTAGTAGCACGGTACGGATTTCCCGACCATTTTGCAAAATTTCCGGATTTTCAGGCGCAACCGTCATTGCCGAAGAATTCGATCATCTTCTAACGCCTGATAGCTTCGATTTTCCCCGTGCGTTGCCTAGATATTCCTGTGGACGTAACATTATTATCCACACATGTGCAGCGCTACCGAGACCACTATCTTCCGAGTCAACTAAAGCTACTAGCACATAGGTCGGACTCGGCACCGGGCATCATTGCACAGCAGGAGGAACGCCGGAGCAGGGACGATATTCTACAGCCGAACCCGCGGTGTATGGTAAACTCGAAGGTTTTTTGTTGATAAGGTGTAGGGAGCTGGTTAAGTCATCAGACCTGTCAAGTTCAGTGATTCGGAAGGGCCCTGCAGTAAGAACTTGGAATAGAGAGTTTGTTCTAGTTATTCCGCAAGTATAAGTATAATGTCATGCTCCCTGACTCCTTTTTGCCTTCTAACCGCCGAAGCCACACGATTTCCGTATAATCTGGAAGTTCAAAGACGTAGTCATTGGTTACCAAGACACGGGCCAGCTGTCTGAACCCGGAATCCATGCTGTAGGCTCCAAGATACCGATTGGCGATTAGTTGAGGGCAACGGCTGGACACGGCGGTCGAGAGGAAAATTTTCCATCAAGGCCAGCTTGCCACGACATTCAAAATACAATGATGTAGATGGCCTCGAAGTAGCATTTTAGCAGGTCTGGCATCAAGCCTTTTCCCTGAGCAGACGGTTATTCTCATGAGTAGAAGATATACATCAGACAGAGAACTTCCGGAGGCGAAAGTACAGAGGCCGCGAAGAAAAAGAAAAAGTACGCATATGTTTAAATTGAGGAGAGGACCTAGAGGTACGGCTGAGCTTCAGGCCCATCACAGTGATCGGCCATGCGCAATCCCACGTGTCGTGTCTAGATCTATTTTCGGCGCTCTTTTCAATCGACGCTTTCGAATGTTTATGTTTCTCATCTCTTCCACCCCGTTGCTCTCCTTCATACTCTTTCATTTTAATCCCCTCATTTGTTGACTGGGTCTATCCGATTATTCATCCGAACCGTACATCCGTTAAACTTCGGCTCTCATTCTGCCAACGGCGGCGACTAGCACGTCTGAGGAATTTCACGTTTCACGTTTGCCGTCGGACCGGTTCTCTTATCCTCTTCTGCATCTCCTTGATACTCTTGCTGATCTATACTCTCCAGATTATTTTCTTTGTGTCCCAGTTAACCATTTGCGACGCGTCCACTACTAAAGTATACGTGTAAATTGTAATTCATAATACATAATCCGTTATCGATGATGCGAAATTCCCTTCTCTCTCGCGGAGAAGATCCCCTTCGGTTAGTAACGTTTCATCATCTAGAACATCGACGTCACTAACCATGCTTGCGACAGTCTTCTTTATCATCACCTCAATGTTCAGATGATTTCGCCGCCACCCTTAAATCCTGCCAATCTTCCTGCTACCATCGATATGAAGGCCCTAAGCGAGAATAATCTCCCTACACACCTTCTCGTGTTATTCCCTCCCAGGCGACCACCAATGCTCATCCCAATAGACGCTGACCGTTATAATCACGGGTTCCGAGCTGAACTCGTATCGCTCTCATCTACGCACCCAGCGCCATACCGGTCTGCATCCAACGAACTGCGTATAGCACTACCTCTTACTTCCCCGGTTACAATCGTACCCCACACTCCTTCTCTTGCGCTCCTTCTCCTCTTCGGCATGGGCCTAGAAACATACCATAACGACTTGGCGTATCGTATGCTTCCAGCTTCGGTCGTGGATGAGTTCCCGAACGCCGCGGCCATGGCACAAGTCATGAGCCTTTTTGGTGACGAAGAATTTGACAGACGGTTACAATTTAATATGGGACTCTGGAGGAACATATTGGGTTTGGGTATCAGGGATACCAAAATCGCGGAATTGGTGCGCACAGCCGTAGGGGTCACCTCAGAAGCGAGGAAATTAAGGGCGCGTGGATGAGCATACTAAAGTGCCTTTCCCTTCATTGTTCCATCATCCAACTTGCTCTATGCCCCCCGCTATCTTATTTTCCAACTAGTGCTCTCATCTTTGCTTTCGATTACGTGTTTATTTCTAATACTTCCTTCACGTAGATAATGTTTCCTCCGTACATCAAGTGTAGCCGTATATGTATCTTGTAATGTCGGTGCCCCACGTAATCCTACTCGTAATTCTTTCGTTGTCTTGAACGTTCTTCCAATCAGTATGCCTTGATTCATAAGATCTTTTCAGATCAGTAGTATCAGCATGATATAACATAGTCAAGGTATCGTACAAGTGAGGGATCCTCCAAGAAATATCACAGAGTATACACACTAAGATGATCTAATCCTCGTCATCATTGCCCCCATGTCTAAATAATGCCAGTAGCTCGTTCATACCAAGTCGCATGTTCTTGAGCTTGTCACCGCTCAAAGCTGCGCGCGCCAACTCGCGTTTCTTCTCCTGAAGCTGAAAAAACTCTATGAGACCAAAGACAGAGATACTCCCGGTGATAGAAAGCATACCTCTAGAATCCTATCCTCCACAGTGTCATCGATCTTTAGCTTGTAGATGCTAACCTTCTTCTTTTGCCCGAACCGATGCGCGCGATCAAACGCTTGGTCCTAGAGAAGTCCATTAGTCGACAGGAAGAGTATACGCAAAAGCTCTAGGGGCACCTCTAGAGCAGGATTCCACCACAAGTCTACCAGTATAACATTGTTACAGCAGGTTAAATTGAGACCGGTGCTCCCGGCCTTGAATGAGATCAAGATGACCTTGACTTTTGGGTCAGTCTTGATCTTATTCAATGCCGCCTCTCGCTCAGCACTGACCATGCTCCCGTCATCTAACAAATATGTGTTAGTCTTAATATATGAAGAAGCGAAAGGCGCACATCTCGCATATCGAATACCATTCTGCGAAAGGAAAGGCTCTACCAAATCAAGCATGCTAGTGAATTGCGAGAAAACAATGGTTTTATCGTCGCCATCACTCCGTCTGTCGATATCTTTCAACAACGAAAGTACCATACGAATTTTCGCAGAGTCCCCAGTGGATTGCTGCTTCTGCGTGAGCCGTGCGCAATCAGTACAGTGAGTATCCCAGTTTCCGGCAGCCGTATTCGTCGGCGTAAGCCTGTACCATAACCGGTTAATCGTACAAGATCGGTAGTACTAGAAGGGAGGCACGTACTCATTAGTGCAAACACGACATTTGCGTACAACGTTAAGCTGGCCGAAGGCCGCAACGAGATCATCGCCATCAGCACTGTCCTGACTCTGGCTCTCGGTATTTTTGGCTTGTTTCGGGTCGATTGCATCTGCATCGTTCTTGAAGTCCTTGGATACAAGGGCCGGATGGTTGCATGCTACATCCTATATTTAGCGATCGGACCTGGCAAGATGCAGGATTTTCTCACCTTGTCTCAGGCGTAACAGCAACAGCAAGACACTCATGTAATTCGACGGCCTGTCCATCAACTTCTGAAGAGTTGAATCCATTTTAACGGCCAATTCGTCATAAAATACCTGTTCAGCAGGTGAAAATGGGCATGAAATGATACTGAGCTCCCGTGGGGGTAACTCAATCAAGACCGAGCCGTTGATGATCTGGTCTTTGCGACGGCGAAGCATCACCGACTTCAGAACGACCTAGAGTGGGTGAACAGCTGTCAAACACTGTCCTGGGAACCCGAAAAGACACAAGTGCACCTGGAGTTTTTTTATCGCGTGCTGAGCTTCCCTGCTATTCTTGACCGGCTTGGCGATCTGTACATTGAAAGTTTCCCAATCTGAGAATGGCTTGATACGCAGGAACTTGATCAGAGAATATAACTCTGCAACATCATTTTGCCTGGGACAGTCAACGTCAACAGGAGTGCAAAAGGGAACAAGGGTTACGAACATCGGAGTTCCGGTCAAGCACCAGCGTAACCTGCCCTGAAGTTCAAAGCAGGCTTCCGCAGCTTTGGTGGATCTGTTCTTGATGGTATGAGCTTCATCTATACAAGATCCCGTTAGAGAGAATCCACATTGGGAAAAGAACATCGATTGAATACCAAGAATAATGCGCCACCATTTGACATGGAACAGTGCATCTTTGACCTTCACCTGGTGTTTCGGTTTCTCTTTGGATTTCAAGGTTCGTCCGAAATGCTCCGCTTCATCAGAGCTATCCACATCATCCTTGCTTGTCTTCAACTTTGACTGCTTTGACTCGTCCTTGGCAGGGGGTCGGTGGGCGGCAAACTCGGACTTGACCACATCATAAGTGGTCACAATGATTTGGTACTTTCGAAGTTCTCCAGGATCTAGGAGTGCGCACGCGTCAGTATGAGTGACCCCGACATGAAAAAATAAAGCTGACCTGAAGTGCGACTGCCGCCGTGATGTGATTTGACCTTCAAACTTGTCATCTTCTGGGCCTCCTCCACCCATTGGGGTAGAACTGCAAGAGGGACAACAACGCTGGAGCGTCAATGAGTCAAAAGAACAAGTGAAGACTAGGAGAGACGAACAGCGTTCCCGCGGCCCATCCATCCTCACGATCCCTCTTGGTTGGTCTTCCCTCAACAATACGAGCAAGGGTTTGCACCGTCTTACCGAGACTAGACAACGTCTGTTGATTGTCTGTAATGATCTGTGGAATAGGGATAAACATACCCCATATCATCTGCAAGAAGACCTCCAAATTTCTTATTTTTGACATCTTCGCGATCTCGCATCCAAGCCCGGGCCAGGACCTGGTGCGGAAGCAGAGTGATGCCCTCTTTGAATCCATCAACGATGGAGTCTTCCATATCAACTTCCACCTCCTCGTCGTTCATGGCGCCACCCATAAGATCGCGAAGGGCTTTCTCCGTTTCAGCATTGTTCATATATCCACTAGTGTCGAATGGGGAATTGTTTCTTTGGGCATAGTCATATCCAGGCGGGTGCTGGTAAGGTCTCCGTGATGACCCCGGGGGAGCCCAATTATTCGAGGGTATGGGAATCGGATTTCCCCTCGACCCAGGATTTGGGAACTGCCTGTGTGGGAATGCACCAGGTGGAAGAGGTCCAGAATTTGACGGGATCCGTTGGTGTACAGGTACCGCGTTCAAAGAATGTTGGTAGACTGGGGCTGAAGATTGTGGCCTGGGAGGTGGTACAATGGGCATCTTGGACGAGTGTGAAGGCTGCCGTGGCCTCTCAACATTGGTGTGTTCCATAAAATGTAACCGAGAGGAAACTTGCTGAGATGGTACTGGAGGCGTTCCGTCGCCATTATCACTGCCGTCGCTACCATCGCCTTCGTCCGAAGAGATTACGATCGTAGTGCGATATTTGTCCAAGTTCCGCGGAGGCGTTGGTTCGTCAAACTAGAGTCTGTTTAGAGACATTCACGGAAGAGCTGACTGAATTTCTCACTATTCTATTGATGCTAGTGGTGGTTGTCGGTACAGGCGGTTTGTTGTTCCGGCCTAAGGGCACCAGAGTGTCGATTTCCTTGACTTTCTCTCGCCTTTGGAATATCAATGCAGATTTCGGAGCAAAGATAAGAAGCATACATTCGCTCCATAGCCATAGCGTAGTTTCCGTCGTTTCTGTAGTCTTGAGGGTTGTCGTGAAAGAAAAAGAACAAGCTTCGCGGCGCGTCTTTATATAGTCACGTGGCTTTCCAAGTCAATATTCGCAAAGCAAACAGAAAACGCCGCCGGAGACGCCGCTTTGACAACGACAATACAGCTCAGGCTGGAAACGGCATTAAGTATTGTTCTTCCAGGACGTACTAAGATACAAATGATAAATAAGTAACGGCGTAAAACAAAAATATCCACAAATTCCACTGCAAAACCAAATTAAGCCTTGGGTCCAGTATTTTAATTAGAAAGAAAGAAAGAAATGAGGTCCAAGTCAAAACTGATTCCGGCTGGACATTACATTGAGCCCCATTGCCCCTGCATAGTGTAGGTATTGTTATTAGTATACGTGGGTTGTGCCCACGCTCCACTGCCCATTGGAGATGGCCCTGTAGCAACATACGTTTGCGGCTGCTGAGGCATGAATGAGATACCCGGGGAAGATGTAACTTGTGGTGTGGTCGACATAATCTGGGGTGTTGTCGACATGAGCTGAGGCGTGGTTGACATAAGTTGAGGTGAGGTTGTCATAACCGTTGGAGAAGATGGTGAGAACTGGCCCTGCAACTGTGGGATGGGCGCGAACACTTGTATAGTGGGAGATTGCATCGGGGGCTGGTTAGCGAAGTATTGTTGCTGTTGCGGGGCAAAAGTTTGCTGAGGGAAGGGGTCATTAACTGACATGTGTTGGAAGGATTGTTGGGGGAACGGGTTAGTATACTGAGGCTGTGGCTGGAAGGGATTCAATCCCATTCCCATGCCCGTTGAATTCATGCCGGTTCCCATCGTAGGCTGGAAGCCACTTGTAGTCAACTGTGTATTGAAAGCGGGTAGAGAAGCAGATGTCGCAAATGATGGTAGCTGTTGTGGTGGAGCTTGATATTGGAGTGGTAACGACGAGCTCACAGAGGGTGTCTGCAGCGAAACAAGGTCCGCCCATACCCCACTCTGAGGCTGCTGTTGCGGTTGGGCTGCAGGTTGCGTTTGTGCTTGTGACAGAGTAGTGGAGATCATAGGCTGAGAAGCAGACCGGGGTTGCTGGGGAAGGGTTGCGGTAGACGGCCGGCTGACGTTTGTCGGCGTTGTTGTCGGCTTCTTCAACGGCGTCGTCTGTGGGCGCGGTGATATAGAGCGTACAGAACGTGACGGACCAAGCTTAGATGCGACAAGAGCAGACTTGTCCAAGAAGCGTTTATATTCGTACTTTGCTGAAATGAAGTTAGTCATTCAGTTCCTTGGAGACCCGAATACACACGTACATCGGATGTACTGCTCAAGGTCGCTGTCCCTCTCCGGATCCATCAGACTGGGAGGAGGCGGGTGGCGTATCTCGTTAGGATTATAAATCGCATTCGACTTGACGTTGCCCATGTTTTTCATGTTCTGAGACTATGGTGAATTTTTGAATATTTCGAAAAATAAGGAAACAAACCTCGACCTGCTCCTTCGTCCATGAGTCCATCGTCAGGCTCTTACTGTCGCATTGTCAATCAGAGGAGAATAATGCCAAGTGCCACTCGACATACACTTTCGTAATGTGAGTGCCGATCTTCCGGTGAATGCTCGCGCAATTCACGCTGACCATCACTCGTCAACATAATATACACAAGGAGACGCAATGCGACACACCAGAGGAAAATACCCAGATTGTGCGACGCCCATCGAGGATTGCGATTCTTGCAGTCAGCACAAATGTCTGTTACGATTTCGAATGTCTGTCAGCGGCCCTGAATGCAATCTCCTGCAGAGAACAGAGCGTACCATTTCCGGGAAGTAGCGCCAACTTCTCAACGAGCTTCTGACTGCGTTCATTGGCAATTCTCGAAGTCATCACAGTAGCAGAGAATCCCGAAGAAGGAGAGGTACAAGGATGGCCAGGGCGAGAAACAGAGACAAATCAGCGGTAATTCCGGCCCGCAGTATAAAATAAATAAGTAAATAAAAAATCTACTCTGTCTCCTACCATGGATCCTCTTCAAGCAGCAGTTCTGCAACAGTTCTTCGAATATCCCTTCGAAATTGACCAGACCTACCAGGTGCGCCAATGCCATCTGTGAAACATGCGGCTGACCATTCACAAGCAAGGCTTAGCTGGCATTCTCGCCAACAACCCTTCCAATACCGTCTTGCTGAATACCCGAGTATTTTACTTCAATCGGTACAACACATTGCTATCAATAATCTATAACGGAAACCTGACTCGGAACAAGGCTTACGGGAAGCTCTATCACTGTAGCTGATGTCCTGGCATACAAGGAACAGTCCGCTTCGGCATCCGAGTCGGTGCCGCCTTCAAATTCCGCTGCAAACGACTCGAAGGAGCAGCCCAATGTCCTCACGTTTGCACAGCTCCAGGAACTTATAGAATCCGGGAGGCTGGACGAGATACCTAATAACAAGACCATCTCCGGGGAGTTGAACGTGCGTAACTTGCTTCCCAGTCCAACTTAAATGCTGACCCAAACCCTCAGAGCGCCCCTCCTAGTCAATCTGCGGTCTCGGTTCGACGGAAACCATGGGAGACCAGTAATGATTCATCCAATATAATGGAGTCCTGAATCACGTACGTACCTCCAGATGTCAAGTCGTAACAATAGTGTATATGTCCTCAATTCAGCCAATATCTGAGACGACGCCAGCTTCACATTGAACATAGCACAAGTTCCTGGAAACTATAATGTAAAGGCATCATCTCCACACCAACAACAACAACCGCAACCCAATCACCCCACTAAAATATGCAACAAGATCGTCGACCACAGAGTATGAGAGATAATAACTGTCGTAGGTAGTAACGTATAGATCATTGATTGAAAGGCCGATGAAACAGAGGTGAGTATACGAGCGAGCCACAGTAGCAGGGGGGGATAATATACAGAAGCCGAAAGCAGAGGCAAAATGGAACGTGGCAATAATAAATGGATGGTTGGGATATCCGACTCGGTTTGGTCAATAATATATCACAAAGAACGCTCTTGCGGCCGGGAAATGATGCAGTGTTTGAGTTGAATGATTGGTTGGATATCTCCCCTCTCTACAACCTCCATCCCCGTCTCTGACACGCTCAACGCCCACCCTGATACACTGGCCTCGTCTGCTGCTGCATTTGCGCAACGGCCGCACCATTCTGCTTCGCCTGCTGATTGTTGTTCTCCTCAGCAGCAAGTGGCGCAACATACAATCCTCTGTCAATAGTTTGCGGAATGGGCTGAATCTCAGTGCCCAGCTCCTGCTCAATCCTATATAAGTTGAACCGATCCTCATAGGTCACCAAGTTGATGGCCAGTCCCAAATGTCCAAATCGCCCAGAACGACCGATACGGTGGAGGTACGTCTCGGAGTTTTTTGGAAAATCGAAGTTGATGACGACGTTGACCGCTTGAATATCGATACCACGCGTAAGGAGGTCAGAACAGACAAGATTGCGGCATACGCCATTGCGGAAGTCATGGAAGACACGGTTACGATGTGATTGGAGCATTTTAGCATGTGAGTAGAAGCAAGAGTAGCCCAAGTCAGTGACTTTCTTTGCGAGCAGTTCGACGCGGTTAGTGGAGTTGCAAAAAATGATGGATTGATTGATTTGAAGCTAGGACAACGTCAGCCGGGATCACGTCAATCAGCTACTTGCGCACCTTGGAGAAGAGGGTGTTCAAGCAATGAACCTTCTGTCGCTCCTCGACATAGGCATAGTACTGCGTGACACCACGCAGAGTAAGTTCGTCCATGAGATTGATCTCGTAGGGGGTACGCATGTGTTTGTCCTGAAAGACACAGTCAACTACGAAAAAACATGGCGATCAACGGCAGGACACGCCTTAAAATCCTTCACAATCATTGGGAAAGTTGCGCTAAACAGCATGACTTGACGTTCTTCAGGCAGGTACGAGAGTAACTGCTCCATAACGGGCGAGAATTCGGGCGAAAGCAGCTTATCAGCCTCGTCCATCACAAAGACAGGACATTCGCTCAAGTCTGCCACGTTCTTGCCTGCAAGATCCAAGATACGACCGGGGGTACCAACGAGAACGTGCACGGCCTCTGATAATCGCATGATATCGTCCTTCAAGGTGGTTCCTCCCGTAGTCACCATTACATTCACGCCCATGTGTTTGCCCAGGTGCTTGCACACCTGCGAAGTCTGCAGTGCCAGCTCTCGTGTCGGAACGAGAAGCAGGGCTTGGATCTTGGGCTTGGAAATATCGATTTGTTGTAGCGAAGGAATAACAAAAGCGGCCGTTTTACCCGTGCCGTTCTTTGCTCGAGCTAGAACGTCACGTTTGGTAAGAGCGATAGGAATAGCTTCCTCTTGGATGGGTGAGGGCTTCTCGAAACCGGTTTCAAAAATGCCCATGAGGAGTTCTCGACGGAGGAACATGTCCTCAAATTCGAGGCCCTTTGTAGCGGTGACATCTTCAGTTTGAGGGCGTACATCTTTTGGTGGTGGGCGAAGACCGCTCTTCCACGATTCGTTGTTATTGGATGAGCTGAAAGTAAAAAAAAAAAAAAAAAAGGAGCCGCAATCAGTATTTTTTTGGCACCAACGGATTGCAAAAAGGCTCACGAGGTTGCTACAACACTCGATGGTTGCGACATGGCTATGAATCGAGAAGGTGTTCGAAGTTGAGACTAATACAGGCTTCAATATGGAGTGAGTTAGTAGGCGACTGCGAACGACCGTCAATTTTCAGGTAAAAGGTCGCCGTCAAAATCAACAAGGAAAACGTACGTCTGGTACCTAAAAAGATCTTTCGCTGTAATTTGCCAAAGAGAAATACAAGCGAAAGACGATATTTCGCCTTGAGGAGCAGTGGCTGTTAAGTGGAGATGGTGGTGGTTGGAAGAAGAGATGGTCGGGATCACGCGTATGCTCTTCAGTCTTTTACTATCATGTTCGCCCGTTGCTTTGCCTCCAGAGCGACGCCGTGTCGCTTTTTCTCAATGACAGCGTGTCGTCGAGCAGATCCGTGGCCGTTGCCTCATACTCCAGAGCATCTGGCATCGACGACCACTCCTGCGGACCTGCCTGCCCCAACACCCATGCCACGCCTAAATGAATCTATTGACACTCTTCGCGCTCGCTTGGTCTATCAGTCACGCAAACGAGGGACCCTTGAAAGCGATCTCTTGTTGAGTACCTTTGCTAGAGACCACCTTGCTGCAATGACAGAGGCGGAGCTGAAAGAGTACGACAAGGTATGTTGATACTATACTTGTTGGCTTAGCGACCCTGATTGACTGGCCCGTAGATTTTGGATGAACCAGACTGGGATATATATTACTGGGCTACAGAGAACAGGAGCCCGCCAGAGCGTTGGGCGAACTCGACTATTCTGGAAAAGCTTAGGGTACATGCGCGGAATGAGGGTAAGGTCGTTAGGCGGATGCCACCACTCTGACATTTACGAGACGGTGTACCTGGTATGTTGTCCAATCCCTGGACTCGATCCATATGCTTACACTGTACACAGCGACTCGCTTCCGATATATTACGGCGTAGACATGTATAGTACGGTCCGAATTACATCCAGGCGTTTGCCATCCCTACAAGGCCCACTCAATTGTAGATCCCGTACGCAGGGAAAGTGTCGGATGCGATGTTTTGCGGGGCTATCCCGCGCTTTTCCCTAGTAGTTCCGCCACAACCAGCGACAACATTTTCATCTCTTAAAGGTTTCATCTCTCAAAGGTCCTTTAGGCGGATGTCCCCACTTTACCGTCTAGACCACAATGTCATGTCCGGGCCTCTAAATCCCCAGATTTTCTGATCCCAGACTTGCGGCACCGTCAACACGAGGCAGAGCACTTGTGCCATTCCATAGATAAGGCTCTATTTTATCCATTACGTCTTTTGTCTTCATCAGAGCACCGTGATACCTATTGCGTCGTTTGGTAGGGGTTGCTGGTAGAACGGCTGGTTACCCGGTAGAACTGGCCATTAGAGGCCGCCGGTTTTTTCCCTTCGGATTAACGGGCCGAAGTGCCGATTGTGGCCCTCCATTTGCTATCATGGCGACGTCTCTTCCCGTTGAAGTTGTCACCGAAATTCTTACCTTTGCGATTGCGGTTCATCCCATTCCTGCAAATATTCTGTGTGCACACACTCTTTTTAGACATATCGGACTCCAAACCCTCCACCAAAGTCTCTGCTTCCGCTCTTCCCTCCAGCTGCGACGATTTATACACTATCTTCGTGCATCGCCACTTGCTTGCACCCCTCTCACTCTCACTCTCGATATCGCAGGTGGCGCATCTGAATCTATATTCCCTACTTTGGACTCCGCATTTACCCAAATATCTCTCGATGCTGCTTGTCGGAAAGACCCCAAAGGCCGTGTGATGCTCAATAAGTTGCATCTAATACTACACTCGCATATGCGCGATGACAATTTGCATATGGTGTATGTAGCCCTGAGCAAGGCAAAGTGCGTTCTTTGTTTCCTACTGCGCCTCGGTTTGCGAACTCGCTTTGTCAGCCCTACGAAATTCATCTGGACAGGTCCCGATCCGCCTCATCATTTCTCTACTGCTGTACGTTCATCTGTGTTTACTTTTCTGGGGGGTTGTCGCTAAAGAATGACGGAAGCAGATTGTTCCCAGAGCTGTATCCCATCTCTTCAGAGCGTTATCGACGTATACCAATCTGCTCTATCTCAAACTAACGAATATTACTTTTTTCTATTCGGAACCTCTAGTCTTCCCGAATATACCCTCTTTGCGGTCCTTTTACCTAGGCCAAGCTACTTTTCTTCCAGCCGCCACAGTGGCCGCTTATCTTTCCTTTCATTCGAGTGCACTCGAAAGTGTACGTTTGGTGGATGTTTATTCCGAGAGTATATGGGGTCCTCGTATCCGCAAGAATGATATATTGGCCATTCTTGCAGAACATCAGAGGGACATTGTTGCCACGGTCCTTATTGTTGACGCCAAGACGGAGAGAATAATGGGTGGGGACCGGGTTGATTCTTCTCTCCGATGACTCTGACTGGATGTGAGCCATGTGTTTCTACCATACCCTTTGAGAATTTAACGGAACTCTGGAGTCGACAGCACATTATCACATCACCCTCGTTTCAGAAGTAAAAAAAGATTAGGAGAACTATGTTTTCGTGGGCCTCGGATTACTGGGTTATTTCGTCTGCACTTGAACTCCTCGTACTCATTTACAATCATTGCCCACGGCGATGTCGGTAAGTGACACGCAAATAAGTCTATACTTGAAGTTCTGAATATTTCTAAACACGAAGCCGACTTTGATCGGGACCTGATATCTTATTGCCGAGGACGCCTGTCGCTACAACTCCAACATCCAGACCGCTAACGAGTCCGACATGCTCTTCACCGGACGAATTTTCCGATGAAGATATTCGCTTTGTACTCGAATACATCTATCTTGGGGATCACCTCTGATAGCCTGTTCCTGTAAGCGACTCTCGTTTCTTGTAGTTCTTTTTCATTAAGTTCGGATCAAACAGTTGGGGATCTATACGTGTTGGCTTGACGGCAAGCAACAAAGCCCCGTCTGTACCAACACATATCGGGACCGACGATATTTGTTGGGCTTAGTGCTGGTGCGCCGAGTGGAGAATTTCCGGAGGAGGAACTACTACTCCGGGAGCTCAAATAACATTGGTGTGCCATATTCTATCTTAATTGAAAAAGGCATTGTACCGATATGAAAGAACGATGCCGTCACAATATGAAAAATGGCTTCTCTGCCCTGGGCTGTTTTGCGCCAGCCATATGACTGTTCTCTCTTTGTGCAGTAAGTATTCCCAGGACTCCCGTATGATGGCGGCGATGGCACTTTCCGGTTTACTAATTTCAAGCTGAACCCGCTTAACACTAACTGATGACCCCCACTGAAGGCCAATTTGTGTTTTGACCTTTATATATCACTACCGTTTTCTTTAATTTTCGAACGATCGGATCTATCTCATTTGACTTCACTGCAAGCCGACGACTCGATAGAATGGGAACATGACGACCGGTTCAAAATTTGATTCGCGGATGGCGTTTAGCACGCTTCAAATGCGAGGCGGCATTGTTTTTATTGAATCTGATTGGTAACTGAAACTTCGGCACTTGCCATCTCATCGCACTCTTCTAACTCCCAGTTTACCGTTTGCTCCCGGAAATTTGAGTTCAGAGTGATGAAATTTAGAACCATAAACGATCATGGGCGTCGAGAACTCTCATATATAACGGCAGACTTGCATCTTTGTCTTTCTCTTCAACTCATGGCTTTCCTCCTCCCTCCTCCGAACAAGACTCTTCACAGTATCGATGGTTGGATCATTCCACCTCTTGATGGCTCCTTGACTGTACCAGAGATCTATGATTTTCACTATGAGAACAATTCAAATCATGCAGTTTTCGCATATGGAAATCCAGAAGGCGATGGAATCACTCTTGTCCCGTATTCCGAAGTGATCCCAGCGGCGCACAGAGCTGGATGGTTAATAGCAAACGCTGCGAACTTCGACTTGCGGCAGAATCGTGCTGTACGGCCATTAGTAGCTGTACTAGCTGCCAGCGGTAAGTTCGAATAACGATCCAGCGTTTTCTGCTGCATATAAGTTGCTAGATACTATAACATTCTTTACGACGTTTATTGGTATGTTCCGTGCTGGTATCCCTTTCTTGGCCTTGTCGCCACGCAATTCGCCTGCTGCGCTCGCCCATCTCTTGAGGACAACTGAACCGACACATCTTTTCGTCAGTGCGGATGCCTCTTTGCTGGAGCTCGCGAGGGACTCCTTCAAATTTCTTGATGGTAGTCATGTCCCCGAGATTGCTTATATGCCTTCCTATGAAGATCTATATATCAAGAATGGGTCGTTCATCCGATTGCCACCTCGTGGACAGGACTTGACCACCAGAACAGTCATAGCTCACTCATCGGGTAAGCTTCCTCTTCTTCTTGCGCAGCTGGTAGATGACCCAGCTTCTGATAGGTTCGACTTCTTTTCCGAAACCCAGTGTCTGGAATGACAAGGTGTGCTCGCAAGCTTCCATGGCACCGTGTAAGTAAACACCAAGAAAATGGTATCGTATCATTTCATCCTTGCTTCTTACATAGGGTTCGGCGACTATAACTTCTGCGGACAGATATTCTCATGCCATTGTCTAGCGATGTTTCATAGTGCCGGTATAAATTTTATCAACTGGCTAGTGAGAAAGGCTGTTTTTATTGTCTAACCTCTTATACTGAATCATTCACACAGTCTACAACTGGTATGATCATGGCTGTATTCCCTCCAAGTTCTCCTTCCGTAATCCCGTCGTTCGACTCTGTTTTCAACGGCTTTGTGGCGACACGTGCAGCGTACGGATTTGTGCCGCCGATATTCTTGGAAGTGAGCGTGCTGGTACAGCTATTCTCACGCAGGTTCCGACTTTCTTCACAGGAATGGAGTCGGGATCCAGTCAAAGTTGCTCATCTTACAACTCTGAAAGGCATCGTCAGTAACCGACCTTTGGTATCTTGGAAGACAGCATGAAAAAAGCTCACGTCTCTCAGGCTTTCGGTGGTGCACCACTCAATCCGACTGTAGGGAATTACCTGACAAACGAAGGGTGCAAGCTTCTCCTTTTATATGGAATGTAAGCTGTCCTTTGAAGAATATGGAATTCTACCAATGGGTCCAAAGCACCGAAGCTGGGGTTCTCTCGAAATTCTTCACCGGTGCGATTTACATTCCGATTGTACCGTATCCAAGTTTGAGTGACATTGACAACCACCAGTCGCTCTTGGAAGAGATTGGCAGTACATGATGATCAACCCCACTTTCACGCTGGAGTTAGTCCCAGAAGGCGACGGGACTTATGAAGGCATAGCAGTGGTACGCACCGTGATCATCTGCTGTGTACCCCATTCTGAACTTATATTCCTTCCAGGCAAACTTCCATACGGAGCTCTCCATCATCAACACGAAACACAAAGGCAGAAATGCATACGCGACCAACGACCTCTTCCTTCCTCACCCAAGCGTTCCGGGTTTGTGGAGACTTGTCGGTCGTAAGGATGATCGAATAGTGCTCTCAAGTGGAGAGAAGGTATCCCCTCCGTTTCTTTTTGTCTGTCAATGAGTTTACAACGAGAGTAGACAAATCCAGGTCTTTTGGGTCAGTCACTCGCTCCCCCCCCCCAACTATGTCTGTTTTGATCGTGTTACAGAATCGGTGCTTGCTCGAGATCCTCATGTTAAGGCTGGTCTGTATTTCGGCCATGGTAGATTCCAGAACGGTCTCCTTGTCCAGCTCAAACCACAGTATATCTTTCCTCCGAGCGATCAAGCTTCGGTCATAAAATATAGATCAGTCATCTGGTTCGTATTTCAGCCTGCAATCTATTCACGGTCGCCAAAGTTGAATTTACAGGCCTACTGTTGAGAAAATGAACGAGCTCGCTATGGGTCATTCTCAGCTATTCAAAGAGGTAGGCGGCTCTTCGTGCAGATTTTGTCTGTCGCTTATATCGTTCAGATGATCATCTTTTCGGGCCCTTCCAAGCCGTTTTCATTCAATGCAAAAGGCTTACCCAGACGGGTTATAGTTCTCAAAGAGTATCAGGCAGAAATCGACACGCTCTACGACACCATGGAAGACAACATAGAGATAGGTCCTCCTTTAACTTGGTCATCGATGGCATCACTTGCTTTCATCAGGGCCGTCGTGAACAATACCCTGAATCATCCCGTAGGGGACAATGATGATGTTTTTGAGCATGGATGTGATAGGTATGTCGTGAGGATCCTAGTGCTTGATAGTTCGGTCAATAACGTGTGGTCAAATTTTGCAGCCTTCGAGCCGCAAGGATGCGTAACACTATCATTCACGCTCTGCGCACCACACAAGCTGAGAAGGTCAAACTGATAAACCCAAACTTCATTTATGATCATCCGCGAATCGCTGCTTTGGCGGATTTTGTCTCGGACTCCGTCGATACCCGGAAAAGCGACATACGATCTGCGAAGCTCGAGAATATTCAAGTAATGCTTGATCGTCACGCGTCATCGTTTTCTCGTGCTGTCGTTCCTCGCCGATCGTATGTTTTCCCTGACGTTACATGTTAACTTCTGACACGGTTGCCGTTTGTTTTCTTCTCCTCATTAGGACTCTTCATTCGCCTGGGGACGTGATTCTCATTACAGGAACGACTGGAGGGCTTGGGGCAGCGACCCTTGTTAAACTCGCGGATTCCGAATCTGTACACAGGATCTTTGTCATAAATAGATCGGCGAAAGACGGTCGCAGCTTGTTGGAAAGGCAAGAAGAAGCACTGGAATCTCGAGGATATGACCCGGCTATCGCATCGCTGTCAAAGATGGTTTTAATTGAAGCTGACCTGACAGAGCCCGGCTTTGGAATCGAGGCGTCTATAGAGAAAGAAGTGCGCCACATTTCATTTTGTCCTGTGCGGAAACTAATGTTCCAGTAGATTCATGATAGCGTGACCCATATCATCCACATCGGTAGGTGTTTCGCTTCAATGAGGATGCGTTCCTAAGATTTTTTTGGGTGTTCCAGCTTGGCGGGTGGACTTCAATCTGCCGCTGTCCTCATTCGATGGTATTTTGAAGAGCATGCGGAATCTGATTGACCTTGCTTTATCATCGCCGCAGTCTCAGACCCCCAAATTCCTCTTTACAAGCTCAGTTGGTGTTCTCGGAAGTAATCCGCCTTTCAGAAAGATCAATGAAATTGCGAAGAATTGACTAGACCTTTGTAGACTTACCCGGTACCGCAAACGGCATTTTGGAGCAGCCTATCGATGACCCGAGCGGCGTTGTGGGACAAGGATACTCTGAGTCGAAATGGCTTGGAGAGCAAATGTTATATCGTGCTGCCAAGGAGACGTCTCTACGTCCCTTAGTTGTACGCGTCGGTCAGATTGCGGGTGGCGTCAATGGGTCTTGGAATACTTCTGACTGGATACCCGCAATCGTAAAGTCTAGCAGAGCTCTGGGGTGCTTGCCAGAGTTCAAAGGAGTGAGTATCCTCTTGCATGCTAAACGTATAGCTCTGATGGAATCTGCGCATAGACGAGTACATGGGTTCCTCTAGATACTGCTGCTAGCGCCATCGCAGATTTGAGAAGTGCATCGACACCGGCATTGACAGTTCATTTGGTTCACCCAAGACCGACTGTTACCCGGAAGATTTTCCAGACAATGGCGCAGTACCTTGGCGTTCCTCTTCAACCTTTTGGGGAATGGCTAGGTGCATTGGAAGTTGCTGCCGAAAACCCCAAGATTTCTTCGGATGACATACCGGCCCTGAAGTTGTTGCAATTCTTCCGCAACGGTATCCGAAGTGAGGAAGAGGGGAAAGAACCCATTGGTATTCCGGCGATAGACTGTTCGGTGGCGGAACGAGCGTCTACACACCTTCGGAACGCAAAGTCTATTCAAAAAGAGGACGTGCTGTCATGGCTACAATATTGGACGAGTGCTGGATTTTTGCCGTAGAAGCCGTGGCGACTGATACCCATAGCTTTCATAGAATACCACAAATTAGAGTGTTGAAAGGAGTGCCAAGTTCATAGATAGTGCAAAGCAATGAGGCTGAAATACGCAAAAAGTTGGTCTATTTCTGACGAATAAAGCATTAGAGAAAGCAGGAACAATTGATATGACCACTCACCTGTCATCCAGCCCGACAAACGACTTCACCAGACAGCTTCATGGCCAGTGCCTCTCGTGCCTCTATCCATTTGTGCTCTAGGTTCTCGGTCTTCACCACAGCAATCTCCCCCATTCCCAAAGGTTTCACTGTCTTCGCCCGCCTCCCAGAACATATCAACCTGATTTCCGACAAGTCCATCTCGACTTTTTTGTTGGGCTTGCTGATGAGTTCCATGTGGTTTAGTACAGGACGGTCATCACGGTATTTGAGGTCAGCCCATATTCGACGTTGGTGCAGGGGCACAGTATGGAATTGGGTAGGTGAAGGCGCTTCAATGGTGCCTCTTGTCAGATTGGAGATGAATCCAGCACGCAGCAGGATGGTAAGGATTCCGAGATTTTGCGTGGTATGCTCAACAGAAATGCTTTTGTGGCGCGCACGAAACGCATTTTGCATGCGCGCACACAGATCAAAGGGAAGAGGCATGATTGATTATGTAAACAGAAAAATCGTCGTAACAATGGCAAATACTATGCGTCATCATTTTCGATACGAGTTGAGTCCTACCCATCACAATCTGTTCCTACTCCAAATGTTATCCCAATAATTACACAAAGTGTTTCTTCTTGATTATTCCCGCCAAAACTTTTGCACTAATGCTCCATGTCGTTGCCGACGACTCGGAGCTGCCATGCCGATTGGTCGCAAGAGTGAATAAGTAGCCGCTAGCAATCGACCACTTTTTTTCTTCCTCCCGCGCGATCACGCCAATCCCTGCGCAGCGCAGCGATGCATCGAAATTGCTGCTTGGCTTCTCTTGGAACTCTTATATCCGTTTAGTAGATTACAAGACACCAAATATCTGCCGAATAAATGCTCAATAGCAACGACCCTCGTTGGCCGCAGCCACCCGCAGTTTTTACTGTTCGTCGCTACATTCTCAACGATAAATTTCTGTTCCAGATTCGGTCACGCTTGTCTGAGGTAGCTCAATGACCAATTAAAAGCATTGTATTGGGTGCGCGCATCCGCACTCGGCCATGTGCCCATGGGGCGCAGCTTCGGAGGCAAATCTCAATGGCTGCACTTCGGAGTACGCGTCTGCTTTATAAAAGCGCATCGCGATGATCCTGCTCAGCTACATTTCCTTTCTTCGCTAACCGTCCCCCTCTCTTGAAACACTCTCTATCAAATTTTCGTTGAAAAATCTACCTGTCGTCCCATATGCGCTTCACTCTTGCTCTAGCTAGTGTTGCCCTCTCTTACCTTTCATTGACCTCCGCCCATCCTCACAAGGAGACGTCAATGCCCGAAGGCATGCTGGCCTTTTATCCGGAAAACAAGTTGTAATAACATATTTTTGTAGCTATGCTTCACAAGCGCACTCACGCGACTTCGCGTGGGTTGGGCCACTGCGCAGACTCCATTTCCAAGCGTGCTGGCGGGCTTGCCGAGGAACGTCGCCGAAGCCTCCAGATGCGCAAAATAGAGGACACTAAGCTCGCTGCACGTAACTGGAACTCCCGTGGAGTCGAGGAAAGAGCCAAGTACGCCGAGATCCAAAATGACACCTGTCTTTTGTCTCCCGACACCATCTTTGGTCCTTATTTCGTTGATGGTGCGTCATCATGCTTGGATGTCTTCCGGTCCTGCCTAACTCTTTGTTATAGGGGAACTGTATCGCCGTGACGTACGAGAGGGTCAGGGGGGTATCGATATGTACTTGGACATCGGTCTGAGTAAGTCCCACTTCCCACAAGTGCTTTATTGTCTCCCTCAAAGGCCTTTTCTGCAGTCAATGCAGATACTTGTGAACCGATCTCCGGAGCTTACATTGATTTTTGGGTAGGTCCAAGTCCAAAGTCGAGGCTTTCACTGACATGTACTGCCATCATCTAGCACTGTAATGCTTCCGGTATCTACAGGTATGGCTGTTCAAGTTCAATACCTCTTATGTTTTTCACGAAAAGACGGATAGCGGTTATACCGGAATCGATCCTGACACCGTGGAGGCATATGAGGGTTTGTTTTTTTTACATTTCTAGCCTCTGAGCTTTATATATTCTCTCATGCTAGGTGTAACCGTTCGAAGTGATGGAACTACCGATGACAAGACGTTCCTCCGGGGTTTCACTGCCACTGACGAGAACGGAATTGCAGAGTAAACCTTATCATCCAAAGTTCAAAACACAAATTAATGTTCTGTCTGCAGATTCCTTTCCACTTTCCCAGGTTATTATGCGAGTCGCACCACTCACATCCATATTGCTGTACAGTCCGTCTTTTTCTAATGCATTGATAGTTGGTACATCTGATCCCTATCCCAGCGTTAATGGCTCCGTATCTGAGGATGGCACGAATACTCTGGCTACGTCAAGTATCCAGCACGTCGGGTGAGTAACGTACTAGCGCAAACATGCGAACATAAATTCTCATGTTGTTCCAACAGACAACTTTTCTTCAACGAGTCTCTCATTAACCAAGTATATGCTATAGAGCCCTACACCGCTCACTTGAGCACTTTGGATAGGGTCACCAATGATGTGAGTACATTGCATTCCTCCGCCTTGAAGCGTGGAAATACTGACCGTCACACAGGCTGATAGTATCTACTCCGTCGCTAACGCTGATGGTTACAGCGCCGTGATCTCTGCTCAACTCCTCGGCTCCACCCTGGCCGATGGTATTGTCTGCTACATCACCGTCGGTGTCAACGTTTCCGAGATTTTCAACACCAGTGACTCCAACCCTATCGGTGTTATCCCAACCGTTTCTCTAAGTGCTGGTGCCGAAGCTTCTGCAAGCGCTCTAGATGCTTCCGAGTCGTTGACGGTGTAGGATCATATGGTTCCTTCAAGACGGCCTAGAATGAGCCTTTGAGGTTTTAAATAGTAGTATGAAATCACTTAAAGATGCAGTAGTAATCATCCCATTCATTTACGTAGCCGCAGAGTATCCTATCATGTCAAATGCAATAATGCAATAATAGGACTCTGGTATTCAGTTCTTCCTCATTCCAGTCTTCCAATCCCAAGTGTCTTCCCATGCGGCAGCAACCTTGAGACATGTTGCATCTTCCCACATTCTACCTACAATCTGCATTGAAATGGGTAACCTGATGGCCTCGTCCTCGGGAGTCAATATGTCCTCCTTTGCAGGCAAGCCAAATCCAACAGGGAAGGCTAAAGCGGGATGTCCCGTCGCATTGAACGTGGTCGTGTTATCCACGATGCCAGCTAGATTCGGATACGTGAAAAAGTAGGAGGCATGAAGGAGAAACAATATTTTACCGCATTTCTGAACACATGCAAGTGGTCCTGCGCCAGGCTCAATGTGTCGGCGAGCAACAAAAGGTACTGTGGGCATTACAAGGACATCTACCTCGGTCAATGCTGCGTCATAGTCAGCCTTGACACGGCGCATGATGTTCATAGCACGTCCATAAACCGTTGGGTAGTGCTGAAACGCGTATTCGCTGTAAATTTATTTATATAGCATTAGCGAGACGTACAGGAAACGTACCCGCTCACTGACGTTCCTTGGACGAAAGAATGGACCTGACAGGCGTGAGCGATGGGCGAAGAAGGGAACACTTGAATACCTTATCCCATTTGCTCTGCTTCCAAGGAATTAACTTTTCTAAAAAGTCGTTCACATACAAACCTCCAGCGCCGACCGCTCGACCTTGTCTAGTCTGGTGGCTCCCCATTTTATTGATGACGTGCATTACGCTCCCACCTTGCGAGTGTGCAGGGACAGAAACCTCCTTGATTTCGGCACCTAGATCCTTGAACTTTTCGATCGCAGACCGGACGACTTGCTCTATCTCGGGAGATATATATAGACTTGTGAAGCCTTCCTTCAGAACGCCGATCCTCATACCGGATAGGTCGCTGGAAGTTGGGATATACAAAGGCAGGTTATTATACAACGGTGCGCCTAGCTGACGATCATCCAGGCCATCGTAGCCGGCCACAGCTTGAAGGAGGAGAGCAGCATCCTTGATGGTAGCCGCCATAGGACCTTATCTCACTGAGGAAAGAGTTCGAGACACCAATAGGACCAAAATACGTACCAACATGGTCAAGGGACCGTTCCGACGATAAGACGCCAGTGTATGGTACAAGACCAAAAGTCGCTTTGAGACCGACGACCCCACAAAATGCAGCGGGCTAGATACGCGATAAGGTTGTGTTTGGGGGGGGGGGGTGTGAGACTGCGCTTACGATACGAATACTACCACCTTGATCGCCTCCTATACCCATGTCCACTTCTCCCTTACCAATGAGGGTTCCACAGCCAGAAGAGGAACCTCCCGTGGAGAACCCGTCGGCATACGGATTCTGTACGGGTCCATTTGGTGAGGTGAAAGATGCTGCACCGTGAGACATGTTCTAGTAACGCCGAGTGAGAAGGGATCGGTGTCTAGCGATTGGACATACTTCACACGTTGCCTTGCCGAGGATAGTACCTGCGTTCTCTAGTATCCTAGACACGACAGTAGCATCCACCTCCGCTGGTGTATATAAGTTCGTAGTTGGATCTTGAGATCAGAGGGCGTACGTATGAAGTCCTTTACGACGTCCGTGCCAAACCGGCATGGAACACCCGCCAGGCAGATATTATCCTTGAGGCAGATAGTCTTCCCTTTGAGAAGACCCTCTGGAGCACCTTTCACCGTGGCCTTGCATGCCCAACCCCTTCGAGGGTTGTCCTCATTCGCGGGAGTGTAGATACCCGTACGCGGGAAGCGTCCATAGTCAACAGGAGGGGTGAAATCTACCCCAAGGTCTGAGTGAGATTGTCACCCGGATCAGAGTACGAACCAGGCATGTCCATTACAGCTCTTGCAGCATTATCAGTAGTGGTGATAATTGCAAGATAGTCATCACGCTGTTCGGGTTTTATGGTCAAGTTCAGCCGCTGTTCGACGAAAGCGAGGTCCTCTAGAGTAGGCGCCATGTAGAAGAGGAGTTCTGTACTTAGTTATCACCGGGACGGCAATTAAGTGCCGACGGTCGTAATGCCGGCCGTCAAGGATGCATGAAATTCGAGTTGGAGACCCAGTAGTCAGGGACAGGTCAGGCGTTAGGTGGCTTGAAACTTTACGCAATTTATAAGGCAAGCAGCAAGAATTCTGTCCGAAGGATCTTCACGTCGATGTGTTCCACGACAGAATTTGAGTTTAATCACATTCTTCAAGGGTCACGATTTTTATAAAATGAACGTGTTCGTTCTCGAGGCAACGGTGGTGGTGGTAGGAAGTATTGAATGTTCGGCAAAGGCCGGTGCAGTAGCACTACTTATAGACGGCCCAGTTTATTATTTCGATTTATGCACAAAATTGCGAGACTGCGACATTAGGGAACCTATCTCTTCTTGCATACACCTTATTTCCCGCTGAAAACTCGTCAAATTCTTTGACCAGCCCCGGCATGCTCTTCAGCTGCAGCAATTCTTCATCATGCAGTTTGTGAACCACTGCTTGTGCCCATGGAAAACATTCTCCAAACTCGTCATTTTCCGGAACATGAACAGTCTGTGCGGCACTTTTCAGCTGGTCCACGGTGATGCCTGCTGCTGAAATACAGAGAAGGCTGCTGAGGAACATGTCACCGGCGATCTTTTGGACACGCGTTTGAAGAGTCCATGTTGGGGATACGGCCCTGTCGATGCGAATGTGAACAAGAACGCCTTCTGTGGCAGTTGTGGGAATCATGAGGCCGACATGCGGTGCACGAGCTTGGGTGAAGCCTGCAAGATACAAGGATCCAACGCTAAAGGGTTCTGCAGTGATATCCGTCATCTAATAATTGAGTCAGTCCTATCCAAGTTAACAAAAAATGCACCTACGGAACGGTGGGAGCTGATCTTTTCTCGCCTTCACACAATGTTCAAACGTTGAAGATGGGGGAAACGAATTGCAAAGCGGCCCTCTTCCCTCAGTCACGGCATCAAATATTCCTCACTGGGTTCTATACCCGGGATTACATCTATAGACTATGTATCACAAATTTCTTTTAATATTTCTTGTCCCATGCTATGCGCCACCAATTGAAATAGCTGAAGGTCTTAAGCCCCTTCCAGCGCGTTCCAAGCTTCCCTCTATTAGTTCAAATGCCGGACGGTAGCGAGGTGTAGATATTGACGAAGAAGGTGGACTTGGTAGAACACTGTCTGGACGTGAATTCGATGTTGCTGGCAGAAGCTCGCTAGACGGCGATATCGAAGAATCCGGCGTTACTTGTGAAGTAGGGTCCGGGTCTATAGATGATGGAACAAGCAAAGCAGGATTAGGGAAGGTGTTGTAGGTGGACCCAAGGGACGTGTATCTGCGAGTCCATCAAGCGCCGTGTCGTGTTCATATGAATATGACTTACCCTTCATTATACAGACTACAATACGGCACCCCCAGCTGCCGCAAAAACTTCCACACATCGCCGTAAGACCAGTTGATAATTGGATTGATACGTTCAAAAGACGGCCATCCTTCGTCTGTCATATTTCTGTGGGAGAGCTTTGCTAGGAGGCAAGTCGTGAACGCGTTGAGGCACCGAACGCCACTAATACGCACCACCATGAGGATCCGCCCTTCGTGTACCGATAAGGATGGCACTGATTTCAGGAAACCTTTGCTTGTAGATCTCCAGAGCCTGCAGCATCCCACCACCTCCCTTGCCCTTGGGCTTTGTTGGAGTCTGTTCCAATTGTTCTGAAAGTGTGACGTTGGTTTCGACCGGCTCTGATGGCGGCTTGCAGTGGAAAAGGTCGAGGTGATAGGAATCGGCGGCATCGTCGATAAACTTCTCGAGAACTGGAAAGGGTGAAGGTACAGCTATGTATATTCCATGTATCGGCTTCATAATCTCCGATGGTCCTAGTCGCCTAGCAAGCGCGGCGACGTAGAGGTACAGAAGCACTGTACCTAGCAATCATATCAGTAGGTACTCGCTGTCCGACTCGACAACAAAGGGTACTCACAGTCCTTGCCGCCGTTGAAGCTGATTGATATGCGATCCTGCCTTGGTGACCGTCACGATGCGCCCGCGATGAACATCAGAGGCAGCCGACGCACCCATGGGTGTCCAAGCCCTCATCGATGACCTCCAGGGCTTCCTTGACGAGCGGCGCGATGGGATCCTCCGACACGGCGAGCGCATACACATCGTCCGCAATCTTTCGAAAGTCCATCGACACGAGAGCAGGAAACAAGCACGTGCACGCCAGTTACCCTTCTTCACTCCATCCACCATGTCGAACGTCATTCTTGTTACGGGTGGTAGCGGCCTCGTCGGACAGGGCATCAAGCACGTAATCGAGACTGAGCCAGCCGAGTCGCGGTTCGGCAAGCATTCGAATGAGACCTGGGTCTTTGCGACTTCGAAGGAGGGGGACCTGCGGTAAGGCATACCGTACCAACTCATTTGGCAGCGCCTGGAACCATTGCTCTTGGCAGGGATCCAGAGCAGACACGAAAATTGTTTGAAAAGTACAAGCCAACCCATGTCATTCATTTGGCGGCAGTCGGTCGGTGTTCTACTGCGCATGTAGGACGATGTGCTGATTTCGTATCTAGTGGGCGGAGTATTCGCCAACATGAGGAGTAACGCAAGTCTTTATGCTCTATCCTGGGTTTCTTCTTCACTAACCTTATTGCAGGCCAGTTTCCTGAGGGACAACCTCCTCATTAATGACAATGTCTTGCACACGGCCTACCTCTTCAAAGTCAAAAAAGTCGTGTCGTGTCTCTCGACGTGTGTCTTCCCGGACAAAGTCACTTATCCCTTGGACGAGACCAAAATTCACCTCGGCCCACCCCATCCTAGTAACTTTGGCTACGCCCATTCAAAGCGGACGGTGGATATCGTGAACCGGTACGCTGCTACCTATCGATATCGAAATACAATCTGATCATCTGCCGCAGCGCCTACAAGGAGCAGTACGGCTGCAACTTTACCTCTGCCATCCCCACGAACGTGTTTGGCCCCTACGATAACTTGTAGGCTTTTGCCGTATCTGATTTCCCATCCTGATTGTTCTTAGTGATTTGGAAGATGCTCACGTTATCCCCGCCCTAATTCATAAATGCCTGCTAGCCCAGAGTACGTCGCACACTTGCGTAACAGATCACCCCACCTATTGTATTCACAGAGAACAACACACCCTTCATCGTTGGTGGAACTGGAAAGCCCCTGAGGCAATTCATTTATTCTCATGATCTTGCCAAAATGTTTATCTGGCAGCTTCGAGAGTATGAAGACGTTGAGCCTGTTATCTTTTCAGGTTCGTATCCCCTTTCCTCGCAGGACTTGAAAATCTAAGGAGCCTCAATAGTCGGAGAAAACGAGGAAGTCACTATCAAAGATGTAACGGATGCTATCGTGAAGGCGTTGAATTTCCAAGGCGATTACACTGTAAGCGATATATTTCTCTCCATGTTGTGCACTGCCAGACGCATTTTGTACAGTTCGATACGACTCGCGCAGACGGTCAATACCGTAAACCTGCCTCCAACCAGAAAGTTATCTCCCTCATGGGAGGTTTCCAGTTCACTCCTTTCTCTGAAGGTGAGCTTTAACACCACCCATATGAAAATGATCTATTTATCGCTGCGATTTAAAGCCCTCGACGCAACTGTGAAGTGGTTCTTGGAAAACTATGATACTGCCAGGACAGGGCTCAAGAAAACGTCTTCGTAGATAGAATGGACAGTTTCGCATCACAGGCATAAGGAAATCGAACACGCAACCAATTTCATCCAATCGTCAGCTCTGCGGGTATACGTAAGAAACAAGCACCATGAATGTCCAGCGGTCTATATACGCAAGACACAGTATAATACCTAATTTTGATCCTCCACCAAGCTTTTGACAGCTTTGAGGTCTGCAGTGACCATTTCCTTTACCAAAGAGTCAAAGTCAACCTTGCGTTTCCATCCCAGAATGCGTTCAGCCTTTGCAGGGTTGCCAAGGAGGAGGCTATGATAACAATGATGTTAGCAAAGGTTGTATGCTATCAGGGTATACATACTCGACTTCAGCTGGACGGAAGTACTGTGGGTCCACCTTTACGACAGCTTTGCCCGTCTTGACATCGATTGCCTCTTCATTGACTCCTTGGCCAGACCATCTATATGTGAGGTGAGTACAAGTAGAAAGCAATAGGGACGCAGCGCACTTTAGCTCGATACCAAGCGTAGCAAAAGACTTGTTGACAAACTCCCGGACAGGGTGAGTCTCTCCGGTAGCAAGAACGAAATCCTCAGGAGTGGGCTGCTGCAACATGAGCCACATCCCCTCGACGTAGTCACGCGCTAACTCAAACGTAAGGAGTCGTCAGAAGGCGAGCATCGGGCATGTACTCACCATGACCCCAATCACGCTGAGCATCCAGGTTCCCCAGATACAGGCACGATTGTTTTCCCAGAGAAATATCAGCTGCCGCTCTGGAAATCTTTCTCGTGACGAACGTCCTGCCTCTCCGCGGGCTCTCGTGGTTGAACAGGATACCATTGCAAGCATACATCCCGTATGCCTCCCGGTAATTTTTGACTATCCAGAAGGCGTAGAGTTTGGCACATCCGTAGGGCGAGCGGGGGTAGAACGGGGTTGTCTCACTTTGAGGGGTCTCCACGACCTTGCCGTACAGCTCGGACGTCGAGGCCTGGTAGAACCTCACATGTTTCTCGAGCCCGCAGGTACGGATGGCGTCAAGCAGCCTCAGCGTACCCAGTCCGTCGACGTCGCCGGTGTACTCGGCCATTTCGAAGGAGACTTTGACGTGCGATTGGGCTCCGAGGTTGTAGACCTCGGTCGGTTGGACCTGGGCGATGATGTACACGAGGTTGGTGCTGTCGCTGAGATCGCCGTAGTGCAGCTTGAACTTGTTGGGCCCTAAAGAACATCAAAAAGGGTGCCTGAGAGCCGAATGATACAACATACGTTCATGCTGATCTTCGTATAGATGGTGCAGACGACCAGTATTGAAGCTCGATGAACGACGAATGATGCCGTGCACTTGGTATCCTTGGGATAGCAGGAGTTCCGTTCTATTGCCCGACGAAAAATGAGAGAAAAAGACGAAAACCGTAAGGGTACACACAGATATGAACCATCCTGGCCAGTGATGCCTGCAACCATCTATGAATAAGCGCGCCATCCAAACGCACAAACATACCGGAAATGAGAGCGACCTTTCGCTTGTGATACTCCTCTGCAGACGGCAATTCAGGCTTTGCGAATGGAGGGACGACATCTACGATGGACATGATGGTGGTAGGAGGAGGAAGGAGAGGCTAATATTGGCGCCATGTTAGGTTTATTATTATTACTGTTGCTGCGGTCACTTTTCGTTTGCTTCGATTCTTATCCGCTATCCGGACTGCGTCGCTACAGCGCACCTACTGACAACAGGATGCAGGGACAGTATAGGACAAATGCAGGGAAATTTTCATGGGTGGTGTGAGTAAAATAACTGCAGAATACGCCATCAGGTGCAAAGCGACTGATGCCGGCAAAATCTATCGCTTTTGCGGTCTCAACTGTCCTGCATGGGTCCATCAAAGCCGGCGATTACACTGTTAATTCTGGCCGTCTTTCGTCTTTACAAATATTCGCTCCGCCGCAGATAGGCCCAATGCACGTAATTAATCTTCTCGGCAATAGAGGGCTACCTGGCGAGCTGTCGAACCGCGCAAGACGTACATGAAACGCTTGAAATCTGAACGTTCTGACACAGAAATCCTTCAAGTAGAAACAACAATGTTAATGGTAGGTCTGTTAGATTGGAAGCCGCAGTGTCCTCACGCCAGTCAACAATGAAAACTATATCATCGTGTCTAGTTTGAGTAACTGTAACGTTACTATATAACATGAAAAAAAAATCCATCAACAGCTGCCAACGCACAGAATGATAACCAATTCACTCTCGCGTTCCCACAGAAGAGTCGTAACGTTTCTCGTCGAACCAAGAGCTTTCAAGTGCTTTGGCCAGGTAACGCAAGCGAGCTGTTATGGATGAAGAATAGTACCGTCATCATCATTTGCATGGACTAGCACCAAATTATCGAGGCGTAGAAGCGACGTTGACAGGTAATTGATAGTGTGTGCGGAGCCAGCATATTTTGATTATGATAATGGTCTTTATGCCGCTTAAGGTGTCGAATCTGAAGAGCGAACAAGTACTGAGCTTATCGTAGGATCTGCTTGTCACGCAGAATGTATGTCGCAAGTTTAACGTTATTGTACATGGAAAGTATTCAAAACAGCCTTAATGTACTGTCAATGAGAAAGAATCAAGAAAGTGCATGATTGCGCACCTCTACTAACGTTTCGGCGGCCGCTGTCTATTCGAAGATCTGCCAAGTATATTCACGACGAGCCAGTAGCTTCTAGTTGGACTTGGTTTTCCTCGAAATTGCACGCCTGGTCAATATCCACGCCGCTGACAAGATACCATAGGGCGGAATCAGCCAGCTCAACATCCAAGTCCACCCAACAGTTTTCTCCAAGTCGTATACCAATGCGGTAACCTGGCTTTCAAGGTTCTCCCTGGTACCCGAGTTGTCAATCACAACGTCCGCGTACTTCACCTTGTCAACGATAGATAGCTGGGACGATAATCTGGCAGAGGCATCTTCCCGCGTAGAGCCATCGCGTTGCACCAACCGCTCGAGCTGTATCTCCTCGGGACTAGGAAACGAGATTAGCAGACAAAGTAATTACATTAGCAGGGACGTACCAGTATACCACAGCAACCTGAGCGACCCACTTCCATAGAGGCCCTTCGATGAGAAGCGGCACATCCAAGACGCAGTATTTCTTTCCACAAAGCCAGTGCTTGACCACCTCCCAGACCATCATCCTACGAATGGCAGGATGCAGAATTGTATTCAATCTCTTCCTCTTCGACTCGTCATTGAAGATGACCGAGCCCAACTTCTTCCGGTCCAGGGATCCATCAGGAAACAGCACGACCTCCCCAAAGTACTTGACGATCTGTTTCAGCCCTGTGGTACCAGGCTCGACGACCTTTCTGGCTATGATATCGGCGTCAACGATAGGAACACCCTTGTCACGCAACAAGCCAGAGACGGTTGATTTACCAGTCGCTATGCCTCCCGTAAGCCCTACCACTGTTTATCTACGTAAGAAGGCAACAGTTCTGAACAGTGAGGGTGGCCTTACCTACCCCACATGATGATAGGAGAAGGTAGAATTGGGCCAGTGTAACACTGGTGGAATAAGGGTTCCAGATAACCTTGGTACATATATTATAGGCAACCCCTTAAGACGTAACCGACTTTAGCTCAGTTGGAAGAGCGCGAGACTGTAATGGATAACGTAATCTTGAGGTCGCCTGTTCGAACCAGGCAAGTCGGATTTTGTACACTTGTTTTTTTTTTTTTTTTCGAAACTTGAAATGTTGAAACTTGAAACTTGAAACCTGTTACTTGATTCTTAAAAAGGTGAGTTCCAGTCGAAACTGGAGTTGAGCTGAAGTATTAAACTGATCCTTGATCCTGTGCCCAGTGCATAAATTCAGGTCCCAGAAATGAAAACTTCCTAACCGAAGCTATGAAAGGTAGTACGATAAAGGTTCGGCGAAGGAATTGATATTTATTTCAGACAGTAGGGCCAATCTCATTTCCTAGTTAAATCAGGAATATGAAGCCATCTTCTCTACATGCACTGGTGTCTCCGGTGTGAAGGGTTCTTCTCAGGCTGGTTGGCAATATTTATCTTGATGACCTTGCAATTCAATCCCGAGGCCCCCCAGGAAGGCGATATTTGCCTCGTACTGAAAGAGCTTGATCCTGCAGTTATTTGATGTTCTTTTCCAGCAACACCGACACATTCATGCCGGCCACCAACTACCCTCCGTCTAATCATCATCATACGAGTCTGGGTTCAAGTACTTGGGAACATTTTGGTTCAGGTTCTCAACTCGACAATATGTCTTCCGGACTCACTTCAGGGTCAGAATATAGCTCTGGAGATGCTGGTGGTGAGTATAACTCGCACTGAAATAATATTAGCTCCCTTGTTGTGAACAACATAGATCGACTTACTTCATAGCTGTCGTCTAGGTCAAGGAAGTCCGAGCCGGAGCCTTCAACATCCAGACATTGACATTGACGATTAGAGCTTATGCTTCAGGAAAGAGCCGTACTTCGTATTCGGAGTAGTCTCCGGGAAAATAAAGACTCCTCCTATGCATGTGGTCAGCCAACGATGGTGTGTGGAATTTATATATCAAAGGGGAACTACCTGGTATGAGCCGCCCTGCCACACACAAGAGGAAACTGAAAAGTGGCGAAGAGGCAAAACTTACTTCTAGCACTTGCACAACATCAGAAGTCGAGTGATACTTGAAAGGATCGCATTATATTCAGTAGTGATGGATCCTAATATTATTCAGAATTTACCTTGAATTCAGGGGAGCTGTCATATCCCTGATGTTGATATTGATAATTAGACCTTATCCTTCTCGAAAGAGACTCACGTCGTGATATTCGTAGTAGTCACTGGGTGAATGGGGCTCTTCTGAGTTTTTGGCCAGTCTATTCAAACATAATCTGTGGAATCAATATCAAAGGCGAGCTACCTGATATGAGCCGTCACTAGTGATTATATGAGGACTGCAGAAAGTAGCGAAGAGACAAGACTTACAACTTCTGCACAGCTTCAAAGGCAGGTAATATAACCAGTAACTTACTTCACAGTCTGATTCATTCCCAGGATAAACAGCAGGTGCATATTCCGTGCGGTGCTGGATGTATGAGATTTTCTCTATCCGCACAGTGTTATCTTGCTGAAAACTCACCATATCATCCGTTCGCGGTCCTCGCCAGTTAGAATATCGCGTATAATGGTCATGCGAACCAGAGTTTGTAGTTTCCCGATAGTCTGTTAGAATATGCTGCTCGCGAGTGCCTCTGGAGTATCTGATACATTCTCCTACATCTACATGGTCCTAGAAGCAGATAAAAGTGAGAGTCCTCTCCCTCATCAAAAGGACATATTCAAGGCTCACCACTCTTTCCAGGAGTACAAAAGGGCACCATGCCCCTCTCGAGGACGGGTTCTAAGCATTCTAGAATCTGGAAGATGGTCACCGTCCTTGAAATACGCATGAACGAATGGACGTGCCAGCCGGTCCGCTTGACCCGATTAATAGTTATCTTTATACCAATATTTTCCGACTAACATGACTACAGAAACTATCAAACAACCCTCTTTCTGATCCGGCTCCTTTTACCCATTGAAATTCGACTCCAGCTTTGAAAGGTCTTATGACACACATCATCTTACAGTCCAAAGGAGGAGGATGAACGGTATCATGCTTCCTCTTCCTTCTGGCGCTCCTTGACCAAGTATCTTCTTTGGCCGTCACGAGTACATGCCCGTCGCAGGTCTCTGTCTCCAATCCACTAATAGTCTGGAGAACCTGGCAGATATCGACCGCTTTGTCTCCAGGAACAGGTTGCAGGGTGTTATTGTGCGGCGGCATAAGACAGCGTAAAGCGGGGTTGGATATACGAGATATTGACTGTTCAGATATTAGATATATGAGTGACACAAGAAAGAGAGAGCTATCACGAACGTCAGGGAGTCGTTCGTCAGTAAACGACCAAGCGATTGCCCATCTTCTAGTTTGTCCTTGGACGAACTCGGTAATAGCGTAGTTCTCAATCTGAGTTGACATCTATCTTTGCATCGCGAGGATCAACGGTAAATCAACGCACCGAAAGGTCTTTTAACAAATCCACGACTTGTGTTAAGGAAGACATCTTTCCTAGCATTGAGGTATACCATCTAACCGTCTCGTCAGGCTGATTTTGACACCTATTAATAGCAGTACCTGCAACGTGCACCTATCTGCTTACTCTCCCTCACCATCTGGCATACGAAAGCCGCCTCGCCGTCAGGAGTTACCATCTCAACAGGCGCACCTGTACAAACCTTTCGTCTGCGTGAGAAGCAGCTAAGATAGATGGTTATTCTTTACAGCATTTGGATCCATAGCCTTCCCTTCTGCTGACAAGGTCACTTCATCCAAGGACGCGTAAAAGGGCGGATTACACATCGTAAAGGAGAACCTGAAAAAAAAAAACCATGTTCATAAAGCTCGAACCAACTACGAGAGACTCACGATTCGTCAGGATATATCCTCAATGGGAAAAGAATGGGCTGGTCGGGACGTGCCTGGAGTACGCGTACCCGATTACCAAGACGATTTCTCGAAATATTGGATTCGGCTAGCTGGAAAGACATGTCGTCGAGTTCTACGGAGTTCGTTCATAAGTATATTGTGTCGAAACCCTTGGTCCTAAAATCTGATTCACCAGTGGCCACGAACGACCATTCTGGCTCGAGTTTACACGCGAGCAGAGGGTAGATTGCAGATGCACCTGTGCCTCTTATCATAGAAATCAGCAGAAATGGAAATTTGATGAGAAAAAGACATACATATCAATTCCACATATGCTCGAGGACGGATGTGTGCGCATAATGTCTTGTATCCAGAGCACATAGTTCAATCTATGTGCAATCACAGATCAGTTCTTCAGGATAATGATCGACGAGCACCAACCTGTTCGGCACCTGAAGAAATGAATCATTAGAGAGACATGAACGACACAATATGTCATTTACATACTGGAGGACATAGACGATCCTCAGGCAACAGGATGTCAACGTCAAAGTCTCGGTATAATAAAGCCTTTGTTAGACATCTAGGACGCGTCAAATTGATGAGTGATGTAGATATATGAGATATATTTGACCTCTGAGATTCATCGTTTTTGAAGTCAATCGTCTTCAGAGAGCTGCTTGATAGTGAAGGTATCAGGCTGGACGCCTTTGCCGGTTAGCAAAGTGAATGCTAGGCATAAATCTTGAGCATACTGATTCTCAAGTTCTGGATATGCCTTGGCTAATTCGACGAAGTCTGTCGCTCGGCGGTAAATGTTCCGGTCGTGCATGAAGATGGTGGAAGACGTCTAATGGCGTATGGCTGTGTCCTATGGTTGTGTTTATTTTCTTTGAAAGACGTTGCCATCAACGCGACACCTGTACTGCACTGCCACAGCCAATGTTTCTGTCACTCCACAATGGTAACCTCCGCTAAAATCTTGGTCTGTCGCAGCTCAACACGCGCCTTTACTTCTTTGTTTCTCATTGTAATCCTAGTGACCAACGTATTGATTCAAGTCGCCGATTTTTTTGATGTCCCCGGTTTGGCTTCTGGTCCATGACAACAGATGGATGAGGCTCATTACTGCGGACGGTACTTAGTCTTACTCGTAGATGCTTTTGCAAGACGCCGAGAAAATGGATCGTCGGTCCCGGCGTTTTCACGTTTGACTGAGTTATTATACTCATGGCAGAACATGTGTTCGTTTGGCGCCATAGCTACAGCAGAAGAGCAGATCGAGACCTCCAGAAATCAGCCGCCTCATATTTTAGCTGAAAAACTACCGACGCAATTAATCCGTCAGATAACCTCACTCGAAGCCGGACATGGTCGGGAGAAGGAATTCGGTGCCGAGTGCTTGGATCATGCTATGCTGTCTTGTCCATGGAGCCGGCTGCCGAGATGTCCAAGTTGACGTGAAAAGACGTATGATGGGGGTGTATGATGGGGGTGGGTGGATCAAGGTCTATCAAGGTCAGGTTCACAATTAGCAGATCGCTATGTTTCTGATGTCACACTGGTAGGGAATACGGAGGCTTTGGGGGCGGGGGTAAGAGCTTTTCTTCTGTAAAGTCGAAGAAAAAAACATGCTGACTAGGTGATTTGACAGAATTCTCTGTCGATTTCTATCAGTCTGTTGCAGCGGCGTCGTCTTCCGGAAGGCAAACGTCCGCCAGACAACTAAGGACTGTACTAATTAGGAATGGTATCACGAGGCACCACGAAAACTTGTGAGCATCGCATTCAAAAAATAGCTTGAGTGCAATTCTTTCTCAGTGTTATCTCCTGTGTCCCAAGTCTTGCGGTCGCGGACAAGTCGGGGTATTGCGAAAGAAGCATCTCGTTTAGCATTCTGCACGAGGCAGTCCCCAGGCGCTACTGCCAGGCGTTGCTCTTTTCCGGTCCGAGATGCGTGCCGAGAAAGTATCGACCATTATCTACGCCGAAATCTCTATGGTTTTTCGACCATCTACTGGTGACCAAGGACGGTGACACTGGTTCGATGTGCATTTGGCAGTAAATGAAAAGAAGACCGTCGTCAAGGACTGACTGCAACTGGGTCACCCCGACTTCCGACTTCCTGACCAAAGATCAGCGACTCGAGAAGGAAGCATCACTTTCCCAATTCGGAAATATCACATTTTGACGCGAACCGATAAAAACGACGCCAGCGAGATGCAAGCCCATCTTTTCCTCCCAATTACCACCACCACCACCGTCATCGTTCTCGTCGCTGTCCTCGATGGCATCCACTCGTTCAACTCCCTTCTCCATCGACGAGTTCGCCTCGCTCGTCGAGAACGCGCTCGACCTCGACCACGAGCCGGATGTCTCTATTCGCGTCCCTACCCCCACCTCTTCGTTCGACTCGCCGTCGCCGCCCAGGCCGACATCGACGTCCACTGTCTTTTCAAAACTCAGGCAGCTTGTCTCGCCGTCTCGCCAGCGCCTTCCTCTACCAGAGCTCCCACAGGCTCCCGCCTTACCCATTCCCACTGTCTCTCTAGTAGCATCCAAGTCGTCCGAGTTTGTTCCTTACCTTCCCATTCCATCTCGCCAGGAGCTCGAAGCCCGAAACTCGTGTAAGGAACGGCCTCTCAGCTCCCCGCCTAGCTCACCTACTTCCTCGTCTACCCGGACTGATACCGAGTCCGTTTGGACCGACAGCGAGCAGTCGTCGACTAGCACAGGCGATATCAATGATCCCTTTGCCAAAGGCTCCGTACAAATTATCCACGTCTCTCCTTATCCCGGATACCACATTCCCAAGAAAATGAGTTTCTGCCCTACCCCGCTTCCTCTCGTTCCGCCTCGATATGCTCCACCTTCCTGCCCCCTTCCTAGTCCTCCCGCCACTCCCTCGCCTCGAAAACGTCACCCATACGCGTCGCATTGGACGCTCGACCTGCCCGCTACTCAACGGAGCGAACTCCCCACTTATAACCCTCTTAACCCTCTTGGTCCACGCCGTGGATTGCATAGGCGCACCGGCTCGCCCTTCCCTCTTAGCCTTACCTTGCACGACACCCGCCCCATCAAACCCAATACACGTTTGACGCTGGATTACAATCCGTATCGGCTGGTGTTGGGCGAGAATGGGCTTCCGGTGTCTCCTCCGGGAACGCCACAGCGTTCCTTGGTTGAGTTTGAGACTCACGAGGCTGATTGGGTCGACATGACGGACTCGGATTCTGAGTCGTTGCAGGAGGAAGCTGTCGAGACTCCCGTTCAACCGTCATTCTTACCGCCGTGCCAGGATGATGACGCCCATTCCGTGACTTCAGCGTATTACACCGCGCGGTCTAGTTTGTGCTCTCAAATATAATTTGTCGGGTATGTGTTCTTAATTTCCACCCACCTCATTTATCTGAGCTGACATTCGTCTTCCTCCAGATTTGTTTTCTCTTTTCTGCTTTCTCTGTATTGCTTTCTCGCACCTATCGCCCAACTCTGCTTTCCTGCCACTCCTTATGCTCTCTGTGTACCTCAAATTGACCCACGCCCTTCGTTTTCCTGACTTGGGTCTCCTCCCGGTTCCGCTATTATTTTATTCCTAAGATAATCCTAGAAGTTTTCTCTCGCTCTCATTTGATTACGTATACCTTCAGTTATTGCTCATACCAGCTATTAATTGTCGATAAGTACTGTCCTTACCTGTAGGTCTTTTATTCATCCATCTTTGTCAATGTTTTGATAGCTATAGTAGTGAAATACGAGACGTGATGTTGATATCATGTACGTACTGTAATATATAAAAATGCATTCTTTCTGAGTGTGCCGGTTTTCCGAATGTCGCGGCCCCGTGCTTAAACGTGCTTCTAGGAATGGTAAATATTAGATGAATGAATTCGTGTCGGTAATGAATGTAATGAAGGAGACACTAGGCGCCACTACCGGGTCCGTGTGGATTGGACGTTCTGGTTCCGTCCTTGCAGCTTCAGCTTCAACTAGCTTCAAGCCCATACACGGGCTTCGGTTCGACTAAGCACTGATCATCTCGTTGAAACTAGGATGGGAGTTTCAAACGTTCAAGCTCGGGAAGTTGCAGCGAGAAAAATGCAAGGCGTCAAAATAATATATTTCCGGATTCACCGGGCCGAAATCCCCGATCTAGCAATACGTCGATCTTCCGGACCGGGGTCCCGATTTTTCTTTTCGACGTCTGAAAGCGGCGCTTATTTCCGATTTGTTCCTCTCTTCAAAATGTAGTGTTGGAATCCACAATGCTAGGAGTAGATGCAGGACTCGCCGGTCTTCCAACTACTACGACTCGTCAGAGCTTCTCTACCGTTGCCTAATCGATTTCATGGCTGCTCCCCTCTGCTTCCTCTAGAACAACGTTCATCTGGATGTTATCTGCTTTCATGACCAAAGTTACTGTCAGTTTTACGCTTGCCGTGTGTGCTTTGTTTATCGTTGTAGCGGCTACAATCAGCAACCTTCGGTGAAGGCTGCGCTCCTGTAGCAAATCGATGTCCCTTATAATTACAGCGGTTAGCGAAGAGACACTGAGACCACAAGATCCGACTCGGACACCATCAATCACTCCAAAGTCGTCTTCAGATGCTTACAGTTAACTACGCCTCCACGTCCATATCGTAATATCCGGCTGATGCATCCCTGGGGTCACTCAATCTCCGAACTCGAATCAGATGTTCTTCGGCCGATCAAACCGTTTTTGACCCAAAGGACCACCGCGATTTTATAATAACCGAGCAAATGGCAGGCAGTTTCTTCATCACCTATCATGGTCTCTTCTGTGGAAAAATTCTCCGCCGAAACCGCCCACGACGAGCTGGCAAACAATGACATCGACGAGCGCAAATTACTGCTCAAAATTGATCTGCATGTGCTCCCGTATATCTGTGTGATGTATACCCTCGCTTTTCTGGACCGGTATGTTCGAGAATTTGATGCCAGGAAAGAATTCATCTTGGCCGTTTTTCCAGCGTGAACATTTCGAATGCGGTATTGTTCGGACTCAAGGACGACTTGAAGCTCGTCGGGAATCAGTATAGCACCGCCCTTGTCATCTTCTTCGTTCCGTACATCCTGTGCGAGATACCCTCGAATATCTTGCTGAAGAAGCTGAAACCGCACATCTGGCTGTCTATATGCATGACTTTGTTCGGTCTCGTCACCATGCTGCAAGGATTCGTCCAGAACTTTGGCGGTCTCATGGCGACGCGGTGGTTTCTTGGGGTCTTTGAAGCGGGCGAGTATATACGCGTCTGTGGGTTTCGCTGTGCTTACCCTAACCGATAGGCATGTTTCCGGGATGCTTTTACCTCTTGGCAATGTGGTATCGCAGAGAAGAGTCACAGAAGCGGTATACGTTCTTTTTCTGCTCGACGACTTTGGCTGGTGCGTTCGGTGGGTTGTTAGCCAGCGCCATTGGGAAAATGGATGGTGTAAGGGGTTATGGTGGGTGGAGATGGGTGTTCATCCTAGGCGAGTCGACGGTGCATTGGCATGATAGTGCAAGCTGAGCGACATTGTAGAGGGTCTTGCCACGGCTCTTTTCGGTATTGCGTGGTTCTTCTTGTTACCTGATTTCCCCGAAGAGGCGGAATTCCTGAGCAAGGAGGAGCGCGAGTTTGTCAAGAAGCGTCTGGCTGCCGACGTTGGTGCATCCGCTCATCAAGAGAAGGCAACATGGCGCGATAATCTAGCAGTTTTGACAGACTGTCAGTGTTTGTCTGCAACCCTTCTTGGAACCCGCTTATTCATTCATAAATAGACAAGATTATCATTGGGGGCTTCGCATATTTTGGCCTCATTGTTCCGGCGTACGGATACGCTTATTTTGCACCAACGATCATTAATCAATTAGGATACGGAAGTGCGTGTTGTGTTGCATTTTCGGTCTCAGAATTTTCTAATCAAACACCGTAACCCAGCTATTCAATCTCAGCTACATTCCGTTCCACCATGGGCGGCTGCGTTCGGCTTTGCTATGGCACTGGCCTTTATTTCTGACCGTTTACGCCACCGATGGTTCTTTACCTTCATCTCCGCTGCTGTCTGTCTCATCGGTTTCGCCATATTGTTGTCAGACCCGACGCGGCACAGTATCAAGTACGGCGCACTCTTTCTTGCCGCATCAGGTGCTTATACTTCAATGCCTATCATCATCGGGTGGTTCAACACCAATTTGGCGGGCCACACACGACGCGCTGTGGGTTCGGCGTGGCAGGTTTCCTTTGGTAACATTGGAGGTATCATTGCCTCTTTCTCATTTCCGACGGGGGATGGCCCGAAATACACGAAGGGATATGCGATTTGCCTGGCGTTTGTGTGCTTGAGCATGGTATCAAGTGCGGCCTATTTCGTTGCGATCATGGTCGAGAATAGAAGAAGAGCGAGAAGTATGCCGCCGGAAGTTACAGAGAAGGAGAGAGAAAGGCTTGGAGACCTCAATTATGACTATCGATACATGTATTGAGCTGAGTACCTAGAATGTCGGGATGCAACTGCAATACTATCTTGAGCAGTATCCTCCAATTAACGTGCCTCCTTGGTGTTTCCAATGTGCCGCACGACGTCCCGCGTGGACCGTCATGGTCTCTACCGATGTAGCATGCTCAACGTCTCCTTTGCCGCGCCACCGTCAATGATCTTGACCCGTGTCTTACCCCTCAGAATGACAGGCTTCAGGTAAGGAGCGCCCAGGAAGCCGATGATAGCCCCCGTCAATCCAGGGAAGCCGTTGTTGAGTAATCTCCCCATTCGTATCACTGTACGCATAGCTAAGCAGACATTCTCGAACGTGATGAAAAATACAGTGTCCTTCTCTCTGCAAACACCGTGAGCTAAAGAGAAAGCAACATGGAATGTCAGACACACCTTTGCCTGCGAGTCACCTGTGTTATGTTAGCCTGCTGCTCGAATATCTCGCGCATTTCTGGTACTGATTTGTCGCCATTAATGTTGAGGATCAGCGTGCGCGAGGCGCCTAGGCTGATCGCCGTAACGAGACTGCGCGTAATGGTGAATCGAGTCTCTTGTATCTCCAGCCCCACGCCCAATTCATCGGCTTTGGACTGGAATTGTTTCACAAATTGCTGCGCGGCGGTTGAGGTGGCAAATTCCAAGTGTAGCAACTACTTCGGATCATCAGATTATAAGAGACAGATAGGTTATCGTATTTACGTCTTTAGCAGGATGGAGCCCACAGAAAAGCAACGTCGGGGAGATAGCTTGCCACTCGTTTGTCCACTCCCGGCATGGAAGAGATTTCTCTGGGCCGGTCATGTTGGATACGATCACAGCACGTTTTACTTTCTGCTGGTGCTCTTCCTCGGGAGTGTACCAATCTGGAAAGTCGTAATCAGGTTCTTCGGCGTCGCGATAGGTCATTTTGGCGCCTTGCAACACTGGAGAGCGGAAGAAGTTTTCTTTTGCCTGTACAAAGTCATCAGTTAAAAGCAATAAAGTAGAAAAGAACACGCACGTCCATGGCCTGAGACAGACACATGAAACGGACGTCAAGCCGTGATGCGTTCTGGTCAAAGTGCCAAGACTCAAAATCCTGTCGATTGCCGAGTCGTTGAGGACACATGATAGCCTTGAGCTGCCGCTCGGGTACGCCCCGAGGTATGTGCTCAATTATACATGACCTTGATAGTCCTGTGTATCCAATCGCAGCTACGAGATAGGCAGCCAGGGATCTGTTTGTTCGCACGAGCCGTAAACTCAGTGCTGAGTCGTGATAATTTGCGATGCACTTTTCGGCACGCTTTTCACTAAGGCAGTTAATTAGGAGCCCACGGCCATAGTGTGCGGGAGATACTGTCTCTATCGGGTTGACCTTGAGTGTGGAAAGGATGCTACTGATATCGTCGAGGTAGTCCTTTGGAAGATTTCGGACGGAGATGGTACGGCTGGGTGAGAAGTTGCTATCTTCTTCTTGTGTGAATTGAACTTCAGATGTGATACCGGGAAGAGAGTGTAAGCGACGAAAAGTGAATCCTACATGTCGCACAGGCAGGCAGGAGGGAAAGAGTATCATGGCACTGGGAAAAATTTGTAAATACCCACGCCACGAACGCGCATCACGCCGGACCGGGTTTGCCGTATACGTGTTTCGACGGACAGTACTGTATAGACTTCTGAGCATAGATCTGTATCTGAAGTACATGAGTGTATATAGCCGCAACCGTACAAAATGTATCGATTGACCAGCCCGACCATTCCCTGTAAGCAATAGGCCCGTGCTAAGCGTAGCACACTTCATTCACTATCTGAATCGACCTATGTTTGTCCCTTAGTTCAAGTTCAATAGTACATGCCCTGAAACACTCACCACAATTTTTGCCCTTGCCTTCGTCGCAGCCGCTCTTGAGGACCGTCCCGCAGCGGGAGCAAAACTAAGTTGAGTTTGCTTCGCGGCCACCGGTGCCGCAGCCTTCTTCTTAGCCGGAGCTTTCTTCGCCGCAGCTTGGCTGAAATAACATGTTACGAACGACGAAATATCCTGGGGTTATAACACACACCTGAGTACTGCAGTCCTGTTTGTCTTCTTTGTGGGTTTTGGCGCTGGTTCTTCCTCATCTTCGTCGTCGTCATCGTCGTCGATCTCATCCGGCACCTCAATAACTTCATCCGAGTCACTCTAAAGAAAGGTTCACTTTGAAACGACGGCTTTGATGCAATACAAGTTTACGTACATCGATTTGTTTCTTTCCTCGACCTTTTGCAGGGGCTTTGGCGGGCGCCTTTTTGGCTGGTGCTTTTTTGGCTGGTGCTTTCTTCGCTGCTGACGCTTTCTTCGCAGGTGTTTTCTTCTTAGGTGCGGGTTCATCCGACTCGTCAAAGTCAGAGCCACCGCCGATGTTGCCTGTGTCTATCTCCATCATCATCGAATCTTCAGAGGGAGCATCGGAATCTTGTGCTCTCGCTTTTCCCTGCATTCGGAGATTGTTAAACAAATCCGGGTCAACAGAGAATCCGGAGCAGACCTTGGCTTTTGCTGACTTTGTCAGGCGCTGGCTTTCCTCATAGTCCTTCTCTTGTTGCTCCCTGACTTTCGTGAGCTTCAAGTCCAGTTAGCCTGAAAGTATGAAATTCGTTATGAAGAATATGCATACCACGTCGTCAAAGTCATCTTCGTCGATCTCTCCGTTCGCTTTAACATCCTTCATCATAGACTTGAGAACTTTGCCGACATGTCTAGAAAGTACGGATGAGCAAGTACAAATCATCGGAAACAACAAAAGTGCTACGATTGAATAGCATGCGTGTCGTCCTTTTCCACAAACATCTGTATGGCATCTGACATGCCATTCTCACCGAGTAACTGTGGCTCCTGGGCCGCAAGATATTCTTTCACCAACGTCGACACCCTCACCTTCTCCAACTTTTCTGATACGCTCATATTGGGATCATCTATACTTAGTTCTGGCTGGTCGATAGCCACCTTTGAGGCCCGAGTAGATTTCTTCGTCCGGTGGAAGACCAGCAAATCTCGCGGATTGGCTATCCGTCCTTGGAACTCCTGCCCAAAACGAATAGGGTTCGACATTTCGCTGACGCCAGTGGTGTCCACTTTGAGTCGGACAAGGGGAAGCATACGCGAGAGCTCTTCATCGCCTTCCTCGACTGCTCGCGCATTTCGTTCGTCCCACAGCGTGTTCGCTTGATCAATCAGAATGTTCACCTTGCTTTTGAGGAACTTGGTGATAGCCATTTGGTCATCCAGCTCGAAGCCTTCCTCTTCTGCGACTTCGCTCAGGACGACTTCTTCAATTACGAAGGGACGGATTGTCCGTAGAGGAATCGGGGACAGCTGGAAATCTTTGCCTTGGATTTTTAGTAGAGCAACATGTCTGTGGGGAGATCATGAGTTAAGGTAGACAGTAAATCCGGGCGGCCTACTTCTCCAGTGCCTCTCCGTCGGCAAGGGATGTTGCAACAGAGGAGCCAGGTTGAGTGATATAGTAGTCTTTGCCTGAAACTGGCTCTGGGACGATACGACAATCGTGCTCATGACCCCACACAACCAGATCTATGCTATCGTCAAACATACCCTCTGGAACGGACTCTTGAGGACCATGCTTGACGCTGAGAACACTGAGCAGAGAGGCATCGAGGAAACTGTCAATCATACCGATTTTGGTGCAAAAGCAGTATGTTAAACCATTCCTCCTTGTTTGTTGGCATGAACATGCGAACGCGGTTACTCCGAAGCTCAAAGTGCATTCTCTGGTCTTTAACGTTACCGATGCCGTACATCCCAAGATGTGTGTTTCCTTTTCGCAGAAGCACAGGACGAACAGCGATCCCCGTTGTTGGAGCTTCGGCGTCTGATACTGGGAGATCAATTTTGCCCATATAATTCAAAAGACCGGATACGGAGAGAACGTCCAAGGCACACAAAGCACCGGCCTAATTGTGATTTAGACGCAGGAAATATTGGGATATGCAAACTCACTGCACCAGCGCCCTGAGGATCATCATGGTTGCCGTGGATCGAAAATACCGGGATGCCGACGTTGAAGTTGGGATCTTCGTAGTTGATGGCAGGGAACCTGGCGCATGTCGGAGAGATTGGCAAGGAAATACTGTAAGGTGACGTACAAGAAACCATCCGCCTTTCCATCATCTGGATCGCTCATTAGTTCGACTTGGACCGGTTTATCACCCATAGTGTATTCGCGCAGCAGAGCTATGGTATTATACATGCAGCTTCGAGAAGGCTTGTTTTCGTGAAAGAGATCACCAGCGAGCAAAATAAAGTCAACCTGTATAATGTTTAGTTAATGAAAGCGAGGTGCAAGACAACCACGCGCGTCGTGTTTCACCGCCAGTTGCAGGATCTCCCGGAAGGTATTGATAGAGTCCTGACCACGAACGGGGTCCCGCTCTAGATATCCAATGTGATTGTCAGTTGCCAGCATAATCTTTATCGTATCGTCAGGGACTGTCAAAGACATCGTCAATACCGCCCTGCATTATCAACAACGACACCACCAACATTCATTCTGGATTCTCGTCGAGGGCCGCGGTGATCCTCTCTCCGAATCGTCTTCCATGATTTTTCTTGGATTCAAAAGCGTAAATCCCAGTGAAAGTTGAACGTTGACGTGCAAGAGGCAATTTTCAATTTCGGACGCGTCGCGTTGGTCCGGCTACTTCCCGGTTCCCGGAATTCCCACGATCACCACCAGGGCTACGCCGCAGGCAACTTGTCGTAAACTCTTTCCGACACCATCACTTTTTGTCGATGGACTGCTAATTTTGTTTCTCTACACTCACCTTCCAGTCCTTGCATTCGTTATCCTCCTCCCTTTCTGGTATTATCCTCGGTGGCCTTCTTGGTGGAAATAAAGAGCATTCCAATGAGCCCTCAAAATCCTGGAAAACCGGCCTCAAAAGGCCTCGTCGTATGTCTCTTTTTCAGGCGGTCGACTTTCTTCACAGTATTGAATATTTTGTGGATTTTCAGACGGGTGTTGTGGTTTTCTACCTCGTGGCCGCCTTGTCGGTGCGTACTCTTTCCGATTAATTTGCTCCTAGCTGATAATGTCTTCGGTAGATGGTAATGGCGTGCGTGCCTTTCGTTCACCCCTTATTTTGCTGTACCTCACTTTGCCTACAGTAACAAATGGGTCCTCAACACGACAGAAACGCCCCTCTTTTTCCTACAAATGCAGCTCATGATCGCCGTCATCCTGTTTTTGGTTTCCGACACGATGCGGTTCCTTCCGGATAAGCTTACCTTTGATCTCAAAACATGCAGGGGACTGGTGCCGATGGTAGGCTTAAATGTTATTGGTCTCAGGAAAGTTTAGGCCTTTATGCATCTCATTTATGCTCACCTCCTTCCAGCTTCAGCAACTACACACTCAAATACGTCGATGCTTCCTTCTACCAAGTGGCTCGGGGTCTTGTTTTGCCGTTTACCGTCGGGACGTCCTTTATCGTTTTGCACTCTAGGCCATCGCTTCGCATAATCCTAGCATGTGTCGGTGTCACCCTCGGCTTTTTCGTCGGCGTTTTTCTCGACGGAACCCACGTATCCCTTGTGGGAGTATTCTTTGGTGTCGTCAGCTCCGTGATCACAGCTACGCATTCCGTTGTCATCAAGCAGAGTCTGAGTGTTGTCAATGGCAGTGCCTTGTTGCTATCGTGGTACACCAATCTTCTCAGCGCAATTGTATTGGTACCTATCATCATTCTGGCTGGTGAAGTGCCAGGGGTGATAAAGCTGCTGTTCGGAGTTGATGAGCTTGTGCGGTCGGCGGGTACGATGAGTGCTCTAGAAACATTCCTATGGGGTTCCGCAATTACTGTAAGGAGCGCACAAGATATTGCCGATTATCAGTCTGACCGTTTCATGTACAGGGCATTCTAGGCTTCCTGATGAGCATTGCCAGCCTGCTGTCTATCAAGGTTACCTCGCCTATTACCCACATGATTTCTTCCGCAGTCCGGGGCGTTGCTGCATCGCTCTTGGGAATGTGGCTGTTCCACGACATAATTACGACGTGAGTACAGCTGCGTATATCTACAAGGGTTTTATTCTAATCACAGTTAAATAGTGGCCGCGCATCTTCTATTGCCATTATCCTTTTTGGATCACTCTACTATACATGGGTCAAGCACCAGGAGTCTCAGCCCGCCATTTCAAAGGAGTACGACCGTGTTCCCATGGATGATGTTGAAGCAGGTCTCAGAAAAGAAAATCCCAAACCAGAGTAGTCTCAATATTAGGTATACCTAGTTTCTTGCACACTGGATCGCGCATAGAAGGTCGTTTAGATGGTATCATATAGACCTACTTATTTAAATCAGTAATGGGATTGAGGAGGGTATTGCCTTCTCGGCAAAATAGGCGCAAATGGACCGGAGGCTATATGTAGCCGGGGCTTTTCATCTATTTTGTTCCTTCACCATCGATGCAGCAGTCGTGTTGCACTTGACACTTGGGTACGTCAATTGTTCGAGTAACGGAGCGGTGGTAGATGGAAGATAGGAATAATTTCGGTCTGGCCGAAAGGGTTCCCTCGTTTCCCGCAAAGCTTGGTAGACTGCTGTATGCTTCACAGAGCAGTCTAGCTGGGAAATGAACAGCTTATCGTACTTTCCGTACCAATAGCAATACAGCTCAGTGAGTGAATTTAGCTGTAGTCCCTAAAATACAGTTAGTTGTATCAAAGGTGGTTGAACTCTTTCTCCCATGTCGGCCATCGCCAAACGGTTCTTGTCGACCGTCACAATCAAGTCGGCACCGTCCAAGGCTCACCACCACCAGCCTCTGCCTTCGACAACGTTACCTGCGGGATATCTCCTTACTGGCATCCATGCAGGCATTAAAAAGGTCCCTGGAACGCCTGATGTAGGCATCATACTCTCGACATCGACTCGTCCAACGTCAGCAGCAGCCTGTTTCACCCGAAATGCCTTCAAAGCCGCACCAGTCGTCGTTTCTCAGGAAGTTCTTAACAAAAATGGTGGTAGGGCACGGGCTGTCGTCGTCAACAGTGGCTGCGCCAACGCGGTAACGGGGAAGCAAGGGCTAGAGGATGCATGGACGATGGTCAAGGAAACCAACTCGCTCCTCTCCTCCCACCCAGATTTTGATAATGACACGCTCGTCATGTCGACAGGCGTCATTGGCCAGAACCTTCCCATTTCCAAAATCGTCTCCGCTATTCGTTCCCAGCACGCTGACCAGCCCTCTACACGCTCATTGGACAGCGATTTCGATGCCTGGGAGCGTGCTACAAGGGCTTTCATGACGACGGACACGTTTCCAAAGCTTCGATCCCGTGTTTTCACCATAAAAGGGGTACAATACCGAATGGCAGGAATGGACAAGGGTGCTGGGATGATTCATCCTGACATGGGCCCTCCGGTAGGCTCACAGCTCCACGCGACGCTCCTTGGGTGCATCATGACAGACGCAGCTGTCTCTCCGCGGAGCCTGCAGAACGCGTTGACTTACGCTGTCGACCGAAGCTTCAACTCCATCAGCGTTGACGGGGATATGTCTACTAATGATACGATTCTGGCCCTTGCTAACGGTGCTGCTGCTTCGGATGGTACTGGAAATTATGCAGATGAGATCGATGAGGAGACAGACAAAGTGTCTTATGAGGACTTCAAGCAAGAGTTGACTGCGTTCGCGATTGATCTGGCCAAGTTGGTCGTTAGAGACGGCGAAGGCGCCACCAAGTTTGTCACGGTGACTGTCAAGGTATGGGCGTACATGCCAATCTCTACTCTTTGGTTGACGAGTAAGACAGGGTGCAGCGACATATGAAGATGCACACAAGATTGCCTCTCGAATATCGACTTCTGCTCTTGTCAAGACCGCACTCTACGGTGAAGACGCCAAGTAAGCTTTCTTCATCTCACTGACGCAGTCGCATTTAACACCGCATATACAGCTGGGGTCGTATCCTTGCAGCAACAGGCTCCGTGCCATTGACAGTTCCTCTCGACCCTCAAAAAGTCAGCGTATCCTTCATTCCCTCCGATGGTACCTCAGCTCTTCCCGTCCTCGTCAACGGTGAGCCGGAGAATGTTGATGAGGAGAGGGCCAGCGAGATTCTAGGTCTGGAAGATTTTGAATTGTGTGTAGAGCTTGGAGGACTGGGGACAGAGGAAGCAAAATATTGGACTTGCGATTTCAGCTATGTGAGTGGAAGTGATTTACGGTGCTGCAGCTACTGACCATCTTGATAGGAATATGTTAGAATAAATGGTGATTACCGCTCATGATAGACAGGGTGTAGGAGGTGATGGGCTGCTCGACAATTTGACCTTTGTATATATCAGACTACTCCTCAACATGTGAGGATGTAAGCGAACAATCCATCGCTACAGAGCCATATACCTCTCACGATGTACCTCATGCTATCATTACAATCAGCAGAATGGTTGTAACGAGAAGACGGCCCACTGACAAGAACGTCCAAGTCGAATTTCCATCTTATGCTCTAATGCATATGGCGCATATATAACTCAAATTATTTATCTTCCGCTGTTGGTACTGAAGTCACGTTCGACTGATGACTGTTCTTGGTTACGGTTTCATCGTTTTCATTTTCATAGCCGACGGCATTCACCGGAGCCCAGCCGATTATTTTCCACGCCGTGACGCGACACAATCACAAGAGCGCTCTGTTCACGCACTGTCTACCGCACCACGACGGTATTGTAGGGGACTCTATCAAGCATGGACAACTCCACTCACCTTATTGTATGTTTATATTTAGCACATAGTCTATGAATATTTAAGTAGTGACATGTAGAGGGTTAAACCTCAGCTTTGGACTAAAGTCTAATCTATCCTGACCTACACCTGAACTCCTTGAATCTACTTGGGTTAACCATGGAACCTTCCCCCTCAAACACCTTGCTCACTGAGCAACCTCATTCCAAGCCTAGACATCAACACAGTACCATTCCTGGCACCAGCCACACAGACCAACAAAGGAAAGGTGCTGGAACACAAACTGAAAACCCCAACACCTGCAGATCAGGTACAGATCGACTATCTCAGAAGGATCACCACCCTCAGGGAATCACTGCCAAACCCCAGACCCAGACCTCTGACCCCCAGACCATCACAGTACTGGAAGCAATCCCTATAACACCCCAGAATGTCACTTCACTACAACCCAGCCTACAAACCACAGACATGGAGTCCACCCTTAGCACAGGAGAGAAGAAAGAAGCTCTCGAAGGAGAATTCAGAAGAATATGGAAAGAGAGTCTAACAGCTCTAGAGAGGGAGACTAGTTGGAAGATGACAGAACTTGGGTGACAATACGACGCTGCCCCGGAAGAAGAAAAAGAAAACTTCTTCTATTACCTAGTACACCGACATGCAACATACACATTCAACCAGATGTATCCCACATACCAAAGACCCAGACTGAGCTCCTATCAATCCAGGTGGGAGCTCAAACCCATGCCAATCGAACCACCACCTCGGTCTGAAACGCCAAACCTCTGGGCAGCCGGACTGTCCCTCCAAGCTGCCCAAGACCTTGCCACTCCATCCCCTGCCAGATATGCACCACTGGCATCGCCACCCATAGGACCCCATCACAACCGACTCCTCCGATCCCTTCCACAACCAACAGCCCTGACACTACCACCAGTGATGAGAATGCCTCCCCCAAACACCCTGCCCACATGACAACCCACCTCCATGGACCCCTGGTCCAACCTCAAACCCACCATCATCCGAGAACCTGAACCATTTAAGGGTGCCAGTGATGACCTCTCGCGCTTCTTCGACCGGTGCGAGATGTATTTCGAGGTCTTCCCAGCATACTTCACACTCAACACTCAAGGTTTCAGCCTCCACCGCATCACCTTCTGCACATCACGATTCGAAGGACCCGCTCGCATCTGGTGGGACCTCCAATGCCTCCGGATGTATGACGAAATCGGCAACCACCGGAGATACCCATCATACCACAACTTCAAACGAACCGTGCAGGAACGATTCAGAGATGAAGCTGAAGCTAGGCTCCTCAAAATCAAGTGGGAAGGACTCCGGCAATCAAATTTCAAGAATGCCAAGGACTTCTTCCAAGAGTTCGGAAAACTCGCATACCAAGCTGAGGTGTATGACGATGAGAGAGCAATGTATAATCAGGTGGAAAAGGCGATCCGAAGCTCCGTCAGGAAAACGGTAATGCACGGGGACAACGATGCTCCGACCACCTATGCCGAGTGGAAACGACGAGTCCTCCACATGGACTACAACTTCCGGCTCAACCAGGCCCACAAGATGAGCCAACGCCATGGTAATCGTTCCACTGCCAAAACCCCTAATATAACCACCACCACGTACAGAGGACAGGGACAGCCGATGGACATAGACCGGCTGAAGCACGAAGGAAAGTGCTTCAGCTGTGGAGAGGTGGGCCATCTAAGGAAGGACTGCCCGAAGAGGAACAAGCAAAAGTGGGGAAGAGCATAAGTATGAGTGCTAATCCCAGAAGCGCTGAAGGAGGAGCTGACAGAATCAAAGATTGAGGAAGTGAAGGAAACACCGGAGGAGGTAAAAGAGACGCTGGAGTAGTTGGTTCAACTTCTTCGGCAGAACATTCAGATTCGAAGATGGACTTATCTGTTGACTGGACTAAATATGCATCTGTAGGTAGCCACACCAATACCACTGCATTTAACTGGTCTTTGATCGATAAAAAAAAACCGAACCACTAAAGACTCAAACATCCTCAAACCGGGCTGAACAGGGCGAGAGATGCCCAAAGGTAACAACTAAGCCTGGAGGGAACCCCCCGAAACCCGGCACGTACCCAATAGGATGGTTGAAGCCTTTCTCAGCTGAGTGGACACTAAGGAAGTTACGGGAGGAAAAGATGATGGAAGGAAAGGTGGCGGTGCTGAAGGATTGGACACCTGAAAAGGATGATCGAGGTAAATGAGGAACTGGTCCTTGAAGTCAACAGACCAACAGAAATCACATGAGAAAACTGGGAACATCAGCTTGCATGGCTGTATGAACTCCAGTCGGTACCCAAGGAGATCCACGGACGAGCTTGTCAGCTTTCAGATTTTGTAGACCATCAAGAATGCATACCCACAGAAGTATTGATGTCGGATGTAATTGCGGAGGTGATTCTGCACTTTCCGGCTGGAGAAATGTCAGTGCAGCTTTTATAGCTTTATAGATATCGTTGATGTAAGGTCTTGACCAAGAATATGAAGTGCTGAGTCATCCAAGGACGCCAACGACCTCAGGAATAGACAGCGACTTGGCTACTTGGACCACAGGGATTATATAGTTAAACCAGAATTGTATTGAAACCTTTGCAAGATGGATAGCCTCAAGAAGATGTATGGAATTTTGGTGGAGATAACTGATGATGCTGAGTAAGAGGAGTTCAATCATTGAAGGACATGCGGAAAAAGGCTCGGCAGACGTAGATACCTGCCAGGATGACTCAGCTAAAGGACAAGGAAGAGGTTATCGAAGCCAGATGAATGGATTTAAGGGGAAATGTAGGAATCCTGGTGATGCCTTAGTCAGATCAATCCTCGAACTTGTTGAATGCTGAGTGAGCGTCGTTCTTCGAGAGTCGAGTCGCCTTGGAAAGCATATAAGCAGAGAAGGTCCAGTTGTGATGCGTCGATCCCAAAGGCTGCGCCGTCTCCAGAGTAATAGGAAAATAAGAGCGACAGTCTCTTCAGGATCCTTATACTATCAGTATAAGGCGTGACACCAGGCTTGGTAGTAAGTAAAAGTACGCGTTCGACAGGGGCGGTCCGAATTGTCGACGCGATCCTTCGGTTCGGCAGATGCGGCAGGCCACATGCCTAAGGTCATTCCTTTTCGGATTCTCGCTACCTTGGTAGTGGGTTATGGATAAAATGCTACTTGAGGCACAAAGCAGCCTGCCAGCCAACTGGTGGACCCCTATTATTTCTGATAACAACATTCGATTTACAACTGCAGATACAGTTCATCAATCTCCATCGCATGAGACGAAGTCATCTCCAGAAGCTCCGGTGTGCGTGATGACACTAGGAATAAGGTTATTGGCTCTACGCCACTTGGAGAAAGATGTTGATGAAGACACATACGCGCAATAAACACCATTATCAGAGAAAACTACCCGGTCTGCACCTGGAGAGCCGCCATCATACAGCCCACTCTTGAGGATGGGGAACTATCTGACGTTAATATCACATTTCGGAACCGGACTCTCACACACCTCATTGTAAGTCGACTCGCCAGAGCACCACATGTCAAGACCTTCATAGTCGTGGAACGCATGAGGGTAGCTGTCTGTGGGACGCTGTTAGACTGGCCGGTGAAGACCCAAGCTCGACTTACCGCTCCCAATTGGGTCGTCGACCAGGGAGTATCCGTGTGATACAGCCTTTTTGACGGCGGAAACGCTGTAGGTGTTGCTACCGCAAGTAACGGAGCCAGATGGCCACGCGTGTCGCGTAAGGGCGGACATCGCGAGGGCTAGGAGAGAGGAGAGGAAAGACTGTTGGACCATGGTGGACGGTTTCGAAGGAGCACAGCAGGATATGCGTAACCAGGCCCAGTATATATATCCACGACATGCGGAGCCAATATCAGGTTCAAAGAAGGAGATCAATATGTTGGCAATGCAGAAGAATATTGACAATGTGGCTCAGGAAGTGACATTACGTGTACACCATATGTTCATTTGCACAGATACCATTTGGCCTAGAAATCCATCAAGAACTGTTACGTTTTAGCAGTTCAACCAAAATGTAATAACATGGAACACACAGATAATGTGTCGGCAATTAGTAGCCGAGCCCACGGCCCGAATGACAGCGCAGCACGAAGACGAAGGTGGAGACCCGCTTCTTGTTATGCCAACGGTCTCGGTTTGATGGCTGCTATATAAATAACTTCTATGTTCCCAGGTTTGACGAACGTTCGAATTAATCCGCTCGCGAAGCTCTCACGGACGACGCGTCCCCTACAACCGCTTGACTGCACAGCAACAGTAGCTTAGCTCCCGAATGACACAGATTGTCAACACCATCGACTCATTCCTCTCATCCTCCGTCGACGCGTCTGAGGCGGCCCAACGGCTAACAGCCTCAATAGAGGCAGATCTTACCGAGACGTCCGATGACTATTCGGCCAGCTCCATCTTCGACGAGAGACTATCGTATCCGCATGGCAGCACAACGACCATCCACGGCAACATAAGCCAGTGGCGTCCGTCGCACATGTTCAAACAACCAAGTCATCCAAGCCAGATTGAACCTCGGTTAATCCACTAGGACTGATTGTAAGGGTGCTGTAGAACGGTGTCCTGGAGAAGAACACGACAGACATGGGCGAGCCTGAACGCTTTTGTGGCACGTCTGACCATGGCCGAAATCACGGATTTCGACAATTATGGTGTTTGGGTGATGGGATATGCACCGGAGGATGATACAGTGGCGTCCAACCCGGAGGTGACAGGAAAGGTGCGAGGGAGAACTCAACCTAGAGGACCTTGATTCGATGTCCCTGAAGCAGCCGTTTGGGTGATATATGCAGGTAGGCGGATATGAGCACTCGCACAGAAAGGAGGAGAGGGGCCTAGAGCGACGAGAGTTGGCCCAGGTGAGAGGTACTCCCAGCTATTGCATGGAGAGATGGAACCTCTGGAAAGAAAGATTCCAATCTTCGATGGGGAGCCTGGATCTGAATGCTCAGACTAGAGAGATGTCGAAGAAAGCTCACGCGATCATGATAAATCTCGACAGCGGTACCGCGCAGAGATGATTTCTTCGGTCCTTGTCACTGCTAGCGTTAGTCGAACTTGTTGGTAATTCTTTAGCCATGGCTTCCAAAAGTCGCTCCGTTGCGCCCTGATTTAGATGTCTCGGTCCGATCGTCCAGTCGTTGCATCCACTGGAGTCAATTGACAGTACCAACATGAAAGGAGACGAGTAGTATTCATTTCGCGATGCCGTACAGAGCAAGAAAGCTGGGACGAAACATGATAATAGATCCTGTCCTGACACGGACGGATTGCAGGAAATAAGCAAGGTTCACTGTCGAAAGAACGTAGAACACACCAAAATTATGCAAAATACAGGGTAGCACAGCGGCTTTCAAACTGAGAGCAACCCAGAACGACTCCGGTACCAGTAGATCACCTAACCACCATGCAGCGTCGAGATGAACACGATTTCATCGTTGTTCTGCAGGATATAATCTCCTTCTCCCTCCAGTTCCCAGTCAGTGTCATTAATGAGAACCAGTATCCCTGGCCTCCTAAACAAGTCTGAGGATCGATCCGAGAAGCAGAAACAGAAGCTTACACTGTATCTTTCTCCATGAACAGCTCTTTTCTCTCTTTTAATAGGTTGTCGCGTAGATGATGAATCAGATAGTCAATATCTGCAGGCTTCCCTACACTGTTCTTGGAAATATTGGCGGGTATTTTGAGTTTATGAGATCTTTGATTAGAGAAGAGCAACTCGAGACCGCCACCAAATTCCACTCGTATTGCTAGAAAGTTTTCAGAGTTCGACATTGTGATCAGGGTCGAAGAGGAAACAGCCACAGTCGGCTACTTATTTCATTTTAATCTCCGATTGAAACAGGGCAGCCCATGATCTCGACGGACGTTCTCAATCTACGATTATTTTTTACTCCCTGGACTCGCATACCCACTCACCAGCTCATGAATGAGCGAAAATTAGCTTTTTATATAAACTGGTGGGTTCCAATCGAATCAGCAAGAAATTACTGAGAACACGGACTAGTCAATACTTGCTCTTGTGCAAGTATCAAATTCATCTTTATTTCCGCTACACTTGTTATTTCCGTGAAGACCGCTTTCCGATACCTGCTGCTACATCACGCAGCACTTAGAGATTTTTGGGCCGTAACTGGGTCAGCGGTTATATCAGGATATCACAACAAGCCGCACAATAACTCAGGACTGCCTAAACCAGGGGAGAGTGTCGTTAATCCCCGCCATAAACGTAGCAGACGGCGACGCTTCCCCCTCCTGCGTTCAGCTTATCAGTAGATGCCCGCTTCCCTTTTTTTGCATCATGTCTTGGGAGGCGTGTTGGTCACCTCAAGGACCATTGCTGGATGTGCTTTCGTCGACTTTCATCATGACATGGTACTAATTATATTTCATCTGATATAATGTCCATAGGGCCCGCTACCTGGGGAAATCGAAGTTAAAAATGAAAACTATACGCAAGACGAACAGTGGTAAGGTCCTTTAATGTTACAATTATGAAAGGCATCTCAAGCTTCGCCTAGATACCCACGTTGATGGGGATGCAGCCTAGAGCAACAAGGCCATTCTAGTCCGGTCAGTTTCTATGATTCTCAGAGATACGGGCAATACTCACGTAGTTATTTCCCGTGCAGCAGACGGGTTGATTAACATACTGGGTGGTGCCAAGGCCAACCACCGCAATGGGGTTGCATGTGAGGCCACTTTGGCATACGTCAGCATAATGAGGACCAAAAGCAAGAAATTTACCTTACACTTGACCGGTAATGCCTCCAATCGGGATATTCAGAAGACCCAGGAGGGTCTGAACTGTCGAGGACAGGTTATTTATTGTTCGTGAGTAAGCGCTTCTTCCATAGAGCAAAAGACTTTGAACTTATGCTCTGGATGCACTTGCAGCACTTGAGGGTACCGGTGCTGCAACTGCCTCCTGTGACGGTGGTAGCTGGAAGCGCACTGACCATGGCAGCCACGGAAACAGCGAAGAGGGTGAAGATACGAGGGAACATTGTATGCTGATGGGACGTAAACTGTAGTGTTTAACTTGTTGATACTAATGACCGACTCCTAGTCCATTTTATACCCTCAGGATCGCTTGTTCGCTCCGTCGAGGAAACAAAAATATCTTAACTCGACAGTTGACCGACTGAACGTTTGGGCCGCCCTGACGAGAACGACGGGCACGCAGCATTCTCAAACGCAAATAGTCACAATATGTGGTATATTCCCTTGAAGTTAGCCAAAGTTCACAATGGACGTACCGGCGGAACTGACGATACGCAACTGACACTCATCTTGTCTATTTATCACTTACGGTTCTTTTCTTCGGAGGCCCCTCAAGCTTGTACATACTAGATATATAACGATGCAGCCTTTCGAGGGACCTGAGGTTCTTGTTAAATATCGATAACAAACTTGACGTTGAACTAAAATATGTATAGATATTGTAACCACCGTCCTGAAGTTGCGCTCTTGGATACGCATGACCACGAACAGACACCGGCCCGGGGAAAAAGCTAAGAAGTTTGCGGCAACATCCGAGCAATCGCAGCCTCCGACCTTAACGTCCAACAGAACAAGAGCGCTTTTTAGTATATCTTTTGACGCTGTATGGACGGTATGACTCGTGATTTTATTTGTAGTTCTTGTTGACCCTTTATGCTGCAGATGGCAAACAAGAGAGTGCCCCATTGCCCCGACTGTGGCGTCGCCACTCCCAAAAAGCTGCGGTTCACCGATGCGCCGTCTCCATTTCGTGACCTAATCGCCGTCAATGGTATTGCGTCCAGGTCTGAAGTTGAATATTACCTCCAGGGGGTGCACAACGATATCTCTGCTCAGGACGACACTATCAGGCGTATCAAAGCTGCTCTCACTGAGGCCGAGAACGAAAGAAAGCGTCTTCAGTGGCTTGCGGACAGCCACATCGCCCTCACGTCAGCTTTCCGCAAATTTCCTCCGGAGATTCTCACCCAGATCTTCCATTTGGTGGTCGCATCTCCACCTGGCGAACGCCCCGATGGCATAAAGCAAGTTTTCAAGGGTCTTTGGAACATTGGAGCGGTTTGCCGACTTTGGAGATCCATAGTGCTAGCGAATCCATCTTTATGGGCCTCTTTCACGATTGAGGATAGCGGTAGCAGGAGCTTAGTGTCTTTGTTGGATACATTGCTGGACCGATCTTGCGAGGTCGGAATGACCATCGCAATTCGGGGGAGCATCTGGCGAGAGAAACATGTCCTGGAACGTGCGTTTTGTACAAGCCATCGATGGAAGCGCGCATGGATTGAATTTTCCTACATGGATGAAGTTTCTTATGACCAGATTCGTGGCCGGCTTCCACTACTGGAGCAGCTCAGTCTGTCTGCGATGATGTTTGCCGAGGCGTTTTCGTGGGGGGATTTTCGCGTATTTGAGGATGCTCCGCGGTTGCGGGAAGTGGTTCTAGGTGCAGGCATACCGCCTGCATGGCGGTTACTTCTTCCTTGGTCCCAGATTACCAGTCTTTGCATGTGTCATAGCGTTGAGGTTGCTGACCTTCGCGCAGTTCTCTCCATTGCTCCTAACCTACAATCCCTATCTTTTCAACGGATCTACGGTCTTGACGATGACTGGGAGCCAAAAAGTGAAGAAGACATCGTTACATGCGTATCTTTACAAAATATCAAGGTCCACGAAGCAGCGTTGTTTCGAACGGTTAATCTTCCTTCTGTGCAAGGAATTGATCTGGAAATTTCCGAGGACTCGCTTGATGGCGTGAATGATGAAAAAACATGGGTGGATATCTTCCATGCTTTTCTTAATCGTTCCGGCTCTCCATTAAAGAAGCTGAGGCTACAGATTAACGAAGTTTACTCCAATTTCGAAAGGATGCTTAACAGTGTCTTCAGGCTCACACACCTAGACATCACGCTATCTTCTTTGTCCGCGGCGACAATGTTATTCCAGATGCTTGTTTTGAAGGAGGATAAGACCAATGTCCTTCCTCAGCTCCAATGTCTGAAAGCGAAGGCGGCCGAGGTTAAGGAACCAGATACATTTTTAAAAGAGATCAATCTTGGGGAAAACATCGTTGATATGCTCGTGTCCCGATATCGCCAGCTGCCTAATTCATCTTTGACTGTGCTACAGTCAGCTCACATTGACCTACCATGCATTCCGACACTCTTTTGGATGCATCTTCGAGCCCGTGAGGAGAATTCCCCTGGCTTTCAAAACCTTATTTCGACTACAAGTGAAAACGGCCGTAAGTCCTGACATTGCTTCGGTGACAAACTGAAATCTCACTCCTCGAATTCTTAGGTTTTTTAATTTGTATGGGTCGAACAAGCAGGCTCGTTACAAACTATTCCTGACCTCATCAGAAGACCTATTTTTGTCCGATATTCTTCAATTCTTCAGTGATATATTTCCTGAGGCTGCTGGCTGGCCTGATGGTTCCCATGAGGCATAAGGTGTCCTCAGCCGTTCAGAGACATGTACATTTTCTCTTATCTATCTCGTCTGTGTGTTTCAGTATCTTATGCTCATTAGTACCTCGATAGGCTCGTCCGATGTATTCTGTATCCGCTCTACATGTAACTATTGGGTTATAAAAATAACTCCTTCGCAACGTTAGCATGAAGACAGGACTTCAATTAATAATTAATATATGGTCGTGTCTTTATGATATTTTTGTGCGCTGAAGAGAGCACAGGATGAAAGGAATCGCCTCCAGGGCATCTTCGACAGTCACGTAGCGCTCAGGTCCCCCTTCGCAGATTCCCCCCAGAGGTCCTCACCGAGATCTTCCACTGGATCATCTCCCCAATTGGCGCAGTTTGTCGCTTGTGGAGGGCCACGATGTTATCAAGATATCTCTTTGGGCTTATTTCTTTGTTAAACAAGGGCAACAAGGACTTGCCAATGCCCTTCAAGTTGTTACAAACCGTGCTGGATCGCTCATGCGAGGCTAGTTTGAGCATTGGCTGCCATGTTATGCTTGATGTGGGTATAGAGGAGGAACACGCTTTACTCGAGCGTATGCTTGCCACAAGCCAACGATGGAAACATGCGTGGATGGAGCTCGTCGAGAGCAATGTGGACATTTATGCACAGATTCGGGGCTGGCTTCGCAGGCTGGGGCGTCTGGAGCTTTCTGGTGATTAATCATGGAGTGATGAGTCCTGGGACAGCGCAAGTTTGGAGGACGCGCCTCAATTACGAGCACTTGTTCTGGCCCCGGTGTGCCATCTCCCCAAATCTTGGTCCTTCATTGGTCCCAGCCTCGATATAGCTCATGTCATTTACGCTGATGACCTCGGCGTTTTGCTTTCCATGAACTGCTGAGCCTGGGCAACCAACAAACTGACGGCCGCACCGATTTTCGGGAGCCAGATAAGTTGGAAGACATTGTTACATGTCCATCTTTGCGATGTGTCCATGTCTGGGAACTGGCGTTGTTCCGAGCCTTCAACTTGCCTTCCTTGGAAGAACTCACCGTCGAACTTTTCGGGGAGGCCCGGCAATGCGGAAGATACTTTTCACGATTTCTTGGAACGTTCCAGTTCTCCCATAAAAAAGCTGAAACTTGCACTTAATACCCATTACATCGATTTTACCAGAACATTTGACATGGCATTTAGGGTCACGCAGTTGGACATTGCACTACCTTCTCCAATCGCAGCGATATCCTTCTTCCGTGCCCTCGTCCCTATAAGGGATGGGAATGGTGTCCTTCCTGAACTGCAGTCTCTGAAAGCGAACTATTCCCGCAAAAACTCTCGTAGACACCATTGCCGATATGCTTGTATTCCGATACCGCGCACTTAGCACAGCTCAGATACATATTACATTACCACGCCTCTCGATAATAGTCGAATGTCTCTTCGCACTCGTTTGGAGGACGTATCAGACTTGCCTGACCATTTTTCAACTAAAGATGAAAAAGGCAGTAAGTCTAATCATCGTGACGGTGGTCAAACAACTCGTCCTGTCATTAGGCACTTTGATTTGTATGGTTAGGGCTTCCGGCTGAGATTCCTCATCTTGCCGCTGCAGGTGTCATAGGGAAGTTATGAAGCAGGTCGTTTTCCTTGTTTCCTCAAACGCCGCCCCCAGATAGCCACTAATTCTTCCCATGCTTTCCTCAGTCGTTAACAGAGCTGATGTATAATTTCATTATGGGCCGATCTAAATCGAACTGTCTGGATATGTTTCCAAGCTCATCTTGGGGACGTATTGGATTTTTGCGTGCCCTTTCACTGACAATTTATCTTCTGTCAATGATTTGATAAATGCGCTCTACCGAAGATGAGGTACATATTCCGACATTTACGTTTCATGACCCGCCTATGATGTCATGGGGCATTAACAACGACGTCACCGTTCAATACCTTCCTCTACCAATCTACACGATGGAAGGTCTACCTATCGACATGTCGCATCCGGCAGTGCGAGAATATCTCTCTCTAGTGAGGTAAGCTGCGGAAAAAAACTTTACTCAAGGCCGTTGTTCGACTTGATTTTCTAGACTCCAAGTTCTAACGCCACTCTCACTGTTGATCAACGTCGCAACTGTAATAGTGTGCTCAGTCGTCGTTCATCCTTCTGTAGGCACGTCTCTGTAACAAAATAATGGAGGTTCACTCTGCTGACATCCTGAGGCAGGCGAAATATCCAAGTTGTATCCTACAGTCATCTCTCCAAGACCGTCCGTGATTGCGGCATATGTCATCGCAATATATGTAGCTCAGATTGGCTATTGCATACTTCTTGTACTCGTGGGGAAACCGGAGACGAAAAAGACTCTGATAAAGGGCTCCGGATTCTCGCTTGTCTTGTCAAATTGGGTCATGGCACTGTGGGCCATAACATGGGTATGTCTGTCCCATTGTTTAGTATGTTGCTCAGTTCGACTTTCTTGAATAGACAGTGCAATGGTTTCTGCTGTCCACTATTCTTCAGGGCATCCTCCTGCTTCTGTTGCTATATTCCAATGTCGTTCTTCTAATCTACCATCTGCCCACTGCTAAACGCCCATTTGACACGATGCTCATTCATGCGCCGATGCGATTCTTTCTTGTTCTTCAAATTGGGCTGATGTTTCCTCTTAGTCTTTTGTACGTAGTATGTTATATGCCTACCATATATGCTAACCTTTCCAAGCGTGACGCTCGGGCTTGTACAAACTCCGACTACGCCAGGACCCCCGATAGACCCCAACGCGTACCAGTGGGCCGGGTTTGGTGTGGTTCTTGGGACAAATATTCTCGGCCTTTTGGTCGTCGTGCTCCGCCGCGACATAGTCTGGTGTGTAGCAGCCACATGGATATGCATTAGTATCTGGTCTTTACGACCTAAACCGGCGCCTGTTTATGTGAGTCATGGCATATTTTTCTAGCGATGTCTTTCCTCATGATGTCACCAAGATAACTGCCATCTTGTTTACGGCATTTCATCCCCTCGGACTCTTAGCTTCTATGATCTATTCTCAGGTCTACAGGCCTTCCCGCATTTCACTGCCGGGCGATGAACATCCCGGGCTACATCCCAACAGGAGAGGCTGCAGTAGCGGCAATCAAAATCACCGAGAAGATCGAGCAGCACGAGAAGTTGACGAGGAGGCGGTTTGGGGCTAGATTATCTATTTCAACGATTGGTCTACAATATGGTCCGTATATATTCGTTTTCGGTGGGTGCAATCTAACTACCGGTTCATGTTACAAACGCCCTCGGTCCAGCAGGGCCCGGGGACCAAAGTATTCGGAATTTGTCGACGGAATTTCAGCAATGGCTTATTGGTTACCATGGAATGGCGTATTGCTTTCCAATAAATGTAATACTAGACGGTTTGATTAGAGCTCGAGAAATTAATTTCAGCCGTCTGCTCGAAGTACCACTCTCGACAGTCACTTCGGTTTTCGCTGCTCTATTAGCGAAATGGATGATCCTCTCGGTGCGATCATCATCCATGATTATCGTGAAGAACTGAAACAACAGGTTGTCACTTGGAAATACACCTTGCAACAGCTGGTTGTCGAGAAGAGCCCATTCCAATCAATCACCAAAGCTTGCGAAGGAGTACTCAAGTGACCCGCAGATTTCCCAACTTTGTGTAGGCCTGGGGTCCTGGTACTTAATCGTTCAGCCCCACCGCAATCTGTCTTCAGTTGTACGCGGCTTCGCAGCGTCTAAATGCATGTAGGGAAGTCGGTTTGAGCGCGCAGCTAGCAGGAAGTGATTGAAGACCGCCCCTATTAGTGTTAGCGACCAACTACCACCTCCAGACCACAGTGCAAGGTCGTGCCTCGCGTTCGGGCATGCGACCAAGTGGGGATCTGGAGTGTCGCCGTCCACTGTGCAATCAGTCGTCTGACTTGGAGTCAAGCCCTTAGGTAGATGGGAGAATAAACCGTAGTTCGAGACTGGGGCTTAAGGCCACAGTCGAGCTCCCTTATATACAAAAGAGTGTGTCTAATAATATATAAGTCGTCCGTGCGGTCGTCACGCCCAGTATGTCTGGTACGCGCATGCCGCAGTAAAGAGTGTGTCCGGCGCGCTGTAGGCGCGCCGCTACTGTCCGTCTAACCATTAAATAAGAGCTCCAGCGGCGTGTTGTGCTACGGCTTGACGTTGCAGCACCACCCAGGCGTGGGAGAGAAGGTCTGACGATCGTGAAGGGTCACGACCGTAACAATTAGTCCATCAGAAGAGGTCCTACGGGGTCCGATATTTCGTGATTGATATTCATACCGCCTGATCCATTGGGTTCCAGGGCAAACAGAGGTCGTTGTTCGACGGTATACTGACCGTCGGAAGGAAAGTATGGTAGCTTGAGGAACGCTCGACGAGCCGAGAGCTTAAATGTAAGTTCAAAAGAGTATCGGTTACTTAGAATTGCAATGCCTTATGCGGGAAGATGGAGCAACAGTGGAGCCTGCGATTTTGTGAATTCGAAGTACTAGTCCTTCGTACACAATCCCCTAAAAGTTTATTGTTAGAGATATAACTGACATTCGACGATCGGAGCCACCGCGCGCTTTCAGTATGTAAGTAGTCAGGAATTTCTATGCGATAGATGTAACTGAGGCCTGGTAGAAGCATGGTACAGGCGAAGAAGTCTCGGTCATACGTACTGGTTGCAAGTTCGACTAATATATTGTAGAAAAATAGCATCTGGATATTGTATACCCCTTTTGGCGGAAAATATGATTGTCCACGCTTTGCTCCAGACAAGAAAGACACCGAAAATATGCAAAAAGCCGCCGGATCCAAAAATATACGATCGATTCAAAAAAATTGGAAAAAGAAAAGTGTCACATTTTTCGGAACCAAAAAGACAGGTTAGTCTGTACTGCACAACTTGAAGCAGCGGCAAGCAAACTTCAAGGAGGAGCTTCTCGGGCCGTTCCGATTTGTATTTGTTAGCTTCTAAAGCTGACCTCGGAATTGGGGGCCGCCCAGAACAGCGAGTCACCGAGTCACCGCTTTCCTGATTGCTCTGTTAGGGTTAATGTCCGTTGCTGCGATTGAGGAGATACTACGATTACAGAACTATGCTTGTTCTTTATTCAATTGATTCTTGTCCTTTCTTGGCCGTCTCGGATCGGGAACAGAACATTACCCAAACCACTCGTCTCTTGGGTCTCGGATGCGTCCCTCCTTGTGGCGTCATACAGGAAGGTCATATCTGGATCTTTTTCTGTCGTCGCTCGCCGTAAATCATGAATTTGTACATATTACAATGTTTGCTGATGGGCCTCGTTTCGTGCTTCTCATTCGAACTGTTCTGCAAACGCAGGCCTTGAGATCTGGAATGAAATGTCCTTTTGCGTAGTTTCTAGGGTCCCATTGTGGCTGACAATGATATCATGGCTTAGGAGATTGTCCCGGAATGGTTCCTCCGCGTCTATATAAGTTGAGTATATGTGCAACATCCTCTTTAACGATGGTGTACATCCCTCCTTCGCCAAACGGGCCTGCGGACCCGGCCTCTCCTACAGAAGCAAACTCGCAATCTAAGGTATTCAGCGAAGGTCATGCGAGTGACTATGGTCAGAACACCACTCGACGCCATTTCGCGTACTCGGAGCCTCTGCCTCCCGTACCAGCGAGCCGTTGGGGTAAGATTCGGTGAGTTCACCGTAACCTGACTATCCTAAATTTCTTTTACTGTTACGCTTAGACTTGCTATTCGCGATCCCGCCGCAGAGTTCATTGGGGTCGCCATCCTTGTCATGTTTGGCTGCGCAGGTAGTTGTCAGGCTGTTACTTCCACCAATCCAGGTGTCGCTTCAACACAGCAGGGTGTAAGCATTTCCACCGCCACTTATTCCAAACCTCTTCTCAATTGGCCGTCTTCAGAGTTACTTTTCCATCGCGTTGGGTTGGGGGTTTGGTAATTTACATCTATTTCATATTATGAACCAAGGTCTGATATGGAAAACCTCTAGGCCTTGCCTTGGGTGGATGGGTGAGTGTAGGAGTTTCGGGAGGTCACATCAATCCCGCGGTAAGCATGTTACAATTTCCCTTCATCCTTCAGAGATATGAACATGCATGCAGGTCACCCTGGCTATGGCTACATTCCGCGGGTTCCCATGGAGGAAGGTTCCAGGTGCGCTCATTCATGTTTTGCGCGTGCCTCATAGCACTGATCAACATACCAAGGCTACGTCTTCGCCCAGTTGATGGGTGGTATATTCGGTGCTGCGCTAGTTTATGCCAACTACTACCACGCCATCAACATATACGAAGGCGGACACTATAGGACACTTTCTACCGCCAGATTTTTCGGCACCTATGCGGTAAGTCTAATTTTCGATTTGTCGAGTCACTACCGAGCAAAACTTTCTCACCAGCTTGACTACTTGCCGAACGCGGCCGCATTCTTCGACGAATTCTTAGGCTGTTTCATCCTTATGTTAGTCATCCTCGCCGCCACCGACAAGCGCAACTCTCCTCCTCCGGGGCTTTTTCCACTTGCTCTGTTTCTCACCCTCTTCGGTCTGGGAGTTTGCTTTGGCATGCAAACAGGTGAGCATCTGCCTTTCTCCTTTCGACATTGTCTGGCTTCGTTACTGATACGACTTCTACAATAAGGTTTTGCCGTTAATCCAGCTCGTGATCTGGGTCCCCGCATTCTGACAGCAATTGCCGGCTGGGGCAAACAGGTGTTCACCTATCGAAAGTACGTCTTCCATCGTATCTATCCTTGGCGCTTGCTCATGCCCTCGCGCCCCAGCCAATACTGGTTATGGGCTGGTGTGTTAGCGCCCATTTTCGGGGCTCAAATCGCCGCGATGTTGTACGACACCTTCATCTATGATAGTCAAGACAGTTGCATAAACCGGGCGTTCATGAAGGTTCCTTCACGAAGGACACAGGGAAATGCCGCTAATTCCACCATGGTGTGAGCGCTTGGGCATAGTGATTTGCGAAAAATAACCATCTGGTATAATTCAAAAATTGCTGTCTCGATTTCCTTCTTGGTCTTCTTGTAGACTTTATTTCATGTCCGTATGATTTATGATCGCTACGAATTTTCCTTTCTCAAGCACAAGACTTTTACAAATCATGTTCGGTCCGATATTCGTATCAGACCGGCAAAATTTTACATTGTCTTTTTGAGTCTTTCATCGTTGCTAGCATTACCCTTTCAAGTCTAGGTTATAATAGTTCAATGCTTGAGACTTGATGTTGTCACCACCACCCTGTAAGCAACAACTCGCAATTTTTCCTATATTTCCAGAATGAGGCGCATCCGATCTAACGCAGATCCTGCCCGATGCAGTCTACGGGATCTGTAGCTGAATTCAGCTGGATGTCCTCTCAATCAGACATCATTCTTACGCGGGTGCGAGCTACTATGACGATCATGGAATGTCTGATTCCGAGTCAGTGACTACCGCTATCATTGGCCTAATGAATTGATGGAGACAATCAGGTGCTAACGCGTAGTTTGTCAGTTGCACGAACCTGCTGTTGTCTTGCGAATCTAGCTTGCATTGTCTTCGTCATGATGGCTATATCCTAAAGGGCTAATTGATGCCAGGGGAGACCTCAGTTGATATTGGAAACTTCAAAGTTGGTAATCTACCTTCTTCGTGCATGCTCCCTGGCCTCGATTTGTGCCTTGTCCGATGTCTCCACATGCTAAGGATTTCTACTGTACATACTGTCTTGTCTTGAAATGATACCATGACCATCGCAAATGGTTCCGTTCATCATTTTCTTCTGGACATCGACGAACATATGACGAACATACTTTGCAATCGATTGGTGAATTGATGGCGTCATGTCGAGTGGAGTCCAAATTATGGACGGACTCCCGTGAGAGACTTTCTACGCTTTCTAGACACTGAATCGGATATTATATTTTAGAGTTAAAGTCCGTGACGTTGGATTGGATTAGCTCAAGTCTAGGAATTCAGACATACCCAGCAAGCTTGCAAAGGAATTTTTTCGGCTGCAGCTGATTTTGTACTGGTAGAAAGATGAGGCGACTGTAGACACGGATAACCGGCCCTCTAACCCGTCCGTACGAGTGGTTCCTTCAATCAGATCAAGGATCCGACACCGACTCGGAGAGGCTGTACGACGCTTGATGTTTTGAAAACTGTTAAGACCGAGTAAAGTTGGATATCTCCGTGCGCTTTCTGTCTCCGCCGTGCAAGAGCCGCCGGTCGACAAAGTTGGTGCCAAAGACGTGCCAGGGCCGACTCGAGGAAAATCAAATACCGTTTTGTGTTTCGTTTTGCTGATCGTCACGAATACAGAAAACAAGAAATTGCATTCCCCCCCAAACCAGTAGAAATAGCCTAGCAAGAGTAGCTCAATATCCCGTTCTTCGTGGGCGCGCAGCAGGGCCAGCACAGGTATCTCAAGGGGTCGCGCGTCGGTCGGAGGTAGTACAGACGTCACGAGCCGGTTCGGTTTAGGGCAAGCCGGTTTCCCATTACGTTGAACATGCGGTCTTGGCTCAGAATATCATACCCATCATCGCCATCAAGGTCGCAGATATTTACATGTCACAGTCCTTGCTCTCCTACACCCGTGTCGTTCTTCAAGCATGGTCTTCCATCCTGCAGAAACAGACCCCTTCCACGAGCTCATGCAGCCGCCGCCCAACGAGACTCCTGCACAGATGACTGCCAGGCTGAAACGCGAGGCCGATGCGCAGAGGGTCAGTGACATGATTGACGAAGACATCAGGCAGGCGAGAAGTCTGGCAAGGAAAGAGAAAAGCATCATTAGGGTCCTGTTGCTCGGTCAGGCGGAGAGCGGTATGTCGTCCTAGAGCCTTGACCGCTGCCAGTGCTAATTCCCAGTCGTACAGGCAAATCAACGACTCTTAAAAGTATTCTCATTTCGCTTTCTGCTCGCCTCGTGTTCACTCTGACGGCCTCGAACAGATTTTAGGATGCGCTATTCCAAGGCCGCCTGGGAGCGCGAACGTTCAGGCTGGCGCGCCGTCGTGCAGCTCAACGTTGTGAGGTCAATAGTGACAATCCTCGGCGTTCTCGAGGCCGAAATGAGTGACGACGTGCCATTTGACATTGACGACGATGACTCTCCCGACGACAGCTCCGATATTACAAAGTTCGATTCTTCTGAAATATTGCGATTTACGGACCGCCACCAGCTCCTGATGATCAAACTAGCGCCTTTGCGCGGCGTCGAGGCAGATCTCAAGCGCCAACTCGGTGCCGGGACAGATCCCATCCAGCCGTCCTTGCCCATGTCAGCCACTCCCTTCGAGGCACCGACTCGGAGGCCAGATGCCAAGCGGAGGACCTTGGGCGAGTTTGCTGTCCGATCTTGGGGTGACGTGGTGGGGTGTAAAGATTCAGCAAATGGCTTTATGTCTATGGAGTCTGTCACTATGACACTGGCTGGCTGCAGACACGAAATGAAAGCCCTCTGGACAGACAAGACCGTTCAAATGGCGCTGGATAGAAGAAAGATGCGCTTGCCTGATTCTGCTGGATTGTGAGTTCTCTTTCAATCTTCGTAATCGAGAACTAGGCAGGATTTGCGGAAGGCACTGAGAGTCCTGCATTTTCCTTGTTCCCATGCCCACGTCTTGGTGCGAAAGTACAGTCAGACCTAGTTCATCTGGGACACGTTTTTCATATCGCTTTTGAACGAATATCGGGGCAGTAGAACCAACAGGGAGAAGTAGGATCTTTCAATGATCTTTTTCGAAGATCTACCGGCTTCTCCAGCGTTTTTCAGTTTCACTCACTGCCTAATTCTCCTGCAGCTTCCTTAATGAACTTGACCGGATAGCGACACGCGACTACCATGTAACGGACGATGACATCGTCCGAGCGCGTCTACGGACTGTCGGTATACAAGAATACCAGGTGCGATTCAAGTCGGGCCCTATCGACGCTCCGAAAACAGATGGTGCCTGGGAATGGAGAATCTATGATGTCGGTGGATGTCGAACAACGGTATGTTTCTCTTTTTGACCAAACGCTGCGTGGAAGGCAATGCATCTGCCAAAACGGGCATGGCTAGACTCTGTCTGGTGCGGGGAATGGCCGGTATATCGATACCTGCGACAACTGGACCCTTGGGAAGTCTTGGTTACGCCAGTTTTTACAATCAAGACAAACGAGAACGCAGGTGCATTACCGGGCACGGTCTACGTTGCGTTTTGTCATTGTGATCTGTCTGGACCATAAAGAGACTATTCAAGGCCTTGTTTCTCTTTCGAACACCGATAATATTTGTTTGAACACATGCTAACTCATTCACAGCGAGCCGCATGGCTACCCTTTTTTGAAAATACGAATGTCATAATATTCCTATGTCCCGTGTCCTGCTTCGACGAACGACTAGAAGAAGACAACAGCGTCAATCGGCTTGAAGACTCGACTATATTATGGAGATCAATATGCTCATCGAAGCTATTAGCAAGGACGCAGTTAATTCTTTTCATGAACAAATGCGATCTCCTCAGGCGAAAACTAAAGAGAGGCGTTCAAGTAAAGAAATATCTCCCTAGTTACGGTGATAGGCCAAACGATGTGACGAACGTTGTAAGATGTAGGTGCTTTGCAGGTTCTAGTATAGGACACGTTCTTATCTCTTTTGAATAGATCTACGGGAGAAATTCAAGGATATGCAAAGACAACTCTCACCAGCGGCTAGGCATGCCTATATCTATCCAACCACAGTAACGGTACGTATACTGTTTTCTGGCCCTTCATGAGCTCTGAAACGGCTCCATCAGGACACGGAAGCGACGGCCAAAACTTTAGAGTCAGGTAGGCTTCGATTTCCCATGCTTGCTAGTTTGGCGCCTTCTAACGATAAGCACCCCCAGTTCGTGACGGTGTTCTTCGCGAGAACCTCGTAACATCACAGTTGTTATAATACCCCGAGAAACTTTATCATTATTTTTTCACGACCATCTGTACAGCGTTTTCTCCGCAATCTTGTTTGTATATGCTGCCTCTGCGTCCTCCTATGTATTTTATATGGTGTTTAATATTTGCGATAGATGTGTACAGTGTAACTTTACCAATAGAACATTGGGTCTTGTTTGTATCGAACCGCTTCGACACCATGGTTCAGTTATGGGGAAAGGTGAGCTCTGGCGTACTAGCGTGCAGACTTGACTAATAAGACGGGAAGGAGTCATATCCAACTGTCGACAAATTCGCTGAATTCAGTTTTCAAGCTAGGCTCGAAAATTTTCGGCCGCGACGACAAGTCGAAATGTCAAGGCTACGTGCGTTCCAAAATTTTGCAGGATAGAGTATGTGAATGATTCGGACGCGCACAGTTCCGGAGGCCATGCTCGTGAACTCCGTCTCTCCAGTCCTGAGGTCCCGATTACAGCATAAAGTGCGGCTGCAGTGTTCATTTTCCCGACTCCGCGGCGTAGCTATTCTTTGGGTCCGGGTAGAAGACAGGTTCGGATCTTCAATAGCTAGAGCTTCTCAATGCTTACCCACACTAGTAGAACGACTGAACTTTCCTGGATTCGACCCCGTGGCGGACCTAGCGGGGTGTTTTACTCGTTTTTATGCTGTGCGCCCGTTCCCAGCTCTGTAACCATCCCCAGGGTGTGTCTCTAGTAGAGGATGACCCGGACCCTAACCAGGTTATTCTCGACCAATTGTGCGTAACTTGTTTCATGGAAAAGTAATGGTGATCATATGGTGGCGTTCTAGGGTCGTCACGCCACTAGAATATTGATTCAACAGGTTCCATTTCCCAGGATGTTACAATATCAATCAAGATGAAGAAGACCATGACCATCCTGTTTTTCTGTCATCACGACTTTCCTCGCACCGCATCTGATCCTCCACGAAAGAACCACGCAGGTTGCCGTATCCATTCATCCTTGGCTTGGCAAATGACCCGTCCAGGGCAGCCGCGACGGGATACAGCGTGAAATACGCCTCTGTGCCCTCCCTGCAGTAGGACATGATGGTAAAGACCGAGAGGACTCGGAACAGGGTCGTGGATGTCACGATGACGGGAAGTGATGAAGTGAAAATTGCTGTTTCTGCTGCCGTGCGTCCAGGCACAGACACAGATCCTAAATTCCCGGAGACGAAAACCTTGAAAGCCGATTGGAGCAGGCAGGTATTCATATCTGTGATCTCCTGGCCGGAGATGAGTATGAAGGTGAACGAGTCGAGGGAAGTATTCACTTGGTTGAAACCGAAGAACAGTTGTACCTTTGGCTCGGTGCCAAACCCCGTCGAACGTGATTGTGGGGCCAGCACTGTCGTGAAGGCCGGTCGGAGCGAACGATGAAAAAAATTCAGTTTGGGAGGGGTGCAAGTTCCCTTGATTTTACCACAGAAATCTGGATTGGATGGACAGGTTGCCTGAGTCGTCATTCGACCCGTCTCGCATTTCGATGGTAGGGATGAGGGAACAAGTCATGACCTATTTGGTAAAATCAATGGCCGATGTGGAAGTAGGTTTATCGGTCTAGTCGAATTCTATGACAGGAGTACTTTGTAATGAAGTATTGGTCGGATGTGCTATGATTCGAATAGAAAGGTCGTTGGATGCTGGAGCTACACAGGCTTGTCAAAACGGGACGCTCGTAAAATAGAGGTGTGGAATGTCGTTTCCTTTCACCTTGGCTAGCCGTTGGTTTGCCCTTTCATGGCTAGGTTCCTCGGCACGCGTGCGCTGCCGATTCTTTCAAATTCGTTGATCCAGCGGAATGTGCCAGAACACTGATGAAACATGTCAGCACGGGTATTTGAGCATAGCGGATCTCGCGTATATGTATGGTTAAGGGCCTATTTCTTGCTGGAGCTTTTTCGCGCGTGCAATGACATCCTTTGGAAAGGTATTGGGTACAAGCTCTGCTAATGCTGGACATTTCATTAACGCCGCGTGCGACCTATGACACCATCACCCCTGTTCGATTCGAGTCGGATTTGTTTTCTTTTTTCACCTTGAACGTGATCGGAGGCTCATAACTCTTTCTGCTGGGGATTTCCTACGTTCGAGGAGATAATCTTGTCAAAAAATTGGCATGTTCCAGTTCCTTGAAGTTGCTGCGGTACTCCTCAGCAGAGTTCCTCCACACGGGAATACACGAGGATTGAAAATGGACTAGTGACAAGAAAGAGACAAACGGCGCTTCGCCTATGACGTATTTGTGCTGACGTGCCGAGACTTTTGATCCTCGTTGATCTTCCATGGACGTATCAGTTCCTTAATCCAACATCCCTTACGGCATAGATTGGAATCGTACCACTTACAACGTATCAGTACACGATGACAACGACCGACCTTGAAACAGTTTCTCCACCCGCACAGGCATGGCGACCCGAAGACACAGGAAAACCATCCCCCGAACGCCCATCAGTTGGAGGCATTTTCCGACCTGATATTTTGGCTGTTATTGAACAGAGAATCACCGAGTTGGATGCGGATTTGAGAGCTCTCAGTCTTGATATACATGGTGAGTGGAATATTTATTGTATCATCAGTCGTGCTAAGGCTAAAATACAAGGACAGCGCACCCTGAAATAGGGTACGAGGAAAGGTCTAGGCTATTTCACTTATAGCCACCGAAGCAGCTCTAATTTTGTTTTCTTATTCCCAAGACGAACTCACGATGTTCTTACGGATTTCATGGCCAAACAAGGATTCGAGGTCGAACGACACTACCTCCTACCCAGTCAGACCGCGTGGAAGGCCACCTTCAAACACGGACGCGGTGGAAGAACTATTGGTGTCAATTCGGAGGTCTGTACAGTATGATGTTCATCAACTTCATATTCCAAGTCCATACTTTGTCAGATGGATGCGTTGAAGGGCATTGGACACGGTTGCGGTCACAATCTTATCGCCATTGCTGGAGTTGCCGTCGCGTGCGCCATGAAAGCCGCCTTTGAAAAGTTCAATATATCCGGTGCAATTGAGCTCCTGGGCACCCCTGGTGCGCTTTCATACCTTCGACCGCAATCTGTATATTAAATCCATGTTTCAGCCGAGGAAGGTGGTGACGGAAAAGTTCACTTGTTGGAGCGGGGCGCGTATAAGAATATGGCTGCGTGTATAATGTGTGTTTTAATTGCTTTCCTATGCGTATTTGTCAGTTTACAGTTATAGGTGCCATCCCGCCCCTGGTCCCAAAGGCTCTGTTAGTCTCACCAGTTGTCTCGCACTACACCGCATACAAGTCCAGTATTTCGGACACACGTAGGAGTTCAAGTGAATCTCTGTCTGTCTCTGAACTATCCATATATCTAGAGCCCACGCTGCTCTTTCTCCCTGGGAAGGCGTCAACGCATTGGATGCAGCAGTATTGGGATACAACAACATATCTGCTTTTCGGCAGCAACTGAAACCTACACATCGCATCCACGGGATATTTCGTGAAGGAAAAGATTGGCAAACGAATGGTAGGCCCTTTTATCAGATAATGTGTGCGACTAGTGATGATATTCTTGTAGTCATTCCTGACTTTGCGGAGTTTGTGTACGTTAAGAACTTCTACCAGTCAAGCAGTATTTCTGTTAACATGTCCAATGCAGTTGTTACGTCCGGGCACCAACACGAGCCGAGGTGCAGTCCACCTTGAAGCGTGTATTACCCTGTTTCGAGTTCGTCATGATCTCCATACCCGATCAATAAGACAGGAGCTGATTGTTTGGCAGAGGGGCTGCCATAGCAAGTGGATGTACAATCAGGATCGAAGACTACGGCGCGACACACGACCTAAGGCAGAACAAAGCTTTGGGTCGGCAGCCTCTTTCTTCTTCACAGGTTCATGACCATGACGTTTTGTGCAGGGGATGAAGTTGCCAACATTGTCCGCAGAAAATATGGGTCTATTGACTACGAATGGGGTATCAAAAGCGCGTCTACGGATTTTGTGAGTAGGCGGTATCGCCTTGTCAACTGAGTATTCACGGGCTTCTCTTTCAGGGGAACGTAAGCTACGGTAAGGTTCTAATCTACGCCAGGACTAGCATAATTGAGTATCATTAGAACTACCGTCCTTGCACCCTGGTTTCGGTAAGGAGGCTCTTCTCTAGATAAATATCTATGACCTAATACACCTCTTACTCTAGCGATTCCCACAGAGGAAAACGGGGGAAATCATACGCCAGGATTCACCAGAGCTGCGGCAACAATTGAGGCTCACTATGCTTGTCTAGATGTTTCCAAGGCATTAGCCGCTACAGGCGTGCGTGTGGTTATCGATGACAACTTTTTCAAACGGGTAAGTTCATCAAGCTTGGATAATGTTTGTATTCTCATTCCCAGTGAACACAGGTCCAAAATGCATTTGAGGAGGATAAAATCATTCGGGATATGATCGTGTAGCGAATGCATGTTTCATGTTATTGGCTTATATCGGGCTGAGTTCCTCTATGTCGACGACACCCCCGTCGTTGTCAACCGGAGAATAACAAGTTTTACCTCTCTCACAGTAGGAGCTGTGCCCAAGTATCATTGACCCCGGAACACGCTCTGTTGCTACTAGGCTACATGCCAAATGTCGTAGCAGAACGAGTGTGCGTTTGAGAACTGACTTTAGTGTCCGGAATATCGTTGCGGATAAGTTTCTAGGAAAGTTCCGGATTGGTCGTTGGGCTGGTCTTCCGGGATGCGACTTCACTCAAGACAAAGTTTTTTTGAGAGAGACATTCCAGACATTTTTGGATCCTCCATGATGTACCTACTGGGGAAGTTCTATCTTTTCAACATCTGCGAGTGGCACCACATATATGAGTTCTTAGCCAGTTGCTTTTTAGTCGAACTGCTGTCGGAAAATTTCCATTGGCACTCTTTCGACAATCCTTACGGCCGTCGATTCTACAACGTAGCTGTAATCGGAGATGGTCCATGGCTTCTGACCCATGTCTGCAGCCACTGGAGGGAAATCGCCATCATGTTGACCTCTTTGTAGTCGTCTTTAATTATTCAATTGCCGTAGATGTGAGGACCCGGAAGCACTGTTACAAACGGCGCTGAAGCGTTCCGAACGATCGCCGTTGTCATTGTGATTGTGATCACGGCCAGATATTTCATTGTTGGAAGGGTCCATGCCCAAGATCTTCGCCCTGTTTGCTGCTCATTCCATTGCTTGGAAAGACATCCAGTTTATGTTGCCCTCATGCGAGTATTTTAACGAGCTTAAGGGTGTGTTCTCCGATTCGCTCCTCCTGCTACAGTTTCCATTGTTGGAAAGACTCCATATCAACATCTTCGAACCGTCACCGGAGGACACCGAACCCAACCAGTCAAGCACTATTTTCGCAAATACCCCCATGCTTCATTCAGTAACCATGAAGCCATTCTTGGCAATGCACCTCCCATGGTCCCAGATAATATATCTGTGTACATCTGACTTATTACTGGAGCAGCTGCTCGATATCTTTCGTGTGGTCGTACATCTAGAGACCTTTTCGATATCATCTGTCTACATAGGTCCGAGGGGAGACCTTCCAATGCCAGTAATAAACAATGCTATAAAGACGCTGAAGATATGGAATTTCGAATACCTTCCATATCTAACACTACCCTCCCTTACCTTCCTACGCATATATGGCGATTTGGACGGAGATTTGGACGAGGTGGAATTTCGAGATTGGGACAAGATGTCTCACTACGTCAGTCGCTTTGGGAGTGTCTTGAAAAGTCTACAAATCTATGTTGATGAAGCATCCGACAGTCTCATCACTATGCTACGCACCGCGATGACTAATGTTACAGAAATAACATTCTTAAACGGACCAGGTTGCCTGTCGCAGGGTATCATTTTTTCCAGTTTTACAGAAGGAGCCGGTGGATGTGCGTTATTTCTTGAGTGTTTCGTGGCTCACCTGACGCGTACTGAAGTGTTTTGGAGCTCGGCAAGGGACTACAAAAATGTCATCGTCAGTACCCAAACATTTATTGCGTAGGAGATATCTGACGAATCGCTACAGACCAACGAGCTTTACCTGGCCACTTCCGGTTACCTCTATGACGTGACCCAAGATACCCAATACTTGACGAACCTCAAGAACAGTATGTACGTTTGCTTTCCTCTTAACACTGAGCTTACTCAAAAGCGTGCAGCATGGGAATGGTTCAACGCTTCGGCCATGCGAGGCAGTAACGGACTGTATAACGACGGTCTCACCAAAGACGGGCTATGCGCCAATAACGGTCAGACCCAATGGACCTACAACCAAGGCGTCGTCCTCGCCGGTTTAGGTTTCCTTTACAAATGTATGTCCTTCTATTCAAATTCTCCTCGTTCCCGACTAACCTCTCTTCCAGATACCCAGGACGAAAGCGCCACTACCACGGCATGGTCCATCATGGAGCTTCCCAAACTCGAGGTTCTGTACTTCGATGGTTCAATCGATCGGAATTATTGCGAGTCGGAACAAGTGCTGGAGTTCGTCCAAAGCCGTTATGGGAATGGAAAGGGACCGTTGAAATCCCTGCACATCGATTGCGAGGCTATATATCCGGAGGAAGAAGAGTTGCTCTTCTACGATGAAGTTTGATGGTTTTATTTGGACGAGTTGAAAGTCTTCGTCGATGACGGTCTTGACCTTGTGGTTAACCTGTGAGCTGGTGATGTCTCCTTAAATACCATATTCATTCTTTGGTTGATAGTGATGATAAGCTCGTTGAAATATGAGAAAACATTTCTCAAAAAAGATGACTCCACAGCCACATATCCCGATGTCTTTTGCAAACTACTTTTTGGATTCATGGTTTGATATGAGAAAAGATACGTATACTAGTTTTGATGTACCCACCCCCGCTCTGAGGGCTTGTTAACGAGTTCCGACCTCCTTCATCGAAACTTATTGCCCTCCTTTCTGCTCACTTCCTTAAAATATATTGCCCAACAGAAGAGGTATCTTTCTCACGAGAGAGCGAAGTTCTGCTTATTTTATTGCCGGAGTCGCTCACTATCAAATCATTCCCTCCCACCCTTTTGTCTGACGAACGCGATCCAAGTTCCATCGCCCCTTCTACAAGCGTTCTGATATAAGCATCGTGATGATCGTATATAATACAGAGTCAATCACGCCGACTCCGCAGGAAAATCCACAGGTTGTTTTCAAACAGCAGGTTTTGTGCCTTAATGACCCGACTTTCGAAACGACTGCCTCAAGACGTGCTACATATCCGGAAACCTGGATTTATTTTGATGGCATTACTGAAGAGAAAAATTGCTGGCTGAGTGTGCTGTGCAGAAGTGCAGAAGCAGCGCCAACGCGGGTAGGTAAAATTGATACGTCGCTAAAGATAGTATGCTAGGGTACCTGGCTTCAAGACCACCTAAAGTCCAATATCTTTTTCCTCCAATGATGTAGGAGTGCCGTAATTCTTCGACGGATAACTGACAACCTAATCCGGTAAAACAAAAATAGGTAATCTAAGTGAAGGTACCTGGTTATTGCGAAGGTATGCAAGGAAAAGCGCAGATCCTGCAGAAAGAATATGGGCGGAATAGCGTACAAAAAATCTTCATTGAACTCGCTGCGCGCCGCTACTTTTGGTGATTGCCCGCATTGGTCATTTCTTCTGAACAGCTGCGTTTCCCAGGTAGTTTTTTTTACAAGTTTTTTATGCAGGCCCACTCGCCGGTGAGAAAACAACTAGGTGCATGTGTAAAGTACCTGTTTGAAACAGAACTCCGGCACAACCTGCGTCTAGATGTTTTCTGTACATTATTACCATGATAAAAGTACTCACCTTTGCCGCATCGTCCACAGGTAGTCTGTATACCAATCATTATGGATGACGGGTGTCTGAAAATAAAGGGATCCAATGTGACTCAAAAGATCTTTGTACGACACAGAGATTCTACTAGTGTCCCGGTGAAATACCGTGTGACTTCATTGGAATCCTCACATGTAACCTGAAAACGCTGGCAAGGTTGAAGAAGAACGTGTGTTCCTTTCGTGTCGTTACGCAAGTACGTTCGTGTGGGTTACTCTGGAACGCAAGCTTAGTAACTATTGGTTGCGCATGATCTGGGAGCGACCTCTTATCGCAGTTCATTAAATCTCTTTTATCTTACTGTAGACCGTTCTCATTTGGTACCTAGAGTCTGTGAACTACACCGGTGTGGCGGGCGCAGCCTTCCCATATGCACATACGGACGACAATCTTGTGGTGGTGCGTTGTAGAGGATAAGCAGTTAAGAGCGGGAGACGATGAATAGGGGTGATTTCGGCGCCATGAAGGAACCTGCAGATTGTAATTTTCATCTGGGGGGGAGGAGGGGAGCAGATGCATGCATTTGTGCTTACCTCGACAATTCAGGATGATGGTGGGAGTCGAACTTGTTTATAAATCACAGGGGCCGCGGCAAACGCCGACGGAGGTATTATACAGCCAGCGGACCCTTATTGGGATCTTGTGCCGGTACTACCACTACCACCACTATCACCTGTTGAAATGAACGTCCTTGTATATTCTGGACCAGAAGTCATTCAATCGTCCCTTGTGGACACCATTTCTACCCTTCGTTCTCTACTCATTCCGAATTATACCGTTCAGCAAATTTCTCATCAAGTTCTGAAGTCTCAGCCATGGCCCATTTCTTGCGCATTGCTCGTTTTTCCTAGATGTCGCTCAGTATTTCCGTCATCACTACCTTCTATCAATAACTTTGTCGAAAATGGGGGCTCGTTGCTGGCCTTTGGCGCAGGCGTTAAACGCACTCCTCGTGGAATTGCCAGTTTTGGGTCTCTGAGTCTCACCGACGAGGCTTCGTTCAGACTCTACGACCGCACCTCCAAATGTTATATAACGCCGATTATTTCTCCTCAAACAAAAGAACTGTCGTCAACAACATCGATTGTCGGCAATGGTGATTCTATTGAAGGGATCGAGGGACTACCTTTAGGGCCAATCGCTGGCTTCGAGGACAGTGTTAGTCACGAATCGCTGGCCTCCTACTACAATGAACAACGCGAATCCCGCATTGCGGGCATAAAATGTGCTGTAGATGATGGCTCTGTGGTATTCTGGTCTGTCAACATCGAGCGCACCATTGCCAATGAAGATTCCGAGTCGCTTCGGAAATCCTTACTTCGAACGACTCTTGTGAAACTCGGTCTTAGGCTTCCCTCCCCTGACGCTCATTCCGTATCGCGCCCTTCGCCCCAATTCCTTGTGGGCCATCCATGCAGGTCACAAATTGTCGCAAAGATTATCAAGGCCATCGCGGGTGGTTCGGGATCGGATCTGAAAATGTTTGAAGACGACAACGATAAGCTGTACTTCCATCAAATGCAGGAGTATCCAGACGTCAAAGCCGAAGCCCAGAGGGTGTATTTGGGCTCAGAAGATCCAGCCGCTTGGCAGCCCAAACATATCATCGTTTATCCCGATGGCGATCTTCCGGATGACAGATCCACACCGTTGTTCCAAGTCAAGACTTTTTTTGACAAGCTGTCTGTGGCGCATGCAGATGAGGGCTGCCCCACAGAGACTGATAGCTGGGGTTTTGGTGAAGCCTTATTGTACGGCGAGGTCGTGACAAGTACCCAGACAATGATTGACAAGTATGTCTCCTCAATCTTGCGGCCTGAGATTTGTTAACTTGCTATACTAGGAACCCGCGCCTCCTCGCCTCCCTCCCCACCCCCTTCCTGTCTCTGGCCTCCTTCCAGCTCACAGGGCGCGGCAGAGGAAGTAATATCTGGCTCTCCCCCGCGGGTTGTCTGCAGTTCTCCCTTCTGTTACGCGTGTCTTTGGCATCGTTCCCAGCAAACAAGCTAGTCTTTGTGCAGTACCTGTTTGCCCTTGCGGTAACAGAAGCATGCCGATATAAGAGCGTGTTGGGAAAAAGGGGTGAGAGTGTTCGTATCAAGTGGCCAAATGACTTGTATGCCATCTTTGGACCTGGGGAAGGCGACAAAAAGAAGATCGGAGGGATTTTAGTCAGTACGAATTTCTCCGGAGGGAAGTGTGACATTACCATTGGTATGTTGACTTGTTTAGAGCTCTTATTTTTACTTATAGCAATAGGCTCTGGGCTGAATGTGCACAACCTGCCTCCCATCTTCTCGTTATCACAGTTACAAAACCCGGCGAGCGACTTGCCGCTTAGCATGGAGACTATCGCCGCCGTGATACTAGCGAAGTTCGAGAAGATGTGGACCGTTTTCGTACAAGGCCAAGGCTCTTTTGAGCCATTCATGGCATTGTACTTGGACAGATGGCTTCATTCGTAAGTACAATACATTGGACAGTTACCGGGCACCTAACGTTGCTCCTTATGATCTAGCGATCAACTTGTGACTCTGACAACAACGGTCCCTCCAAAGAAGGTGCGCGTCAGCGGTATAACATCCGACCACGGGTTGCTGCGCACGGTCCCGGAGCGAATGGGCTGGTCATCTGGAGAGGAGGGGTTCATCGACTTGCAGCCCGACGGCAACAGTTTCGACTTGATGGCTGGAATGATTAGATCGAAATCCTCATGAAATTGTGGTATTGTGGTGAACAATCTAGGTATGCTACATTATCTACGTCGGTTTCCTGCACCACAGTGACAACAGCTAAAGCTACACTTGGAATATGCGAAATTTGGATGGAAGTATGCGTAAAAAGTACAATGCTACTGGATATGAGCCGATAAATTATGAAGGAATGACGCGCGTCGGGGGGCTATTAGTCACAGAGAGACAGCATTCTCAGCGGAGGCAGCTGAAGACCGTCAAGGGGAGGCTTTTCCCGTAATATGTCGTAGATGGACGGAAGTCGGTCTGACGACTCGGACGAATAATCATCAACATCCATCATCTCCGTCTGTCCCTCTGGTGTGGATGGGCAAGGTGAAGAGAATTCGGAACTTGATGAAGACGAAGGCGTGATGGGTTGAGGAAGTCGCCGGCTGGCATCTTTTTCCAGTTGAAGGCGCTGATACTGTTCCTCAAGACTGCGGATGTACGTCGTCGCTGGGGAATACCGCTTAGCCCACAGTGCCGTAAGGCAGACAAGAAAACTAACCTTGTTCAAGGAGTTGTATTTTACTCTCGACGCCTGAAAGTCCCCCGACCACTTGGCAGAGCATCCGTATCGTACAGTTTTCGTGATACGTTCGCTGTTGTGTAAGCGAGGCTCCTTGGAGTTCGTGAGGGATATATGCTGGGAGGCTCTCCATGGGCCTCCCTTGAATGACATGCAGCGCGTTTTTGAGACCGACGATATAGTACATGGCTGGTAGGCAGAGTTATCAGCCTTTGAAATTTCTTTAATAATGGAATAACGACTTGCCATTTTCCATGATAGCTACCCTATCCGCTGCCTTGGGCTTCAAAGGAGCAGGGAGAGCGTCACGCAACTGCCAAAATTGTTCCCTTAAGCGGCTCTGATAGGTTGGCCTCTCTCTCGACTCTGGTTCAGTGGCCATGACGACGTTCCGCCTCCATCGGTCAATCAAGAAGCGTTTGTGCAGTATCCCAGCGAGCACGCGTCGGTGACGTTCAATGATGTGAGGGGGCAAATGGTGACCGTGTGTTTGAGGGCGGAGTCGGAAGACGGTTGTGGAGGAGGAAGGAGTCGCCATTTTTCGAGAGAGGGGAAGTGGATATTTACAGATGGAAAAGTTAGGCCTTTATATATAAGAAGAATATGCTTTTGTTAAGCGTTTGCATTTCAGCAACCACATGCTTCGTTGGCGCATCAATGTCATTGAATTCGAACTTTGCATTGTACTTTCCTAAAAGAGAATATGTTGTCTTATATGGAGGTACCGAATGATGCTTATGATAGTCATTAGTTCTGTGAAGAAAACAAAAAGAACAAAAGGAGCATGTGAAAGGTGAGTCGTGTGCAGGGCAAGGCCCAGTCGAGCTTCACGGCGCACCTTGTTTGCTTATTGTTCGAATGTTCGGGTTTTATTCTATGAATAATTTTTGGCAGATGCGTTCCTGTTGCTCCATAGGCTTATAGTACTGGCAATCAAAGTATGACAAAAAAAGAGAGAAAAGCGGAGCAAAGAAGGAGCAAAGCGCCTATATTTCAAATTTTCGATCGTTCACAATTTGCTTCCTTCTGTCGCGTACAAGGTACTTCACAGCCACACGACCACGACCTTACGTTGTTCGAAGGTCGGATGCAAAATACAAGGCTATTGTCGGCATCCAGGGTATACCGTCCAAGAAATTTACATCAGAAATGCAACCATCACCCTTGTGCCATTGTCAAAGCCTGCGGACTTCACGTCCTTGCGGCTTCCATGATATCCCGCATGCGGTCGATTTGTTCAGCCAAGACACGTAACCTTGGCTAGCTGTCAGTACAAGAACGGATGGCGATAAGCCACCAAACGCACTTGTGAGTCAGCTCAGCCTTGGGACCCGGAAAGACGAGGATGTCCACGGAGCGCTGACTTGAGACACATACACCATCAACCTGATCTGGGCTGCGTGCTTTCGGGACGGGTCTCAAGTCTCGGAAGGGACAAGGCGTCTTTCGGGGCCACCTACCGCCCCTCCAGATATCTTGCACCGTTGCTGAAGGGGGGATCTCCAAGAACCGGCCCTCTCTTGTAATGATGATGGCGACAGCGCCGTTGAAAAGCATGTGTTGAGACTGTAGCGTCATGAGTTCACCCTGGGACAGCGGCACCGACCCACGGTTATGTAGCATATGCGCAAAGTAGGTAGAGAGTGTGCCGTCTACAGCCTCATACATGTCTGTATCTTCCGTGACACGCGTCTTTACAATACATCTTTGTCCAGGATGGAACGGGTCATGCAGGAACTCGGGCAGGACCAGATTTAGCGCTACACATAAGGGTGTTATATCTGGGTTGCGTAGGGTCTTGTAGGGCCGACCATCGGACGTATCGAATTCGAACAGCAAGCTGGGATCCTCCATGGCGGCGACAGATGGGTCGGGGTGATGAGGGAAAGTGTCACGGTGATCCTCTTCGATTATTGCTCCGCGGTACTAGGAATCCTTCTAAGTAGCTGCTGCCTCTAGAAGGTACCAGAAACTTACATCGAGTGCTCGGAGAAGCTCGTCCTTACGTCTCTCGTCGCTATCTTCGGGACGCGATAGGGCAATATCTATGTCTATGAGCAGTTGTATTTCCGTATCAGATAACCGCGAGGCGTTGTCTGACTTTTTAAGGCTTTCACATTGCTCCAGGCATATCTGTGCCTCATTGTATCTCGAGAACTTATACATAATTTTTGCTTGCCGGGAATGACATGCGGCTGTCAAAGCCTTGGGCGAGTCTGGAGTCGTGTAATCCGGGGAAAGCGCGAGCTCGATGTCTCTACGAGCACCGTAAAGATCACCAAAGTCAAGGTAAACTTGTGAACGACTAGATAGAATCTGTCTTTTAATTTCCACGGCCGTTATATCTGCAGCATCCAGCGCCTGGCTGTATAGCTACGCAGGGAAGTCGTGAGAAAAAGGCAAAGGCTTCCTGTCCCCCAGTGGGGGAAATGAACAAACCTGTATAGCCAGTCGATAGGATTTTCTGCTGTGCGCACTGTTTGCCTGCTCTTTCAATTCTGCGACAGAGGTCATTGTGAGAAAAAGAGAACTGATAAGATCAAACGGGAAAATGGATGATTGTTGATAACATTTTTGCTTAGTCAGAGGTCCACTTTGTGCCGACCTTTGAAGCGTATCCACCATGTCTGGCCCAGCAGGCCCAAGCAAGCAGATGATTTTGCACCTATATCACTCAGCTTTGAGGTCATCACGGTCCTTCAGTTCGTACAACTTTAGGAACTACTTCATCCGACGGACGCAGGACACTTTCCGGAGTATACAAGTGCGTCCTGTACATGTTTTCATTATCATTATCCTGACACTCTTGCCTGTAGGCCGAAACTGACCCTTCCAAGGTCGCAACAATGTACTCTGATGCTATGAAAGAGCTCGTGGTTCTGCGGCGAAGCGCCATCGTGAACCAACTATACGGAGGGTGGAAGTTGGCCGTAGAAGAACCTGCACCAAAAGATGAGGATATTTTGACAAGAAGCGACAGCTAGATGGTAGCATGAGGGCAGGCTACGGGAAAGGATTGTTATTATCAAGCTGTATTGTTATGAACTCTGCCCTATTGCCTCTTTATTACCCAAGTAAATCAACTCACCATGAGCATCCTTGCCATGTCCTAAGCCTTTTCATCGGAATCCGGCTTGGATGTTGACTGCGACCAGCCCAAGTACTGGTACCACCGCTTGCCAGAGCTTTCAGTCGGCGGCGCTGCGTCGCCATCCTTTCTGCTGAACCAGCTTTTTGCAGCACGAGCTTCAGCCTCGTACGTCACCTCCGCCTCTCGCAGCCTCTCCTCAAACGCTGCCCGTTCCCTAGCCTTTTCTTCATCCACCCTAGCCACTTCCTGCACAAGATTCTCGTTGTACTTGATAGAATCTTGCTGAAGTCGATAGAATCCCCAGACTATAGCAACGACCGTGAGACCCTGCGCGACTACCCGTGCTCGCATCCAGAGTTGTAGCTGCCTCTGATTGCCTTTGCGAGCATGGTATACAACGCCACCGAACACTCCTGTTGTAAGGAGCAATCCTGCAAGGAAATGTAAGGTCAACAAGGCCAGTTTGGCACAGAAAGCGGCGCACGCACCGACCGGGATAAGTGGTTCCCTTTTCATCCGTCCCCAGAATCGCTCTGCATACGTCTCTCCCGTACTCAACGTAGCCATTTTGGGTGCTGCTTGCGAGGAATGCTACGATCAGGGTATCTGGTGGGCGCTGAGATGAGAATAATTGGTTGGACAAGCCTAGCCCACTGCTGTATTCCGAATTCGGAATACTCCGGCACGTCGAACCGACGGTCGTGAATTTTTTTATATGTTGCTTTCATGAACTACTGCGAGCACAACTTTTTCATCGACCAAGTCATATTTTTTCCAAGGGTGCAGAATATTTGAATATTTATCTCACTTCTACTTCTCAAAAAGCGCACTATCTAACTGTGGCATGCTTCACCTCTCTACTGGCGCCAAAATTCTGTGGGGCAGCCAGTATGAAATCGTCCGACTTGTACCCAGTCCTTCTTGTCGTTACCTCAACCATGCGCCCCTCGGAGAAGAATATCAGAAAAATCGTCGTCTTCTCAGCACTCCACACGACTCGCTTTGCACCTTTACCTCAAGCCTCCCCAAATTCGCAAGGCCACCGTAATGTATAAAAGGCTGATGAATACTGCTCGCTCATCCACGAAGCTCCCCTTCAGCGTCCACGGCAATGTTCGTTCGCTTCTTCGCCCTCGCTTTATTGTTTCCCCTCGTCTTCGCTTCAAACTCCAAACGCGGTCTAGCTTTCGATCCAGCTAGTCACCCCGAGGATATATACAAGGCTAGCGGCAGGAGTTGTTCTTGGGTGTACAACTGGTCCCCTTCCTCCCCTAGTCCTTCGATCTCTGGAGTCGAATTCGTTCCCATGCAATGGGGTACGGATGGACTTAACGGCTTCCTCTCCGGGGCTCGATCTGCTAGCGCTACGAACGTCCTGGTAGATTTTTATTTCATTATCGGGCTCGGTCATTGATTATGTGATAGGGCTTTAATGAACCGGACTACGGCCAGCAGTCGAATATACCTGTGGGGACAGCTGTGCAGATGTGGAAAGCCGATATCAACCCGTTAGCTAGCTCTGGCATACGGCTAGGCTCACCCGCGGTGACATCGGCGGATTCTGGACTTCAATGGCTATCCGATTTTTTGGCCCAATGTTCGGGGTGTACAGTAGATTTTTTAGCAGTTCATTGGTACGTGTTCTCATCTGATGCCTTTCATGAAACTTATTCATCTTTTTTTTTTAGGTACGGAGAGGGGGCTGCAAATTTTATTCTCTATCTTCAGAAAGTTCATTCGAGGTTTCCCAATTAAAAGGTCTGGGTTACGGAATTCACTGATACGCGGACTGATTCTGGAGGCATGTCGCCTACTGTCCGAGTTTGGTGTTGTTGATTGATTAAAATTTAATAGCCCTACTCGAGTTCATGAAGCAAGTTGTAGCCTTCATGGATGCGACTGATTGGGTTGAGCGATATGCCTGGTTTGCTTACAAGGTATGGTAATTTGCTAATAGTTCTACTCTCGCACGCTCATTTCCTTTTTCGTGAAGCGAACCACGAGTCCATTAGCGTCGAGTAAGTGTCATCTTCTCATCACGATTCAAGAGACTGATTAAGTTTCATTAGACATGTTGGACGGTAATGGAAACCTCACGCCCCTGGGCCAATGGTATATTCATGGCTAAATGATCTCACCAACAATGTAATATATGTATAATCGCGATATCAATTAATCACCGCTATCACTCCGAGACCTCAAGGAAAATGCACCCACCCCAGAAGTCTTTGTGCCTTACCACAATCAAAGAATCCTTTGTTCCCACTAACGTCCTTCCCTTCTGTGATTCTCACCGTCGGCCAGAATCTTTCCCTAAGTAACCTAGAATCTTCTTCTACTACTGTGTCAGGCGCCACAATGAAAAACGCTTCGTGGCCGGACCAGTTCCGGCTGTCTTGTGTCACTGCCAGGACGAACGCGTCGGCAGCGGACTCGTCGTTGACGTATCCCCATAGGTCGTTTTTGGCTTTGTCAACAGGAAGAGAGCGCGGTTTGGACTTGTCGGGAACGGACCAGTGAAGGCGGAGGCTAGCGATGCGCATTGTGGGGTATCGACGGACTATAGCGTCAGCTTGGAGCTCGCAAATGCTGTAGAGGAAGAATCAGCCTGCGCCGGAAGGGGGAGCTCGATGATTTTACACTTTGGATAATCCGTAAGGCTCATCTGGGAGACATGGATGATCCTCATCGATGGGAAAATAATCAAAGTGAGGTTGATTTGAGTACACCATCGTAAGGACATTCACAGAAGATGCTTGTGCGATTCGCGTGATCCCCAACTAAGTCCCGGCACTTGAGTATTTGAAGTCGTAGAGGAATTTGGTCGCATATGCTTACTTGTGCTGCACCACGAAGGACGTTCCATGATATTACGACGTTGCTGAATTTTTGATCAGCATCTGCTGCTGGAAGCACTCTTGTTTTCAAGCTGACCTGTTGTGCGCAGTTACCCCGTAGTCTCCTGGGTTTGGAAAAGCTACGCCGGTCGATGTCGGTGGCCGATCGGTGGTTTATGAAGGGGTAAGATCACTATACCGGCGAGATGTATGATCCCTTCACATCCCTGCAGTACCCTGAGCGTGTCTTCGTATACGCGAAGGTCGACTTTGTAGAACACATAGTTCTCGTCAGTCAGGGAAATTGGGCCGTTGACGTCGATTCCAACGACTGAATGACCCCGCTTGAGAGAGAGAAGAACGACCTGTTTCCCGACGGATCCATTGCAGCCAGTGATTGCGAGCTTCATTCCGGGCGTCGATGCGAGACAGAGAATCGATGATAATTGATTGATCACCGATCGCTGACAGGTGGTGTGGGGAGTCGGACGAAGTGTGTAATTCGACGGAGGCTTTCTATGGCTTGAACAGAGTTCAAACAATTACACGGAAGCTTTTTGTAATTGTATTGTATACAGATACAGTTATGAGAGTAGATAATAATATCCAAGAAAAAACAACACAATATGGTAATGTCAACGATAGTGAGTGACAATTAGATACACGGTGAAAAGAGGCCGCCGCTGGATCCACAATAGAATAGCCGGACGGTGGGTGGTTCTGACTTCTGGCTTCGAACGAGCGAACGAGTGTGACGAGCGAACTAAAAAAGAATGTGATACGTACGAGTTATTGGTGGATGGACGACGCGAATAGCATCTTCTGAACAAGACAATTTCCCCGGAACCGACACGGGAAAAAGGTTCAGGACTAGGTATTTTCGGTTTGGTCGAGTATTTGACCTATGGACCGCGGTCGTGCTTTCTGGAGATTGGCAGCATATGCAGCCGCGGGAGTAGGAGCCGTGTTCATCGATCGAGGGATTTTCTTCTGCTCTTTCTCCCGTCTCTGCTCCGCGGTACCTATCGCAGCTACTATGGCTGGATCCCGCGACAGGGGTTTCTTCGGTGGGACAGGAGGTGGGCCCTCCGGAATAGCAGAAAGCGTAGTCATCGAGGGGCTCGATGGCAGCATCATTGATGAGGAACCCGATAGCGATGATGATGCCGCCGACGAAGCAAAAGACGACACGGAAGCCCGCTTATCCACCTTGGGCGTATCCTTCCCATCCGATTCCAGCGCAAGACGCGTACCCCCCATTCGCAATGATGACCCTCTCAAAAGCCCCAGCTTGGGCGCCAATCTATATGATTTGACTTGCTGAGATGGAGAGGATGATGATTCGCCACCGGAGAGTGAGCCTCGGGCTGACTCGGTTCGTGGCGTCGGATAAGATTCTGCGCCTGAGTCGTCGTAATCGGAATTGACATGCTTGTACGCCGGAGATTTGATCATGGAAGACGTCGCATCGCCTTTGCTGTTCTTCTCCGACTCCGACTCCTGCACGGTCATAGATCTGAACCCGGCGCTAGAGAGCGGGACGCTTCCTTGTATACGATTACTGCTGACAAGCCAACTGAGTCCTTTAATTTCCTTCTCGCGCCGCGCTGCCTCTCTTTCTAGAGAAGCTATTTTTTTCTCGAGAGCGTTCTTTTCGGTAACATGATTCTGCGTCACCTTGAGCAGGTAGGTCGCGAGCTCATCAAGCTGTTGATCGCGGAGAATGAGGGCTTGTCGCAATTGGTCCGCGGACGCCGTTTCGATATCAAAGGCGGCATTTTCCTTCTTGGCGTTCTCGTCAGTGGACTTGCGATCCCGGGACGTGGATTGGCTGTGCCTTGGCGGGAGTGATGTGGGCAGTGGAGAGGTAGCGACCTGGGCACGAGAAGAAGCCGAAGAAGAAATGGTGACGGCCCTTGGTCGGGTACCACTGTAACCTAAAAGTCGAGTTGGAACCGTCTGGGAAGGTCCGGGGGTAGCTGGTAGAGGAATCGTCGGAGGTTGATTTGGCGCAGATTGCATTGGCGATCTGATCATTGACTTTGATCTCCGCGATTCATTATGGAGCCAGGATGTCGTAGAGGACCGCTTGTCTGTGTCACTGGCAGACGTTACCGGCATGGAAATTGTGGAAATCGCCTCCGATTCCTCGCCTGAGGTTCTAGTAATATCATCGGAGACAAGTCTCCGCGAACTCCTGGTCGATTTTAGGGAACTTGTTTCGTCTCCAACAATCCGCCAGTCGCGGAAAGACGTAGGTGACATAGGAGGAGGAGGAGGAGGAGGAGGAGGAGGAGGAGAAGTAGATGATCCAGATTGAGGGGGGGGTTTATTTGACGAAGACGAACGAGGAAATAGCAACGATGTCGGGGAAATGTCACCATCGCTATGGAAGGCTCGATCATCATGATCGTTAGAGGTCGGGGGGGAGGGGGAAACGCTGCTGTCGTGCAATTTCTTGCGGGGTTTAGTGAACAAGTCGTCGTAATTATCGTCTAGAAAACTATTGGGCGGCTGGGATATGGTAATTGTTGGCTGTTTTGGTCGAGGGGTAGTGGAACGCGTCTCCTTGGAGGTAGTGGAATCTATGCTCGGACGCGCTTTTTTGGGCGGCGGCACCAATGAATCGGACGTGTATCCGGTAGGAGAACGGACGCCGGTGATCCTTCCGTTAGGTTTACGGAGGGTCCGTAGTTTTGTGACACGAGATATCGTGTTGGGCAATTGATGTTGGGAAGCAGCGGAAGCGACAGGCGAAGCAAATTCTGGCGAGATCACCATAAAACTGCGCCTACATCAAACACAGGTTAGTCCGGTTCCATATATCTTGAATAGACGAGCAGGGTAGCAAAGAAGCTGATCACGATCTGGCCAACTTCCCGAAAAGGCAAACCAGAAACGGAAACGGAGGGAAAACTTACTGATCGTCCGCCACCAATGCCAATGACTGCGACCTCTTGTCGGCGCCTTCGTGCTCAGACACTTCTCCCCCAGAGGTACCGGAAACGTTGGACTTCCTTCTGACGCGTCCAAAGAATGGTATCAATGTTTTCTTCCTCCGCATGCCATCCTGCGCGTCTGATGTCGATGTAGAAGAAGATGTTGGAGGATTGTCTGACGCTCGTCGGGGAGTGCTCGTGTGATGCTGATGTTGACCAACTCCTCGAAGAAAGTCGGCAAAATCGGAGGTTTTCGTGCGAAATTTATTGGCTGGGGATGAAGTAGCCATGCCGAGGAGGATAATGAAAGAAAACGGGGGTCGTTGTCCAAATGGGCGGTGAAAGACCGTGGTTGGTTTAAATTGTAGTGGGAAATTAAAGCCAAGTTCTTCGAAGATCAGCTTGGGGTGCCGTTAGTCCCTTACGGATGCAGTGGTAATGCGAGAAGCAGAAGGTGCTTTTAGCAGTGCACCCACGCGGAATTGATATTGGCCGAGATTGAGAACTGGAGAAAAAAATCCAAGGTCACCGTTTAGCTCTAGGCGACGTCACCAGCGGGGCTCGTTCCTGTGTGCCGAAGTGTCTCATCAATATTTCCGATAATACCTGCAAATATGAAATATTCAACCTTGACAATCAATAATTTGCAGCAATTTACCAGCCCTGGATAATGCCAATCCTCCATTCATTCAAATCACCTAGTGAATGCGACTACGGACAGTCCCGTCCCGTCAAACTGCCTGACGTCCTTCCGATTGGCTTATATCGTCACCGGTGTTCCTCCCTGTTCCAGGAATATGACCATTTACATCACGGCACCTGGAATGACTGACCAACAGCCATCCAGAATCAGAGGCATGGGGCACACCGAAGCTGAGATTTGAAGTCTCCATTGACGTGAGAGAAGATTTGATCCCCACGTGCTCGTAATCACGCTCCTCCGGCTCCCATGACGCTCGCTCCAGTTAGTGCCGCTCTTGTGCAGACCAGACCAGTGCCGCCTCCGTGATTTTTGTCGATGCTGCTTTGCGGCGAAGGGTCGCTTCCTAACAAAAACAAAAGCATTTTCAACAAGACATTTTTTTAATTCATCAAATGCCAGATCATTCATTATCAAGCCGGCGGTCCGTCCATCACGTCGGCAGGCGGGTTAACTTATTGAACTCCTGAGGGCCTGATGGGCGCAGACGTCTTGTGTGGGTTCAAGGTTCAGATCTTATGGCATAGCAACTTGCATGCTTGGAAGGTTCAAACTTGATTCAATCTCCGGTGTGAATTTGACCATGAGGCATCCGTACATGTCCTTCGCTTTGTCTTGAAGACTTCAAGCTTCAAGTCACGGTGTCGTTCGGTAAATTTGATAGTCCGCTGCATGCGGCATAGTCTTGGTTGATAATAAATGGAGAGATTCAATCGCATTTGATGGTATCATGTGGAAATGAGGCTTCTGCCTACGACATATAATAGCGCTCACCATTTCACTCCTTCGCCATGGATACCGAACTGCTCACCATCTCCAGGTTCATTAGAGAAAGGGCATACAACATCACCTTAGAACTTCCACTAGGGGTTGGTGGAATGGTGACGGAAAGATTCAACTACATCTGCATTGACACCGCGAGGTGGAAATGATCATCGATAGGTAGCCAGGGGCAGTCGGCGCTTACAAGCTGTAAATAGACGTACTCTCGAACCGCCGGGTAGATTCCAAGTACCCGGTGAGATCGAAAGATGTACAAAGGTGCAGACCAGAAAAGACTGTAACTGTACGTACGAACAATGCAATGTTCAGAATACTGTTGAAGGAATTCAGCGCTAGCAGATTAAACGGGAGCACTTCCTGGACCTACCTACCAACACGATGATATCCCACGCAAAGCTAGGTTGCTGTTCGGGAGCCTCCCAGTACCTTTTTTTGAACTTGGAAGTCTCAAGCATGTTCTGTTCTCCCACCGTGAGCTCAAAGAACGGTGATAGGTGGCCCTGACACTTTCTTTCAGAAATCACAAAGAACACCACCAAGAGAGAAGTTGGCAAGCATGAGGATGAGAAAGGGAATGTCGGTACCGAAATAGGATTCCTAGAAACACGGAGGCCAGAACAGAGTACGAGTCGTGTTTGTTAGATAACAAATTCAGATGGGAGATCTGGCGATATAGTGGAAATCCTCAGCGACAGATTCAAGGAGTTTCTAGCGATAGGCGACTGATATAAAAAAAAGCCAGTCAGTGGATGACGGGGGCCACGGCTTCGGCCAACCGCAGAATCAAACTAATCAATTAGCCCACCATGGGGGCGCAAAGTACCATACATGTCCGTTACTCTACCTCATATTACATGTCAAAACACCAGGGGAACTCGGAAGGAAGAGCGGAGGGACCGGAACAAGAGGGAGAGAGGATCCTGAGGACTTGTACCTCCACCGCGTCTTAGTAGTTGGCTTGTTGCGGTTAATCAAATGCTGAAGACAAAAAGAAAAAAAAAAAAAGAGTGGATGACGGGGCTGGCGGCCCGATACCGGCTTAGTCAGCACACCATAAATTCTCTCCAAAATTTCCGGCCCGTATTTTTCCCCGGATTTTCCTCCACTTTCCGACGACGACGACGACGACGACGACAACGGCGCTGAAACTGATGTCTTTACTCCTCTGCAGTCCCTGCACCTTCAAGATGACGGCAAAGGCATGATATTCCGTGAACATCTCGACGGTGCGTACCTTTCGCCGTTTTTTTTTTGGACGCAGGCACCTCTACCCGGATAATGAACGGCAGACTGCACTCACGAAATCCAGAGTATTTCGAGGTTGTGTGATGGGCGGTGCCTTTCTATGCCCTCCGGCTGTACAACCTGTGCAGAGTGTGTGGCCGTGACCCAATCTTATCTAAAGTGATCCGAAGCGTGATGTGCTACAGAATGGTGTGTACTGTGTTATATCCATCAGACGCATCATTGACCTAATTGATGCCAATGACACGTACAAACATACCAGAGTAGACGACCATCCGAAGCTGTTGGCACACAACTACCATTTGCTGGTGTGCCCTGCTCCCCACTTCCTTGTCCGACAGACGAATCTGGTCATTCGTAGCCGTCCATTCCGCCAACTGACACCGGCTATGCCCGCCTTTCCTTCCTTTATGTCCTTGTCAGGGCGCAACAAGAACAAGAGCAACAAGTCGCCATTTAAGATACGGCGCATGAACACAACAATCTCGCCCCACCCGTACGCCGCCCCCGCTGTATTCGATATCAGCCATGACAAGCGGACATCGATGGACTCCACGGTCTCCACGGTCTCGGAGGGAACAGAGAAAAGACCACGATGTCCCAGGGCGCCAGAGAACTCGCAGAAGATGAAATTGGACATTGACCTCTCTCTCGAACCTACGGCAAATTGGTTTCCGGAGCATCTCTTTCCAGGAGGTGAGGGTGAAGCATCTGGTAGTAGTGGCAGTGGATCGCGGCGTGATTATGAGCACAATGTAAAACAGCCCCAGAATTCTCAGAAGAATTCCGCCACTGATGAGGATGGAGGCATATATGGTGATTCCGAGGATGAGACGTCGGTCTCATCCTCTAACTCCGACGATATATTGGCAAATCTGGAGGCGTTGGACGTGCGTACTCTTCCGTTCTTACTCCTCTAGACTTCTTACCATCTTTCAGGCATCTCATTTCGTCAACATCGCAGGTCCGGCCAATGATAGATCAAACCGAGTGGTGCGTATCACGGTGCTTGATTTGAATGATAATTTAACGCAGGAATAGCCAATGTTGCACAAAAGAACCGCACCTACGCCCATCAAGATTCCTACAACAACTTTGCATGGTCCGAAAGCCCAGCCTATACGCTTAGCTTCTGCTTCGGACCGTCGGTCGCGTCCCACTTCTCAGATTTCGTCAGTCGAAGAGCTATCTGCTGTTTCAGGCTCTACCCTGGCGCGAGCATTGCTAGCGAATTCGTTTGTCCTATCCAGTGATAACAGATTGTCCCGGCACCGAAGTGGCGCATCCAGTCTTGTTCGCACGGATTCTGCGACACTACCTCGGGGAGAACATCCTTTCTTGAATTCTCCAGCGATCCGGGATAGGACTCTCAGCTGGGGCAGTCAATTTTCGTCTTCGGTTTCGCCTGCGTCCTCTGAGGTCGTTCCACCTATCCCTTTCAATGCGGAATTGGTCTATTCTCCACCAAGGAATGCAAGGCCGGAAGCCAATAAATTGACGGACGCGCCTAAACGAGCTGGTACCGGAAGCATCATAGGATTGTCTGACGACGTGGACCCCAACACATCAGCCTCTCTTCCGCGTTCAAATGGCCTGGCCACCACAACCTTGAGCGACCATCATTATTCGGAGCCTTTGGAGAAGATAAACGAGTCTTCTCCCGCTGATCCTGAAGAGTTTTGTGACAAAGGGATCAACCCGCAGCAGGAGGTATCCGCAACTGATGTGGTTGAAGATGTCCTCGAAGACATCCCTCTTCAACCGAGCTCTCCCCTTGCTTCGAGCGCAGTAAACGCAGCCCACCCAATCAAGCCCGACTCCGATCATAATGCTTCCCCGTCGCGCAGCAGCGTACAACAGCCTGTGTCTCCGTCCACAGAGGCTTCTGCCACATCAGCAAAGGATATTGGAGCTGTGCTGGATTATTACGAACACTCTATATCCAATGAACCTGTGGCGGAGAGCAACGAATACAGATTGCCATTTTCTCCCATCCCGGAAGAATTAAGCTCTCAGTTGTCTCCTCCGTCTCCTTTCAAGCAGGACGCCAAGCCTCATGCACTTTCCGGTAGTTTGATTCTGAGTACATCAACACCTTCTGCATCTGGTTCTGGTCAGTTTTTGTTTCGGTCAGTTTCTTCCCAGTTATCCATCTCTCTCGTCCAGGTCGAATCGAATGGGTCGCGCGACGTGACTCCATACGTTCGGCAAACTCGTCTGAAGACAATGGGAGCAGATTGTCTCTCTTGCCCATTGGTGAACGCCCACGTTCACTACAGGTGCGTCTACTGTACAAGTCAAGTACTTCGTCTGTGACCTATTGCCTAGTTGTCACCAAATGCCTCTACCGCGAGCATGTACACAAGTCCAAGTGCAGCGTGTTCGCCCACTTCCCACTCCTATCCGCTAGTATCTCCAACAGCCAATAATGTAATCAATCACCAACGAACGGGTAGCGCTCCAAGTCCCATCAAAGTTATTCGTGATCTTAGGGACATGGATTCCTACCAACTTATTGTTGCGCCTATCGGAAACTCTGACTGCTCTGATGGCGCGCCCAATAGCGTTGGTAGTAGTTACGGGCAGCAAACATTTCCCGAGACACCTGACCTTTCTAGTCCAACTTACAGTCTTGAATCGGCGACACGTTCTGACTATGGACAAGAGGAGTTCCTGCATACACCTATATCCGCAGCGCTTCCAAGGGCAAATATGATGCCCAGCATTACCCAACAGGTGCTATTGACGCGAGCTGCCTCATCTGTCCACAGTGCTAGACATTCTCGACGAGTCAGTATAACTCGTGTACGGACTGTAGCGCCCTCTTTGGATGACTTCGCCCTTGTTCCTGCAGACGCTCGTGTTCTTCCGCCGCTTTGCACCGGTGGTCATATGCGTGTACCCCAGGATACTTTGTCACATCCTTTACCTTCAATTCTAGATGAAAGTCCTGTAGGTCTTCATGAAACGGTTATGCCCACGGCCGTATCAAATCCCAAACCGGCTACGCCCCCCATACTTCATCAAGGTTCTTCCGAAAGCATGTTATCTATCCTGTCTCGCCGGACGGGTACTGGATCAACAATATCCTTGGAGACAGAAACTAATTCAGACATCCGATTGTTGAAAGCATTACCGGCCTTGCCCCCATTGCCTCTACCTTCTTCTCATTCCACACCTTCCCTCGTGACCCCAGACATCGTACCCTTGCCGCCCGCTGCCTCTGACCTTGTTGAACCCCCGAGTACTCCTTCAGTTCGCCGTCTTGACCCCTCGCCTGGACCTTCTCCTTTCGTAACTCCTCTGCCAATGCCTGCACCTGAAGCACCTCCACCTCCACCTGCCGTTCGTCGGAATGTCTCTCCCCCTGTGCTTGTAGTACTGCCACAGCCGTCGTTACCTGTCCCAATTCAAGGTTATGGTAACTCGCCGGCTGTGATCCATGCACCCCCGGCGCCTGTAGTTCCATCGCCGCCACCTTTACCCGCTCACCCATACTCTGCATCGCCACCGTCAGCTCGACCGCCTCGCAGAGATCCCATTTATGCCGACCATGATAGTGATGCCTATAAGGCTTTAGGATCCCCTCCCCCGTATGATTTCATTGTCCATAACCATCCCATCCCGAGTACAGGTGGACGTGAAGCCGGACCTGGACTGATTTTGTCTGCGAGTAGCTCGCCTGCCAATCTTAACGAGGACTCTGCAGTGGCTTCATCGTCAGCTTCCAGGCGCAGGAGAACAAGGGCTCCGGCCGGACCTCGAGGTCCGTCTCAGCCTAAACGCGATCGAGTGCCCTCCGTGTCTTCAGGGGACAGTGTCAACCGAAGAACATATTTTGTCGCCCTTCCGTCTCCACGTTTCCAGACGCCTACGCCGAAATGGAGGGGCTACACAGTGGATGCAGCGAAATGGACATTCCGTTCGTCTGAGCTACAAGCAATAGTATCTAAGGCAATACGGAAGTCTGCTGAAGCATCGTCTATTCGGCTTTTGCATCAAGGAGCAGTTGACCTCGAAATTCCGGCTGAAATGGAGAAGCTGGAGAAGCAAAGGATGGACGTGAAATCTCGATACAAGATGTTCACACGACGTCGCATGGAACTTCTAGAGTCGTTATCTGCAGTGGTTAATCCCAACGCATCTTGGGAAAATCCGACCCTAGCTGTTCGTTATGTCGAAGATTTGAAGGACGTCTCGGTGGGGCTTGACAGGATGGCGGAAGATCTGCACAGCATTGACCAGCAGATTGCACAGTTGAACTCCCTGTGCGAGGTGCATTTTGCCAGCGCGTTGGCGATGGCGTTGAGGAAACTCAACTCCAGCTTCCTAAAGGAATTTGCCCAGTCACAAGCCTTACGGGAGCAAGTTCAAATTTTAGAAGCGGAGAAGAATGAGGCCTGGCAACACGCAGAGAATATGGCGCAGGATTTTGATAACCTCAGTGAACGGGCGCAGCTCGGATCACCCGATAGCCAAGGCAAACGTTTTAGTCGTATTTCGGCTGTTCGTAAGTCCAACGTCCGAATGTCCAGGGCAGGTTTAAGATCCGCTCGGTCGTCTATTATCAGTAATAACAGACTGAGCACTTCGTCGGGCGCGAAATCGACATTTTCCGAAGATGTACCTCCAGTTCCTCTCATTCCTCGTCAGAGGCCCAACGATATCATGACTAATCTGTCCTCGAGGATTTCTACGGTAAGCAGCATACTTACATCTGTAGTTTCTGATGCTGAGACTCTTTGAGCAGGGCATTTCTACGGATGGTATAACGCCTAATTCAGACACCAGAGCAATGATCCGAGCTCATGAAGAGGTTTGTGAGATGCTTGGCATCACTTCCAAGGACCTCAAGCCTAGGAGAGCACTATCACTCGTAGTACCTCAGTCTAATGATGAAGAAGCCATAACACCTGAGCTGCGACATGGACGTCGTTCTAGTTGCGACCGTCCAAGTTCATTACCACACAGCGCGGGGCTCGCTCAAGTGTACAAGGCTATGTCAGCGGAGGTAAGTTCAGAGGCTCACTGTTAGCTAATGTCGGTCTGATAACCTTTCTAGCCTAACGGAATATTGGTAACTCTTGGCATGCTCTCCGATTCAAAGTAAAGATGTTATTTACTTATTCGTTTATCTATCTTTGTTGTGCCACATTCGTTTCGTTTCGATACAGTCCATTTAGTAAACTGTTCATCTCATGTTATTATGCTATTCCTTCCTGAAGTGCATATACTGTATTTTC